AAACAAGTGGGAGTGGTGAGAACAGGACGTTTCTTGACTTTTATCAAAACTCTAGAAGGTTTTGTTGGAGACTTGGTGATGTGTTTAGCAGGTTGAAGCACAAAAAGGATCTGATAGTGATATTTTAATGTGTTAAAGCGAGGTGCTGCAGTCGTACAGATGTGGTGAGAACTAAAAAACCTTCTGAGAGGATTTTGTCTTTGCAGAGACCAACGTTAAGATGATGATTTTCTCTTTTTTCTTGGACAGGACAGACAATAAGGGAGAAGACACACACACCATTCAGAGGCTTTTGTGCAGCTGGAAGGACCTCTAGTGGCCAAAAGTGGACACTCACAATTTAAGGATTATGTTTGATCACAATCTGATCACTGTTATCTGCTGTTAAATCATACTCTACAATTTCAAACTTGCTTTATTTGCACATTTTGGCAAATTTTTTATAAGTCTTATGAAACCTAAAGCAGCCCTAAAGATAACCCTCCTCCTCCTCTTCCTCCTCCTCCTCCTCTTCCTCAGTGTTTCAGCCGCTCTGATCTGATGTGACAGAGGTTCAAAGCTCTGTGCTGCGTCTGAAAACCTCAGAGCTGCAGATCAAAAGACACGCAGACACACAGATACAAAGACACAAAGACACATGTCCCTTTGATATGTTAGAGGACAAAAAGACACGTGTGTTAAACATGTGTGATATGTTCAGGGACTGAGGATGAGGGCCGGACATGAGAGGACAGGTGAGTGGATGGTTAAGGTGAATAGATTTAATTAAACTATTATGCAGATTTAAGCAACAGTATCTGATTAATTCAATTTAATATCTTATAAATGAAAATTCCTGAAACTCCTAAAGGTGCCTAAAAGTGGAGCTAAGACAGTTCTCAGTCCTCATTTTGCTGTTACATCCTAACGAGACTGATTCCTCATGCTACATAAGGTTGTGCATTAGTGCCCCCTGCTGGACGCTTATAGAAGTAGCAGACCCTGCAATTCACATAATAACTGCTGTCCTTTTCAGCAGCTGCTCCCCTCATACTGAGACAGGTTTTCAGAGTCCTTCAGACTTTATGAGACGCTCTGTCCCTCACAGAGTCTCAGCCGTCACGTCCAGATACGACACCTCCGACAGATTCAATCATCCAAAGTGTTTTCAGAGACGGAGGACAAACAAACTACTACTGACAGATTCAAACGTCAGGTCATCTTTGTTTTCTAACAACTTTGACAAGTCTGAAAGCAGGAAAGACTCATAGAGGGCTGATAATCAAAACCTGAACTCTGTCTGAGGCTTTTTTCAGACCCTTTGACACCAAAGCAGGAGAAAAGTTCAGTCTTCCTTTTAATGAGCAGAAATAAGAATGATTTGTGTTTTAATCATATCTATGAGTATTCATTTTGGTAGAATATAGTTTTTGAAGTGTATAAATGTCCCTAGTTGGACAGGCACTTTGACTTTGAGTCCAGCTGCTGAAACTCGCCTCTTCCACCACAGTCTGATACGCTGCAGCCTCTACAGGTCAAGATCAAACACAGCGTATCATTACTTCTGCAGAGAGGTTAACTGGCTGCTAACTGCCGTCTTTACTGGACTTGTATGGCTTCAGGATCCTGAGATAAAATTGAGGCTGACCCCTTATACCCTGAACACAGACTAGCTCAGACGTGAGGCTACAGTCCAGCAGGACCTCCTGACACAAGAACAGTTCCTCCCCCTCTACTACAAACCTGATAAAAATGGCCCCAGAGGCTCCATGTTCTGATTTAATATGACAGAAACAACCAGATTATTGAGTCACATGAGCACACTCTGGACACGCTCTGTCACGTTGTACTCTGGGCTTTTTATAGTTGTAGTCTTAGATTCTTCTCTTTTTTTATCCTGCACCTTTCTGCACAAACACACAGATCTCAGTGTCATTTTTCAACATATATAATTTGTTCAGGCTCTGTTAATCTTCCTTATACTAGTTCAATAATCATGTCTTTTTCTGTTTAAGGTTCCTTGACAACTTTAGAGCAGCATTTTACTTTTATGTTTTCCTATTTTTTTATCTCTTTTGTTCATCTCTTCATTCCTCATACGTGTGAACCTTCTCAATCTTTATCATGGACATTATTTAACAGTCATTTTTTTAAAACTATGATGACAAAGTTCAGTTTTATCAGCGTCTAAAAAGTGCAAACACAGCTGATCCTGAAGCGCTCAGATAATAAACATTTTTCAAGAGTCATTCGTTACATAATCCTCCTTATCTTAACGGAGATGATTAGAGGAGTAATGGCTGTTTTGATGCTAATGAGCAGGTCTGGACTCTGCTTCATTAAAAAAAATATATATAAGAGGAAGAAAAAGGCAGTTTATAAGCAGAAGAAAGTGTGGTCTGGACTGGATCAGCTGTTTCCAGACACAGTCTTCTGGAGTTCACCAACTCTTTACAAACAGAGCTTTAAAAGGACTGCACACTACATACTTGGTCCACAGGGGGCGCCAGATTTACATAAACTAAAAGATCCAGAAATTTTTGTTTTTCATTCTTAACTTCTCTGAAAATGTGTTTTTGTTTGACCTGTTTGACCAAGTCTTGTTCTGGGAAGAAAAAGACTGAGTTATTTTATCTCATTCACTGAACAAGCCCTTTTTCCTCTTAAAAAATGATCTTTTCCAACAGATTCAATCTGATTGGATCACTTCCACAAAAGCTCTCCCACTTATTAATAAATCACAGCCATGCTCTGATTCACGGTCAGAAAATAACACTAAGAATCTGTTTTTCTCTCATTTTTAGCTTTAAGCATCACTTTTTTTATTTGCACTTTCCCTTTACCAGAACTGGTTGGCAGCAGAACTCTTAAAAATACCACTGAAAGAAGAACAGAAACTCATTGACTGGCAAAGTCGGTTCAAGAGCCACAAAGAAACAGATTATTATTATAGCTGGACCTCGAGGAAAAATACAAGACCATGAGGAGGATTCAAAAGCCTGAAAACAAGCTCTGAAACTCCCCGATTACCTATAAATGCATAAGAAGGGATCAGAGACAGAAAATAGAGATGCCAAAGTTTTCTTCTGTCAGCAAACTGATTTTTTTGCAGTGAAAGTGGAAGCAGAGGAGCGAGTCAGACAAACACGAGATACTGATGCTGATGAAGTCGATTTCAGAAGAGTTCACTTTGGGTTAAAGTCTCTAAAACGCAACTGAACAAGTTGTAAAGTTTCGACTGAAAACAGCTGTTTAGACTGTGGACTGAGTTTGTAACACGTTTTATCCCACAGAGTTCTTGCTCATGGATGACGGTTGAAATACTGAAGCCTTGAAAAGCCAAACTTTTACACTCTCTTCAAGATTAGGCTTGCCACTTATCACTACAATGTTTGGATCCCCCCAAGTATTTTGTTTTTCAAGTTTGCTTGTGTGTTTTGGCTCTCTCAGTACAAGGTGAAACATGAGCAGAGGAAGTCATGCAGCAAAAAAATCCAGGAGTTTGCCTTTACTTTCTACAAACCAACTTCATAAGTACAGAGATAAAAAAGGACGACTGCAAAGAAATCACAGTCCAAACTGGAAATCTGAGTTTCTCTGAGACAGAATAAACATCCTTGAATAAGCAGGGATATACAAAAATATTAAATTAATAAAAACAATTATCTGTGCTTGTGAAAACCTGTTGAAACGGAAAAATTAAATGTTTAGTCGCACATGATAACGAGGGTCAAAAACTTAAAAAATTATAATTATAATTAGAAATAAATTCATTAAAAAAAAGCTAGAAATGATATTGTTAAAAAGTCCAAATTAAAGGAAAAATAATCATAATTCTGAGATAAAAAGCCATGACAATGAGATTTAAAAAATCATAATAATATTTAGAAATAAATTCATAAATAAAAAAAATAGTCAAATTTTGAGATGAACAGTCTTAATTACATTTTTTTAAATTCCAAATAACAAGAAAAATAATTGTAAATATAATATAAAAAGTCACGACAATGAGATTTAAAAAAATCATAAAATATTATAGAAATTGATTATAATAAGATACAAAATTTATAAAATAAAATAAAAAATTAATTATAATGAGATAAAAAGGGAAAAAGTAAAATTATGATGAGTTGGTCAAAATTAGAAAATAAAAGGTTTGATTAAGAAATAAATAAAAACCATAATGATGGAATGAATGTCAAAATCATGGGGGGAAAAAAGTCATTATTATGAGACGCTTAGCCTTAATTATGAAATGAGGTGTTTGATGATGAGATAAAAAGTCATAATTATAAGATGGAAAGCTTTTTATATATATATATATAAAATAAATGGCTCATCATTTAATAAAACTTCACTATTATGAGATAAAAAGTTGAGATTATCAAAAAGTAGCTAAATTATTACTATGAGATGAAAAGTCAACATCATGAGGTGAAAAAAAACATTATTTTTAAGAAAAATTATGCAAAAAATTCAGTATTATTAGATTATAAGTCATAATGTACAGGGTTAAAATGAAAAATTGTGAGATGGTTTAGTATAATTATGAGATAAAAAGTCAACTTTATGAGAAAAAAAGTCATGAATATAATATGGAGAATTTTTTAATATGAAATAAATGTCTTATTATTGGATAAAACTTCATTATTATGAGATAAAAAGTTGAGATTATCAAAAAGTAGGCCAAGTCATTACTATGAGAAAATTGTGAGATGGTTCAGTATAGATTTTGAGATAAAAGTGTCAAATTGAATAATTCTGCTGAAAATTTTGGACTTTTACATCATGATTTCAACTTCCGGTCTCATAAACGTGATTTTTTTTTCTCTTAATTGTTTTTTCTTGTGTTTATGACTTAGTTTGTAATTTCTCGATAGGCTAAATCTCGTCTTGTGTAGCAGTAATTTTAACATTAGTGTTATTTTATATGAAGACGAGTCTTCACGTGGATCCTCTGATTGGCTTTATCCGCTAACAACTTCAATTAGATCTCAGCACGTGATCACAAAGCTCCCGTTAATCCCCCTCTGACCCATCGTACTGTTCGTGGACACACTACGGTTCTGCACTGTGGAAATTCAGGGGTAACAGTGATTACTGCCGCTAGATGGAAACGTGTCACGACAGCGCGGAGTGTCCTGAGTGGGCTATAATAACCAGAGGACGGAGCTGAAAGACTTCGACAGTCCTGAGCTGAGAGGACTCACTGAGAGTCAGACCGCAACATGAACTCATCTCAACAAGTGGTATTTGACAAGCCCAAGGTAGGTGAACCAGAACCGAACCGTTTTATTGACTTATTCATGAGAGAAGATGAAAGATTAACGACGCCAGTTCACCTGTTCGCGCTTTTACGCACGGTATCTCTGCGTAAATATGAGTCCGAAGACAAGAAGTACAATCACGGGGGTGAAATGTGAAGAAATGTCAGGGTTTAACTTTAAAAAATGAGGTTGATTTCCTGTAGGGATTGTTTAATTTCCGTAATTTTTAAAAAAAGGAAGTCAGTTTTTTAGTTTTTCTGCTGAAGGCGTTCAAAGCTGAAGAGATTTTCACTCAAACTTCTGCACTTGTCTCTGTTTTTATCTGTTTACATGGATGTTATGAAGGCGCACGTGTGTCCAGCTGACTTTAAGTTGTAAAAAAAAATTCAACTTTCAATTCCTACATTTTGTGCAGCCTCATATCTTTGTGGTAACTGTTCCTCATTAGCTGTAGGAGATGTCTAGATGTCTAGATTGCATAACACAGTCCTCAAAGTGAAAGATACTGTTACTTAACATATCTGTCAATGTACAGCACAGCCTCTGACTATGGTTGCTTGGTGCACTTTGGCGACCTTGTAATGCTGACGGTGCAACACCTGGTCGGTGGTGAAGGCTGATAAGGAGAGGAAATGACCTGAAGAAGAGTAAAGAAGAAGTGTTTCTGTTGCTAAGCATGTTGGTGATATATCGTAATCATTGTATCGTAAAAGGAGAGGACTCTGGGAGTGCTGGCAGCTCATAGAGATAATCTCATTAATTATTAATTTGTAGGAGTAGAAGTGATACCATGTTCGTCCCTCTGACCTTCACCTGTGTGTCTACATCAGTCTCATGTTGGTCACTAAGGAGAGGATGCGCTGGACCGACACTTTACTGTCATGTATGAGAAACTGAGGCATCAATATTAGAATCAGACGGCTGAATTTATTGACTCTGCCGCCTGTGCCATGTGCAGACTAGGGCGATTGCTGGTGCAACTTCCTGCCTCAGACCTCGCTGCACGACTTCCTCTCCTCGCCACTCACCACCTTTGCAATTCAAATCACTCTAAAGGCAAAAGATGCCCGTTAACATGGTTTTATAAATTCAGGCTTTTTGTTGGTTTAATGAACGCAAAAGAAAATCTCAAGACAGTAAATTAAAAATATCAGATTCTCCTGGGTGATGACTTTTTATTGACCGTTGCCAATTACCGTGGCTGGTATCCAACATTGAGCTGATTATCTGCATGGGTGTCTGAAACTATTAGAGAGATGTTAAGTTTAGCTATTTCTTCCTTTTGGACCATCAGAGGTCGATTTCAAACTGTTGGCATAAATTTGTGGTCTCCCTGTGGTCTAAGTAACACCACTCATTTCCCGGCTGATCTCATCCTCTACACGCACCGGTGTGTTTCTGACGAACTACCTCATCTCACTTTCCTGTAAAAGTCAAATATATCACACCAGTGCGGGTACTTCCTGTGCAAATAGTTAGAGACAGTCATTTCATCTGACAGAATCGATCAGTGGTGTTGCTCATGGGTTTGTAGGCATCAGCTGTAGTTTCAGTCTTTCTCATAACCGCTGTAAGACTCCTCATAGGAGCCTAAAGTAAAAAAATCATTTAGTTCCACAGTTACATCTGCAAATGCTGTTTACATATTAAAGTGACAAAGAAAAGCAGCAACTGAGAGTGAAGAGCAATGATGTTATTTCTATCTTCTACTGTTGACTTTTCCATCAGACAGTCGATTCGTCACTTCACTTTGTAAGATGGCAGAAAATTTTCTAAGGCGTTTGGATCTACAGTGATGTCTCCAGGAAAAGTGTTGTCAACGTCAAACACGAGTTAGACCCCCCCCCCTCCAGAGATGAATGTTGTCGACCGCTTGCTTCTTTAGTTTTACCAACTTTAGTAACAACCGCAGGATAGAAATACACAGCGGTCTGAGGAGCCATAAACAAACCTCAACCAAAACGCCACTCTATAGCCACAAATAATGCTCAGAACAGCACCTAACTTCATCAACAGGACATATAGGGTCACAGCCATAGGACTAGACACCAAACAACATTACGGACTACAGCGGGGTGCCGCAGTTCAAGGAAGAACATTTATGATCATTTCTTTATCGTTTCCTTGAAGTAATAATCACCATATTGATCATTTTACTCTGCAGACACGGTAGTTCTTCTGCTTTAGCGTCTCGGTCTGATTGTATTTCCATGAAGAAATGATCACAAATGTTCTTCCTTGAGCTGCGGCACCCCGCTGCAGTCTGTAATGGACTGGCCTGAGGTCTCCATACAAACAAGCGGCTGCTGGAAGAGAGTAGGTGAGTTGTGTTTAGTCTCTTTGCTAAAGAAATGAGTCAAAGTTAAAAAGATGTTTGGTGTCTAGTACTATGTCTGGGACCCTATATGTCCTGTTGATGAAGTCCTGTGTATTGCTATCCTGTGGTCATTACTAAAGTTGGTATAACTAGAGAAGAAGCGGTCAGCAACATTCATCTCTCGAGTGGTTGTCTAACTCGGTGTTATGGTGTGTTTGACCCTAAACTAATTTTACGCTGGAATATCCCTTTAAAGTCATTGTCCTGCAGGATCTTCTGCGCGTACGTGCTGAACGGGTGAACCGAGGACTTCCTGTGACTGATGATGTGTTCGGCAGCTGTTTACTGTCAGTGGACAGTTCAGTGACAGCAAGGCGTTTCATACAAAACAGATGTTAACATGAAGATAATCAAAGTAAACACGACTTTATCTTCCAGACGTTTTGGCACAAACATTTGAACATCATCTGCATACAGACCCTTTTCTGTTTCTGTCTCTTTTCTGATGATTCATACATAAAATTTGTGTCAAAACATCATCTGTAAAAACTGACAAATGACCCTTAAGTGTATTCAGATATGAAAACCACTTTGTTTACAAGAATACAAATCAATAACTCAGAAAACAAAACTCTGGATTTGAAAAGGAGTAATTATGTAGTCGTTAATCAAGATATTCACATCTGCTATTGAAAGGACGGCTGTGTGATTATAACCATCTAGTTTTTTAGTTTATGAAAGTTCAACATCTCTCTTAAACATACACTCTAGTTTATGAAAGTGTATATTAAAAAAAAAAAACACAGATTGTGTTTCTGTTGAAATCTATTGAGTAACATCTTTTGGCCGAATCTTCTCAAAAAGTTCTTGTACTTTTTTAATCACTACTTTACGCTCAGACTGTTCTTGGATTGAACTTTACCTGGAAAGTTACCTGGTGACTTTTTAAACAATAATTACATATCTTCAAATATTTTACAAGAAAGGGGAGGCAGCATCTTTACTTCCGAGGTGATCTTTTCAGCTCTGTTAGTGAGTATTTTCAGCGTGTTTCGACCTTTACCACAGATTCAAACTCAGAGGAAAGAACAGCTGGAGTTGTCCAGAACAACAGCTGGATGATGCTCAGCTGAGGTCAAGAGTCTCTTCACTGACTGCTGTGTTAAACTCTAAAATCCAAAGGGAGTTACAAGTCGTTCTTACAAATGGATGTTTGATTGAACTTTCACATAAGGAGCTCAACCTTCTTGAAAGATCCTCCCTGAAGACACGACTCCGAGCCTGATATATCTTTATTTTCATACGACAGGAAATCCAAGTTTAGAGACACTTTAGGCCTGTGAGTTTGAGATTAAACTGCACTAACTGACAAGAACTAAACATCCAATCAGCTGTCTCGCTGCATTTAAAACTGAATTGTTTCACTGCAGTTTGCAAGAAGGAGGACTGACACTGATATCAAGATAAACAAAGAGGAAATAAAACCAAACAGGAAATGACAAACAGCAAAGATTAAAGATACGATTAGACACTTTTTTTGAGAACATAAAATTGGTCAATCAAAATCTTTAACAAATATCTGAAAAAGCGTCTCATTTGAACGTTTTAATGCCAACTATGTCACTGGTACAACCTAACCGGTTAAACTAGAAGGTAATCCATCAGAGGTGCTAAAGGGGGTACCACAGGGATCAGTTCTGGGCCCACTAATATTAACATAAATTGTCTTGGAAATAAAGTCCCAAATGCTGTTTTACGCCTCTATGCTGACGACACTGTCATTTATTGTTCTACATCTTCACAGAGGAATTGAATCTCGCGCTCTACAAACTTGAATAGTGTCTCCTCACAGAAAACCTCATCCTGCTGATTTTTTGACAGCAAAAATTATTACTTTTTTGTAAGAATTCATCATAAAACCAGGGCTTCATTGACACCTCACACCAGTTTCAGGAATCAAAAATTACAGCATGGAAATCGTTGATTTCCTCACTGATGGTCTTATTTGCTTTTGTAAATCATTAAAAGGCATTAATAAGAATTTAAGGCAGAAGTAATGCACAGGCCTCGACAGTGCAACCATTTTACTCACATTTGTGTGCGAATTGTAAAATGTATCTAGGGGCACATGTGCGCATAAAAAAAAATTAGCCAAGGCGACAAATGTTTTTTCATGTAAAAAACGCGATGAATTTAGTTTTAGGTTGGATATCCGACAGACAATCACTGCGGATCTACCGGTGTCTTCTCACTCTGCATAACCGCTAATAGCAACAGCAGCGCGGTTAAATCTACTCGGCACCCTCGCTGTCAACGTCGGTGTTGAATAAGGGACCATCAATAAATTACCGGTTGATGTTCTCAGAAAAGGCTGTTTTCGTTTAATAGCTTCCATGTGATGTGACCAATTGACCTGAAATTAAATTTCAAATAATAGCACTAAGGTCGGACAATAAGACACGCCTCTTTATTTCCCTAATCTGTCCTCTAAAAAAATGTTTGTGTTAAATTTAAAGGCAAATTTTGAACGTTTTCGCCAATAACTTTCATGTCATGTGACCAAAAGACGTGAAATTGATTTTAAATAATGGTACTCATGTCGACCAATAAGACAAAAATTATTTGATCAAATTTCATTGTGCCCCTAAAGATCTTTATGTGCTCCTTGTGAAAAAAGTTAGCATCAAGCCCTGATACAGACATCAATATAAGATAAATTGAGGGTTTACCTTCCTCGTCATCTTCTGTTCCGACCAAGAATTTCAAACTAAGAGTCTTTTTTTTTTTTCACCCAAATCCCACTTGGACTAATGAGGCGGCGCTTGTTGTTGATGAAGGAGGGGTGTGGACTCATCTGTGTCATCTGCCAGAATAAATCAGAGCTCACAGCCCGACACAGAGCCAGAACATTTACTCCTCCTTGACCCTGGTCTGGCACTCCAAGCTTTTTCACCATCACTGCCCAGTCATGCGTAATGCATTCATGCCAAAACACTGAACTTCAACAGCCACACACCACTGCTCTCTCTTTCTGCTGTTTTTGTCGTGACCCATCTGACGTTTAAATACACTGAATATTAAAAAAACATCCATTTAATTCAAATTTACTGTCTAATTACTCATCCTCTCATCCTCAGGTAGAGCTACATGTGCACCTCGATGGAGCCATCAGGGTTCAGACCATCCTCGAGATTGCAGAGTAAGTCGCCTACCTTCATTCTGAGTTAATATATAATGAATTTCACGTTTAAATCCAACTTCTCCTTGTTTCTTTTTCTCCCTCCCCTCCTTCTAGGAGGCGTGGCATGTCCCTACGAGCAGACACGGTGGAGGAGATGACGAAATTTATCATCGTGGAAACACCCGGCACCCTCACTAGCTTTCTGGGCAAGTTTGAAGAGTACATGCACGTGATCGCGTAAGTCCTGATACTGCTGTCAGTGATTTAGTTTCATAACTACCAAAGGTGTTTCCTCGCTAAGCAGGTGACAGGAAGTACAAAGGGCTAGATTTGACGGATTAAGAGTCACATAAGTCTTACTCCAACTCAGGTTTACACTTACAGAAATTAGGGAGTTTGTAAAAGTGTTCACTGACAACACGACGAGGGTCAAAGTTCAGTCACACACCCTATCACTGGAATGCAGGCAGGTTTTACAGCCTATACGCTTGTTTTGCATCCTTAGTCTCCTGGCAGCAGAGTGTTAAGTAGACTGACTGTTTCAGGATGCAATACTCAGCAGGATTATGCAACATAACTCTACAGCACCGTGGGGGAGTCGACTTTACAGCCTGGACAGGAAGACATCATTATTAAGATTAAGTGTCACCTTGGCAGCCAAACTAAGAGGAGAGTAAACTTCTTCAAGGACGTTTTCCGGTTTTACTTTGTCTTAAATTGAGTCCTGCAGCGACAGAACTGAACTCAGACCAAACTCAGTCTTTTAGACGTTCAACAGCCGTGAAAGCGTCGAACAATGATAGTCTGTCGAGACCGGACTGCAGCGAGTAGCTTAAATGAATAGTCCCCTGTGTGCTGTGTAGATTCAACAACAATGGAAGGTGCTGGCTGAGTTTAGCTCATGCTGGGTTGTTGTATGTGAATAGTGGCGTTCTGATGAGTTGTGGTATGTATGTATGTATAGACGACGGAGAACAAGAGGCATTCAGGGCTGTAGTTTGAGTTTTCACTGTCGGTGTAAATGCTGGAAGAGGTGTTGTATGTGGGACGTAAAGTGAGCGGCTGATTCTAAAGGAAAGCTGTGGTCCTCTTAACAATATCACTAAACTACTCTGAGCTGAGCATGTGCAGAGCAGATGGATCTCTCAGTGCTGAGAACAAAAGCAGGAAGATTTTATTGCTTTTTTGACAGTCCAACCTTCTGAAGTCAAGATGTTTCCAATTAAAGGCCGTCAAACTGGCTGTCAAACAGATGAGAGAAGAAGAAGCAGCTGCTAGTGAGCAAGCTGTAACAGCCCTCTGAGAGATGATTAAAAACTTACAAAAAATGGCCTTAACAACGTTAGAGCTTGAGCTTCTTCGGGTCATTTAAGACTTTTCCAGAAGTAGCGTTTCTTTCAAAATAAAGCTCGGTTTTACAGAGTAAAATCAAGACAGAAAACATCCAAAATGACATTTCTGTTATCAGGCAGTTTCTCCCCTGACGACCATTTTGTAACACAGTTGATGATGTGACTTAATCGCAAATTTGGACATCATTAGATAGGGGTGTCCCAATCCAATATTGATATTGATCCAATATCAGCAAAAAAATGGATATCGGCCTTCATCTCTGATATCAGCACTCCAATACAAGCAGTCCATTCCAGACTTCACTCCAGCACCTCTAGCTTGCAGCGCCCTGATCCAGCATGCAGAGCCCATGTGATCACAACAACAGTGTGTACTAAGTAGGGCTGGGCAATAAAACAATAACAATAAATATCGAAAATGGATTTCCTTCAATATCAATATAAAACATGGTCAATATCCTTTACGATAGTCGGCATTCTGCCATGTTTTGGTAGACTCTACGAATAGCCAATGAAAAGGGGAGTTGCTCCGGGTCTGCTTAACCAAGTATCAACCAACTGCGTCGTAGCAGACAGCAGCTACACCCAACCATCGCACTTTAACAGGTGGAGCCGACAGCACTGTTGGTGAGAAACAAAGAAAATGAGTGCTACCCCCGACAGAAATGACCATGAAGGCTCAACAGATGACCACATCGTCGACCACATAATTTGACTGAATTTGCTGTTTTAAAGTTACTGCCGTAGTTTTTCTGATCGGTAAGCAAAGAATTAAATTTGTGTTTCTTTTTCCAGTGGAGACAGGGAGGCCATAAAGAGAATAGCCTACGAGTTTGTCGAGGACAAAGCCAAAGAGGGAGTGATTTATGTGGAAGTCCGATACAGCCCACATCTCCTGGCGAACACTCAAGTAGATCCGATACCCTGGGACCAGACAGAGTGAGTCCAATCCACAAATCTGCAGCCGTAAATTAAACATGCACAGAACTTTAAAGGCTTTAGGATAATTAAACCTGGTTTTCTTTTTTTTCCAGAGGTGACCTGAGCCCAGATGAGGTGGTGCACCTGGTCAATGAGGGCCTCAGCGAGGGGCAGAGGGCCTTCAATATCAATGTCAGGTCCATTCTATGCTGCATGCGCCACATGCCAAGTAATGAACTGTTCATGCACCTGTCAGCCCAAACAACCTTGTGAGATAAGGTTCCTAAATGTACTGTCTTCCCTCTCTCAGAGCTCTGCTTCCATGTTTTTAGTCAAGTTCACACAGGCTCTCACTTTTTTCTTGGTTTGACATGAAACTTGAGAACGAAGATGATAAAAAAAACTTCCTCCTATTTTGTTTGGCATAGATGTGATAGTAAACTTTTCTCCAAATTCAGAGTTTTAAAGATGTCATAAACATGTCGAGGGAAACAAACTCCTAAACAAGAATTCAAGGAGTCCAAACTTTTGCAAGATTCTTGGAAAGTCTGTAAGTTTGTTCCATCAGGGCGTCAAGTTACTAATTTCCCCAAAGATCAGACAACATCTTTGGTTCGTAGTGAAGTTTTGACACCATTTGGTATCTCCATCTTTGGATCAGCACATCGTCTTAAACTGCTTCTTCATGCAGCTGCTTCCTGACTATAAACCAGAATCAATGATTCATATCTGTTGGTCTGTTTTCACTCTTCGTCTCTCCAAAAAGCATGCTGCAATGTCCCGCTGTGGTTACAGACATTTTTATACGAGAGACTCCCTCAGCACATGGAGGTTTTCTTACTCTGTCATTAAACCAGAAAGGCTATTTAAGGAAAAGAACAAACTGAAGTCAGACTTTTCATTTGTGCATGTCAGAACGAAGGAATCCAACATTTCAATGCATAATCAAATACATACAAATATCTCCAAAATGCAAAGTCTGTCATTACTGAAGCATCATCAGTAATGACTGTGCTGACCAAACTGTGTTTTAATGTTCTGTTTGAATCCTGCAGACTGGTCCATGGATGTCGTGGAGCTGTGTAAGAAGTATCGCCACGAAGGAGTGGTCGCCATCGACTTGGCGGGTGACGAGTCTCTGAACTGTGAAACCAACAGCGGACACAAGTACGCCTACGAGGTGAGCGCGAGAAACACTCAAATAAACACGGCGGATTTAGTTATACAGACTTGAATCAAACTATAAAAACTTTGGATCTACTCTATGAAACAACAGTTTTAATTTAGAGCAGATTTCCTTTCAGTGTCTGTTTATTTTGGAGGGAATTTAACCTTCTCTTCCAGTTTAAAATTGTCTTTTATTCCAATTTTTAGACAATATTACATCAACAAATCAAGAAACTGACTGGCGTGTTTCCTCTTGGCGCCCTCTCCTTCTTCAGGGCTGTACTCTGGACTTGTTTGTTTGGTTTAGTCCATGTGAATGAGACCGACATCAGCTTTAATACACATAAAAAGCAACTATAGTCTTGTTTTGAAGGAACGGCAAGTGATTCACGCAACTGGATGGCCCAGCCAGGCTATTGTTTTGTACTGTGACTGTGTTTCTGATTCATTCTGGGATTATTTTCAACTACATAAAAAAGAAATATAATCACACGAAGAACAATGTGGAAACCGAAATGAACTGCACACCTTGACACTGAAGTCGAGTAATCCTTTTTTTATTATTTTGAGCTCAGTGAGTCATAAAAATAAGTCATAAGCCGCAGAGTCGAGCGTCTACTCCCACAGAGAAATACGGCTGCGGTACATCACATCAGCAACTCTCAGGATTCTTATAAAGATTGTGGACTCCAATAACTAAAGAGATGAAGGGAGATGGTTTCCTGTTTGCTTTATCAGCAGGTTTGTTCACCAGGATGTATGAAACCAGGACGGTGAATTTTTACAGATAAATCTCACTGAGTCTAAATTTTAACAAAAGACACCTGCAGGTTCAAACTATCACCAACTTTCCTCCTTATCGGGTCGGATTTTAACGCTTTTGTTTATAATTTAACATCCTTAATTCCTTAGATTTCTAACATGAAAGCTTTTTGTTCTAGTTAAGAAATGGAGACTTATGAACACATGAATCCAAGATGCTGACGGTGATGAATGTCAAATCTGCTGAAACCTGTATGTTAGCGTTACTGTAATGACTGTTAGTTTGCTCAAGTTACCGCTGTGACGCTCCAAAAGAACTTATTTCCTGCTCGCTGAAAGACAAACTTAAATTTCTGCGAGACAAATAATCTAATGGAGGGAAAACACCCGGAAAAACGTTTAAATTTATCAAAATTAACCTGATGAGTCTGAACTGGTTTGTTGACAATCTTACTTTGGGCTTTTCTGGACAAGACTGCAAACCTAGAGCCTACAGGACTCTTGTTACCCTCACAGGACTAGCAGGTAACTACGGGTCAGTCAGCCAGTAAAACAGGTTTGATGTTTAATGTCCACAAACAGGCGTAGCTGAGGTACAGAAGTCTTTGCGAGAGGATTTTCTCTCATCAAAAATTAGTCTCAAGCTGTAAATGTCTTAATCTGTAACTTACACAGGGACGGAGTAAACCCTCATACTCACAAATCAATTTGAGCTAAAGCTCTGAGGCCTCTCAGGAAAATCCAATTTGGTTTTGAGCCGGCGTTTATTGATTATTTCAGAGAATCCCTCAGTAAGTAATGAACTTTGTCTGTCGGAGCGTAATGAGCGAAAGAGATTAATCGGTTAATTCACTACAGCACCGGGCGTGGACCGAATCTTATCTGAAATTAATCGCTCGCATTGATTCTGGATGGGTGGAGTTGACGTCATGTGGACTAATCACAATTTTTCTTCATTTTTTACTCTAATGAGCAAATAATTGCTGATTGGACTCATGACTTCTTCCATCTTCTTGCCAGAAAACTGTTTTTATGCTGAAAAGTGATATTATTATGATTTGATTGAGTCCGTTTGTCAGCTTGACACTGATAATGAAGTTAAAATAAAACCAGCCTGAGGTCCTTGGAGCCAAAACAGTCAGTCAGTCATAAACTGACCATAAAAACGAACCGTCCACTCCCTTCTTATCAAAAGTAATCAGAGATTAATCCTGCTGCCTCTTCAGTGATTTTATAACTGAAACTCCCTGAACAAACTCAGATTTCAGAGTTTCAGTTACATACTTGTATTTACACTTTATTTCTAATTTGGCTGTTTATGACTTTAAATGGATGTTTATTTGTACCTAGTTTTAGATTTTGATGTTGGTTTTAGATGCTTTTAAATATGTTGTAAAGATTATTCTGTTGGCTTTAGTTGTTACTACTAGCAGCTGAACCTGAAGAGAAACTCGACTTAAATCCCTGTTTCAGGATTTTCTGTTTAATTTTCCCTCCTGAAGTATCGTGTCTCTTTGAAGTACGTTCCAAACGTAGAGTCATGCCGCCCAGCTGGATCGATATTGATTATCGAAGGCGTTTTAATAATTAACAAGAAGAAGAGCTCAAAGAGCAGAGTCCACGCTAATATTGAGGGTTATCGTCATAGCGACATGACCTCGAGATACATGAGTGTAGATTAAGAAAGACTCGGCGTGTCCAAGGTTTAAATGCCAAAATGAAAACAGATGATTAGACCAGTCGTCCACTTTATCTGAGACAAACTCCACAGTCAGCCAGGTCTCTGATTATTACTCTGAACTCATTCACCTCTTTAAAGCAACTCAAAAAACAAACTATTTTCTGTCTCTGACCAAAACTTGTGTTTCAAACCTGATTACAACATAAATCAGGACCGCGATGACAAAGAGAGCTACAAAAGAAGAAGCTCTGGGGGTCCTGGGACACAAAAAAGGCGTAAAGAGAACCAACACTAACCCCATAAGCATGTGCCCAGTTGAAACCTCAGCAGGAGGAACTTTCAAAGTTCGTTTTTTCTTCTCACCTGCACAGTATCACTCTCTGAGCCAGTCAACTGTGTTTTCTCTCCAGAAAGCAAACAGAGCAAATCAGGGGATCTGGACTCAGTCTTAGATTTAACATCTGTACTGAAATACGTCAGTCCAGTGGGTGTTGAGGCTGAGACAGAGCCAGTTTGTGTGAGCAAGAGCACCCTTGGAGGTTTTACACCTCAAATTTAGACCTCATAAAGAGCTTTTTAGGCCGCACAGAAGCTTTTAAAAGTCTATAAACACACCTTTTCAGACAGCTTATTCATACATTAATGCTCTATAATTGATCGTTCGCTTCATCCTGGACCTCTAGATCTTTAATTTACCCCAAGCTCCTCTTTGTTGTCCATCTTCTGTTCTACCTGAAGCACTTTGGGACCTAACTGACTCACCTGCAGATGCGTTTAAAAAACAATAACCATTCTTCGAAGCACCACATTTTAACAAGCGAGTGTTTCACGATATCTCCGCAACATGATCTTCCTCCTGGGAGAAGCAGGCGTGTACAAAATGATGTAGCAGATTGCTGCAGCGTTACAGATGTGAAAGCCACATGTTTGTTTGATTACTGATGTGTTCCCCCCGATTGATTGTGTTGACAGGAAGCCGTGCGCAGTGGGGTCCACAGGACGGTGCACGCGGGAGAGGTGGGCCCGCCGTCCGTGGTGAAGGAGGTGAGCGAAACGACAATAACGTGAGATATTTCTGAACAGGGTGGCGGAGTCATATGAGAAGCTAATTACCTCCACCTTGCAGCGAGGTGAAACCGGTAACAGCAGCTTCGCCAAACAATGAAGTCACACACTGACAATAGTAATGAGATACGCAGATACCAGGGGTCCAACGAAAAGAAACATAACGGCTTGTTTTCAACTCTGAAGCAGTCACGGGAAGTTACAAAGTTCAGATACAATGCTACTGCGTGGAAGTTCAGGTGGAGGGTCTCTGCACTTAACCTGATGATTTATTATTAAAAAAAAGAACCACCTCAACCTCAACGTTTGGACAAATATCTGCACTTCCTACTCCTTATCTTTCCAGCCAGGCTTGTTATTTTTTCTGCTTCAGTCTGAGGAAGTTATGGATAACTCCGCTGTCATTTGGCGTTGCTGCGAGGTGACTTTCCAACACTGAGACTGATTTCAACCCAAAGGATGCGACAATAACAGAGAGAGAGAGAGGACAATATCATATCAAAGAGGGAGAATTAACTTTCCAACTGATTCAATCTGGGTATACAGTTGTTTTTCTATCTGTAATGATGATGATGATTGAGTTCAATGATCTCCTAAAACATCACAAGGTTCTGAAGTGAAGGCCAAGTCTACTTAAAAACAACCATTAGTGTGTGGTGTGTGCCACAGCTGATTCCTCTTAAATCTTGTGGAGTAAAACGATGTGTCAGTCGACCTCGGCTCCCACAAAAAGAAACCACTCTCTAAGAAACCATCTTCCAAGCTGACAGCGCTGCAATTCCTCTGCTGGGAGTGTGCCTTTAAAAATAGCTCTAAGATTCTGCTGCTGTTACAAAATACATCCAAAGACATTTTTGAGGCCCATGACCTCCCGTCTCTTCCTCCTGACCTCTGTCTGTCTCATATTTTTAAGGCCGTAGAAGTTCTGAAAGCTGAGCGGGTTGGACACGGCTACAGAACCCTGGAGGACCAGGCCCTGTACAGAAAACTGCTGGATCAGGACATGCACTTTGAGGTAAAGAAACATCACGGATTATTGACATTTTTTTGGTAAAGCTACATCCTAGATCGGGTTTTGAATTCTGCAGGAATAAACAATCGCTCTGAACTCACAGAGATGAAGCGCATTCATTCTGGAAACTCATTTTTGTTGGAAAATCACTCTGATTTAATGTCGCAAATTATCGACATTTGGGGGTTTATGAGTCTGTATAAGGTGCTACTGTTTAGCTGGTTTAATACCTTTTATACTCTCAGATCACCTTTCAATAACACTTCCAAAACGTTCAATACAGATACATTAAATATTATAATCAGTACTGTTTTAGTACCTTCCAGCAGGATTATAGAGAAATGCTGACCCCTTGTGGAGCTTTAAATATCACTTATAAAAGAAGACAAACTGCAGTCATGAGGCCTTCTACCTGTGCTATTCTGTTTACAGGTGTGTCCCATTTCCAGTAAGCTAACAGGCGCCTGCAACCCAGACTTCACCAAGCACCCCGTTATAACGTGAGCTGTTTATCTTACATGGCATGCATGAAATACACTGATATTAAACCAGATCTGTTTTGTGCATTTCATTCATTTTTCTGTGGATGTCCTCATTTCCTCTGTGCAGGTTCAGGAAGGACAAAGCTAACTACTCCCTGAACACAGACGACCCTCTGATCTTTAACTCCACCCTGCACCTCGACTACAACACTGCACATGAATACATGGGATTCACCGAGGAGGAATTCAAACGGCTGGTGAGATCAAAAGCATGAATAATAATAGCTGGAGTTCACAGTATGAAGGCCTGTGAATATGGGTTGGATTAAAAGCGTGGGGCTGGAGACGCCACGTGCATGGCGATGTCCTCCTCAGCTGCTCATTAAAGCAGGAACAAAAGCAGACATTAAAGAGGTCTGTGATAGAGAAGCTTCACATGCTGATTTATTTTGAACAGCAGGTGAGAAATCGTGCTTCACATCCAGGTAAAACCAGGGCTGTGTGTCAGGTCAAACTAACCTGTTCAAGGTTTTATTTTTGTATTCATGAACATATTTTCAACTGTGAGCCTTTTGCAAACACTGACTGTATGCTTCACTGTGTCTTAGAACATCTGTTCTGCAAAGTCGTGCTTCCTACCTGAAGATGAGAAGGACGAGCTCCTCCACAAACTGTATGAAGCCTATGGGATGATCCGAAGCACTGCCTTTTAAACCCGACGGGGAAGCCGCGACCTCACCCAGGGACACTCTGAATCACTCCTGAACCCCGATCCCCACCGGACACCATGGAATGTCTTCATCTTCACCTGTGACCGAACATTGAGCCTGTAGAAAAATATCAAATGTCCCGTTTATCACATGGCTGCTGCCTTCACCTCACTTACCTGTACTTGATCAGTTTACATTTTGTCAGTATTCCTCCTGAATCTATTGAAACCCTTAACTGTTTACAGTGCAAATCCCAAGGGGATGTGATGATGATTTGCAAAGTGGAAAAATCATAGACTGTATATACTATGGACAACCTGGTTCCGCCTTCCGCCTGTATACGGATTTGAAGCCAAAAAGCTTTCGGTAATTCCGGGTTGTTCTCCACTTCCTTGAAACCAGAGCTGTGCAGTAGCAATGCGCGCATTCGGCCGCGCAGTCGCCGAGAGTCCCTGTGATGACGCTCGGCTCAAACAGCGTATCCCCCCAGGTGAGCTACGCAATCCCTGAACGCCCATAGGCTGTATCAGGTGTCAATCATAGAAAACATGAACCCCCTGATAACTTTTAAAAACGGAGCTGTACCGAAAAAAAGAGGACTTGAACACAAACCAGTCTGACAGTAACTACATGTCAACATCACAACCAGGGGGGAGAAAAATTTATGTTCTGTGTAATAAATTTCTAAAGTTTGTCCACAGTCCCATAAGCTTTGCTGGTGGAGGCGGGATTTATGACCTGTACTGTAGCCAACCATCAGAGGGTGCTGTTCTCGGAGTGGCTTCACCCAGCGAGGAGGCAGACTCTGTCCATTCTTTATACAGTCTATGGGAAAAATACAGTATACAAGTTTTTTGTGTTGTTTTTTTTTAAACCGTATTCACACTGCAACTATTTTCTTCAGCCTCTTTGAGACTTTAAACTCTGTGGTATATCTGACAGCTATCTTTCCAGGGTTTGTTGATTCACATGTAAGTAAAAAGACGACTGACAGTGAAAATCTGGATGAACAATTATATTAGATAACATTTGGTATTTCCCAAACAAAAATAATTTACGAGAACTGTTTCTGGGCATTGGCATGATCACCCTGAAGGTCTGGTCAGAGCATAGACCCTAGCAACAGTCTACTCAAGTTAGCAACAGTCTGCTACGAGGAATATCAGACCGTTGCTATGAAATGTTGCTACACAAAGCTGAATGGGAGAAACAATCGACTGTTTAGACAGTATTTCCTTCAAACAGAACTTCTGATTCTAGTGTTCGTCCAACTGCGAGCCAGGCCATCTTCTACAGACTCACAAATTGTTCATAGTGAAGCCTCAGTTGTCTTAGATCATGTAACTTCATTTCCATCAGCTTTCATTCAAATTTAGCAGCCATTACATAAGCTAAATAACAATATAGCTCCACAAAAATAAAGATTCTGTTAAATTCATAACTAATATTAGGCCAGCTAACGATAAATTCTGACAATTTGTAGCGAAAGTAGTCCAATGTAACCGAAATAGTATTGGTCTTATACCAAAGAGCCTTAGTGTTAGCTTTCAGCTATTTCTTAGCTCGTGGCCACGTTAGCTAGCAAATAACTGAATGCTAAAGTTAGTTGTCGTCTGATAGTGGCGGATGGTTGATAAAAAATGAACTTGTATGTAACATATTGTTAATCCTCCTCTAGATTTTCACAGTCTGTTGTCTTTTGACACGTACATCAGTCGTGAAGCAGAGAAACACCTTTACAATTCACAACCTGTAACGTTCAAACGCTAACAGCTGAGTGACAACCGTCAGTCTAAAATCAGGGGAAAATAGCTGCTGTGTGTTAAGTGAAGACGGCTTTGTGTGGAAAAAAAGAAACTTTAGAAACAACTTCTAACTTTTCAACACCGTGTTTACATCCAGGTAACCTTTTACTGCTCATTTATTCACCCACCTGAACACTCTGTCAGCCTGTGAGACAAATATGAGGGAGTTAATCGTCCATTTCTGTCATTTTGTTCGATTAAAAGTCGAAATAAACAAATCTGCACATTTTAACCTCCTCAAACAACATAAACCGGGTAAACCAGCTCCAGACCAAATCTGTAGTCTTACTTGTGAACACTGGGTGGCGCACTGCGACCATCTAAACTGTTAAACCACAGTTGGCTTAATGTAGTTTTAATAATTACTCAGTTCCTTTCATGTTTATATTTATTTAAGATGGTTTTGACTGAATTAAATAACAAAGTACTAACATTTATATTTAGAAATACATCTATAACACCTGTAACAAGAAATTTACGCTACAATAAAGACTATTTTGAAGACATGTGTACCTCATTTGGTCATGTTAACAATATTTAATAATTAATCTCTGTTATGTAGACCTGTTACAGTAATTACTTTTATAAAAGAGTCACAGATTCACAGATAAGCTGCTCTGTCATCCTCTGTTTCTTTATTAAAAGATGAATCAGAGCACTGGAGCGGTACTAGGTGGAAATATAAACACCAGCTTCCTGTGTTTGCCACATTAATGTACACAAAGGCTGTGTTCAATAATATTTATGGCTCTGGAAGCTCTCAGCGTAGGACTCAGTAATCCTAGTTGGCTCAGACTCGTCCCCTAAACCTGCTCAAACCCAGCCACAAAGAAAAGGAAACCACAAACGAAAAAAAGGTTACAGTAATTCATAAGTATTTTATTACACAAAGAAAACCGCTATCACAAAGTTATCACTGAACATTTAGCAATAAATATGAAGTCCGTACACAACAGTAAAATGGCGACTAGGGTTTTTACTTTAAAAAAGAAAAGACTTGACAATGAAATCGAACAAGAAGGGCAAACACACACACGCACACACACACACACATATATAGAAATAAAATGACAAACAGATGATTATGAATACTCCCCCCTACCAGTGACACAGCTCCATATTAGGCTGGAACATGTTTGGAGTGTTATAAATGATCTCAGTTCAGCTCGGTCCATCTTCACAGACATTAAATTTAAAGTTTCTGTGCTTTCTTGTCTGGTCAGGGAATATAAATGACAAACAGAGTATGAGGCGTCTCAGTTCTGCTCCGTTCTGCTCCCTGTGTTACAATCTGATCCGATGAAAAGGCGACATTTGGGCCGCTGAAGCTCCAAACAGGCCGGCAGTGAGCGAAGGTGTCCTCATGTCCACTCAGGACAACCAATATTCACACTTTCCCTCCTCCGCTTCCTCTCTTTTCCTCCCCGCTCCACCTCGGCCTCATGCTGACTTTAGGACGGACCTCCACCTCCCTGTGCGTCTTGGCTGGTGGAGCCCTCTGCCTCAGGGGCTGGAGAGGCCCCCGGGTCTCCCTCTGGAAGGGGGAAAAAAAAACACAAAGAGGAAAATCTGTAAGAGACTGTGTTTAATATCAAGCTCAAAGAGTTCTGACATTTCTAACAGCGGGCAATAAATCTGCTCACAGACTCCAGATAGACAAAATAATTTGAATCTTGAGGAAGGAACTACAACATCCTGTAGCAGCGACATGTCAAACATGAGATGAGATAATTCCTAAATGTGATCCTTCCCACAACACCAGGATTACAGCGCCGTGATTTATAGGAGTCATTTTGGTAATCATGTCATGGGAAACATGAAAAGGAAGTCAACAATATGATGCACAATGGTGAGAGTGAAACATCTGTGTCATATCCAGACATGCCTCTAATGACAGCCTGACACTCAAAGAGAGAAAAGACAGATTTTCATTGTGCCGCCATTTACAGAGACTCAGACCACAGGCTGGAAAACACCTGCTCAGTATTTACCCTCATTAAAGCTCCTGTAAGGAACTTTACATGAGTACCAAACAGAAAAATATGGATCCTGATGTGGCCTTTCAAAGCAAACATGGACAAGACTGACCAATCATACATGGGTATATTTAAAGCTCTGTTTTGGTGAATTTTGGCACCTGTGTTTCATAAGCTGCTTCATGCATTAAAAATTACAACATAAACATTAAAAAACTCCTTGCGGGAGCTTCAACGTCAAAAATCACTGGTGGGGTGTCTGTTTTTATGTTTTCCACAACAGATTTCCAATGAATAATAATATTTTAATATGTTTTTTTTTTAAATAATGAAGGAAGATGTTTATCAGGGAAACAAATTGCAAGTGAGATAAGAGCTGCTGCTTTTTCCACAGAGGGCACCAAAATCAACACAAGCTTAAAGTCACTCACAGGAGCTTTAAAATACTTTTTAAGGTAAATTCTGCAGCAGGGGACACTGTGTTCTTTAAGATAAAAATAAAAGTTCTGTAATAAGTTGGAAAATATCAGCATACCCAATATAGAGCATCCCTATTTAAAACATGTTTATAATAATCCTAGTCACTGACAAACTCTTACGTCTCTGGTTGCATTAAACAGGATACATGACAGTTTACTGTTCATTTTTAAGAGACTTCGTTATCTTTCATGTTTAATGTGAAACAGCACAGAGCAAACATTAAGCTTTGGACATGTGCTGAGCAGACAGGAGTCAGCGTCTTGTACATTTTGACTCTTTACTGCAAAAAGCTTCGATTTCTTGATAACAGGGTGTTTAAATACGGACTAATAATAATAATAGTACTTGTAAAGCACTTTGCAGTACAAGAAACAAAGTGCTTCACAACAAGACAAATCATTATCATGATTATACTGATTAAAGTGATTACCCATGACTTGTCATCTGCATCTTTCAAACCCCTCATTCTTATAAAATAACTATTAAGCTGACCCGAAGTCACATGTTCTACTGCTGAAAGGGACCGAGCATCAATTCTTCCCTCCATTAAACCTAACACCAGATTTCCTCTGTTAGTACTCTGATTGTTTTTGCACCATCTGGACGGTAACAAACAAACAAACCAGCGATTTCTATTTTTGCAGATATGAGCCACTCTGTTAAAAACGCAGTCACCATCTCCTTCTTCAGATTCCTCTGAGTCGGCGTGCGTCAAGAGTTTAAATCAGATTTCAAAGAGTCTTTTTTTTTTGCGTCATTGCCAACAAAACGCAGCGACAACATCAGATGTACAGTAAGTGTGGGGATCATTATCTCTGTTTTCCCATGCCTTTAAATAAAAACACACTCACTCACCGACGCCTTAAATACCAGAGGAAACTGGTGACGATGAGAAATAACGAATCTGATCAGATCATCTGAAAATTAACAAGCTGACGGTTTTAATTTGAGAAAATTAATCAAAAATCGATTTGGATGAAAGACTGTTTGAATCTGAGAGATGAAAAACAGATTATGATGTTCTTTTTTTGTACAGAAGAGGGCGCTATCTGCATTCAACTGCAGCTGTATCTCACTAAACCTGCATTTGAGGACGTAGAAAATACCTGAGCAGCCTGTTCAAGTTTATTTCAGCAACTTTAGTATTTTTATTTTTCTGTGTATGAGACAAACATCCAGAGTCGATAATCTGAAGGACAACCTCTCTGACCTGTAGCATCTCCTCGTCTGCTCTGCAGGTAACGCCAAAGTCAGACGACAGGATGCTGCTCTCTTACCTCTGCTAACCCGTCCATCCTATCTTGAGTTTACTGTACTGTTACTTTGACATATATCCTCCTTTTTTCACCCGTCTGTTTTACTGACCTGCTGCCTTCAGGTCCATCTCCGCCATGTCTTTGGTGAGCTCACTGGTGGTGGCCCCTCCCTCTTCCTCCCCTGTGATGTCAGGCACTGCGTTCCTGCGGCCGGTGCGATCACAGTTGATGAAGTCTGAGTACGACGACTCCACGTCCATCATCTGTCCATGACCAGCGCTCTCATTACACCTGCCAGGAGAGGGAGGAAGAGGAGGAGGAGGAGGAGGAGGAGGAGGAGAAAGGGGAGAGTCAGACTGCTGCAAACGTGTTCGAGAAGCAGATAAATCACCCTGCTGTCTCCCTTCAATGGTCTGCAGAGCCCGTGGGAGGATTTACCACCATGTCCTGTGATTTTCTACTTCTGCAGTGCCAATGTGATGCACAAAAATACTGGATAGAGATCAAAAAAAGCACCAAACAGTGAGGGAGATAAGTGGGAGATAAGGATAAGTGATGGAGTGGGCAGAAAGAGGCACATCAGAAACACTTCCACATCCACAGACGCAGACAGACAGGAAGGAGGATTGATACAAAGAAGGACGAAGGTGTTAATAATTGCCTTTCCTATTTCTGCACAGCGATTAATGACTCTGTCGACATCTGTGTTAATTGGCTGTCCTAAATATATACGGAAAAACAAAAAAGCTGCTCTGAATCTCTCAGGGCTCCCACTTGCACAGTCATACTCTCAGTGCTGTAGGTACTTACACAGCAAGGAAGGAACGAAGGGGGGAAAAGGAGGAGGAGGAGGGGAGACTGAAGGGGGGGACCGATCAATATGGAGAGTGGGAGTGAAAGAGCCTGAGAGCACGAGGAGAGTCCAGAGAGGGAAAAAAAAGAGGACCAAAGTAAGAAGAGCTGGTGTTCGCCATTCATTCCTCCTCTGTTTCCTGTTCCCAGTCCGTTTTAAACTAGGTCACGGATGGTGCCAACCTCTAAAACACTATACAGCTGGTAAATCCTCAGCGGGGAAGAGGACAGAAACCAAGAGTGTCCCAGAAAGGCGAGAATGTGAGAGATAAGAAACTTGCAGAGGGAGGATGAAGCCGAGAAAAAAGGAGAAGGAAACTCAAAGGCGCTGTGTCAGGCTTTAGATGGCGTCACACTCGTTCCTCTCCCACAGATTTAGATTTTCAGACCTCTCTGCTGCAGAAATACCCTCTAATAAAGAGAGACCACTCCGGCACAGCTGAGCGGCTAAACTGTGACTCTCAAAGGAACATAAGGGGGGAGGTTTGCGTCTCGAGAGAAAGAATGAGAGAGGAATGAGAACGAGCTGGCAGAAACCACGGCCTCGACACGCTGACCCAGGGCCAGCCTGTTCCCAAACTCTCTCTTCACATTCTTCGAGGAGCGTTTAAAAAAGTCCCACCATTGTTTTCTGTCTCTTATGTACAGTATGCGCGCTCTGTGCCAAAAAGGAAGCAGTCGGGTCGTTCTCTGAGGGGTCACGAGACACGCAGACGTAGGCGGCGCTGTTTGTAAAGTGAATTCTGCAGTGAAGGTCAAACTCGAAGCCCCTGTAGGTACGAGCTGTTCTTCAGGAAATGTCAGTGAATTCTGGGCGGCTGGTATTTTCCCTGAATGTATTTACTTAACACACGCAACGCTCTGTACGCAGACCGCAGATGATGGCGTGATCTGCTGATAGATCGGCATCCTAGATAGCTAGACTGTAAGGCTGTACGGTCAGAGAGCGAATCACAGTGGGAGGCCTGGAGTCCAACTGCTTCATAATTAAAACTGCTGCGCTGCTGAAACACGCGCTTTGACTGAGCGCTGATCACTGACTGAAAATAACTGTAATTTTTCTGACCGATTGTCCAGTTTTGGATCCGGAGGTCTTATTTACAAAAAAAGTGTGTGCTATCTGGACGCTGCTTTATCTGTGGTTTTATCAGAGTGGGAGAAAACAAGCTGAGGAATCAGTGCAGTAATGTAGTCGAATAATTCCATGTAATAAGCATGTCTTTAAGCCAAGAGCAAACATACAGGAACAATATGATAAATAGAGAATTCATTCAAGTGTTTTAACAGGCGTGTCAAGTTATAAAAAACTGTGTCACAAAATACACAGATTTCACAGGTATAGAACCAGAGGTGTCCTGATACAACTTTTTTTTTAACTTCTGATACGATACCGATATTGTAGCCTCAAGTATCAGCTGATACCGATATTGATTTGATATTGGCACAAACTTGTGCATGACAAGTTTTTCACTCAGCTGCAGCGTCTTATTCAGACTTTAGCGAACAATGCTGCCACACAGCCGACATCACTCCCACTCCTTGCTTCTTTGTTCGTACCTTAGTCCACACTGTTGATGTGATTACATGGGCTCTGCATGCTGGATCTGGTCACTGCTAACTAGAGATGCCGGAGTGGAGTATGGAATAGACTGCTTGTTTCAGAGTGCTAATATTGGAGATTTTAGATGCAGGCCGATATAATCCGATATTTGTTTTTTGGCTGAAATCAAAATCAGATCTGGACACCCCTATATAGAAGAAAAATGGAAGGAGGAGGAAGCCCCAAAAGAGCTGCAACCAAAGGTGTTGACAAATGAAGCCAGTGCAGAGACGCAACAAACTGCTGTTCCTCAAGTGTCCACTAGAGGCTTGCTTCAAAAGTCTGCAAACCCCAGTTAAACCCATGTTCATATTTACAGCCTGGTTCAAAAAGTAGTTTTGGCCTAAATAATTTACTTTGTATTTAATGTTTGCAAGGGGGGGTCATACGTCCTCTTCTACTTGGACATGTCCTCTTTTTTGGGGGCTGTCCGGCTTTGTCCGGGGAAGTTTATAAGATCCTTCAAATGTCTGCGGTTTTGTACAGAAGTTTCAGGTTTGTGTCATATGACGTTATCTGATGTTCTGGTCACGGTCTGGGCAGGGGTCACCCTTTCCTCATGATCCACCCTGAAACCAAAATGCAGTCCTCAATGATACACTGCGTCTTAAGTGCCAGGGTCCAGAACTGCAGCCTCCAGATCTTCAGACACATGCAACTAATTGGGTCAGGATCTTCTCCAGTATGGTGACTAATAAGTGACACTATGTTCACGTTATATACGGTCCAGACTAGTTTCAGTGTGCGTTTATTAATATGGACCAGAATGAGCTCACAGTGGGGGTGAGACTCAGCGTGGTCCACTTCCACTTCTGCAGTTTTACAAACAAAAACAAAATCAGTTAGTAAGACTCTGAAAGCTGGAGAGGGTTTAATTAAAGATATTGATGCTCTGTTTTTATTATGTTCTGGTTGTGCTTGATAAAATCTTGGATTTTGACTTCCTGCTCCTCTGTGCAGCAGAAAACGGTCACGTGGTGATAAAACCAAAGTGATGAAATATCGAGCAGAAACAGAAGAAATAATCCTGCTGGTTTTCATTTTTATATTCTAGTGAATCAGCTGCTTGTCAAATTAACAGTAATCAATCATGACTTTAACAATCTGGCTTTGATTAATAATCTCGTACCATCAGCTCTGACAGTTTCTGTGACTTTAAACTGTTTGCAATGAGGAGATTTTAATCCAAACTTTTGCAGAGGAGTCTCCTTCAGGTCAGGTCATGTTTTCGGCCTTTGCATCTATCAAAACAGGTCCTCGTCTTGTATTTACGACAAGGTAAACCATCTAATTTAGACTCACAAACATCTTTCTGCCTCTGCTTGAATCTTTTAAAGGCAGAAAACCTCACGATGCTGCCAACAGTCGCTGCACAGACAGAATCCAGGGCGAATACTAACAAGACGGAAAAATTAAGCAACAGCTGCGGAACATTTATCTTCATCAGCCGGAAGAATCAGAAGTCGCAAACCAGCCGTGAAGTTGAACATGAGACATCTGCTGAGAGTTTATTATGCCGTCGACAGAGCAGTGACAGTGACTGGGAGAGCGGTAAATAGCAACTAGAACATACAACATCATAGATCTAAATTTGGACGACCGGCTTTCTGCATAAAGAGCCGACAACTCCTGAGAACTCTGTGAGGTGGCAGAATGAAGTTTCATCAAGATCAACTCGATGAAATCACATCCACACAAGAAAAGAAAATCCTTCAAATGAACTTTTTGGTTTTGAAATTCAGAGCTCTGTTGGATGTAATCTGGAGATACAGTCGCAGTCTGATCCACAAAGACTAAGACACGGCAGAAATCTTAATCATTATTATTTTGATGGATTCCCTGCTCTCCTCCCTCCATCTGATAGCCGATCTGAGCTCCTAATGACGACATGATAGTGAGAGAGGATGTGCAAACACTCTTAATGAGTGATAATCTTCACTGTTTGAAGACAAGACGATCAGGTTTGAAAAATTACGTTCGCATGTGCAGGACAAAGAATGAGAGGTATAAAATTTGTCTGCAGGGGGCGCCAAAATTGACACAAACCAAAAGTTCCTCACAGGATCTTTAAAATTAATATAAAGGTTATTATAGATTATGGATTTATGAGCGTCTATTTTTACAGATCGTGAAGGAAACAGAGATTTCAATGGGAGAGTTACACACTTTAACCCTTTGTCATTTACACCCCATTAGTGACATTACTCCTACCCTCTGCCATTTGAGAACATAAATTCACAATACAACACAAACAGGTTATAACAAAAGATAACAATACAACAAAGCAGAACAATAAAAAGTAGAATAGAATAAAATAACATTAAACAAAGACAAAAAAGACAGACAGATCATTCGTACCTCAATCATTCATTTGTCCACTCATTCTTCCCTGGCCCAGCAATCTCATAGCCACATATCAGTCCATGTGAAGCATCTACAGCATTTTGACCATATATATATATATATATATATATATATATATATATATATATATATATATATATATATATATATATATATATATATATATATATATATATATATATATATATATATATATATATATATATATATATATATATATATGAGCATCTATGCTTACAAATCTGAACCTCTCTTACCCTCAGGTGTGCATTAACTGCATCACACTTTTTCAAATTCACCTCATGGATGTAGAAATGACGCTCTTTTTCGCCACAGTATCTCTCATCTCAAGAATCAACACATTTACTAAACCGACAGACAGATCCGACCTGAAGACGTACAGTTGAAAACAAACAGCCTGTACTGTTTGTCCGTCTCATGCGGCAGTAAATGTGTTTGTTCATCTGTTGTGTTTGCCTTTTTCTCCTCCACTGACTCTGTTGCTATGCGGATTATGGAGCTCCATCTAATTGCCATTTGTTTGTTTAATTAGTCTGCCTGCCTGCGCATGTGGATCAAGTCCTACCATGAGATCATTAACAGGTTTCCATGGAGGGATGAGGATGATGAGGATGATGATGTTTTGCTCTTCAGCCGGTGTTTACTCTCTCGTCTCTTCGCCCCGGCTGCAGGTCCCAGCTGTGGAACGAGGCCTTTAATGGCGCTGCGTTTGAAGGATTACTTGCTGCCTGATGTCCGCGGAGCTCGCCGAGATGATGGACGTGTTTTTGTGGAGCTGACGGACTCAAACTGGGCGGGGAGGACGCTGTTGTTCTTTTCACCTGCTGATTTGTTTAATGTAAATGAGCATGTAAAGCCGACCTGGAGGCTGATGATCTGAAAAAGACGATGACGACCTTCTGCCTGACTGAACTAAGTGCAGCTCTTGTTTACTGAGTGGAATAAAAGAATAATGACGGGCTGCTTCCAGGGCTGTAAAGGCCACTTTTCTGTCACGACTGCTCAGTCTAAAAAAAATAAAACTTCAAGCGGGGAGTCCTTCGATTCCTTAAACTGGTCATAAACTGGACGGACATTAAGTTTCAGATGAAAGAAAACAGAGACAGGCCTCTAATCACTGCAGTCTGTGTATGTCCGTCTCTCTAGCTGAAAATGAATTATCAGTCATCTCTGTTTCTGCTGCCGATCCTTCCAGCTGTCAAATATGTTGGATGGCGATGAAAAAACTCCACAGTACAATCCTTTTTTTTTTTTTTTTAATGAAATTTAAAACCGTTTCCTGAATTAGCTCTGACATTACTCCAGGAAACAATCACAGCAGATTAGAGACGATGTTTTCGATGTCTGGTGTGAAGCATTTCGAAGCGCCTTGTTTTTAAAATGAATAAACTCAACATGTCGGATCTTAAAGGAGTATTCCGGCGTAAAATTCCTCATGGAAATGCAATCACACCGATTGCTATCCTGCGGTCGTTACTTAAGTTGGTATAACTGGAGAAGCAAGCGGTCGACAACATTCATCTCTCGAGGGGGTGTCTAACTCGGTATTGTAGTGTGTTTTACCCTAACTTAATTTCACACCTGAATATCCCTTTAAGAAATAAAACCAGTGTTCAGTAATCTTACTGCAAACTCTCCCTGTGTGATTGATAGATGCTTCAAATATCTATGGAGACCTTTAACTTTGTAAAGCAGAGCTTCAACCCAGACCAGTCAGCATCATCTGAGGAAAAATAGGGAGCAGGGACCAGATCGAGCTCCAGAACCTTTTAAAAGGACTCCATAACCACTCTCTATTCTCTAACTCACAAACCAGATTCAATCCTAATCCATCTTTCTTCTCTGCTGCCTTATTGTCCCATCACTTTTTGGTTCCGATGTCATTTATGCCTTGGTGGGAGCACATGCCAAAAGGTTGTATGTTTTGCTGCTTTGCTGGCCTGTAATGATTGTAATAAATTGTCGTCTTTTTCTCGCGGGGGCAGCAGCTTCAGGAGGGAAGCCCAGACGGCCCTCACCTCAGCCACTTCCACCAGCTCCTCCAGGGGGATTCCCAGGCGTTCCCAGGCCAGGCAAGAAATATAATCCCTCCACCTGGTCCTGGGCTGGCCACAAGGTGTCCTCCCGGTGGGCCGTGTCCAGAACATCTCTAACGGGAGGCGTCCTAACCAGACGCCCGAGACACCTCAGCTGACTCCTCTGGACGTGGAGGAGCAGCGGTTCTCCTCTGAGCACCTCCTGAGTGTCCGAGCTCCTTACCCTATCTCTAAGGCTGAGCCCGGACAAACCCATTTCCCCAATCTAATTCTTTCGGTCATCACCCAAAGTTCATGACCATAGGTGAGGATCGGCACGTAGATCGACCGGTAAATCGAGAGTCTCGCCTTACGGCTCAGCTCTTTCTTCACCACGACAGATCGGTCAAGCGTCCGCATCACTGCTGATGCCGCTCCGATCCGCCTGTAATAAATGTGACTGACAAACTCTGTCCATGGAAGTCCTCAGTCTTAAGGAGGAGTCCCTGCTCACCTAGAGGTAAGTTGTTTGGGAGCATTTGACCTTGGTTCGCTGCAAAGTTTGTCTAAAGTCTAAATGCAGCAGTGAGACTAATTTATTCAAGCAAACAGAGACGAATACAGCAAAGAGAGAGGAGGGGTGGAAGGTCAGAGCGGCAGCCTCGAAACTCTTTCCTGATTGGCTATCGTTTTGTTCCACATGCTCAGTCATCCTCGGGGAAAATCACTCAACACAATGCCAACCATCCGTAATCTGGCGAGATCATTTTGAGAACCATCAGGACCTTTCCTGACTGTCATGGAGATCGCAGAATCAGGCCCAACTTCAGAGATAACTTAAACTCTCTTTCGTCCACAGGGGGCGCCAAAATCAACACAACCCAGTAACCTTTGAGACCAACTGAATGTGTGACATTTTGACGCTGTTTCCGTCATTTTCAGCGTCCTCACAGAAACCTCTCACCATCTCATGACCACACTCCTGACATGATCACTCACAGCTGCGTATTCAGAGTGTGTCCTAGTTATAAAGAAAGACCGTCTGTGTATGAAAGGTCAGGCTGTGTGTGCGTCTTCAAGAAGGGAAACTCGACACAGCTGCAGACACAAGACAATAGTCACAGGTGTGCACATCAGACAATAACAACTCCATCCTCAAAGGGAACGACTGAGCTGAACTCTGTTTAGCCTCTCTCTCTTCCTGCTCTGCATTATGTGTGTGTGGACGGTTTCCGTCGATGAGGGGATTCGCTCTGCAAAGTTATTTCGGGAACGCGTCCTGATTTAAATTCTGGTAAATCCTCTGTTTTCGGAGAGACATGAGCCTGGTTGTGACATCCTCACACAGATCAACGTAACCCCGTGGAGACGGGAACGCCGGCCCGCCGTACACGCTTTATAACGCGGGGCGAGCTTCTCCAACGTGGCAGGTTTGGACATGAGCGTTGGCCACACATGTAACCGGAGCAGTATGAGCACAGAGGTACTAGAAACATAAGCCTGTGGGATCACTGGAGGAGTATGAGTCAGCACAGACACTTAAATCAGCCCATTAGAGGAGCAGGCTCACTGAGATCCCGGCGGAGCCTTTTAAGCCTGATTTGTGTGTAATAAACCCACATTATCTGCAATAACGCACATAAAGAGCGGCTTCTTTGCTGACTTCGCCTTCCATTAGGGACAGCTACGGCAACGATTTCAGGTATGTCGGCCATTTCTGCGGCTTTTATTGATAAGGCGGAAAGCCTCCAGCGGGGTCCAAGCAGCCTCCAAGCAGGGCGGCTGAACTTTCTCACTCTGAATATTTCTGCTGTAAAGTTCAACCTGAACGAGACGACAAAAATAAACCGTCAGCACAGGAATAAAGTTTACTCAAGTTTAAAAACACGTTTTCTACAAGTAAGGAAAAGCTAACTATGAAAGACTGGACTAACAGAGGAATCGAACCATCACCTTTAGTGTTGTTAAGGCTGAATCTGATGCCTGAGTTCATGACTGTTTTTTGTAGGGCTGGGCGATAAACCAAAAATTTACCAAAACCAAAATTTACGACTATAACCAACGTCATTTTGCCTATATTGATATATTCTGTGTCAAATAGATAAATAAATAAAAGTTGTTTTTGGATGTGTGTAGGTAGGCTATAGTCTCATGTCCCTTTAAGACGCTGTCCTACATCAGAGACGTGACTCCACCCCATCCAGTCTGTAACAAAGAGGGAAAGACAGGTGAGGAGATGGAGGACGGTTCAAGAGTTGTAGCGGCTGAAGTAGACGAAGTTAATGTGGGAGGGGGTGAGCAGCTTGTGGAGTAGTTATCGTCCATTAATCGTTATTGAGGTGAACTGATCAATATATTGTTATATTGATGTGAGGCCATGTCGCCCAGCCCTAGTTTTTTTGTCATAATCATTAAAATGAGTCGTCCCTCTCAGTCCCTCCCTGCAGCCCCTCTTAAAATGTCACTTTTCAAGCATGTGTTTCAGCACTGTATAAAAAAACCTCTAAATAAATAGCTGACTGTACTAACAGGCCCAGATTAAAAACAGCTGTAGATATCATGACACATTATTAACAGAGGAGATTAAGTCTGTTTACAGAGGAAACATCAGCTGACACTGAGGCTAAACCAACACACTCTGCACATTTACATGCACTTAAAAAAATGGATTTACTGCCGAAGTCTGACTGAAACTAGACGTTTAAATAGGGCTGGGCGATATGGCCTCAAATCAAAATCACGATATATTGATCAGTTCACCTCGAGACCATCCAAAACCAGCTTTTGTTTATTTATTTTATTGACACCGAATATACCAATATGGGCAAAATGACACTAGTTGTTGTCTTAAATTTTCGGTTTATAGCGCGGCCCTACTATTAAAATCAACTAAACACGTTAGTCCAACCAAAATCCAACCTCTCATTGTCGGACTAACATACCCTGGTAATGCAGTTTGATCGGTTATCTCTGGCATGTTCACGCCTCAATTATCCTGAGCCTTCTGAGCATGCTCCAGCGTTCGTACCCCAGGCTCTGAACTGGTGATTGAACAGCATTGATGTTTTACAAGGAAGCGGATAGTAAACAAAATCTCAACAGACAAAGAAAAGGGCAGAATTTTCCCAACAAGTCACTGGCTTTTACCTGATAGTAAACAAAAAGAGGGATTTACCACGATCATAACGGAGCTGAACATGTTTCTGTCAATCATTTGATTCTTTCGTGGTTCATGTAAACTGGGACAAAGACCGTAGTCCAGTTAAAGTCGCCTAATTAAGCTAAACCTAACCCCAAAATGAGATTCATGATACCAGGCGAATCATTTTTACTCGAGTCCCAGCAGGACCTGTAAAAACTGGTCCATGCATTAATCTAGAGTCGACTTTAATACTGTAACAGCATCTTTGCAAAAAAACAACCAGACAGCTGACTCAGAGTGCAGCTGCAGCTCCTGACTAAGACCGAGAAAGTGGATCAGACTGGTCCAGTTTAGAGGTCTTTACACCAGTTTCCTGTTTGTCAAAGAAAGGTTTAACCTTACATGGGAAAGACTCGATAACGGTATCAATAAAAAGTCAAATCTTTACGGAGTTTCAATAAAAGTTAACAATCTACAGCCATAATAATAACCTTAAAAAAACAGAGGACCACAGAGGATGAAATCTTCTTTTTGTAGGACAGAAAACAAACATTAAATCTCTGCATATTAGGAGCTTCAATCAGAGTTTGTTTTCCAGTCATACTCGAAATACGGCTGCAAAACTTTCAGATTTGTTAATTAATGGTTTGACTTCAAAGATAGTCACAGAAAACGTCTTAAATTTTGACACAAACTACAAACAAACCGGATCTTTAAGAGTCAAACTGCATCATGAGACGAACCAAAGAGACAAAAATCAGAGTCCAGAATAAAAACTCTCCGTCTTCTTACCACCGAGATCAGAGCTGCATCTTCATCAGCGTCCCAAACTGCCTCCAAAGCACCCAGATCCATCCAGCCCGCGGGTTTCTTTCTCACAGAGTCAGACAGTGAAGGTACCATCACACTGAGCCTCTCAGCTCTCTGCCCTCTCGCTCGCCTCCTCTCAGCCCCCGTCGGCTGTGGTCTGGGCTCTGTCTGTTCACATGATGTCAGCAGCTGCTCGGCTGACAGCGAGCCCACTTCAAACACGGGGGAGCTGTATTTCCTCGTCCAGATTATTGTTGTTCTTCCTCTCATAAATAAATAAAAGCCCGGTCCATTCAATTCTGGCGTGTACATTTGCCCCGTATCCTTCCTCTTTTTATGGGACCCGGGGCTGGGTGCTAAGACCTTATTTCCCCTGGTGAGGTCAACGCTGCCACTTTCCTAAAAGCTTAGTGTTGCTCTTTAGCACTCGGACAGTTTCTGCCAACACCGAGAAACTTTCCCAGCAGGGGAGACACAAATCAAGTGCAGGTCAAACTCGATTTTTCCCTCCTCTCTCTCTCTCTTTCTCTCGAGTACCTTTGGAGTCGCAGGAGAAGTCTCTCTCCTCTCTGTCAGACATGCAGCATTATCACTGATAACACTTGATACACGATGCAATTTTCTTTCTCTCTTTCACAGTGCGAAAGAGATACCGCGAATGATCGCTGCCACTCTGGTGTAATTGCCATCTTCAATGAGCGCGCGAGGCTCCTGCGCCTGAAGGCATCATGAATCAGGCGAGGAGCAGCAGATAAGACGCCTGACCGGGGCCATTAGCATCAGCTGCTGTGGAAAAGTCCTGAGTGAACTGATGAATAAAACAAAGGGTCCGGGTAAAAGCCTTCTTCTTCTTCATCGTCTTCTTCTTCTTCTTCTTCAGAAAGCTGCGGCAAAATCAAAAATCGATCAGACTGGGACAGATTATCTCAGGAGGCGTTCAGACCAGCAGTGAGACGTGCAGCTCCTCTCTTCAGAGATCAATCCCCCCCGGAGTTTGTTTCTCATGAGAAATCAGAAAAACATACATATTCATGGCTTCACTCCTCTCAGCGATTAACAAGGTGGCGCCCACTCCCCTGAGGAGACTGCTGGCATATTAATGAGGACTTCATTCGAGGTTTTCCTGCTCCTCATTGTTGATAAATCAATCTGCTGTGAGGTGTTTACATCTTTATTTGCAAGATAATATGGAAACCGGACCATGAAAGTTCGGAAGTGTGCCCCTCTTTCTTGCCTCAGAAGCAGAGAAGGAGGACCAGGCCTTCCCCCCTGGGCCCAGCTTAGGAGCTAAGCCTTGGTGCGCCTGGTCTAGCTCCACTGCAACAGGAAACACTTTATCCTCAAGGGCTTCCAACTTGGGAAAGAACTCAGAGAGCCTCGATTCCTTTGGGAAGTCCGACCAGTCTAACGTTGCATCTTCTACTCCAAACTTCCAAGTTAATTATCTTTGCTTGGAGCTTCAGGAAACCTCCAACTTCTCCAGCTGCTAATAAAGAGTCTCGGCATCATCCTCAAAAGAATCAGTCTGTCCTAAGGCTGGACGATATTGGAATAACTAACAATGCGATTTTTTTCAACCCTGCGATAATAAAGAATACAGGAATTTTCACCAGATGACCTGAAACTCACTTTATGCTGAACTCTTGTGGACAGTTGCCCTGCACTGATCTTACCTCTTTTTGTGAATGTTAGTAGAATGGCTTCTGTCTGTCTCAGAGATATTTTTAGCTTCTATTTTGCTGGGACGTTATTGTGTTTTGATCGACATCATCCTTCTTGTAACCGCAATATGTCCAGATAACTGACTTTCCCTTTCGTTTTGGCAGCAGGTCTTCATTTTCAGTGGTTTTCTCTTGTTCGTTGATCATTTTGCAGTTGTTGCACTGCTTATAGTAGCACGGTCCACGGAAATATACAATTTAAAACCCATACAGATCTTATTTTGGGGGCTAAACAGTGATGAGGAATGTTCCCAAAGTAATTCTCAGCGGACACGGGTTTCTCGGCACAACACCAGCAGCGCCAGCGACTCACTCCATGTGCAGGCCACATGCAAGGGCGTGGTTTCCTCCTCTCTGATTTTGATTGACAGCTGGCAGGGTAGTCTGATTGGCAACTGATCACATCGTGGGCTCTGCAATGTGATTATTGTGCACACGTACATTGCGATGTTGATGCTCAAACGATATATTGTGCAGCCCTAGCTGGTCCGATTTCTTGTTTGGCTCTTTAAAGCTTCTGTAAATTCAGTTTGTGTTAGTTTTGGCACCCCCCTGTGGACAAAGCAGCCTTACTCATCTTGTCCTCTAGACACTTAAATAGTGACTTCTGATAGAAAAAAAATCTAAAAAAGCTAAATCCGCTCTGCCAATAGCTGCACTATCTTCTGCTTTTTCACTTTCGGAGCGATCATCAGAGGAAGAAAAGAGAAAAATGTTCCTCGGTGATTCTTCAGAGTGAAAGAAACCGACTACTGGTGTAATTTTTTTTTTTCAGGGAGCTGAAAATAGTCAGGGTGAGGTTTGAAATAGATGGTGTGGGAGTTCATGGTGAACGTGTCTCTACTCCACGAGCACAAGACCAGAAGTCGAAGAGTTTGTGAGTTATTCGAAGCTGAAATAAGGCAGAAATAAAAGATTTCTGCCTCATCGTAGCGATATAAAATCAGTCGTATTCCTGCGTTCATTCACATCTCAAAACAAACTGCAGAAAGAAGAAAACTACAGTTTTAGTTTTTTTGCAGCTCCTACTTCTCCACCTTTGACGGCTCCACAAACCGGTCGTTTGTTCTTGGTTTTCAGCAGGAGTACGTAAAGAATCGACTACCTGCTCAACTTCAGACCACCGTTGTCTGAAAGAGGATTAAAAGGTCAGAGAGAGAATCATTGAACTACTAAAGCAACATGAACCTCCGATAAATCCATTTCAGACTGTAGACACAACCTGTGGGGTCAAATCCACATACAGAGAGTCTGAGGGGCCGCTGTTAGACACTGATTTACCCAGAATCCTCTCAATACATCAGACAGAGTTTATACTTAAAGTCAAAGGTGATGATGACACTCCACAAATCACACATGGATTTAAGAAAAAAGCGGTTTCAGAGTTTGAAGAAATGTTGACAGATATTGTTTTTTCAGGACCGATATTGATTATAGTTCATTAGACCTGAACAGATGTGAATTGACAGTAACTTTAAAAAACTGTGCCCGCCCTTGCACCTCTGTCAAAGAGGGTTTCCTTCGCCATCTGGTCTCTGTCACAGCTGAGACGTCACTGTATACAGACTGGACTCTGTCTGGTCTGGACTACTCACAGAAACTCCGTCAGACCCGAGAGAAACGAGTCTTTTTTTTCTGTAAACATCCAACTTAAACAGAAATCTCATGACGTCCAAACCGACCCCACCCAAATGACTACACCACATCCACATGACCAGCTGCTGCGCATAAATCCGTCACGACTCCGGCTTTATTTACAGAAGTCAACTGACGCTGATGTTTGAGGCTGAAAGAGGAAAGTTAAGCAGCACAAATCATGTGGTTTTTGACTTAATCCATCTTAAGACAGATCTGCTCTGAGCGAGGCAAACTGAGCACAAAAAACAGACACCAGAGAAGCCGCAAGAGCGCCGCCGCCACACCTAAAAGAGGGCAGAAGAGCTCAATGAGCGACAATAAAGAGACACACAATACTGGAACTGTAGACCGGGTTCCCTTTTGTTAGCACTGCTCACTTAGCAACAGCTGGGTAAACCGTTCGCCATGAGGTCACGATCCAGAGCGTCATCGTGCCGCTCTGCCTTCACACAACACAAACAGAGCATGCAACAGGATCACACCCAGGATCAGATGTCTACGTTTGGAGGTAAGTAAAGGTTAGACGTCTTCCAGAGGTGCGAGATGAACAACAACAACACATCCTGTGAGAGAGAGAGAGAGAGAGAGAGAGAGAGAGAGACCCTGTGGAATAAAAACTGCAAATAAGCCGTGATAGATCGATTCTTCACGAGCTGCAGAGACGAGTGTCCAGACAGACACACACAGAGACACATGAGACTGAGTGTACTGTAACAGCAGGCCCTGCCTCCGGCTGCAGGGAATCCCCAAGTTTGTGTTTTTGTGTGTGTGTGTGTGTGTGTGTGCGTTAATGACGGGTGTGACTGAGTCTCATCAACCACCAGTGAATCACAGCTGAGTCAGGAGCAGGTGCTTTGACTGGACTCCAAAATGAGACGGTGATTACAGCCGAGGAAGAAAATACCATTCTCACATCTTAATTTAGCCGTTTACTTCAGCGGCTCACCTCGGGATGTGATCGTTTAGTCGACTGAATGATACGACCTCAACTCCCCCTCATTAGTCAGCACCAGGATTAGACAACTGCTGAGTTAGATTGATGATTAGGTCTTCTCTGGTTGGTCAAGTGTTGGATCAGGGGCTGCAGCTTAGACTGATCATGACTGCCATGAAGCTGTGAAACTCTACTATCTGGATGTAAACAAACACAGATGACATTTTCAATCTAGACCATGGGGATAAACTGGCACTCAAACTGTTTATCTGCACTGAAAATATTGGACAAGTCGGTTAATTTAGAATTTAAAGCTCCAATGATGAACCTTTCAGTTAGTGTTGAGTTTGGCGCCCCCTGTGGACAAATTGGTCTCTGATTATTTTGCTTGTTCAAATGGTTTTTATTTTCTTGGCCTCTGCCTTTGTAACATCCAGATTTATGCTACGTTCCAGTTACCTCGGAAGTCAGATGTCGCAGCTGGGAATGACGTTACACCCTAGCCTTTGTCAGTTGTTGTAAACGGTTGCCAGGTGTTCTTAGTCATTGTCAGTTGTTGTCAGCTGTTGTCCTCTTGGATTAAGACATGGTCGTCAAGTCGGGTTGGTGAGGATCGTCCAGCTTTCCAAGTCGGAAAGAGGAGCTTTAATTTTTCAATCTTAAAGGTAAAGCGTTCAGAAATAGGAATATTCTGTGACATTTAGTAGTAGGAGTTGCAGTTCCTCAAATCTCAGACACCACCATACAGTTCCTGTTAGTAGGGCTGGGCGATAAAACGAAAAATTTACCAATACCGAAATCTACAACAATAACCAACGTCATTTTGCCCATATCGGTATATTCGGTGTAAAAAATATGAATAAATCAAAGTTGTTTTTGGATGTGTGTAGGTAGGCTATGGTCTCGTGTCCCTTTAAGACGCTGTCCTACATCAGAGACGTGACTCCACCCCATCCAGTCTGTAACAACAGTCCTTAAACGTCCCAAATTAATTGCAATAAATGGGTCCAGAGGAGTCATACTATCAATATAACTGCCACAGCCTCGTCTATTGGCTAAACTTTTTTTGCGTAGGGGGCGCAGTGGAGTAGTTGTCGTCCATTTATCGTTATCGAGGTGAACTGCTCAATATATCGTTTTGAGGCCATATCGCCTAGCCCTACCTGTCCGGCATGATAATTGTAAATGAGACTGTCTTTGTGTTTACTACCTTTGCAGCGCACAGAAAGACAACTAAGTAGTTTGTGGTTACCCGATCACCATCAGTCCCCCGGTGTCCCTCAGCCCGGTCTCAGTTCGTCTCTAACGCGGTTTGTTTCTGTGAATAAGTGCTGTGCTGGCTGCTGATGTTCCTCCCTCTGTCCGTTCTATCTGTTCTAATTCTACTGCCAGGTTACACGCCTCTATTTCTGTCCACACATTTAACAACACGAGACCTCGGCAGGAAGCAGGTGGTTTGTTTGCTCTGTTGTTTATGCCCTCTCCTTTCCCAGGCTCTCTCTCTCTGAACACACACACACACACACACACACACACACACCACACACTGCAGGCTGAACAAGACCCTTCAGCTGCTGAGGAGGAGGAGAGATGGCGAGGGAGGTATGGAGATAAATGAGGAGAGGATGATGAGTGTGAGGATGAGGAGTGTGCAGATTTAGAAGAGGAGAGGGAGAACCATGGATGATGGGAGGTGCAAGGCAGGAATGTGTGCATGTTTATTGTGTTTTCTAAATATGGAAAAATCCCCCACTGGCTCCTGTGTTTTCATTTCTTTTTTGAGAAACTGAGAAGATGAAACATCCTCCTCTGCTTTGCTGCAGCCATTTAGCCGACATGTAACAGAATATATGATTTGGTTGTGGGCTACATCTCCCTTCACATCCTATCAGAGGAGTTTTATCCACATCTGCTCCAATTCTCTCTACAACCGAATTCAAACTAAAGATTGTAGGGGATTTTGAGCATAAAGACAAAAAACAGAGCAAGTATTTGGACCTTGAGATAAAACGCTGTCTCTGTGTTTACAATCTTTACAGTGCAGCGTGTGTGTAATCTAATCTATTGGCATATGTCAGGCTTTTACAATCAACAACATCCACCGGAACTACAGCCGCTCTCCCCTTCTTTTTTGGTGTCTTCAAACGTAGCAGAAAAAACACTCATAGTTTCTGTGCTATGGTCAAACCATGGTGGTACAAGGTGGCAGCCTCCACACAGGGTTCCTACGCAAATATGGAAAAGTATGGACATAAATTTGATCAATTTCCAGGTCTTAAAAAGTATGGAAAATGAAAAATAAGTACAGAAAAATATTTATGTTTCCAGACTGTTACCACAGTTCTAAAATTTTTTTCTAAAATAGAAAAGTCGGTATTTCCAAAAATAATTCTAAAAAGGTAGGGTATGGAAAAGTATGGAAATTCCAGCTATGTAGGAACTAGGGCCCGACCGATTTATCAGCGAGCCGATTAAGGCCAATTTTAGCCTGTTGGTAATCGGCAAAAACTCGCCGATTTTCGCCAAAGTTTTCAGACATAAAATGCGGAGAATAAGATTCCGTTTCACTTTTCAAAATGTTCATCCATTTGAAAAGTTCCCTGACTTATCCTGTAGATGGCGCAGCGACCTCATGACAATCTGAACCTTATTTATCCACTTATTTATCCATATTTATCCACTAACTACCTCACAGCACAACAGAGTGACGGATCTGAAGCAGGCAGCTCAGGGACACACGGAGGAGAGAGGTCCGCCTCAACGGAACAGCAGTAGCCTACAGTATATCTACAGTATATAGTATACTGTAAATATCTACAGTATATATATATATTTATAACTTCATAAAAATTGTAAAAAATTGGCCAATTAATTGGTAATACGATTTTTTTTCCCCCCTAATAATCAGTATCCGCATCGGCCCCAAAAATTCCACATTGGTCGGGCCCTAGTAGGAACCCTGTCCACAGAGGAGGACCAGATCCTTGTGTAGGTATAAAATCCTAATTTTAAACAAACAAAAACAAAACAACATCTATATCCTGGGGGTTTTACACACTCGTCAGTATTTATGTCATTTCCATCAGGTTCGTTCTGCTAATGCTTCTGATTAATTTGACTGACTCGTGTTTTCCCACTTTTTGACAAGTCGGTTAGTCAGAATTTTGATTTCCGTTTCAACAGCAGGTGAATTAGTCAGACTGGGACTCCCCCTCTTGCCTTTTCCCTTCTCTGAAATCTTTTCACAAAAAGCTACAGGTCTGGCTGAGAGATATTCACTTCACCACCATGAGACAGAAATTGGTTCTGGTGTTTGACTTTCTTGTTAGGAAACATGATATATCCTCCTCGGTCGTCTGAGCGGCCTGTAACAGAGTGTATGATTTGGTTCAGACTCTAAGAGGGGTTTCAGTATCAGAGGTACTTCATTGATTCATCAGGGAAATTATTTCACCCACATCTGCCTCCATTCCCTCTAAAATAATGAGATAACACAAGAGAAACCACATCAGCCCGCTCGCTTACAAAGCGTCCGATCTGATTACATCAGCCACAAGAGCTCTTTACACTGCATTTAAAATAACCCCAAGAACACAAGCAGCTCCTCTCACCTGTGCTCACCGACACCGCCGAGGTCTGCCAAGTTTATCCACTCAGCTGCATCATCGCGCTGCTCTCCCAGCGGTCTGAGAGGACGTGGGCGTCATGTGATTCGATTTGCTGAGTTGACGACGGCACAGAAGTATCTCTCCTCATGAGCAAACATGAAAACGAGCGGAGGCAAACGCCGCACTTTCCCCCCAGATAGCAAAGCTGATGTTCATGTTAGTGAATGATACACATTTAACATTAAACACACTCTAACCTAAAAGGAGAGCCTGAATCCTTTATTGGAGCAAAAGTGTAAAAATAATGATTTCAAAAACTCTGAAACAAGATGGTTCACTCGATTTGACACTCGTGTGTTTTGGCCATCAAAGAAAAGACACTGCATTGCACAAAAATCAATTTTCTATTGAAGTTGTGTTAAATAAGGTTCAGGCCTCGTCTGATCAGACCTCTCTCTAACTGATCTCTTATTCTGTTGTCCACAAAACACCTTAACATGATGAAAAAGGCTGCTTCATGTCATTCAGCTCAGCCCTAAACTCCAAAGTGTTTAAAGGACTCGTGTTTGTTTTAATAATGTACAAAATGACAATATTAACTATGTCACCCATAATGCGAATAGTTAATAAAACACAGTCAGTGGATATGCCTCACAGGCCGAACCACGCATGCACACATCACAACGAGCTAAGCTAGCATAGCTGCCTGCATGGCTAGAGTTGAAAACAAGTCAATGAGCACAAACACAACCAGCCTGAGAATAAAGGTAGTTACTCATGGATCATCTTCACTCACATGGAGGTGGTCTGCTCAAATTCAGATCCAGGGGTGGCCATGGCCCTCCCTTCACCCCCAATTTCCAACACATCCAGAACAGCTACAAAAAGGCCATATCCGCCGATCGTAACCATTCAAGTTAACATGTCGGACTCCGCAGCTGATCGCAAGAGTTCTATTTTTTCAGGACGTCGGAGCATGGCGGATAAATTCAGCACAGATTAACCCGTGCTGGAAAGGAAGTCGGGCACAGACACAAAATAAAACATCCGGCTTCTTTTCAAAATAAAACACTCCGTGTTTCAGGAGGATCACACCATGCAAACAGGCGGAGACGAACAAGTGAAAGGTTTTTAGACGTCATTTCACCCCGATGACACCATGGATGAGGAGATGCTGATTCTAGAAGTCTAGAAGTAGATTTCCTCCTCTGGAAGGACACAATCTACTGCTTATATGGTTAGCCTCTGTGGCCCAATTAAGAAATAATTTACATTATGGGCTTAAAACTGCCTTGAGATGCAAAATAATCACGATTAATCGCAGTTAACCATGAAGATTCTGCGATTAATCTTGATTTTTTTTTAAAATCCTCTTTTGACAGCCCTAATTTAGATCTAAGTAACTACTACTAACACCATCTAACTCACATTTGTATTTGAGGAATGCAGAATATCATCAATCATCCAGTTAAACAGAGAAATGTTTTTGTTTCCTCATAAATCCTGGAGGAAATTGAGTGAAAATTATGAAAAAGAGGAAAGAAATAAAAAAACAAAAATGTGCAAAGAGGAAGGAAAAAAACGGGCCCTGTCAGACTAAACTGGAAAAACCTCTTCAGAACGGCTTTTCATGGTGAAATGCTAAAAGCTTGGACGATGTAGACTAAAAGCACGCTAAAAACAAAGTGCTCATATAAGGAGGTGCAAACGGTCTCTGCGAGCCTGTCCGTTTTTTCAGTCTGCACCAAAAAGCCCCATCATCACACTTTGTCTTGACTTTAGCACTCAAACCCAGACTCACTTTTCAGAGAGAGATAAAAAGGTCGGCAGAATAAAAGCCTCAGTTACTCCGAGCTCCTCTACTGATGTAAATAACAATCACAAAAACTCGTCTTTTCACGATACACATCCTGACGTTTTGAGGTCTAAGAATAAAGCCGCGTTATTAAAAGTCTGATCAAAGATTTCTACTGAAAACAAACAGGTCGGATCCACCTACAGGCTGCTAAACTACAACTATTTATTTGTCTGATTCAGAGTAATTAGCACGTTTGATTCTCTCCAGCAGCCCAAAGGGGAACGGGAAATACTTTTAATCTGCTAGTCTAAGTGAATTTTAATGACAGTGAGTAAAGTGATCCTCTGTTCCTGGAAACCTGTTTCCTACAAACACCACTTATCATCTCCTCTCGTCTGGGATCTGAAGAGGAACAAAAAAAACACAACAAGTATTTAAATAAGATGATAACAAGCTCCCAATCAAACACGTCCTTTTACTGACAAATATTACAGTCTTTCTTGAACACACCTGAGTCAACAACCTGTGAGGCGCCGTGACACGTGTCCCCGGATAAGAGGAAGAAAATGGACGGACCGTTTTATATGAATGAGAATCCATCAACATAATAACGCTTGATTAGAAAAACCTTTACCTGACAGATTTAAACTGGATTTAACCAACACCTCACTCCCAATCTATAGAATATATGCTGATGCTGTTGGCTAATGCAGCTAAATTAAGAGGCCGTAACGCGGCTTTTACATTAATTCAATCTGCTGAGTGCTCAGAAACAGATGTGGCGCCACTTTAAGAGACGACCCGGGCGATCAATGTCAATTATCAAGGAGAAGAAAACAGCTGAGAAACGAGATTTGGCTTTTAGAAATGCGTGATCCATTAATGGAGGCGTAACCAGTCCAAACCTCACCCATTCACTCACTACAGTGTGATTTTAACGGTTATTTGGACCAAACCGCCAACTCCAGCGGGCTCAAAGAAAGCGCCGTTTCCCCATTTCACAGTTACAATCATAACCAGCAGAGTTGTAGAGTTCCAGTCACGTCCTGTTTTTCAAAGACTCACCATGACTCAACTTCACAGACTCATCCATGATGAGTCGAAATTCAGATTAATTCAAGATTCATCATTTTTCATACGTATTCGCAAACAAAAGACCCTGCACCCCGAGAAAAATGAACATTTCCTAACATCTCTTAAAAACAAACCTAAGACCAAAACAGCTGCAGATGTTTCTGAGATCGTGAGAAACCTGCAGAGACCCCACTGCAGCAGATCCACTGAGTGCATCCCCTCATTAAGAGAAGTGTGGCGTGCATTTATGCATGTGATGCAGCGCTGTCACTTTATTGATAATTTAATTTTCCAAACAGACAGGATCAGGAAAATCTAATGTTTATAGATGATAAAGGGATTTCTACGCATTAAAGAGGCTCCACAGAGTGAGATCAGGTTAACACAGTCAGTCCAGATTCATAAAGTCAGTCTAGATTTATACAGTCAGTCTAGATTTATACAGTCAGTCTAGATTCATACGGTCAGTCCAGATTCATACGGTCAGTCTAGATCCATAAAGTCAGTCTAGATTTATAGTCAGTCTAGATTTATAGTCAGTCTAGATTTATTTAGTCAGTCTAGATCCATAAAGTCAGTCTAGATTTATAGTCAGTCTAGATCCATACAGTCAGTCCAGATTCATACAGGCAGACTAGATTTATACAGCCAATCTAGATTCATAAAGCCAGTCTAGATACATGTAGTCAGTTTAGGTTCATGTAGTCAGTCCAGATTTTATTCATACAGTCAATTCAGATCTATGCAGTCAGTCTAGATTCATACAGTCAGTCCAGGTTCGTAGAGTCCATCTAGTCCAGGTTCAGACCATTAGCCTAAATTCATACATTTAGTCTAGATTCATCCTGTCACTCTAGACTCATACAGCTGGTCTGGTTTCCTGCAGTCAGTAGTTTGGACTAAGAGGATCCTGTCTGCAGAAAAAATACCAACATTGAGGACTTGACTTGGTTGACATGGTTGGGGACTACACTCCCTCCTGGTGACTCAGACTTTACTCAAACACATCTCTAGTGACTCTGACTTGACTCAGACTCAAACAGTGAAGTCTTGATCTGGAGGATCGGTGACTTTTCCTACCAGATATTTAATAGGTACTCCGCCTAAGGTCCGTCCTTCGACTGTGACACACTCTTTCCCTGCAGGCGTGCTGAGCAGAATCTGTGGTCAGCTTCTCCTCAGAGCTCACAGTATATTTCGGTGGTGACCCAGTTTCAAGTGTGTGAAAAAGTTCAGAGAAACTGCTCAGATTTGTCACAGAGAACGAGTGTCTTTCTGCGCTCTACATGCATATTTATTTTTTAGAAATCTCTTTTTTAATTTGCATGTATGTGAGACACTGTTGACCGTACATGGAGGTAAATATATACTTTTGCCGCTCTGCCGCCTTCGTCTCTTCGTCTGCTTTAACTCACTCTATATCTACTGATTCTTATTAAAAACAGAACGACCTCCTTTAGAAACACATCTGCTCTCTGTTAAAAGAAACAAATGAGGTTTTAAAACCACACCGAGTCTGAAGGCAGCCAGTGCTAATGAAGGTAGCAGAGCTAATTAAATGGTTAACGAACTGCACTTCCACAGCACTTTCCCTGTTTTCTAACCACTGGAGGGGTTTTTAAACTTCACGTCACATTTGTCTATTCACACTATCATTCTGATGGTAGAGGCTGCTATTCCAACTGACGGGCCACAAACCAGCGCTAATGCAGCATCCATATACTTTTATATGCTGTGCCTTAAGGAGCTATTTGAACACTTTGCACATCTACACTTACAGATTCATTCATCTTAGTACATACTATTTAAGTACTCATATTCATTCATTATCTTGTATAGTCTTGTATAGTCTTGTATATTTTATCTATTTTTTGTATTTCTCTTGTATTGCTTGTATCGGCTACTACAACAACCGAATTTCCCCTCGGGGATTAATAAAGTTCTCTATCTATCTATCTATCTATCTATCTATCTATCTATCTATCTATCTATCTATCTATCTATCTATCTATCTATCTATCTATCTAAAACATGAGGGCTGCAGGAGCCGGGATCAAACTGTCAGCCTGTTAAAGGGATATTCCTGAGTAAAATAAAGTTAAGGTCAAACACACCGTAACACCGAGTTACACAACCCCTCTTCCAGCAGCCGCTTGTTTGTAGCGAGACCTTGGGCCAGTCCATTACAGAATACAGCGGGGTGCCGCAGCTCAAGGAAGAACATTTATGATCATTTCTTCATCATTTCCTTGGAGTAATAATCACCATATTAATCATTTTCACTGCAGACATGGTAGTTCTTCTGCCTTGGCGTCTCGGTCTGATTGTATTTCCATGAAGAAATGATCATAAATGTTCTTCCTTGAGCTGCGACACCCCGCAGCAGTCCTGTTAGGTGCTGTTCTGAGCATTATTTGTGGCTAGAGCTGAAAATGATTCCCTGAATACCTCGAGGACCTCTATAACAAATAATGATTGAGGAATTTTCTCTCCCTCAAGTACTCGTTTATAAGCTCAAATCGTCACTGTTTCGCTTTTGAAGGTGACACAATGTGCTTACGTCACCACGGTAGAAGGACGAGTAAGCGCTATTTAGGTTTTGTTACCGAAGTTGGTATAACTAGAGAAGCAGGCAGTCGGCAACATTCATCTCTAACTCGGTGTTACGATGTGTTTGACCCTAAATTAATTTTACGCGGAATATCCCTTTAAATACCAGACCGACCCCATAAGAGATGACCCTGAGTATAAGACGACCCTACAACCCCCACCCCAACTTTTTAACACTGATTTTTATAAAAAGACCTTGAAAACTAAATATTGTTTTTGAGATGCCGGTCTCACAAGGCGAGTGGATTTTACAGTAAGTCTCCATATCATGCTGTATTGCTTTTAAAGCTCATATTGTCAAAGTTAAAATATTTGTGTTATATATGATAATCCTTACCCCTGGTTTGAGACCATCCTGCTTATTCTGAAAGTATTTAAAGGGTAAACCTTGTCCTAGAAGAAAACACAGCCATACCCAGAGGCAGTCATGCCAGCACTAGCCTGTGTTTATATCAGAACCACCTGTTTCTACCAGAGAAAAATAAAGAAATACAGTCGTGTCGCATAACGAAATTAACATTCAATATAAAAAAGGCTTTGACCAAATCAAATCACATTTCTATTCTTGTCATTTCTTGAATAGCTCTGGCTTTTCTCTTGCTGCACTAGATGGTCTTTTTTTCTGTCTGTTACAACAGACACAAAGCCCGGGGTGATAATGGCGCTCATTTTCTCCTTATGAGGAATTGGAGGAGCTAAAAACAGAGGAGCTTAAGTCATCCGCACACAGGGCAAAGAATGTGCTCCGAGGTCAGAGCAGTTGAACCAATAAATCCTCGTCCACAAAATACTTACCATTAAACTCATGATCACCCCAAAAATAGAGCCGGACTATTGCGTTCACATACACAGAAACACTGCTGCTGTTGTGTTTCTGATCCCTGTTGTCTCAGAAGATGGGAGAGGTCTCAGGGCGGGCGGCTGATCGTGGCACTTGAACCAATTCTGGGAATAGATTTCTATTTTTAACTAAAGTATGTTATGATGTGTCCTTGTTGCAGAAAAAGCTTTTGAATCCGACAGAATCAGACTCGGTTAAAAAGAAAAGTATTTTCAATTTGGAATAAAGAGATTTAGGGTTGAGGGACGCAAACTGAACCTTCAATCAAAACAGTTTCCTGACAGGACAGAAGAATCTGATGAAGAGCGACTGAAAACAACTGAGCAACATCCCCAGTGACCGTCCCACCCCCCGCCCCTGTCTGTGTACTTAACGCAGGCTCTCAGCGCAAGGATACAGGGGTCCAAATGTTCTCAGGATAATCATGTTAGTGTTGGCAGACCTCAGCAGGAGCAGATATGGCTAATATTTACTGAAGGAGTTACAGGAGGAGGACGCTGTCCCTAATGCAGCACTGCAGATAATCAGAACCTGCGCTAGCATGACCTGATTACTCAAGATCTGTCCGTTCTCAGAATAACCGGTTTCACAGATTAGATGTGGATTAATGCAAGACGACCCCCTGCAGACAACCTAACCCAAACACAAGGAGCTGAATCATACGAGGGACTGGTCTGTCTTTTCTCCCCTCTGTCTGCAGACTTGATCTGATCCCTGATTGAGACAGAGCAGACGGGGGTTCTGCAGGGTTCTGTTCAAGGTCAGCAGGGCATGTGTGTCTGGTGTTAGCTGTGGGTTTTCTTGCCTCACTGCGCCCTCTGTTCTGGCTGCTCTCCACCACCCCTACCCCCTTCTCTGTGATCCCACACGTACACACACACCCCTCTGGCCATTTTGAAGGATATCAGACCATGTTTGGTGAGCTGGTACAAAGACAGGAGACAAGACAGCGGAGGGCGATTCCATAGAAGGTGATATGTGTCCATCAGACAGTACACACTGTACAGAAATTAGTCCAAGACGCATCACATGGTTTCATCTGCTATTGTCTGCTCGCTCTCCATCAATGTAAACATCCACAATACATCATACATCCACAGTTTTTGCAAGAGAAGACATGAAAATCAGACGACTACAAACATAAACTGGAAACTATTCAGGATCTCAGTTTATTATTTTGTTCAAACTTGAAGCAGTTTTAGAGAATATTTGCTGTTTTTCTTACATTTTTATGATACTTACTAATACAGCCTTGGGTTTATAGTTGGTCTATAGTTGGGGTACGGTCAAAACGATAAGATACGATATAACTCTGCTTTACGTCTATTTTTGCAGCTTAAGGGTAAAGTTGGTTGTCGCTCATTTGGAGCATTAAAGGGATATTCCGGCGCAAAATTGATTTTAGGTCAAACACACCTTAACACCGAGTTAGACACCCCGTTGAGAGATGAATGTTGCCGACCGCTTGCTTCTCTAGTTATACCAACTTTAGTAACAACGGCACGATAGCAATACACAGCGGTCTGAGGAGCCATAAACAAACCTCAACCAAAACGCCACTCTATAGCCACAAATAATGCTCAGAGCAGCACCTAACTTCATCAACAGGACATACAGCGGGGTGATGCAGCTCAAGGAAGAACATTTATGATCATTATTTCATCATTTCCTTGAAGTAATAATCACCATATTTATCATTTTTCACTGCAGACACAGTAGTTCTTCTGTCTTAGCGTCTCGGTCTGATTGTATTTCCATGAAGAAATGATCATAAATGTTCTTCCTTGAGCTGCGGCACCCCGCTGTAGTCCATAATGGACTGGCCTGAGGTGTCACTATGGCTGGGACCCTTTATGTCCTGTTGATGAAGTTAGGTGCTGTTCTGAGCATTATTTGTGGTTATAGAATGGCGTTTTGGTTGAGGTTTGTTTATGGCTCCTCAGAACGCTCTGTATTGCTATCCTGCGGTCGTTACTAAAGTTGGTATAACTAGAGAAGCAAGCATTATTAAATTAATCTTATGCCAGAATATCCCTTTAAGGGTCCAATCCCGGGTCCCACAGTCCACATTACAAAGTGAACCTGGGTAAGACTCTTGACCCCGACCAGCTCCCACTGGTTGCATGTGTGAACGGCATCGATTAACAAGCGGCGGGCATCTCTGCTATCGATGTATCCCTTCGCCCTTGGTGAGTCGGAGTAAAGATGACAACGCTCCCTGAGGCTTATCTCAGGGTAGCTGGCCCTGCTGTTGTCGTGGAAACAGAGCCGGTAGCTTGGCAGTCAATGCTAACATCATGCTGCCTTAATGGGGAAGCGAAAAGATTAGTTATGTTGAACTTAAACCTCTACAAACTCAACGAATTTATCAAGGATGCCCCTCGTTTTGGAAATTTCACACTTTTTACAAACTGTACAATTTATATTTTCTTTTCTTTAAAAGTTTAGAAACCAAATATACAATAGATAAAAATAAAGTCAAATCTGTGTAAATAATGATCTTTTTATACGATCAGAACAGCATTTCTTCTCAAGTCTGTCATTTTATTACACATCTATCCTCACCCACAGCATCAAATCTGTTTATATTTAGAAGACTGGTGTTGCTTTTTTGGTAGTTTGCATGGAAAGCAAATGCACTGGCTTGAAATCCAACTTGATATGGTCTGTGCTTCTTTTGAGCCACCAATCTGTCAAATAGCAGCGCCGGTGCTGGAAGGACTGCAGATTTTCGCAGCTGAGCGTATCTGCAATGTCAGAAAGCAGGTTTAGTACCTTTCTCGACTAAAAAGAGATAAAGATGTAAATCAGCAAACAATCCGGTTAATCTTGCCTCTTTGAAACACGCCACAATCCAAATCAATCCAGAAACAAGGCCTAGGTCTGGATTACATGTTCACCATGGACTCACTGAACTCAGCAATAACACTGTTTTGGTTAACAGTCAGCCAGCCGGTCGGCAGTGAGGCAAAGCACCACAGACAGGCAGGAAGCCAGTGTTTATCTTCACCAGTACTCATGCCCAGTAATGCTGGCCCCTACCCAGCAACACTCACACATAGCAGGGGGTCCAGGCAGCCCCCCACCAGCTGCTGAGTCTGTCTCTGAGCACCATCATCTACTTCCAGCCCTGTCATTATATCTCCCAGAATCACCCATATTCAGAAAGGAGGGCTGACGTGTCCTTTCTTCCTGCAGCAGCAGTTTATTTAATGAAAATCCCCGCTGTCATCACTGCATTGTTATCTTCTCCACTAAAGAAACAGAGGATGAATCTGTTTGTGTTCCTAACTGTGACGTGCTTGTTAAAAAAGTCGCCTCGAAAAGCTGATTCCTCCGAGCCAGCAGGGCGAACCAACTCAAATCTTAAAGCCAATTTCCTAATTTCTTGTAGGCCAGTTAAAATTCGATATAATGACAGAGTGGGCAGATAACTGAAATATTTTTAACAAGATTGGAGAGTATTTTAGTTGATACTCCAGAGCCAAGCATGTTTTCCATATGGTGTGGTGCAGACGCAGACATTTTAAAAGCAGTAAAGAGTAAAGAGCAAACAAACAACATTTTGATGTGGCCTGTTTTTGTGAACCCAGAATTACTACTTTGCAAAAACAAATCTCTCAAACATGCTCATAAAAACTAACCGATACAGCTGCTGTGTCTAAATTCAGTCAAACTTACTCATAAAGAAACGGTTTCCAGGTGGACGGACAGCTTTGACAACGTAAACAACACTCCAAGAGGCAAATTCTACTACAAGAGAAACTGTGTAAATATGCTTTTATTCTATGTTGCATTAGACATTGTCAGCATATCTGCAGATATTGAACACCATGCATCTCTGAACACCTGTTGCCCAGCAATACGTAGCTAACTGGCTGGCTAAGTTGACAACAAAACTCAGGAATCCAAACCTCAATCAGGATAATTTCTCTAAAAAGTGCTCAACGGCTTATCCTTTTGGCGATCTATCGAGGGTTTCCAGACATTTCTACACCTGCCACAAGGTTTACAATCCAGCCACAAAAACAAGTGTTTGATCAGAGACGTTTGATGGTAAATCTGCAGTGATATACTGGTGAAAACAGGATTATTTATCAGATTGTTGTGTTAAAAAAAGATCCCTATCACTAAATGCTGCTAATGTCTTCTGGGTGTGACAAGCTGCTCTGATGACGTCTTTTTCTGTCAAACTTTCGATCAATTACATGGTCTCATATTCTTCTTCTATTGTTCCCTTGACGGTAGTGTCCAATAAGAGTCAAGAAAGTTCCCTGCTTGTCTTTAAAATAAGAAATAATGGTCCTCAATGTTTGGAAACAAGCAAAGAAGAGATTCTGAGCGGTATGATGTGGTCCTCTGTCTCATCCCAGACAGGAACTGCTTCAAGGAGTGGCAGAGACATCTGGAAATAGTCAAAAACTCCTGGAAGAATTAGTGTAAATATGTGAATAGTTTCTTTCGTGTGTTTGTTCCAATCCTAATATTTCTTCTCCTGATAGCCAAGACTTGAGAGAATGATGTGCAGGTGAGAAAAGGCTTGGTCACAGTAGATTTATGTGTTTTTTAAAGCAAAGTAGTGTTGGGATCAACTTACGTTATTATTTTTTGGTCGACTTTGATGGTTCTGAATCTACTGTCACATTCATTTTTACATGATTTTTGCTTCATAAACTGACAGCTGAGGTTGTCCTGAAAAAAAGATATATATATATATTTACTGTGCTTGAAAGGATCGAGTTGAAAAACAGGCGGACCAAAAATAACAAAATATAACTGGGGGTGCTAAGGGTTAAATCTGGTTTTGTCAATGTGGATTTACTAGTTTCCTCTGCAAATGAATCCAGCTTAAGTGGACACTCCAGGAACTGCAGTTTCTTACACTTTTATATTGGCTTCACTTTTGAACAGCAGGGGTTACCACGTAATAATGCACACATTTAATTCTAACTGAATCCCTAATTTAGTGTGAATAACGTGCAGTACTTGGCCACCATAAGAGCTGAGCCAAAGGATCCAGCTCACTCAGAAGAACCGGAATTCCCAACACTTGAGGAGGCTGATGGGTGCAATGACAGTAAAACAGAGAACAACACTGACGATAAGAGGAGGAGATGAGAGCTTTCCAACGCGATCTGAAGCTGTCATTAGCTAACTACAGCTGAATGCAGCAGCTAATGTGTGGGAAGGACGTGCATGCCAGTCCTTTTAAACTGTACACACACATACACACACAACACACACTCAAGAGGCACAATGGACACACTTGAACGCCTCATACATTCGAGGGAAAAAACGAGAAAACCATTCAGATTCATGATAAACGGACACACAGAGAGGTGATTTTCAGCCGTTGGTGTGTTCGGGTTGACACACTAACGGCTCTGCTGTAGCTGCTGTACATGTAGATGTATTGTCTATCATCGAAGCGGGAAAAAAAGCCTCACTGAAATCACGTACAATCCGATCGCTTCGTGACTTCTTAATCAAACAGGCGGACGTTACAGTCAGAAAACGTTCATTCACGTTTAAAAAAACCGCACAAATGTGAGGAAAAAACGCCACTAACCTTGGTAGGGTCGCCTCCTGTTATCCACTTGTTACAATGGAAATTTAACACCATGGATCCCCCAGTTAAGTTTCCTGGCAGACGGACAAAAAAACGCAGCAGTGAACGCAGCACTGAAACACGCAGGCTGTCGTGGATGAAAAAGGACGAAGGGAGAGAGGAAGCGTTTGAAGGCTGGGTGTTTTTTTTTTAATCTGAGGATACCCGAAACAACGAGAGAGAGAGGGAGAGAGGAAAAAAAGGTTGTGTCTTCAAACAGCTGTTTTCCAAAATGGAGTTAGCCGTGTCTGAGCCAATCACAGGCGGTCTGTGGAGGCTCCCACTCCTCCTCTGTGGGCTGAACACCACACTGCACTCCGGAGATCAGACACTCTCACAGTATAAATCTTTTTTTGAGGATGTTTCATTGTCACTGCAGCTTTATTTAGACTAACATCAAACCAGCAGGTATTCCAGTCTGATAAGGAAACCCCAAGTGATTCCTAACATTAGATTTAATGAGCAAACTTATCATCATGGTGCAAAATAATCTTTTATTTAAAGTTTGATCATTGGTATTTGGACAATATTAAAGGATCACTCCAAAGATTTTGCACCCGGACTCACCGTAAACAGTTTAAGACAAGATACGTCTTGTCAGAGGCCAAGAGATCCTGTTTCTTTTGTCACCTGCTATGTGTCAAGGATTTAAAATCCTACATTTCCCACAATGCAAGTCCCACATTGTTGCTGCCTTCAAGTGGCACCAAGTCTTGTACATGAAAAGCATTCGGGTGGTAAACAAACGAGAGCACTGATCTTTGGGCTAATCCAACTTGCCTATCAGAAATTTTTTACTTAAAGCTACTGTGAGGAACTATCAATATGTCGCCCCCCTGTGGTCAAAGCAGTCCATGCATAACCTGTCCATGCTAGAGTGCCAGATTGTGATTTTTGACAGTCAAATGAATCATTTATTGTGAATGTATCAGGTGGAAATTGTAAAACAGGACTGTTTTAAGCTTCTAAGCTGACACCTACCCCCTTACATCAGTTTCAGGCATTAAAAATTAGGATATCATAACAGTCAACCTTGTTACTGATGGTCTGACTTGATTTGGGTTGTCATGAAAAAGCATCAAAATGAGTTTCGTTCTATTTTAGGAATGTAAAAAAAAATCCTCACAGGAGCTTTAAGTGGGTATAAATAGAGTATCTTTGACTGTACTACTGCTCATAAATACCGCTGTAATAGTATCTGTGCGGTAGTAATACCCCTGAACTCATAGTAGTATCATGATAAATGATACTCATGATCTCTGGGGATTTGCAAGATGGAAAAAACACCATTTACAGTGCTTTGAATAGAATTTAAACCTTATATTTTGTCGATTGCCTATTTAGTCTCTATGCTTTTGTCTAATGAATTCATACTGTAAAACTTAAACCCTCTTTATAAGATTAATGACACTGAAACAGCAGCCTTACAATATCCAGGAGTGTGGGCTTTGGGGAGTCTAAATAAAAGGAGGATCTGATGAAAAATCTGAACAAATCATGAGGGGGCTTGTCCTGATTTTCAGCCTGGAATCATTTGACTCAAATGAACAGAAGTCACATGAACCTCATTTATCCCAAAACAGACCTTGTGAAAATTAAAGGATTAGGGACATGCCTCATCATACTGGGTTTTTGAGATGATTTCTTACCATCACTTTGACAATGCACTCACAGATACGTAAGATAACCGCAAAAATTCAGTGTAATGTTTTTGCGGTGGTGAATTGGACTAATTGGACTTTGCTGAAGGAGTGCACATATGAATAATTCTGCTCTCTCTGCTCTCTGACAGCTTCGGTTTCATTAAAGATTTTACAAGCAAACCATGCATACAGCAACCAACCCAAAGGGAAATTTGTTCATTGATTTTGCTCATGTACATCTGCAAAACCTCAAGCTGCTGGTTGTGCACAAACGCGTCCTTCAGGATAAACCGATATAATGAATGTCCTATTGCCTGGTAATAGGAGAAACTGCATTAAGCCTGTGGAGTAACATACAAAACACAACACTCATGGAGGCTAAAGTGGAGATTCTTTGCATCATTTGTACTGTTGGTAAACTTTCCTTCCTTTTTACTGAAGTGCATTTTCAAAGACGGACTTTTACTCAATCTGAATACTTCTCTGTGCGCTGTATTTCTGATGTCTTCTGGGACCGTGAGCCCAGTTTTGGGAACTTTACTCAAGCTGCAATTATGTTGTGAAAATACCCTCAACTTCCCCAGAGCCTGCAGCACACCACCATCCTCTGCCAACAACAGCATCCCCAGAGCAAACAAGACACAAATAGCGCTCTCTCGGTATGAGTAGTACTTTACTGTCTTCACTACTGACGTTAAATATCCTGCAACACAATAATACAGCTTATAATCACAGACATGCTCAAAATCAAAGTATAAAAATAACCAGAAATATTCAAGTTAGCGTTATTCTGCACCATGAAAACATACCGACAGTATTGCACATTTTTGCACGGGATGGCCTGGTGTGAAATTTGGCAAAGTGGACATCTTTAAAGTCAGGACTGAGTGTACTCGTCTTCCTCGTGTGATCGGTGACGGCCCCGCGTTGAGACTGAGCGATGGCGAACAGGTCGGCGGAGGTCACAAAAGAACACATAAGGCAGATTATTTTTAACTTAACTTAGAAAAATAATCCTCTGAGAAGATTAAAGCAACAAAAAACCAGAGCATCATCTGAACAAAGGCCTTAAAACATTGAAATCTATAACACTGTTTCTTCTACTCACTCTTTACACATGAATATTGCTTTGGTTCATGAGTCCAACATGGTTATGATGAAACACAGGAAAACCTAATGGTAACAGCAGTTTAAGGCAATGTATGAGACACATGGAAGCACTCAAACTGTCTCTGCTTTATGGAGTTGAACGGTGAGGATGTGACCATGCAAACAGAGCACTAATGGACGGGCTGTGACAGAGAGCCGGGATGTAGACACCAGATAAGATTTTAAAAAAGAGAGTTTGAGGAGCTGTTTTTAGAGCTTCTCCCTGTGGAGTGCTGGGTCGACATTTTTCCATTACTTCAAACTATTTTCACATCTTAAAATTTCATGTTTCTTTCATAATCCTTCCTGTTTAAACCGGACGATTCAACGATGGCCGCCTAATGTGCTTCTGATGGAGGAGACAAATCTAGAGCTCGAACACTCAGGTGAAGTTATTATTTGTTAAATCAAAGTTATACTAGTTTAATTAGGAGTGATGTTGGATAATTAGAAACTCATTTTGGCCGTATGTACTTGATATCAATCTGTGCTGATAAATGCTGTCAAATTTGGCGTCTAAGATGCACTTTTGATTCATCTGAAAAACGAGGTGCATCTTAGACTCCAGTCTCGACTAAATGGTAAAATTGAGCCAGCCTGGGTGTTATAAGAGCCAAAACACCAGAAATAAATCTTTAAAAAGGAAAAAAAAATGAGTAAATGTTTGTGCGAGCGACAGCTGACGCACTTTTACGATCCTCAACGACTCTACCAGAAGACAAACTGATGATACTGAAAAGAAGAACTTCACAGCTGCACATAAACCTTACATTGTGGACTTCATCAGTGACAATGGTCCCCCTCACATAGGTCGATATCTCAAACACTTCTCCTTCTCAGAGACCCCCAAAAACTAATTGTGTCTTATATTCCAAAGCAACTCTTACACCAGATTTGACAGTAACTGTTCAGGCTTTTATCTGCTAATATCGAAGTTAAATAATAAACATTTCCTCTATGACATTTCTTCCTTTTGGGGAGCATTAATTAAGGACTGAAGTTTCTGTCTTCCATCTCCTCCATCTGAAGAGCATTAAGGAGGCCATCTTTCTCTGCTCAAAGTTTAAATACAGATATATACTAGTATAGAAGTCGATCCACAACCTGTTGACACCTGACAAGATTTGTGGTATCAGAATTGTTATTCCAGCCCAGATGTCTTGTATTGACTGTCTTGCAGCGCTGACCAGTCCTCCTGTTGTGGTTGTGAGACATCTAAAATAGACCAATCAAATCAGCTTAAAGCAATCCTGGGACCGATTAAATGCGAATACAAGTTTTTAAGTATCTCATATCAAATGTAGTCATAAACTGACACCCTTTTCTTGTCACACCTCAAGCCACAAGTTACTGTCTGCTGCCAGAAGAGGCTAATTTGTCGCTACATGATAGAAAGTAGATTCCAAAATTGGGCCAGGAGAGAAATCACACCAAGAGAAACCTGTTTCAAGCACATTTAGATGCCTGACTCTTGTAAAAAAAAAAAGGTGAACCAAACCTTTAAACACCATAGAAGTCACCGATATTATCATAACATGCATTGGCTCAAGCTTATACCTGCAGCTGCCTGTGGACCAGGGTTCAATGCTGGGCTATGTGTAAACTAGAAAAGACTACCCCCCTCTAGAAGTGCTGCTTCGATACTAAAATAAATCCTAATATTGGCAACTTGCCCTGTAAAAGTCTACACACATGTTTCAGAAGAAACAGAGTCCTCTCAGTGACGGAGCGTCTGCACCCTCAGCGGGCATCAGTAGCAGTAGTAGAGCTGAGAGCGCAACCCCCTGAAGGTGTCGTCGTCCTGCCCGCCGGCCTGCTCTCCATCAAACAGCATGGAGTCTGGGAGCAGCACGCCCTCTAGTGGATCCGGCTGGCAGAACTCCACTATGAACTCCTCCTCGCAGTCCAGCAGCAGTCTGGACCACGCGTGCATGTCCAGCTGGCCCGCCGTGCCGCCGTAGTCTTCGGGGAGGACCGAGCGGGGGATGTTTCTGTGCAGAGAGCGCAGGTCTGAGCCGTGGAGGACGTACTGAGAGGAAACACGGAGGAAATAACACGTCAGTCATGTCGTCAAAGTCACAGTCAGCCTCATTAGTTCGAAGAATCAATATTTCATGTCCTGTGGAGGGTGTCACTCACACTAATGAGTCTGACTGAACTCTACCAACATCACCGCACAAGAGTTTTGAGTTCATTAAGTCTCTGCTTTGTTAAATAGGAACAATAACTGCTGATATTACAACCTCCGCAAAGAAAGGAGTCACACTTGATCTAGTTCAGGTTTTAGTGCGAGGAATCAAAGGATATTGTAGCGACAAAAAGGCCGCAGGGGTTTAGGTTCACTTGCATCTGTGACTTGTTCAATTATCAGTTCAGTTTTAGTGTTTAAAAAGTGATTCTTTGTTCAAAAAAGGAAAGAAAACACGCTGATCCAGATCCAAAACTTTTGCCGTCAAATGAAAAAAGTGATATGGTGAAATGAGGTTAAAATAAAATGTGTGAAAAGGTGAAAAACAGAAAATGATCAGAGCTCACCACCACCCTTGTCTGACTACACCTGTGAGATTTAAATAACCCACCAAACATCCCAAAACCACACCCCTCAGTGACGATCCCCGGAAGTGACAGACCGATTAGAAATCAGACTTTAAACAAATATATCTTGGCTCTCTCAGATATCACAGGTTTGATTTAGTCTGTTAAATCTGCAGAAACTCACTTTAGAGAAAAAAAATGAGCCCTTTCCTGTTTAATCAAAGTACTATTGTCTCTCTGGTGTTAGTCAATAACATAACAAAGCACGAGCAACATTGATGTGTTTCCTTTTAAGTACACAGACAGCTTTGTTGTGCTTCCTGAGCAGTTTTCTCTCTGCAGCATCGCCTCCATGTGACAGGTGTAGAATCTGTTCAAATGTGATTTTTCTCGCTAATATAAAGATTAATTATCAATATTATTATTATTATTTTAAAAGGTAAAACAGACAGAAAAAAAACATGATTTTAAAATGCGCCGAACACGACGAGGGACACACTCATAAATTCAGAATCATCGTATCGTTCAAGAACAAAAGAGTGAGAGACAGTTCAAAGACGGTAGTTACCCTCTCTGCCATCTTCTCCTTCAGAAAAGGTTTAATTATAGCAAAGATGCCTTTGAAAATCCTGGGCTCGTTAATGATGTTGACGGCCTTGATTCTGATTGGAAACCCGTCCTGTAAATGAGAGAGAATCCGCAGATTATAAAACAGTAACAGCCGATCCTTGACAAATGTTTCGAGTGATTTATGAACTGCATAAATATTAAACACTCTGAAGTCACGACAAAAATGAACATGCAGCGTGGATGATGTTTGCGTCACTCTAAAGAAAAATGATATTAATTATAAAACTGAACCTTCAGGTCATTGGGTTTCTCATTCCTCACCTGAAGGATGCTCACAACTTTCTTGGCGAGGAATGGGCCTGGATTGGAGGCTTGTGACATTCCCACTCCTGTGTAGTCTGCGAGGATGACGATGCCGTTCACCTGCGTCTCCTCAGGCTGGATCAGCTTCTCCAGAGTCAGATAGATGGCCCTCACGTTGTCGACAAATGGATAGTCGTTTGGTTTCCATTTACCTGTGTGAGGAGATTGAGTGAAGTTACACAACACCGGTAAAGTCATATTTTTGTTTCATGATGCACCAGACATTTCTAACAAGTCAGGACTGCAATGAGGATATATGAGGAACTAAGGGGTTTTACTAAAAGACGACAAATACAGAGACAAACGTCACTGACCTGGCCGCAAACAGAGAATATATCTCCCGTTGGGATCTGGCTGAGGCAGGACGGTGAGGAAGCCCAGGTCCAGGACATGTTTCACCGTAGACGGTTTTAGGTCCTGGAACACCTCCGGCCAAGCCTTACGGCCCGCCTGGTAATTGAGCAGCAGCTGCAGGGCGCGGTCATAGTCAAACTTCCTGGCCCGCAGGAAGCGCAGGAGAAAGGCGTCATCCAATCTGGTCCTCAGGTTGGGCTGTTCCTACAGAGTCAGGTGGGAGAATATGAGCTCAACAGGTTCAGGTTAGTAAACAAAGTGAAACTGAGCGATACGATTAGAGAGTCCCATGACAACCTGTATTTTTCATTTAGACCAAAGCCAGAGAAAAGACACGAACAAACAACGAATTGAACTTGCCGGGAAATACTGAGAGACTAACTTAAACCCACTTCTCTCTCCCACAAACACAACATTCTCCACGGAACCGAGTCTGCTGCTGAAAATTAAAATGCAAATGTAAAATGTTCTTTTAACTCACTTTTAAAAGATAGAACTGAAGCAGATAGATGTTGCAGAATACTGTACAGCCTTTTGGAAAAGAAATGTTGATATTCAAAATGACCTATTTTTAGAAATGAACATCTTTAATTCCAATGCATGTAGGTAAACTGCAGAATGAAGTCCAACTTCATTATGTTAAATTCTGCAAACCAGCATGTTTTTTGTCTATGCTCTGCACAATGATAGATACATTAAATCAACAAGCAGGCTGCAAAACCCATGCAGAGTTCCTATGCAGAAATAGATTTCTTTCCAGTTTTTTGCATGCTGCATGCAAAGTATGTACTGTGTCAGGGAAGGGACATTAAACATTATTGCTGACTTTAATCCGCCCTGGGACCGATCCGATCATGATACATATTAACTGTAAAAATAAAATAAAATAAAATAAATAAAATAATAACAATAATAATAATAATAATAATAATAATTAAAAAATAAATAAATAAATAAAAATAAATAAATAATTATAAAGTATGCTTGGACATCCCGAAGACGCCACTCTGGTTTCTCCTGGAGCTCCTCCCGTGCCTTGGCCACCAGCTCCGGGGTCAGGGTGCAGGAGTACATGGGTGGAGGGGGTCTGGGGAACCAGCTGTGACCTGCAGCAGCTGATGGTGGTGGGGGGTCCACTGAGGGAGACGTGAGATCGATGGATTCATGCTGATCGGCCATGGACTGACTGGATGGAGCTGTTTGGACAGAATGTCACATATTTGATTCATCATTGAGTCACAGACAGAGCTGACAAATCCTGATCCTGAACCGATGCGACAAAACTAAAATCAGAATAAAGACTCAATACGAACCCGAAAATGTATTCAACATGATCCGTTTAGGACACACATAGACTTATTTTAAGAGTATCCATTAGAAAGAGATAAAACGATACTGAAACCCTGCTGCTACGACCCAAAACAACCACGGAGTCAAAATCTGAACCGACCTGTCAGGAAAATCCCTTTTCCGGGTTTAATAAACGGCGTTCTCTCATTGGTCCTTGTGCCGTGCGTAAGGCGCTGCGGACGAGGCAGCACGTACGTCTGTTGTTTTGATGTGGTGATGCCTTCAGGGACACTCGGAAATTATTGTAACCGCTCACTCAAAAGTTGAGAATAAAAAACAAACACATATGAGTTTAACCTTTCATTTTTAAACTAATATTATTATTATTATTATTATTATTATTATTATTATTATTATTATTATTATTATTATTATTTAATTATTTTTATTATTATTTTCCTAATTTTTTTCTGTAGGGAGCTGGGTTTTAGTTATACCTGAACACAGTAGATGGCAGAGTTTGTCCACATTTTCTGTTCCATTCCTTTAACAACAGGTTAAGGTAGGCCACACGAGGTCTCTGTATCTCATCAGTATATTTTTGTGCTTTAATTTAATATTAAAATAATTAAAAATATCATATCCAGTTAAAATTTTTGTGTTAATTTGAGTTATACATGAGTGGCATTAAACTCAGATATGTATATATTTCTTAATCACTTGTGACTTGAACTAGATACCATTATGTCTACATTTGAATTTATCTCCAAGTTAAATTTCCTTTATGTCATTTTTTTATGGAGTGTAGATAAAGCATTTTAATATGCCTGTTTTAATCTAGAAATAAGTCTCTGTTGTGTCAGTGTTCTCCCCTCTGAAATCACTGAAAGCATATCTGTAATGATTTTATGACACTTTATCAACATGCAGCTATCAGTGAACATGCTGCACTGCCACGTTGGACCTTTTTTGTCCCTTCAGAGGCTTTAAACTTTTTTATTATGGTCCAAAATAGATTAGAGTGCATGCAATTCCATTTACTCCCTGTCATATACCAAAAGATACTCCAAAATGGTCGAGATAAAAATAAGAGTCTGCAGGAAAAGCGACGTAAAAATAGACCTTGAGATTTATTAATTCATCTTCACATTAAAAGGCGAAACATTTCCTGTTTTTTTGTAAGGCAGTACAGGTTACAAGGCACAATTTATTCCAGCAGTTAAACCATGACAAAGTACTAAACAAAAAATAGAATATATTTTTAAACAAATACAACATATTATTGGGAAACTTCCTCAGTGTGTCTGCCTGTGACTTTTACAAAGTGGCAGCAGGCAGTGTTCACTAATATAACCAAGATTTCTTGGTCTTATTTTAATATTTCACTAACTGTAAATAAGCACTTCAAACCACAAACATTTACGTTCTGTTATAGAGTATTTTAAAATTCCCCCCAAAGCTAAAGTCACACAAGGAATTTATTCTAGCTTTGATAAAATGAAGATTTTCTAAGTTTCTGACTGACACCATTTTATCACCACTGAGCTTAAATAAAATACTGTGCAACACTAAATATACAACAAAGTAAGGCTTGCTGTAACATTCATAAAATACTGACATGATAATGCCACCATGTCTAACACAAGCCCTACCGCACACACTGAAGAAGGTGATGTTTCCCGATAATAAACTATATACACCACAATGTATTTTCTATGTGTAATCTTACAGGACGACGACAACAAACCTGAACATTTTAAATGCTAACATTTTTGTCTGGCTTTTTTGCTGAGCTCAGCTGCAGCTGCATGTGTGAACAAATAGATCCCTGAAGAGAAACAGCAATCTGCAAGGGACATCATCACAATTACAGTCTACGTTTTCGGCTAGTTTTATTGTTTCAGTCAAGTTTACAGCTTCATTGCTGATTGAGCACAGAGACACATTAACACCCTGGTTTAGCACAATAAAAACCTGAAGGAATAAGGACACAGAGGTTGTTAGATGGCCTCTTGCTTTGTAATAGTCGGCTGAGGGATGGAGGTCGGCTGCTTGGGCACGGTGGCTATGACCCCCTGAGCCATTTTGTAATGTTCTGAGCTGGACGCAGTGGGCGGAGACGGGATCGGGGTTTCAGGAGTGGCTGAAAAGTAGAACAGGAGCGAGTTAGAAAAAGAGAGAAAGTGCCGCATTAGCAGGTGTATATTCGCGGCTCTTAGGTATAACTTGGGGCAACATAATTTTCAGATGAGGAATAAGCACTTTTGTGAAATATTTCAGAGCATTAAACATGTTAAGAAAGAATAACAGGAGTTCTCTTTGACAAAATAAGCCAGATTAGTTTCCAATGGGCACTTAGAGGATTACTCTGCCGAGCCTGTTTGTCCTTCCAGCTTCCTGACTAGGCTGCACATGGAGCGAGACGAGGGAAATTTACCAGTCTGTTTATTAAAATATCATTGATTTCAGGTCACTTAGATTAACGATTGAGATTAAACTCGGATGAACGTATAGTTCCCGCTCCCCCTTCTGTAAATCACTATAATAAAACCCTATGAAATACGTGGAGCTGATGTGTTTTCGTCCTCACAGATTTGTCCGTTGTGGATGGGCGTGGGCATGCTGCTGGTCAGTATGACGTTGCTGCTGAGGTGCTCCTGAACCAGGTGAGGGTGCAGAGAGTGAGGTGCATGTGGAGCCTCATTTGCAGAACCTGGAGGACAAAACACAAACGCGTCAGGCCTCTGTAAGAATAAAAATACATGTATGATCGAAATTTAAAAAGCTTTGATACGATAAATAAAATATATCAAAATGTCTCATATCAGAGCCAGTCTAGCGGATTTTACTGTCACAAATCACATCCTTTTGTGTGTTTTATATCATATCCTATTGAATCAAATTCAATCCTATCACAGACTGTATCGTGTTAAACTGTATGATACTGAATTGTGTTTATCGAATCACTAACTATCTGATCTTATCATGTCTCATTAATTCAGATCATATCGAAGTGAATCAAACTGTTATCATATCTTACATACTGAGTCATTAGTATTTATCACATTATAATGTATCATACAGTATTATATTGTATTATCATAACAAACTAATCGTGCCATTTTGTATCATGTTGGATTGTACCCTATCATCTTTAATCGTCTCATACATTTAACCATCGATACCTGGTTATATATGATATTTTTTGTCTGTGTTGTGTGACTTTCCAATTCATGGATGGAAAGATCAACAACATAAAAAAACACAAGTTAAACCACGCACAGTAGTTCATTTAACTTATTATCTTGTTACTTTTTTTATTTCTTATCGTCTTACATATTTGAATATCTACAAAACCTGAATTCCAGCACTTACTTGCTTTTTTTTTATTTTTGTTTTAGCTCCAGAATTTGTTATTTAATCACGGTAACAGGAATATCCAGCAGTAGATAGAGTCTTGAGGGAAAGGGGAGGTTTGTGATTAATGTTTCCTTTTTTCTTGTGCTCTTTTTCAAGAGCTCACTGTACTGTATTAATCTGTATAAAACTAATAAAAATATCGTTGAGTAATAATTAAACCACGCATAATATGCAGGGGCAGCTGTGGTTTGATGGTGGAGTCTTTTGGAGTCGACAACAGATCCCAAAAATGTCCCTGAACCCAGAATCCCTCATGATGACAGAGTCAGTTTATGAAGTTTATCAACATATTATTGATTTTAGGTCACTCAGATTACTCAATAGTATGAATCTGGTGTGAATAAGTCTGTTAATCAATAATAACAGGGAAGATTAGAAAAAAACGGATATTTCAAAATTCTAATTTTGGGAAAATTAAAACTGTAATAAGCCTGAATAAAGTTTTCAGATTCTGATTCTGACTAAGGTGCTTACTGTTACAAACTTAAGAGCCTGAGTTACAAAGTAAGAGGTTAACTGTGGATTTGGGTTGTCACAGTTCTCTCTATTGTGTATTAACGCAGCACAGATGTCAAATCTGTTCCCTAAACTTTGGATATCAAACAAAGATCTGGTTTCAAACGGACTGAACGATCTCACCTCCTAGGAGCATTTCCTGCAGCAGGTTGTCAATCTTGGCCATGCCGAAGAGTTTGACGAACTGGATCTGTTCGATCATTTGCCAGGTGATGCTCTGTAGCGTCGGCAGCAGCAGGAGCAGCTCCCCGAAGCGTCCCCTGGAGTCGTACTGCCTGTCGTTGATGTAGTCCTCCAGGCTCACCTGGACCTGGTATCGCATCCGCTTTATCTTTCCAGGATCGCTCAGGCCTTTAGCATCTGTGAGGAAATGAGAAAGCATGAGGAGAAACACCACATACTGATATGATCGATCAAAACGTTCATTAAATGAGCTCAAAGTACCTGGGTCAAAGAAAACTATGGCTTTCAAACAGGCGTATTCATTGTCGTCTATCTGGAGCTCCTGGAAGGGAAGCACCAGCTCGTCTAGGATCCGCACCGCCACCCGGCCCACCTCCAGCTCCGGGCAGTTTCTGGGAATGATGTGGTCGTTTCCTGCAGGAAAATCACATTCAGAGCAAGATGAAGAAACTGAGAGTGAAGCCCAAGACAGTTTGCCTTGAAGTGAAAATCCTCGGTGTGTCAGTTTTACCTAATAAGAGGATGTCTTTGTACAGCATGGACCTCTTTGCAGCACCGAGGAGCAGATGTTCTCCTGCGTGAGCTCGCAGCAACGCCACCTTTAAAAACAGAGAGGATTTATTCGCCTTTTAGCAGAGAGATATTCACCCCAGAGCTTTTCACAGATCTGGTGGGGGAATACCAGCTTCCTATCCATCGGCAAATCAGTTACCAAGGCTCAGTGATGAACTGTTAATGATTCTGCAATGATTCCCGAGGAAGGATACAACTTTAAAACCGGCTCATCATCTTCTAACTCAGGATTCAGATATATTAACTTCTGCAGGAGAAGAACTGATGAAGAAAACAACTTTTAATCCAAACACTTCTGTAGATTTCAGCTGAATGTTTTCACTCCGTGTCTCTCTCCTGCAGACCCACTCCATGTATTTGAGCCCCTTCTGGTTGATGAGTGACCAGAGTGTCTATACAACTATGTACTCTGTGTCTGTGGAAGAGTCTCACCTGGTCATCCAGGGGCAGGTCACAGAAGGCTGGGATGTATTTCGCCCACTCCACCAGGACCAGCAGCTGCTGCTTCATGGACTCGCAAACGTCCGTGATGGCGGCGATCTTTTTGGTCCTGATGTCGCCGTTCAGTATCGGGGCGGGGGAGGTGATCTGGATGAGGAAGAGGAGAGACTGTGGAGTCAGTTATTAGTTTGTTGAAGGGGGATGAATCATAGTTGGATGATGGAGGAGGAGGTTCGTACCTGTCTTGACAGCACGTCTGCCTGGATGAGTGCATTGATGGACGGTAAACTGCTGTCTTCGTAGCTCGATCTCCTGGTGCTGATTCTGTCTCTCTCATTCTGCACAGCTGCAAAACAAACAAGAGTGAAACTTTCAAAATCATTAAAACTTGACAAGATGCTGAAAAAAGTTTAATCTACTCGATCCCTTTGTTGCAAAACGAAAGCAGAGTCATTTAAGAGAAAATACCTCCTCCAAGGTTGTCATGTTTATCAGTATACGGCTATTATTGCTCGGAAATGTTTGCTCAGCATAAGCTGGTTAGAGACTCCGGCGCTCCGTGGAGTGAACATTAACAAAGTGCTCCTCTCAGGGGGATTGCGACACACTCGATTCAGAGCGGACGGCTCACAGCGAGGCTGTGATTCGCTGATTAAACCAGAAAATTCAGTTTTTCACACACAAAACAAAACTTGATCGAGTCTAAAATTCTCTCACCTTCTTTCTTCATGCCAGCTCTGAAACATTTCTTCAGCCGGCAGTATCTGCACTGATTTCGCTTGTCTTTGTCCACGATACACTGTCTGTTGAACCTGCAAAATAAGTGGAGCGAGTTTGTTTGTGCTGCAACAATCGGCCCAGAGCACACAGCGATCATGTTTGAGAGAAAATCACACATTTTCTGCTGTTTTCAGTGATTGAATTTGATGCTTTTCTTCACAGATGACAGATGATTATGTCCCTTATACTCTAACAGGTGTTTTGGTGCATTCATCCTGTTTTTTGCGGGACTTTTCTCCAACCAAGTGACTAAAAGTTCATGTTTTTGTTCGATCAAATATAAAAACATGATTTGCGTTATGCAGACCCGCCCTCACCTGCAGGAGTACATGTGGTTTTTGCGAACGCTGCGTCTGAAGAAGCCCTTGCAGCCGTCGCAGCTGGACGCTCCGTAGTGTTTGCCGGTGGCTCGGTCTCCACAGATGGCACACAGACTGCCCGCCCCCAGGTGGCCCGGGGCGTTCATGTTGGCGCTCTCGGCTGGTGAGGAGTCTGAAACGTGGAAAGGTGGATTTATGAAGCGGTATCAGTAAAAAAAAAGTTCGAGTTTTAGATCGGGGGGAGTTTGTTTGATTGAGAAAGGTGTGAACGGCCGAGGTTTGATCACTAACAGCTGATCAAAAGCCGCCTTCGTGAGAGGATCAAACAGAGTCAACAGAGAGTCACTGATGTCAGCGTGATTACCCCTGAAAAAGCAATCACTGGAGACAGCTTTCTTCAGTCACCAGACCGGGTCAATCAATCATAGAGTGTGTCATGACACAGGCTGCAAACAAACACTCACACTTTATATAATACAGGAGAGAAAAACGAGACTTTTCTGCTGTTTTACTTTTCATTTTGTCTCACTGGGAATTTAAGAATCAGGATCCCGGCCAGACGTCATGGGAGACTGCATTTAGGAATCAGTTGGTGTCACTGTGAGCCTCTTTGACTCTGTGGGAAAAGACGGTTTGTAACAGGAGCTACTCGAACCTCTGCTTCATTAATCTGACTCCTCATCATCATCACTCCGCAGGCTCAAACAAGTGACCCTGAGTTCGACTACAACAAATCGTAAATCAAAATCTCTTAATGTTTCACTGGTGATAAAAAAGAAGACCACAGATGGACAAATGACCCCTTTTTATCACCCCCGTGCCTCGACTCCCTCCGTCCCTCTCTCTGCACGTCCAAAGTTTTCAAACCAGTAAAAGTTTCAAAGTTCACACGCGCAGATCTGACTCACCTGTGCCCAGCGGGAGCACCTGCATGTTCTCGAACTCCAGCGTGGTGTAAGCTGGGTCCAGAGCCTCGCTGTAGTCTGCCATGTCCATGTCTGCCAGCGCTTTGGACCAACAGATTCTCAACTAGCTGTCAGAGGGGCAGAAAGACTTGTCCAAGAAGCTGATGTGCCCCCCTCCTCCTCCTCCTCCTCCTCTTCCTTCCATTCTCACACCTCCACCCAACCCCCCTCCCTCTTTTTTTTAACCTATAGCTCCGCCCACTGACAAGGTAGCACCCCTGGCCAGGCTGAGTGTGATGGCGTCCCGCTGGAGACGAGTGAGTGACAGCAGGGCTCCCTCTCCTCCTTCCCTCGTGTGGCTAACTAACCGGAGCAGAGGTGGAGTGTCTCTCTGCCGGTTAATCTTTAACTAAACCCCCTCAATGACAAATCACAGCCTTGTTTTTTTCTCCTTTTTTTTTGTTGAAGAGATAGTAGCACAACTTTGATAGCTGCCATCTCTCCTCTCTCAGTAATGGATCAACAATTCCTCCATGCGAGCTCTATCAGGGTCACTGCTTTGCCAAATCACTGCTGCGCACCACTCTGAACCAGTCCGGTTTATAGCCGACACTGTGTTTAACATGCTGCGATCACATGCACACAAATCACACCGCTCACATTCAGAGTGAGGAAGATGAAGGTTAGCTTCTGGGTCTACTGGAGTCGTTTTTGCTGATATTAGTCTGTTTTTATTTGCTGTTGGTGTCTCCACGACGGTAGACAATTTTCAGACGCCTATAAGACAAATCTGAGGGTTAAATTTAGCACCAGAACTCTTCTACTACAGAGCCATGCTGTTGTAACACGTACAGGATGTGGTTAGGCGTTGTCTTGCTGCAACATTTGAAGGGATATTCCGGCGTAAAATTAATTTAGAGTCAAACACCGTAACACCGAGTTAGACACCCCCTCAGAGATGAATGTTGCCGACCGCTTGCTTCTCTAGTTAAACCAACTTTAGTAACGACCGCAGGATAGCAATACAGAGAGCCACGCCCTCAACCAAAACGCCACTCTATAGCCACAAATAATGCTCAGAACAGCACCTAACTTCATCAACAGTACATATAGGGTCACAGCCATAGTACTAGACACCAAACGTCTTTTTAACTTTGACTCATTTCTTTAGCAAAGAGACTAAACACAACTCACCCACTCTCTTCCAGCAGCCGCTTGTTTGTAGCGAGACAGTCCGTTATGGAGTACAGCAGGGTTTCGTAGCTCAAGGAAGAACATTTATGATAATTTCTTACCCCACAAATACCCCATGGTACTTTCCATTTCCCTTCACTTCAACTTAAAGGTGCTCTGGCCAAAGAAACTTCAGGCAAATCTGGTTTTTGAAAGTGATTTTAAGCCCATGTCAGAGTCATGTCTGTTTCTAACCCAGTATTGGTTTTTGATTTTTGTACAGAAATTTCTCCTGATTCAATTTTCCCTAAATTCAGCATCATACCTGAGACAGACCTGAGCATCGTAGCTCAAACCTCTTGACTTCTCTACTGTTCAGAGAGAAATATCAGACTTTTTAACTCACAACATTTATCTGGAATCCTCAGACATCAAACAGTCATCTGTTAATCGTCTTGTCTGACATCCACTCCATCTTATTTTGTGTCTCTCAGTTTCTGCTCATGCTTCAAAAACTCCAACATGCAAAGTCTAAACTTGTGCCATCACTCGTCATCTTATTTCTGCACAAATTACTACAACACAGTATTACAAAGGAGGAAAGAAAAGCTGCGATACAGACACCAACTCTGTCGTCGAGCTGATTTCATTTAATGTGGACAGGGTATCCTTGATTTAAGAATATAAACAAACCAAACTAAACTTTTCATGAAGCATAATTAAAAGTTACTTTAAACCATTTAAAGTCACCAAAAATATGCAAAATAGTTTAAAAGTGTTTCTTGTAACAGAGCATTAATACACAGAGGGTTTTCCTCCCGCTTTAAGATCATGTCCGTCTGTCATATTTAGACCTACTTCCATGAGTAATGCCTAAATCTGAGTTAATTCTCACATATTAACTGGAGTTATAAGTCTTGCTAAAGCAAAGTGATGCCTTTATGTAAAAGAGTCCTTTGTTCGTGGAAATGCAAGGCGCACGTGAGGCTGATCCAAAAGCTCTGCACTCGCATGAGAAAGAGAGAAGGAGAGAGAGACAACGCTGAAGATTCACATTAACAGACACATGAAATACAACTCACTAACTTTACTTCTTTTTCTGTTTTTTACAATACAAAAATGTAAAGATTTCTGGTGTTGCTAAGCAGAAGGTGTAAATAATGTGGAGGAAACAAATCCTCTGATTCTGACTCAGATACCTCGATAAAAACGTCTTCAAGTGTCTAAATGTATCACTGACTTTACACCCTTACTACAGGAAACATAATGAATGGGTAATAGTGGTTACAGCTGTTAAAAATCACTGTTTAAATTGTCAGTTTTGTTGTTTTTAATGCTCTACTTTGTCCTTTTAGGTCATAAAAATCCATCATTATGAATCTCAGCAGTTAAAAATTCCTTACAGTGCCTTTAATGTACAGTTTATAGCAAACCCAAGAACACTAAAGAAAGAGTATCTGTTTATTTATGAGTAAGTCATCTCTCTAACTCTGAGCTGAAGTTGGTAAGTAAATTGTCAATGAATGATGAGCAACACACGGTCATAAAACACAGCTGTGATTTTATCTCCAGTACAAAATTGGAATATTTATAACGCCAATAAAGAATCTTATTGTAGTTTTGTTTTGGATAAGTTATCAAGGTTTTATATTGCTTTCGAATTCTTCACTTCAAAAGGGCGTCGAAGAAAAGTTTAAAAGACGATTACAAAAAGAAAAAGAAAAGGAAGTTTGAAACATTTAAAAAACATTTTCAGCAGCAGATCATGAGCCTTAATGCGCATCTGAGAACTTAAAATGTTATGATCTTTACCTCATTTCTTTATATATGACTCTTCTTTAGTATTAGGCTAACAGCTCGTCATTATTAGGGGTGTGGCTAATTTGATTGACATCTGGTTGTGGTCTCTTTGCCAGTTTCAAGATTTGTGGGAAGTAATGCTACGTTCGGGTTAAGTCAGAAGTCAGATGTTGGAATTGGAAATGACGTCACACCCGAGTTCCCAGGGTTTCAGTTACCAAGTCGGAAAAAAGCAAAATCGGAGGCGGAAACAAGATGGCTACGTCTGTGAAAGTTATTTTAGCGCTTGTTGTTTTAGTTATTTTAAGCTGTTTTAGCATCCTCTTTCGTAGATGCAGCCATCTTGTTTCCACCTCCGATTATGATTTTTTCCGACTTGGTACCTGAAACACTGGGAACTCGGGTGTGGCGTCATTTCCAACTCCGACATCTGACTTCCGAGGTAACTCAAACGCAGCATAAGATGGGGTCAACATTTCCAACATGGTGACCGCCATCACTGAGCTTCAATACAAATCAGATTACAAATAGTGATAGATGGTGACGTCTGTATGAGTATCTTAAAGCTCCTGTGAGGAACTCTGGGTTTGTGTCAGTTTTGCTTATCTTGTCCTTAACTGGCTTAGAGAGCAACAAAAGATCTAATCAGGCTGACTTTTGATGATCAAACATATCATTAATTGACAATATTTTATGTGTAAATATTAAAATATTATTTTCCTTTTTTTTTTCTTTTTAGCAGAATTTTTGGTCCGTCCTCACAGATTCTTTTTTTTATTTTATTTTTTTAGATGTTTCTCTTGTTTTTAACCAATAACCTGTTTTTATATTCCTTTACTGTTATATTTCTTTGCTTTTTAAGATGTAGCCCTTTAAAGTCTCTTGATGTAAGGGGCACTACAAATAAAATTTATCATTATTATTATTTATTAAAAACAGGGCGATTGTTGTTGCTGCTCAGCTGACTCCTCCCCCCTCGCTCCGGTTTCAGACGTCAAATCATGATTTAAAATAAATTGAACCCGTCATTGATGGTTTTGTTTGCTATTGGATATCATGAAAAAAGTATGAGTATGAATTTCAGTTTATTTTATACATATTAAAAACTCCTCACAGGAGCTTTAATCTCTCTTCTGGATATATCTTTGAAATCTGGAGTCCTGTCATGGCTTTTATTTACTGTTTTGTTTCCTCTTCTTTGAAATACTTCGTGACTTTCTTCTTTTGTTCAGTTTCTATCTATCTGTCTGTTTGCTCTTTGTTGAATCACTCTGGGCCTGCGTGTTTTTCTCTCTGTACAAAGATAAGTTTCAGTGAGTCACATCTACAGTGAAATACTCCAATAATTTCCTACATTCTCGATCCCTAGAGGACAATAGAAACATAATTTTGCTGTTTTCGGTTGTTTTCACACTGAACTTCTGTCTGTTGTTGAAAATAAAACCCTCTGTTTGCGCAGAGTGTCCGCCTCCTCCATGTCACACGGCAAACAGTAGTTTGTATTTGAAGAGAAAGTGCCAGTACATAGCAGTAGGTCAACGATCTGGAGTTCATGCAGTAAACCTCCACGTACGTGTTCTCGTTAACCGTGCACTCAAATTATACTGGGAGCTCATAAAATTATTTTCCTTCTCGCAGGTAAACACCATAACATTCCCGAGGGCTCCTGTGCAGGACTGTGAGTGATCAAATACCGAGCTGTCTCACTGATCCAATCAGAAATGAAAATGGAGGAGATCGAACCTTCAGATAGAGACGTATTGATCAGTAAAAACAACCTGAGAGGGTCTTTAACAACCTGATTAACTCAGTCGAAACTACGCCCTTGATCAAAAGACGATCAGCAGATTATTACAAACTCCTGTCGCGCTCGTGTTGCCCCACTTGTGTGCGCAGAGGTCACCCGTTACAACATTTCTCCATGTTCGATCGGCTCTTCTGCAATGCCCATATTTGCTCAAGAAGTGTGCTGATTATTTCAAAGCAGCGAGCGGAGAGGGGAGGGCGATGATGGGAGAATCAGTGCAGAGCTATGAATGAGTCACTCAGACTGAATCTTATCTCTGGGGTCATTAAAGTGCTTTTATTGCTGCCCCCATCTTAAATTCCTGTGAACTCCTCAAGGAACAGTCGTATACAGGACTATAAAGTATAATCTGCTCTGTTACAGCTTTCTTAATCATGAACTGACAAACTGTCCAGTTGAAGAAGATAGCACACCTTAGCTCTGACTTCTCTCATATAGACTTATCTGCATTTTTAAGCGGGGGGAGGGGACGTCTTAACATACTGTACCAACATTCCCACAGTATTGACACGTGTAAGGCGATAAAAAAGGACCCCATGGACAAAATAAAGCAACACACATTTATTCAAGTTACAGCTCCGGTTTAGTTTGTGTAACCAGGTCATCCAACTACCTGAATCCAACTTTGAATCATAAAAAACTTTCTAGAACAAGGTCGCAGGTAGACGACAAATCCACCTGGTCAACCAGGGCTTGACACGAACTTTTTCACATGTGCACCTGAGTTGAAAAAGTAAAGAGCACACAAAGAACTTTAGGGGCACAATGAAAATTAATCAAATGATGTTTGTCTTACTGGTCGTTGACGTAGAGGCTATTGAAGAAAATGTTCAAAATTTGCCTTTAAATTTAACACAAAAATTTTTAGGGGACAAATTAGGAAAATAAAGAGGTGTGTCTTATTGTCCAACAGTAGTACTATTATTTGAAATTAATTTTAGATCAATCGGTCACATGACATGCAAGCTATTGAAGGAAAACAGCCTTTTCTGAGAACATCAACCGCTAATTTATTGACGGTCCCTTATTCAACACCGACGTTGACAGTGAGGGTGTCGAGTAGATTTAACCGCGCTGCTGTTGTTATTCCTGGTTATGGAGAGTGAGAAGACACAGATAGATCTGCAGTGAATGTCCACCAAATACCCAACTTTAAACTAACTTCATCGCAGTATTTACATGAAAAAACATTTGTTGCCTCGTCTGATTTTTTTATGCGCACGTGTGCCCCTAAATACATTTTATGGTCGCTCTGTCGAGCCCTGTATCCAGAGCAAAACTAGGAACAAAATTACTTTAATTGATTAATTTTTATTCATTTTCTACTTGAGTACAACTTATAAATCAGGGCGACTTCTAACCCGCTCTGAGGATAAACTTGTCAACTCAGGAGCTAAACTTTAACGGCCTTGAGTGATTCATATTTTAATAAATGAAGTCTGAAAAAGACGGTCGCAACTTGGGTTAAAAATGCAGCACAGACACTCGCCTGTAACTTCTGACTGCTTTAAAGACTTAATGCTCTACTATCTTTATGTAAACAAGCACAGCTGACATACAGCATCTCATAAATATAGCATATTAGCATTCTCACACTCGTATCAAGTTGCAGGACGACTGTTCTTCAATGGGCTGTATCATGGACTGCAGGAAGGATGGAAACATGCCTTTATTTCCACATGACAGGTGCTGATGTGACTGAGCTGACTCTTCCCATAAACAAAAGCTGAGATTTCACCATCTTTATAAAATCAAATAATCAAAATTTGACTTCTTAAAAAAGAAAATCATCATAATAACTGACCATAACGACAGAAAAATAAATAAATTTGACTCGTTTTTTACTTTTTTTATATAAAATAGACAGATTAATGACCTCTACTGCAGCCAGCCAGTAGGGGGAGCTCTAACCTTTATGTCTTCACAAACAGTTAACACTTGAAGCTTTAATTTTAGGACTTTTTAAATTGTGGCTAAAAATTGTGGCAGTGAATCGGTTATATAAGGGTTTTTACGTATTTTTTGTGTTTTTCAAATTTTGGACCATCAGCAGGACTCAGTTAAAACGCTTGAATATGTAAATATAATAATAAAATCTGCGTTTTACAGTTTTATTACTGTGTTTATTTATTACAGTTTTTATTACTGTGCTTTACACAGAGAGGCAGTGAGTCAGTGAAGTTAAGGAGGTATTTTTCTTTAGCTTCTTGCTCCAGTAGTAGTATTTTGACTTTTCTGTTTTGCTTTTTGTGATTTTTTTATTATTAAAAATATGTTTTATTGCAGATTTATTCCTTATTGTTATGCTCCTTCACTCAGAATAAGTTGCAGCAGGATATAAACACAGCCGTCTGGTCATGGCTGCAGCAGTGGTTTAGCTGTTAAACACCTGCTGAGTTTAGTGTATGAAGCTGCCATGTTGAAATGTGATGGACCAGAGAGTGCTGTCTTATAATCAGTCACCCAAACTCCTGCCCCGGGGCTAAAAGTCAAAGGCTCGCTGAGACCTGATGTAACACTTGTGTGATTCTCCCCTTTGAAACTTCAAACTCCAGTTTGTGAACAAAGTCCTGTCTATCTTCTGAATAGGAATCTCCGACCACTGACCAAACTCCATTTGCAACCACTGCCTATTTGTACCTTCTCCTCAATGACTACAATTCATTTCCCCAAGTCTGACCTGAAAGGCAGGCGGCCGGGAAGCAGCCCAGTAAAATCAAAATAGAGAAACCGGCAGCTGGGAAGGAGAAAAGACGACTATGGTGGCCTGGAGGAGTTCATAACAACACTGGAATATAAACTCTCTGTGGACTTATTTTGTGCCTTTCTGAGCGAGGCGCTCTACAGGAGAGATGTGAGGGTCTGAGGAGCTCGTCTCGGAGCGTTATTGATGTTGATAAGAGTAAAACAGAAGGAGACAATGTGCTGGCTGCAGCAGAAAAAAGGCTGCTGCTCTGCTCTCCTGCTGTAGATGGAGGAGATAGGTGAGTAGAGTGTCATGGCAAAGACCTTGTCAACAGATAACTATCTGCAAATAACACCGCTTATGCAAGCCCCTGCGGCTGACCGCGGGTTTTCATATTTTCTGTGCCACTCTGGATGATCCACACTTAACTTTGACTGCGACAAAAACACAGATTGATGTTTTTATTCATGATTAAACGACCTTTTTGAAGATCTTAATAATCCCCTAATTGAGTTATATCAACATGCTTTTTCGCTCCCTCTTTCTGCTTTAGATACAGAGAAAACTACTTTTAAACACCTCTGGGAAATAACATATTTTTCCTTTTCCTCAGTGAAGCTAACCTGTCCTCAGAGGCCTAAAAACCTGCAGACCTGGCCTTTAGTGGGGCTGTGATTTTAGATTTTCATGCAAAAAATGACAAATATTTTCATGCATAAACACAGGCTGCAAACAGATCCTCCAAATGAGGCTCAAACAGAAAAGAATAAAAGGCATAAAATGAGTATTTTTGTTCATTTAAGCCGTTTGACCGGACCTTTTAGGCCGAGTTTAAGAGAAATTTACAGCTGTTATATTTCCACAACTGTTCAATCCAAGAGTAATAATGTAATATGAGTGTAAATTCAGATAGAGAGCACCAAATTGTGTTAAAAATGTCAATATTTTGAGAAAATAATCAAAAAAGGGTTCATTTTATAGTAAATTCAGTACTTTGTTGTGATTTTCCTGGCCAAATACAATCCTTTTAAAACTTTGAAAAGCTCACAAATGCATCTTTCTTATGCACAACGTCCTCAAATATCAGTTAGTCCGTGTACTTTAATTTAAGGCAAAAACAACTCTTTAAAAATCGTGTTTTGTTTCAAGTTGAAGGCCACGCTCTCGACTCTGCGGCTTTAAAAACCGGCTTTATCTCGTCACACATGCAGCCAGACTGGAGAACTGGAGTAGCCCCTGTGCACCAAATAAGTAAACAATTGCATCAATAAACATGAAGACCCATGCAAGACGTAAATCAATCACAGTGTCTGATAAGAGTGTTTAATCATTAACTCTGTTTTTGCTGAGAATTCATTTTGACTGCCGGCCTGATCCCCTCTGTCAGCAGCTCTGCTCTGAGCACCTTTATCTCCCTGCAGGTCCTTCAGTCATCACACGATCAATACATGTTTAACCTCCACGACTTCGACAACAACAACAACAAGCTTCAAATATTCAGGAGTTCAACTTTAGTCTGTATAAAGAGACTTAAAGAGTAACGTCTAAGTATTCAAATAATAAAATAATGAAAGAAAACAAGTCGGGATGTCAAAATAAAAACTTTAAGATAAGGAAAAAAAGACGAAAAATACTGATTTAAACTGACATAATAAAGACGTAACTTTGGATTATGACCTTTTTCATTGTATAGTAAAATACTGGCATCAAACAGGGGTGTGTCCAGACTTTTTAAACTAGGGTGGCCCGACCCTGGCTCTGACTTTTACAGGGGTGGCTTTAAAGGGACATTCCAGCATAAATTTAATTTAAGGTCAAACACACCGTAACACAGAGTTAGACACCTCCCTCCAGAGATGAATGTTGCCGACCGCTTGCTTCTCTAGTTATACCAACTTTAGTAACAACCACAGGATAGCAATACACAGCGGTCTGAGGAGCCATAAACAAACCTCAACCAAAACGCCACTCTATAGACACAAATAATGCTCAGAACAGCACCTAACTTCATCAACTTTAACTAATTTCTTTAGCAAAGAGACTAAACACAACTCACCTACTCTCTTCCAGCAGCCACTTGTTTGTGGCAGAGCCCTTACGGTGTGTCTGACCATAACTTAAATGTATGGAATATTTTTTTAAGTATGTTTACATTGGTGGATCTAATTCAACAAATACCAAACATGACTTTTCATAACTTTATCAGTGACTTTATCCTGTTTTATAAAAGGCTGTCACATGGATTTGAATACTTGCTTACAGATGGTACAAACCTTTGTAGCTTCCTTTGCTAAGAACTTTAAAGTCACAATGTAAAGTACAAAGAAAGAAGCAAAAATAAATTGATCAGCAACATTCTGGTAACATATTTTTTATGTAATGAAATAAAATAGATGTTTTTGCGCCTTTTTGAGATCCTAAGCGCCCAAGAAGGACAATTTGCCAACCTTGAATGCTACAAAAGTCACAGAGAGCCGATTACAACACAGTCCAATTGTTGAATTTAAGTTTCCACCTCTTGGAGCAAATAAACGGTCAGTCATAGTTTGGGTTTCTGCGGCGGCTAATCAGATTAAATCAAAAGTGGGCCATGCCACCCCTGACCTCCCCTCTTGACACACCCCTGATCTGAAGATTAGTCATCAATATTAACAATTTTTTGAGAAACTTTCTCACAAATAGTAAAGTTTTGTAACAGAATCAGATAAATTTCTTAAAGTAATAACATATATTTTGAAATATATAAATACTGTTGTATCACAGAATACTGAATTAGTCTGTCATGGTTGTAACTTTACAAGAAATGATGACCCACTTTGCTAGAATGAGCACAGACCTTTGCTTGAAGAAATAACTCACTGACTAAAAATGAAGATATTATAACTCACAATACTGAGGTGTGTAATAGATGACCAGTCCACTGCATCTATTATTTAATAGAAAAGAAGATCATTATTTCAGGAAAAGTCATAATTTGACCTCAAAATCACCTCTTCTTTTTACGGTATTGAGGATAATTGATCGATCTTTTTCCTTTTGAGTTGTATCCCCTAATAATACAATCTAATTATTTCAAAAATGCTTTTGGGGAGTTTAGAACATATTTTCAAGTTACTGAAACATAAATGTAGGAAATGAAAGTTATTGTTTTTAAAGACTTTCACATTAAAACGAGTTTCTAGACGTTTTTTTCTTTCATCACTCGGCAAGAAATGAGCTTTTAATCAAAGAGGAATTAATCTAAAACTGATTAGCAGATTAACACTGTTGAAATGTGCTCTAAATATTTCTGATTTGGTGAAATATTTTGCTGATTTCTAAATAAAAATCACATTTTAAAACTAAGTCTTAGAGGATCAGTTTTACAGGTGCATCCTTCCTTTTTGTCTGCATCTCCTCATCAGCTCATCTTTTTCTGTGTTTTCATTGGCTGCTCCGCTGAGCTCATGTCTGCTCTCTCTCTCTGTTTGGACAAATTCACTCCGATCATGCCCTCCTCATTGATTTCAGTGACCCGGCACGAACGACAAAATTCAATCTCTTTTCTCAACTAACAGAGAAAAAACTTCTAAAACAAACAAAAGTCCAAGCTCACGTCCCAAATTTTCTGAACAAAAGTGACCGTTTGTTATAATTTCTGATGGTTGCAGCAGTTTGATCGAAGCAAACAACGACTGAAGCAATATTGGAAATTAAAGTAGAACAAACATAGATTTCCACCATGAAAACTGTGAATCGCAGACATGCATTCAGATTACTACGACTGACCACAACAGAGACGATAAAAAATCCTTGAAACTCGACTGCAGCAAATAAGAAACTTCCCCAACAAACCGAATCCTCAAACAGCTCCTTAGAAAACATCCAGTCTGTATTTACAAAATATGATTCAAGTCTTGGAAAAGTTTAGACATTTATGCAGATAAAATTCAACCACTCAGTCTAACGTATTTACTTATGTCCTGATATTGAATCCACATGTTTTATGCACATGAGACTGATTCTATCTACAGTTTTAGCATCTTTATAACAGGCAGTAAATCCACTTTTAAAAGCTTAATACGAGGTTTGCATGTAAAGCAGAGCTGAAGCTAAGTCAGACATATTAAGTTCAGTAAAAAGAGCAACTTCTCCCCATAAAAACAATGGAGCAAATTTCAGATTTCATCACTATAATTAAGATTATCACACAAGTAAATGGATCTCTACAGAGAAACACCTTCAACTGCACAGAGTGATGCCTTCACTGTCCGTCAGACAACATCAAATCACAGTTTACTGCTGCCACCATGTGGACAAACATCTCACTGTCGCTTCACCCTGCTTTTTAACCCTCCTTGTAACTAAATTTCTTGCACAATATGCTGAATCATTGCAGAGATCCACCACAAGGAACCCAACAACACTTTGTTGAAATATTGAGACTTTATATTTGTGAATTTCTTACAAATGTGCGTCTATAAATCTGTCCTTCAGTGAAACAGCTTCTGCAAACATCAACTTTTAAAGCTTTCCTTCAACAAAACAATCCTCCATCACTCTTGTTTAGAGAAATCAGAGCTCTGTTAAAGCAGAAACACTGAGAAACCCTCTGTAAACATTCCCCCTTCAGCTCTGCTCTCAGTCTTTTCGCCTCTCAGCAGCTTTTTTCCCACGGCTCTGTGGTTTTAACGCACAAACCCTTAATTCACGACCACCTTTATCCTACTTCTCTGCCGCCTTTCTGTGTATTTTCTCCTTTACCTGTGTTGCTGAAATGCAGCGTCCCATCCTGGCCATACATCCCTCTGAAGGCCGAGCCCTGACAGTGAGCCGGCCAGCTGAGCGACAGCCCATGAGCCGTGGCGGCTCTCTCGGGCCCGGCCAGGCTGAGGCAGGCTGGGAGGAGAAGCAGGGCCACTGTAACCGCACTGAGCTGTGAGCCGGGGCCGCCGGGCCGGCTGTTAGGGCCCACAGCACCCAGGGATAATCCCCTAATGCCTGTCACAATGAGATTTGATTGGAGACCTGAACCAGCGGATTAATAGTGTCAAGTGAACAGAATGTAAAACCTACCCCAGAAACACGCTAATTGGGCTTCCTGCCGCTCTGAAACGGCACATATTTAATTACAGCGTGGATTAAATTTCATTTAATGAGCTGAATCTTTTGTTTACTGGGACACAGTGTTGTCTGTTTTCTATAGCACACATTTATAGTTTCTATACGACTGCAGATTTTTAATACTCTTATCGGATTAATTCATTACACCATCATAATCCCGGTAACTGTAATCCAGATTTTTATAATAAATCATTTCAGATATAAAGTTCACGCACGATAGCGACTCTTTAATGACCATGAGAGAGTTTGACAAACTGTCTGAGGTTGAAGTTAAAGAAGCTTAGACCGAGAAAGTTTAAACTTCGTTATTTAAGATGGAAAACATTAAAGCTCCTATAAGAAGTTTTAGGACACCGATGAAATGGATGGATTTACATGGGATACAAAAACTTAAGGCCTATCTTAGTAGTGTTTGTCTCGTTTTCTTTTGTATATCATAAAAAGCATCAGTGAGAATTTCAGCTTTCATTATCAGACTCACAAAAACCTCTCATAGGAGCTTTAAGGTGTTTTTTTCACTCAATAATTTAAAGCTCCTGTGAAGAACTTTCTGTTCATGTTGATTTTAGCTCCCCCATGTGGACAAAGCGGTTACTCCATGACTCGATTACATTAATCCTGTATATGCAGATAATGTTTTTAATAAAATAATCTCACCCTGCTTTATTTTGATACTCAAATGTGTCACAAATTAAAAGTCTTTGGCATAGATAATGTCACTCAAGTTACACCTCGCCTCCGCCTGTTGACACTGTGGCGAGAATGTTGATCTCTATTAGCTTGTATGTTTAAAGGGATATTCTGGCGTAAAATTAATTTAGGGTCAAACACACCGTAACACCGAGTTAGACACCCCCTCAAGAGGTGAATACCAACTTCACGGTAGTTCTTCTGTCTTAGCGTCTCGGTCTGATTGTATTTCCATGAAGAAATGATCATAAATGTTCTTCCTTGAGCTGCGAATCTCCACTGTAGTCTGTAATGGACTGGTCCAAGGTCTCGCTACAAACAAGCGGCTGCTGGAAGATAGTAGGTGAGTTGTATTTAGTCTCTTTGCTAAAGAAATGAGTCAAAGTTAAAAAGATGTTTGGTGTCTAGTACTATGGCTGTGACCCTGTATGTCCTGTTGATGAAGTTAGGTGCTGTTCTGAGCATTATTTGTGGCTATAGAGTGGCGTTTTGGTTGAGGTTTGTTTATGGCTCCTCAGACCGCTCTGTATTGCTATCCTGCGGTCGTTACTAAAGTTGGTGAAACTAGAGAAGTAAGCGGTCGGCAACATTCATCTCTGGAGGGGGGGTCTAACTCGGTGTTTCGGTGTGTTTAACCCTAGATTAATTTTACGCCGGAATATTCCTTTAAAGAAGTGTCAACTTCAAAGCACCCAAAAGGAGGAGGGCTGGGAAATGTTCGGTTTAATGTGAAATACAACAAACAAGTAAACTAATGATCAGTTTAATGTTATCTGTTACCATGGAAACGTTAACTATTGTTCTTCTTTTGCTCGTTAAATCAATAAAATAATCTACGCACCAATATTTTGTGTCGGCTTGTTGATGTTTTGTTGGTAACTGAGTGGGATCATGTATAGTGAATGGGTGCTGATGCTCTATGCGGCAAAGTCGCAGGTCCTTACAGATCACAGGTTTTAAATAATTCATCCAGAAGACTGAGAGTTTGGTGCATTTTTAACTACGATATACAAACTTTTAAAAAAGTGAGTAGAGAAATACGCCTTAATGTTTCATCATTCAGGAGGATTTTACTGCAGGATAAATCATCAGCAGAGATATGCATGTTGAAAAAAAAAAAGAAAATATCAGTGATTTTCTGCAAAAACAGCAAAATTCAGCTGATCAAATCCTGAGAGTACAAGAAGTAAAACATCCTCAAACTGCCACAACTCGAGGATTTACGTCAGATTTTTCACAGCAAATTGTGATAAAAGCAGCAGTTCAAACGCTCTTCTCCATCAGGAACCCCTGTTTGACCCTTGAGGGATCAGTTTAGTCAATTTGAACAGATAACTGTGACTCAGACGGGGTATTTTCAGAAACAGGGCCTCCCGCCGCCCCTCTGTGGAGTTATTGAGCTCTGTAGGCAAACAGAGATCTGCCGAGGAGCCGCTGAAGGGCTGTTGTGATGTTTACATTCAACAAGTGATTCTGCCAACAGCCCAGCTTGTCCAGGTTGTGACCGTTGAGCAATTAATCCCAAGTGTCTAACTCGCAGCTACAGAAGACAGAGTTTGGAGGATTGTCTCAATGTGTGAGTAAAAATAAAGAAACAGTGGAGGACTGTACGAGCGCCGAGGTTGTACAAACTGACCCAGATCTGTTCCAGCCACTCATCATGTTTAAAGTGGAATAAAATGTAAGGTTCATAATGCCTGTCAGAGACATAACGTCAGCACTTTGTTCGGACAAAGAAGCATAGTATAACCCGCTCTAGGCCAAAAAGGAGCTTAGTGCGGGCGGCTGCCAAAGAATGTATTTGTAACATAAATGTCCTGGTTTTGGAAGATTTGTTGAGCGTATACCGCGCTCGGTAAACAAATCCTTTCAGAACAGGTTTCTATTGTGCTCCAAAACCGTCGACTCAGGACTGCAGCCGGAGGTGAGACGGTTTTCAGGTCATGGATGAAAGAGGGTTCAATTGCAGATTTTAAATCAAAACCAAAATATCCCAAAACACTTTCTGATTCAGTACATTAGATAAAGTTAAAGTATGATTCAGATGATAGACCTGCAGGAGATGAGGACTTTATACTTTATAACCCTTCTTTCAACTGTTTTCATTCAGTTCTGTAGCTTTATCTACTGGAAGTGGGTTATATTTCAAAATAAAAGCCTGCTTATAGGGATAAAGCAAGACAGAAAAAAATCTAAAATTGTTTTATGGGGCAATGTCCTCTCTGAAGAAGTTTCAGTTACAAAGTGAGTGATGTGGATAAATACATATATTTAATGTGGCTCAACTGGGACTTTTAAATTAAGAATTTGGCGCCCACTATGAGAGAAAGATATATTTATTTACAAAGCATATTTAAAGCTCCTGTAAGGAACGTTCTCTTTGATTCAACTTTAACTCTGCTATATAATATAATATAATATAATTTAATTTCATACAGTATAGTATAGTATAGTATAGTTAAGTATAGTAAAGTATAGTATAATATAATATAATATAATATAATATAATATAATATAATAAAATATAATATAATATAATATGATATAACATAATATAATATAATATAATACAGTATAGTATAGTATAGTATAGTATAGTAAAGTATAGTATAATGTAATATAATATAGTATAGTATAGTATAGTGTATTATAATATAATATAGTATAATATAATAAAATATAACATGATATAATATAATATAATATAGTATAATATAATATATAGTACAATATAATATAATACAATAAACAGTATATCTGTTTATAAGGGTTTGAATAAATGATGCTCACAGCTTCATTATGACACCCTTCATTCACATCATCTGCTTTAGGAGATCTAATTTTCACATTTCAGCCGATGGAAATTAATTTGCATCTGCACATCCCACTGTTACATGCAAATACTTCAATATATGACCCTAAGAGTGAACAGAAACCCCCTCCCTCCCTCCTAACATCACCTGCTGCAGCTCACTGAGGCCTCTACTTTCACTGACAGAGTTCAAAACAGCAAACAGGAGCAGATGGATCCTGCAGCAGCAGCAGTTTGTGCAGAGGGATGTGACTGGTGGTGCGGATTTCTGTGACCTTAAAGAGTTCACTGTTTGTTTGTGCAGCAATGAAAACAAGTATCCTCTTTGCTTTCAGACCTCCATCTTTTTATCAGAAACACTGCTTTTAAAGGTTTTTGAAGACGTCTCTGGATCGTGTTCATGCTACAGTTTTAACCTGTAACAAACTGTGATTTTGAGCTTCAGCTAGTGGTGATTTCCACTACAGAGTCATGTCTGCTCTTAATGCAGTGCTGCCTTAGGGTTTGAAGATCACTGTAACCCTGTTTTCTTTTATTCATCTTGTTGCTTTTCTGCAGAGATTGTCTGTCTTTTCATGATATGATAAAATGTAAAGGACTGTTATTTGGAGACTGTTGAACTATTTGCTCACGCAGTCTCTCACAGAGACTCAGCCTCTCTTGGATGCTCTTTTTACTTCCAGACCTGTTGCACATGAACATTATTAATCAGGGGATGTTTTGTTGTCAGGTCCAAATATCTTGAATAGTTTTGCCACAAATTTACCAGCAGATTGAGGATTTCAGCTTCCCCATTGTTTTAGCGACACCTGTCTTAAACCGACCCTCTCTGACTGCTCAAACATCTCCAGACCTTCTGAACCATCATCACCATCAGGCTCGGCTCCCATGGCCTTTTTAACAACCTCCCTATCTGTGACACACCTCCTGGATTACAGCCGTGTGAAACAGGCGCACAAAAATGGCGAGGAAGTGATCCAGCTAAGCTCGGCGGACGCACGGCTTCGGCGCAGAAAAACCGAACAGAAAGAGGAAAACAAAGCAGCTGCCCCCGTCCAGCTTTCCCTTTTACAGGTGCTAAGAACAAAAGCGCGTACTCACCGAATGGACGGTCCATACTTGGAGTGACTTGTGTGTTTACTTTGACCATGTCGTCCTCTGATTCCTCTCTCACATGTGTTTTAAATCCACTTCTCCCTCTTCGAAACAAGGTGTAAAATGTGGAAGTTTGGCGTCTGTTGCTTGAGTGTGAGAAGGCTGTTGTTGGTGCAAGGTAAGGCCGCTGCTGCCGCTGTTATCTTATTGATTTTCCTAATCTGGGCAAATGTGGGTGGGGAGGTTAAACAGTAACCAGGCTCGTATGGACACCAATCTATATAGCAGCTGTAACTAAGGCAACGTGATGATAGAAACTCAAATAGACATAAAGTTATCCCGCGCTTTTCCCTCTTTCTCATCACCAAACAGCTCATCCTCCTCGATTAGACCGAAGCAGAGAGTCTAATTAAAGAAAGTGAGTTAAAACAGAGAGGAGAGGGGAAAGGAGAGGCTGGAGGGAGGCAGGAAAGACAGGAAGGAGTGGTGAATGTACCAAAGGAGGCAGAGTTAGACTGATGTCAGAGGTTTTGTTTTGACTGAGCAGGATAAATCGTTTCCTTTCAGACGCAGAACTCGACCTCAACAACAAATTAAACAATATTTACATTTTCTGACTGAGACGAATATATGCAGCATTACCTCTCAATGTTAGTCAGGCTTCAAGAAATTCAATCTAGTTTGATTTCAGCCGGACTAACGCACTGAATAGATTTGCTTTTGGACAATGTATGAATGCATCATGATTGGTTTGCAGAGTGTGGCTGACATTAGCAGAGCAGGTTACCTAGAAGGTCCAGTGGAGTGTTTACATGCCACTTTACTCAGACACAGTCTACTCACAGCTTTCCAGATCTGAAGCTTGCACTCCCATCTCACAGTTCGTGGTTCAGAGCCATCTTTGCTGGTGGGACAGCTCTGGACTTCAGAAATCCAGCTCATAGTGGACTCTGCTGTAAATGTAAAGACAAAATAAATCAACAGAGAGCAGAGCAGAGCGGAGGTAAGTCTTTTTTAATGACTAAAACTGTAGATTCAAGATTTTCAAGATTTGTTTATTTGTCATGTGCTTGTTAAATAAGGTCAACAATCGAACTGAAATGCCCTCGATGAGAGGACCGCTCGACTCAAAGGAGTACAGATAAAGTACACAATAAGTACTGAGAGGTACAATAAAAATATAAGGATAAAAAATATATATTTTTATATATTAAAGGCGAATAAAGTATAAGAGAAATATTTACAAAGTGCACAAGCAATGCAGTAGATTGCCATAATACACATGATAAATAATGGTTGTATTGCACATCACAGATAATATCGCAGAGTTAAGTGGGTTATTGCACAGAGTATTGACCGGTGGTACTGTCAGGAGTTTAGTAAACAAACTGCTTTTTCTCTGTAAAAGAGAAGATGAGCGTTTCCCTCATGTAGAGGATAATTTATTACCACTTTTTGATTTAGAGTTGTCAAATAAAGGGTTTTTACACCCACTGAAGTGCTGAGCTTGCGCTCTCTTTATGCTTGTTTTTGGGGATCTTTGTTTGTTTGTTTGGCAGAAATGTTTCCCAGATCAGATCCTCACCACCCTCACACTCAGTGAGGCCCAGCTGATTCCTGGTTTTTGACACCATAAAAGCGACATTAGTCTCCTGTTTTATGGCACAGAGAGCCTCTGAGGGGAGGATGAAGAGATGTAATGAGGTGAAATGCAGGACAGAAAATTTCCTGCCGCAGCAGTGAACAAACACAAAGAGCAGACAGTAGAATATTTATAGGAACATAAAGCGTCATCGGTTATTTATAACTTCATTAATGTTCAGTCAGGCAGGCAGACAGAGGAGAAATAGACTCATTCAAGTTTACTGCAGGACTGACTGGACAAGTTTTTCACAATGACAGAGGAAAGTTTTAAAAGTGAAAAAGAACCGATGATACACCTGAAGTTACAGAAGTGTCGTCTGTATGTAGATGTACATAACTTCAGTAGTTAATTATGGAAATGGCGATAACTAACAGCATTTAAGACATAAATCTGCCCACCTTTGTGTATAAAACTGAGATTGACTTCAACACAGTTCAGGATTCACTTACAGTAAGTATTCCTAAACTGCATTTCTTCAAGAGTCCAGCAGGAGGCGTCTTCACTTTAATATTACAGGTTTAAAGGCTTTTACAGGAAATATTATCTGATTGTTTTAAATTTTCCAGATTCTGCTCTTATATCTATTTCTGGCTGTCACAGGCAGGATATTTCACTTTAAGCTTTTGAAGTTTTTATTCCTCTGACGTTTTCATTCAGTATTTTTAAATATTTTTTATTCCTTTTAATCTTCTTTTTGGTTAGTTTTCTCTCATTTCAAACACACATAAAATACAAAATCTTAACTTGTATGAGGCATCTCATCAGTGCATTTGCTGGTATTTCTGACTGGATAATGAGTAAGTATGAATAAGAAAGGATGGTAAAGGACGGTATTTATCAAACTCTGAAATAGTATTTTTAATCATACTTTATATTTATCATACTAAACTATGATATTTTTAACATACTATACTGACATTTTTTTTCACACTTAAATATGTAATTTTTCCACACTAAAATATAATATTTTATCATACCATATTATGATTTTTTTCACACTAAAATGTGATTTTTTTTTCCACACTTAAATATGATATTTTTTATCATACTATAAAATGACAAATTAAAAAAATGGTTAATTTTTTTTTTAAAAAAAGGTCATGTAGTAGGAAAGGACGGTAATAAATTTACTGTTGCTTATCTCCAGAATTGTGTTTTCTTGATATGTTGAAAAGTAAAAATAGGCAAATAGTCAAAGAATTACTGCTGAATACAAAGTACAGGTCTGACTGATTGAATGAAGAAAATTGGTGATAATATATCTGTCATGTAAACAAACTTAACAAAGAACTTTAAATGAACTGAAGAAATTAAGTACTAGAGGGCAGCAGTGAGCTTTATATAAATTAATCTACTGTTTAAACGAGGACGAAAATGAAGATTGCACTTTACTATCATATTAAAGCTTACTTTACGTTTCTCACAGATACAGATTAAGATTAAAGACCTTATTTATCTTAAAATATGTACATACCAGTTTGTAGTCTGAAGTAAAACACTGATGTTGTACGATCCAGAACAAAGAGTGGCGGTATTAACCTCACTGTTGCTTTGCGCGCCAGACGAAGAAGAAGACGCAGACGACGTGTTTCCTCATTGGCTGACTCGCACTGACGTCAGGGTGAATCCTGCCCGGCTTGTACAGTCAGTTGTCAAACATGGCGGCTGTGGATGTCATTGTAGGTAACTTGGTGAGTCTGTGGAGGAACCCGGCCGCCCGGACTTACTTCCCCGCGGTTTTTCTGGTGATTTCAGTCGCGGGGTCGATCCTGAAGGAGCTGGAGGTCGCCCCGGAGTCTTATTTCAGCAGCAGCAGGAACGCCCTGAATGTGTAAGACCAGTTTGTGTTGTTGTTTGTGAACTAAAGGTTTACCGTGGACACACCTGGACACACCTGTAGCTCACTTTGTCAGGTGTCCGGATGGTTACAGAGCAGGAATAGCGATTTTTTTTTGTTGCTATGGTAACCAACACCACTGTTATGTAGGTCAGAGTTAGTCATCTGTGCCGATAAACAGAAGAAAACTAAAGTTAAAGAGTTAAAAAGAACTTAAAAGGTGGGGAAAAATCTATGATAACAAGGATTTCTCCCCTCCAAATCAAAAAGCTGGTGAACTCTCCTCTGCTTAGTTGGATGGCGTAAAGCTCTGATAGGGAACTTTAGGGCGTTAGCGCCCCCTGTGGACAGAGCTTCACCTGTTTTATTTTCTAATTTGGTCCTTTGTGTTTGTAAATTGTGTATTTATGCAAAATAATCCCATCTCTCTTTATTTAACAGTTAAAAGCGTACCTAAATGTGTCTTTAAACAATGATATGCTGAAATAATCAAACTTACAGTAACACAAACATGCTTTTTTTCATTGTTATGAACTCCACCTTTTTTTCATATTATGCTGATTTTATTGTGCAGACCTGGTCAGAAGTCTGTTTCCAAATTAATCACAAATCCGACTAGAGCTGCATATTTAATTTCTTTTTATCATTATTTAACTCTAACCTTCAGTTCAGCCCCCTAAGATAACAGAGTGTTGCTGTCACAGACGAGCCCTCATCATGAATACTAATGGTGGAGTTGTGTTGTCTCTCTCCCTGCAGGTATTTTGTCAAAGTGTCCTGGGGTTGGACGTTGCTGCTGCTGACCCCCTTCATCCTGCTGTCCAACTCCTCCTTCAGCAGGAATGTGTCCTTCCTCGTCCGGCGGCTGCTCTCTCTGGTCGTGGCCACGGCCATCTGGTACCTCTGCACCGAGACCTTCTTCTACATCGAGAATGTGACCGGATCGTGTTATGAAAATAACACCATGGTCGCCGTCAAAGAGGAGTTCATTTCCAAAGCCACCTGCAGGCGGGCCGGCTTCCACTGGCACGGTTACGACATCTCAGGACACTCCTTCATCCTGTCCTACTCTTCCCTCTTCATCATGGAGGAGATCGCCCCCATGGCGTCCCTGAAAAAGGCCAACATCTCTGCTCTGCCGAAGCTGGTCCTCAACCTTCTGTACGTGGCCTTGAACCTGATCGTGACCATCTGGGTGCTGATGTTCTTCTTCACCTCTCTGTACTTCCATGACCCGACTCATAAGCTGCTCGGGACCATTTTTGGCCTGCTTGGTTGGCATCTGACATATCGCTTCTGGTATCTGAAACCTTTATCGCCGGGACTCCCCCCTCAGCGTCACCCGAAAGAACAGAAAGAGCACGCCTGAGCTGCTGCCAGACTCCCCTGTACAATGTCGTTGCTAACGCCGCGGCCCTCCTCAAAACAACACACTACAGTTGACGTTATCTGTCCACGGGTCCAAGCTGACTTAAGTTATTTAAAGCCATTTTGAGTTTCCCCCCTCGCACAGAGGAGCCGTTTGTACAGGATGGAGTTTGGCAGCTGCTGTTCCCAAAATGACCCTCGGTAATCTGAGATAAAAACAAGACGCCGCTCCGCTGCTCGGCTTCACCTTCAGCCCGCTGTGGCTCGCATACTCAGCTATTGTTTCTATCCCAGTTTGTTGCCTTGTAGAGCTTCACTCAGAGGACTCACACTTTTTTAGACGTGTCGGTGGGAACACTTGAGGATGTTTACTGTCGGTACTGACGATGTGTATTTTTGACCAGTGTACAGTAGCTATTGATTGTTTTTATTGGAAAACTACCATCAGTCTGAGGGATTATAAGGTGTGGGGTTAGTGTGACTTTATGTCTAATTTAATTATTTTATCATCATTAAGGTTTGCTGATTATTTAAAGACTGAAAAATGTCCACTGCAGTTTTTTTAGAGTCGAAATAATGACTAAAGATGAATTTTATGTTCCATTACAAAGAGTAACTAAATAATCGACTAAGTGTTTCAGACGGGGTTTCATTTGTTGTCAACAACACCAGAGACGACCAAAGCTAAATTTAAAGGGATAATCCGGTGTAAAATTAATTTAGGGTCAAACACACAGTAACAAGGAAAGTTAGTATAACTAGAGAAGCAAGCGGTCGGCAACATTCCTCTCTTGAGGGGATGTCTAACTCGGTGTTACTTGTGTTTGACTCTAAATTAATTTCACACCAGAATATCCCACAAAAGAACTCTTTTCATAATCGTAGAAGTTTTTAAGAATAATTTTAACGGCTTTTTTCTGCTTTTATCAGAGAGGATTAGGACAAATTATGTGAGGGAACAACATATTTAAACTGTGCTCCAGAATACTGATATTAAATGTCTGTGCCATAGAGCTCCATCAATCTCCACAGGGTGTTAAATGCTGAACAGGTAAAGTTAACTCTCTTGAACACCAGGGTGCTGCCACAAAGACTCACTTCGTTACCGAACATGTATTAACCCACGTTTGCAAACATTCTTCATTCACTCGTGTTTTAGTTATGTTTGCTAAAAACCACCAGATTTTAAGGAACTGCTCACTAATTGATCAACTTGATTTTCATTTCTCTTAATGTTCGTTTTACTTCCAGGTGGAGATTCTGTGCAGATTTGTTTCAGTGTTTTTGTGGGATTTGTCAACAGTGAGGTTACTGAGAAATAACTCAAACGTTTTCATGTTGTGGGGAAAATTCAAGCGCATGTAAATCAAAGCAGCTCTGTTGTCTGGCATCCAAATGTGCTTTATGAAACTCATAACTATGAACCCACTTCCATAAGAGTTAGGAGGCTGTGTGAAGATAAAGAGATAATGCAAAGACAACATAGTAGACGTTGGAATATGTCGACTGTTGTGATGCTTCTCTTCTTCTTTTAACACCCTGAAAGTTTGAAAACGAATAAGACCAGTTTTTGGAGTTTTAAGGTGAAAAGCTGTCCCAGTCTTTCCTGTAATATGACAGTTTGGGTTTTCTTTGTTTTATTGTTTTATTTTTTATGCGCCAAATGTTTTTAAAGGGTGAGAAGTCAGGACTGCAGGCAGATTTAGTTTAGGATCTGGACTCTTCTACGGACTTGTTAAACCCTTATAAAGGTCTTCTTTTGATGGCAGCAGATGTGTAAACTACTTAATTATGCACTGACAGATTCTGGCTTTTGAATCGCACTGATTTAAAGTCTTTTTGGAGCGGAGGATGTGGCGAACAAATCCTGATTTGATTCGTCAGACCAGATGAGGGCTTCCTACTTTGCTTTGGTTTCTGTTTCTAAAGTTTAACCTGCATGTTTAGATGCAACAACAAACCGTTTTTTAATTTTTCATGGTGATTTCCACGACAGAGTCACGTCTATTTTTAATGCAGCGCTGCCTTAATCTTTAAGTAGTTTGCAAACACTTCACACAGCGTCCTAACTCTCAATGTTGTAGAAGCTGTTCAGTGACGGGAACATAATAACTCTATTAAACCAGGATGTGTGTATTCCATTTTCAGTATTTATTTGTCATTGATGGCAACTGAATAAATTAAGGCTTATGAACAAACATCATAAAAAGCACCATAAATAAATGCATATATAGAAATATAAAAAATAAAAAGTTAAAAAATAAAAAAATACTATAGTGAAAGAGAGAATGGCCACAAATCACAACTAGGATTCCTCGACTTGACCTCTGCGTGTCCGTCCCCCTCGGGTTGCGTTATTTCAGTCAGAAGAAGCGGTGGAGTCGTTACAGGTGTGCTCGCAGTAATCTGAATTTACCGAGTGTTTACAACGATCAGCTGGTTACGGAGTATGTTGACTGGTTTCTGATAAATCAACAGAATAGATGAGTGTCTGAAATCAACATCAAAAACATTCGTATGGGTAAAACACAACAGAAAATAGTTCTGTACACTTCTACGACCTCTTGCTTTCTTCAAAACTTGAAAAAAAAATCAGGTTTATATTTCTAAAACTTCTCTTTTGTGCCATTTACATCACCGCTGCTCATGCAAGAACAGAAAACCAAAATATTTCCCTGTTTCCTTTAACGCACAAATCTTAAATATCTTCTTTCCAGGCATAAAGGATTGATTTGAAAGAGTTACATCTATATGGCTATATCGCACGCTCACTAGGAATCTAAACCCTCTTTTTCTTAAATAAAATCTGATTTATCATCATCAGGTGTGACGCAGCCGTGTGACGCTGCTGTTAAAGGAGAACTGATCGTCGTCTTTGGTTCAACGTTTTTCTGCCACTGCTGCACAGACAGGAGGAAATAAATCGCCTTCATTGTCCGAGGCTCGACACTTATCCCCTTTAATGAGTGCGAGTCCTTACTGCAGGAATGTCTGTATAACCAGCCGTAAAACCTAAAGCAGCTTAAAACTCCGGCCTCACATAATGAGTTCAAACAAAAGAGAGAGCGTACGCTTCAGGAGCTGAGTTATAACTCGTCCTACCACCTGAAAGGCTCCCATTAAGGGTGAACAGAGTGTGGAGCGAGGAAAATACACAACAAACAACAAGACAGGAAGTGGAAGGCTGTTTCTTCAGATGAATCAGCTTCCCTCCCTCCTGTTCCTCTTAATTCCTCTTTAAAAATTTAGCTGGAAATAAACGAGACAACGTTTAATTAAAAATATCTATCTGTAAAAACAATCTTGCATCTGTCAGGAGGAGTCGGCGACACGAACAAACGGCAGAGGTGTTTCTACGCTCAGTATTGCTGAGGGACTGTCTGTGAAACACGGTTGAGTGCAGCTGACTCAGAGATTACAGTTAGCAGCAGAAAATTCAAGAACTACAGAGGGACACTTCAACCAGTAAAAGACGGGAAAAATAAGAGAAAAGAGGCATTAGTGTGAGATAAGTATGTGATTAAGAAGTCAAAATAATGAGTCAAAAAGTCAAGAATAGATACTGTTAATTAGACGTATGAAAAAAGGGGCATCGTTATGAGATAAAAAGTCAGATTAAGAGCAAAAAAGTCTAAATGAGAAACAGTAAGTCAGAGGGATAAGAAAAGAGACAGAATTATGAGATAAATATTCAAGTTATGGGATAAAAAGTCCAAATAATGAGTCAAAAAGTCTTAATTAGGTACTATAATGTAGATGTATGAAAAGAGGGGCATCCTAATGAGATAAAAAGTCAGAATATGAGCAAAAAAAGTCGTAATTGGACAATAAATCAGAGGAATGGTTGAATTCTAAATTAAGTGGGAATATTTTCATGAAAAGTAAAAAATATGCGTTTGTATTATGATATTATAGGTCATAGTAATGAGTAAAGAGTCAGTCTTAATGTAGAAGTTATGAGTCAGGGTCAAATTTATGGGACCATAAACGTAAATTATGAGATTAAAAAGTCTTAATTATCAGATAGAAAGTCCAAATGATACGATTTAAAGCCAAAAGTGGTAGAAAAGTCATTTTAAAAATAAATGAAAAGTAAGAATTTTGTAATTAAAGTCCTTTTCTATTAGATAAAAAGTCAAAGTTTTAGAATTAAAGTGTTAATTATGAGATTATATGACATTATGAGAAAACAGTCGAAATTACAAGAAAGTCAAATCTCATAATTCTCACATTTAACTCCTTTATCGTGACTTTTTATCCCATAATTGTGACTTTCTTGTAACTTTTTTCTCACTTTTTCTTGATTTAGTGTTTTTACTGGTTGAACTGGCCGTCTATAGCGGTCTGTTTCGGGTCGGGATCATAAATTCTGCCTCTGGGCGACACAAAACCCTCCACCGATCACAAAACGCTTATTACACGATAAGAAAAAAAAAAAAACATGCATTAAAATCTACATCCTAAACCTACAGAAACACACGATTGTGCCGAAGACGCAGAATTTACAATCGAACCAGCAGATCAGCCGAGTGTAACTTTGAGAAACAGCCTGAACTTCAGAGAGTGAGAGTGGAGCAGTGTGAGATCTGTGAAGTAATCTGACTCTGAGCGCACGTGTGTGACTGTGTGTGACTGTTAGTATGTGGGTTTGACTGTGTGTGTGGAGGGTGTACACTCAGATAAAGGAATAGTTCCACTGCTTTAGGACTGTTTTCTGGATTTTCACAGAGAGTTGGATTCGATATCACTCAGTATCTGTCCGATTAATACGCACTAGATTTCAGCCGGGGTAACAAACGTTTGGTTTACAATATTCAAAGTCCTGAGGGTTAAGAAGAAAATCCTGATAAGGTAAATCACTTATTTTGTCGTCTGTTTATGTCTTTGCTCTATGTGATCGTGGAATTATGTGGTTTTTTCTTCATTTGGGTCAATCTGCATCAGAAAACTGCATTAAAAGTTCACAACAACAGCTGTGATGCAAAGACAACTTTAAGAAAAACATAAACGTGCTGTGAGTCAGAAATCAGATCCTCTTAAATCCTTTAGAAGTTCTTTAAGACACGAAAGACTGACTATCAAGACTCTTATCTGTGTTTTTAATTAGTTTGAAAACAGAAAACAGGGTTTCTACACAGTTGGAATTTCCATACCTAACTTTTTAGAATTATTTTTGGAAATACCTACTTTTCTATTTTAGAAAACAGTATTTTTTTAACTGTGGTAATATATTCTGTTAACATCAATATTTTCCCAGACTTTATTTTTCATTTTCATACTTTTCAAGACCTGGAAATTGATCAAATTGCTTCCATACTGATTCCTGTCTATCTGCATCAGAAAACTGCATTAAAAGTTCACAACAACAGCTGTGATGCAGCTTTTTATCAGGTAGAGACCAAAAAAGAACAAAGACAATTTGACTATAAAGAGTCTTATTTATCTTATTATTAACTGATTGACTTAGTTTGAAAACAGAAAACAGGGTTTCTACGCAGTTGGAATTTCTACATCCTAATTTTTTAGAATTATTTTTGGAAAAACCTACTTTTCTATTTTAAAAGACAGTATTTGTGAACTTTAGTAAAAGTCTGGAAACACAAATATTTTTTCATACTTTTTAAGACTTTTTGGAAACTGATCAAATTTACCTCCATACTTTCCAAACTTGCACATGAACCCGGAGAAAAAGTTTAAGCTCACTGTAATTATTATAATGTAACTGACTTAAACTCGACTAAAATGTTTTAACCTTTATCAACTTAACTGTTTTGACTTTTTCTTCACTAAAACTTTACAGAACAGACACATGAGGGCAAAACTGACTAAAATAGGACTAAAACTGACAGAACTTTTATTCCAAAGACGAAGACTAAATCAAAAATATCTGCCAAAATTAACATGAAAAAGAGATATTTTCTCATCCAAATAGAAACTAAAAAAAAACACCTGGAAAATTCAAATATTTTCAACGAGAAGTAGATAGATGGGGAAAATAGTTGTTTCCTGTGGAATTTAAAAGGATCTGATATAATATCGAGTTAAGTTTTCACAAGTGCTGTATATTTTTCTTAAACATGTCTGGTCTCCTTAGAATAAACCCTTACATATAAACAGAGAGATATTTAGGTAGGTCTAGGATCACCAGTGGCTCAAACATTAGATCTACCTTCATTTTCAGCATGTAGAGGTGCTGGTCGGCAGATTTAGTCACCTAAAATGTTCAGTTTTTAGCTTCCCAGCTAAAGCGTCATATCTAAAAGGGACAGACGTGAGAGCGGTATCGATCTAAGAATGCAAATCTCTGCGAAAAAAGCAAAGTGAGCGTTTTCCTAAAATGTCAAACTATCCCTCTTCTGTTCGCCTTCATCCTTCTAAAGTTTCGAGTGGCAGTTTCTGGCAGCACAGCACTTATCAGAGAGTCTTTGCTCCTGCGGTTTTTTGACCGGTGAAACCTCAGGCTGGTGGAGGAGTGAGGAGCAGGTAACGATGATGAGTAATGACTATAATAGTGGCATGCGAAGGTCAGTTAACCCCTTGTCGGTGTTACTGTGTTTAACATTTCTGGGTTTCTACTTTAAGTTTCAGTACACGTGGACCTGATGCATGCCTCCAACTGAAGTGAAACAAAAACCCGCCGGCTCGAGAGCTGCAGGTCGCCAGAAAAGAAAACTGGATGAAGGCCTTGATTACCAGAAAATGTGCTGTCAAGGATTCTTATTATGGAATGTTTTAATATTCTTTGTTCACCCAGGTAAGTAATAGTGTTCTCTATATAGATTCATTATGTTTTCCTGCAGTCATAAAACATTACAGAAAAGTTGAAACATCACACAAATACACAGACATTTAACACAACAAGAGGGCATTCACTACATGTATTTCTTTTTTAAAAACCAGTAGGCAAAGTAGCCCATCCCTCCCAGCGAGCCCATGAGAAAAGAGGCCCCGAAGAAGGACGGCGGCTTCTTTTTTACCATCCGGAAGGCGTTGGGTAGGACCGCCGACAGGAGCGTCGTGTGGATGTCACCCAAGACCTTCCGGAAAGCGTAGCGTTTTTGCACGCGCAGGAAAAAGGACTGCAGGTTGGGTCGGCTGCCGTCCTCCCAGTATTTCTTAGAAAGTCCCAAGAACTTGAGCCTGTGCAACAAGGCTCCGAGGCAGACATCAGCTAGTGTAAATTCAGGTCCACAAAGCCACAACTCACACTTCTGACCTGCAGGAGGGAGAAAAAAACCTCGCATGAAGACACTCCTGGAAGGATTTGTCGTCACAGTGATTGATGATATTTACTCTTAATTACCTTGATACTCTAGTTTTCTTTTCTCCAGTTCAGCCTCCACTTGATCTAGAACCATCGCTAACTCACCCAGAATTTTCTTCAAGTAATTCACATTATCGTGGTCCAAGATTTTTGCCTGGAAAAACAGACAAAAACGTTAAAAAGATAAAGTGCTGACATAGACTGTATAAACTACGGACAACTTGGCTCCGCCTTCTGCCTGTATACGGATTTGAAGCCGTTTTTATTTCTCCATAAAATTTCCACTTTATTTTTATTTTTACATGTAATTAAATGGAAACATGATCTCACCATGAGTTTCTTCTGCTTGGACAGGTACGGTTCTGTCAGCTGAGGCTCCTCATGGTCCAACTTCATCAGCTCTGTCGCAGCATTGGCAAGGTGTCCTGAACACACACACACAAACACACAAATGACACACAAACAATGTCTTTATATACTGTTAAGTATGAAACACGTTCATTTTGACATGTTTGCTTTGGAAAATCTAGATAATGTAGTTTTTTTTCTGGTATATTGTAAATACTGAATTTACTATTTAGAACTTTTTGCAAAGGAAATCAGAGACAAGTTTAACTGAGACTGTCGGTTCACTTATTTTAAAATACTCCAGTGTTTTTTTACAGAGCAGACACTTTAGGGATCAGTGAGTTTAATCCTCCGTACGTTTATCTGACTGCCCTGAGAGCTCAATCTCACCTGTGCCCTCCCACCGAGCCCTAAAGCAGAGGGAGTTATTGTGTCGAGAACTCGTCTTAAACAGCCGATCGTCTTTTTAAAAATTCTACATTTTTCTAGCAGAGTTTGAAAATGATTTCTGGATTTCTGAAACTGGGTTTGGTGGGTCTGTTGTCTTTTCTCTCAGCCAAAGAGCTTCACTGTCGTCCAAAAACACGTCTCTGAGCCACACTGACTGACAGATCCCCTCATTAGCAAACACACACACAGATTGTAGTTTATTTGACTCGATCCTACAAACACCAGTCACAAGTGAAAGCTTTATTTACTCTATTGAGCCACACTTGTTCAGAAATACAATGAGAGGCTGTGATTTTTGAAAACTTCTCTGTTTCTGAGTGAAAACTAAAAGGAAAATGAAAAATCTCACATTTTAAATCTTGAGTACGAGAAAAATGAAAGTCTGACTGATGCGATAGTTTGTAAAAATGCACATATTTATCTCACTCAATGACGAAACATTATCACTCTTTCTAGTCAGTGTCAGAGTTTTTAGTCTTTGTATTTTGGTCTTACGTTGTGCCTAAGCTGTCGTGCTTTTTGCCACTAGCCAGCTGATTGCTGCTGTCCTAATACTATAACGCTCCACCACCCGCATGTAAACAAGCACACACGACAGATGGAGATTGCAGTATGGTGAGTTTTAGTATTTTAATCTAGAAATTAGAAAGTAGATCCTAATCATTACATTAAAAAGTCAAACTTAGAATTCAGTCAATTTTAGGTTAAAGATAAAAGTGAGAATCATGAATTCATTAAGAGATTAAAAGCCACAATTATCAAACAGAGTGTGACCCTGTAAGTCCTCATTTTCATAAAGTAAGTCCTGATTGTGAGAGATAAGGTTAGTGTCACACGGTTAAGGTTAAACTAGGGTGACCATTCGTCCTCTTTTACCCGGACATGTCCTTTTTCTGGGGGGCTGTCCGGGGGAGTTTATAAAATCCTTCAAATGTCGCGTGGACTTACTGAGTTAGAAGCATGTAAAAACACTCAACCTGAAAAAGGCCAACAATAACTCAAAATGTCCAACTGAAAAAACACGAGGAGCAAAATCCTGAACAAACAAAAAGGCTCTGGGAAAAACCCACAAGGAGACTAACAGGTGAAACTCATGGGTGATCAACAAAAGGAGGGAAAACTAGGGAAGTAAAACCAGACTAGACACAGAAGGAATCAACTCCTACAAAATAAAACAGGATATAAACACTGAAAACTGATTTAAAGAATAAAACACAGAGAACAGGAGGGAAACAGGGTCAGAGACAAACTGAAAACTAACAGGACTGGACTACAGGGGAACAGGAACACCCAGAAAATACACTAAAATAACAAAACCAGGAGAAAACTAAATGAACAAAACAAATCATGACAGATAGTAGGGATGTTGAGATTATAAACCATAAATCCTGCGGTTCTGCTGCAGGACTCGATCGAGTCCACCTCGCTTTGATTTACATGTCGAGTCCATTACCTGATAGAGAAGCTCGAGTTAAATCTATCATCTGCTGCGTAAATCTGACACTACAAAGTGCTGAATGAAGAGATTTCTGAGTATTGAGTAGCTTTAAATTACAGCATCTGCTGATCAAATTCTGCAGGAAACAGAAGGAAAATGTTGACGGAGGTTTGGAAACATAACGAGGAAGATTAATGACTTTGCATTAAAAACGCTCACTGTTGTTTTTGCTTTGGCAGAGCAGTTTGACCTTAAAGTTGAAGTTCAGTCAGCCTCAAGAGCTCGAAAATGACCTCAATAATGGGTTCAAAATAAAGACAGCGTATAAATATTTTAGTATTTCATGTCTGTCTTTAAAAGTTCACCTCTTAGAAACAGAAACTGATTTTAAAGACACATAAATCCAAATATTCAACTTGAGTAAACATGCTGGTGAACGGCACATTGAGTTCAGTCGCTTTGCTGCACAGAACGAGATGATTTCATGAACTCTGATTCACTCTGAATGTTACGAACGCTTCGGTGGATTCAGCTGCTTCAGTCTGAACTCCAGACTGTTCCTGTTTTTGTGAGCAGACAGACATCACTCTTTTTATCGTCTGTGTTTTCAGGAACAATGAACTCATGAGACTTTTAATGAGAGGCATACGTTCACAATCTTCTGTTTTACAAAATCAGATCTGCTGGTTGGACTTCACGTCTGATTTTTTGTTGATATCGATGATTTTCTCTGGATTTGGCTCGACTTACTCCGTATTTCTGCAGTGGCGTACTTTGGGATCATGGAGTCAGTGGTGAGCTCTGGATGGAGGATGCAGCCGTGTGTGTAAGCGTCCATGGGCAGACCGTCCAGTAGCTGACGGTACTGCTGCACGCGCTCGTGGAGAGGCGATTCTGCATCGGGAATCAGCTGAGCCACCGAATCTGTGGGCGAAACAGAGATTTGAAAACATTTTCACCTTCACCCTGAAAACTAAGTCGATACACAAACTGAGAAATAATAAATCCAGAGCTTGTTGCACTCGAGTTTTCTTGTTCTGTGATTTCATGAACTTCTCCGAACACCTGAGGTTTCCAGGCAACTGTTATTAAGCTTTCTGCTCCCAAAAATAACACGACGTTCAGCGCTTCAGCCGTCAGACACACAATACTGTTACCTGGTAACAGACAACACCTCCTACTTCCAGTTACACGCCACCAGCCGTGTCTTAACAATGCATGACATTTAAACAATACTGAAGCAATCTGAATAGAGAGTGTCTCCTGAAACGAAAAAGCATTTAAAGAATCTTTAAACTCGGAGAAAACTGGACCGCTCTCAGCAGTAAACATTGTTAGCTCAATAAGATGAAACCCAAATCGACAAAAACACAATTTGCACAGAAATATAAAGGAATAGTTTCATTAAAGCTCAATATATCCAACAAAATATCCCAGAGAGAGTCTTTTAATTCGCTGTTCCTCAGTTTACAGTCGTCATTGTGTGGAAAACATTTCAGTGTGGCTTTTATGGACTCATCTTTCTCTCCTAATCTGACAGGAGAGATTTTAAGATGGGGTAGACAGGAATCTGTTAAAGGAGCATCTTTTTTGTGGTTTATATACAAAAAAGCTTTTAATATCAGTCAGTAGTTATTAGTTCTTGATGACATTTGGTAATTTTATGATATCTCTGTGTTTTGTTATGTCTGTGTAGTCAACATTTTCTCTTTCTGACTGTAAACAAAGCCGTTCTCCACCTCCTTTAACCTGATTGGTTGTGAGGCAGACGCTGCTCCCCCGTGTCGTTCAGGAGCCCAAACAAAGTTAGCGTGCTACAATATCGGACAGTAGAAACCAACCAGAAAGTTCGGAAAATTGTCTGAATCCTCCTTTGGCCACGACTGCCGACACAAGCAAGAAAACAAAGTAAATACCGGAGACTCTGGAGGAATAACGGGCGCTTAAAACGGAGGTAGACCGGACAAGAGCTACAAAGCCGGGTCAACATAAACGATGGGGGACGCTTGGGGATCTTGGTGACCCTGTAACCTTTCTGCTGGACAGGTAAACCGCTTTAACAAAGTAAGACAAGTGTCTGTAACAGAAGTGTTTCTTGTCAAACGGACCTGCTGTAGCGTGTTGTAGCGCCATCGCTAAACTGCCCTCCCTCGGGTCCTGGACTATGTCACTTTATCCTCGTTGTAGAAGTCCTGCAAACATTGTGTTTGCTGGTAGTCTGTTGGCATCTACAGTAGCACCAATGCTTTTGACTTTCACCTTGACTGGGCCCCATTTGTAATGATCTGAAGTATTTATCTGCATTATATCTGAATTTAATTGGAACGATACGAGCGAGCAGGAGCGTCTGTTTGTGGGCGGGGCTTGAGGGGAGGAGCTGAGGGGAAAACTTGTTGGGAGGGGTAGAGTTTACATTCAAGATTTCGCCTAAAAACTGGAACTAACTCAGATCCTGACTACACCACCTTTAACGCTATGAGAGACATGATAAGACAACGTTGAAAACTGATTCCTAGAATCTACAAGAAGCTGAAATTGTAAACTTTACTCTGACACAAGACATGGCGATGTGAAGTTAAGTAGAGCAGAGATTTTATTCACTCTAAAACAGACCGCTCTGTCCCTTGTTTCCTGCCTCTATGTTAAGCTAATAAAAGCTACAGCTGCTGGATCAAGCCTCATAAAAGCGAACAGTTATCAGAGTGATATCGATCTCTTTATCTACCTCCTCAGTATAAAAACCACTTTTCACACTTTGATTTCTGAGCGGCTGTTTTTGTCTGAAAATGTTGAATTGCTCCTTTAATAGCGCTCCTCTTGATGGCGCCGAAGTTGATATTTCGCCGTCCTAATTCTTGTGTGTTAGTGCTCGGCTTGTCGGCTGCACACTGCTCCGCTGAGAGGGATGGTGTTCAACTTAATGACCTGCTGCTGAGACTCGGTATTAAAGATGAGACGGAGCAGAGCGAGCTTTTATCTCAGCGCAGGGTCACAGCCAGAATGACACGGGGACAAAACTGACAAAACACAGACGGTCTGCTCGAGGATGTTCAGAGGTGCCGGTGGAGGGTGGAGCTGCATCTGGCAGACCTCCAGAAAGCTAAGTAATCAGTCCTGGGATCAGCATGAACATGTCATGTCCTGTAGGTGTTCTGCTGCAGAGTCGTGATGGGAACATTACGAGAACAGCACACGAAGCAAAAGAGCAACTGAGGTCTTTATGTTGTAGAGTGACAATACATTTTCACATAACCAGAGCCCCCCTGCAGCATCCTAACTACACTGTAAAGTAGACCGAGTTGGCACCACGCTGCTCTGAAATGGTATAGGAGTCTGTTTTCTCAGACATCCGCACTTTCCAGGCCAGCTGCAGCCCACACTGCCAACATTCACTGGGGATTTCAACGCAGAGAAAAAGCACGTCTGTAGGTTTGATCCAGCAGATCCACTTCCAGCTAAAAGCACGACCATCTTTAGTCCTGATTTGAATTGGAAGTGTGATTGTTTTACATTGATTAGACCAAAAATACAAAGCAGATAAACTTAGAGTGAAATCTTACTACAAACTCCAGAGGATAATGAATGTGTAACACAGGGGAAAGATTGTCGATTCTACATGATTTGTAATTGAAATGTGATAACTTACACTCACCGGCCACTTTATTAGGTACACCATGCTAGTAACGGGTTGGACCCCCTTTTGCCTTCAGAACTGCCTCAATTCTTCGTGGCATAGATTCAACAAGGTGCTGGAAGCATTCCTCAGAGAGCTTGGTCCATATTGACATGATGGCATCACACAGTTGCCGCAGATTTGTCGGCTGCACATCCATGATGCGAATCTCCCGTTCCACCACATCCCAAAGATGCTCTATTGGATTGAGATCTGGTGACTGTGGAGGCCATTTGAGTACAGTGAACTCATTGTCATGTTCAAGAAACCAGTCTGAGATGATTCCAGCTTTATGACATGGCGCATTATCCTGCTGAAAGTAGCCATCAGAAGTTGGGTACATTGTGGTCATAAAGGGATGGACATGGTCAGCAACAATACTCAGGTAGGCTGTGGCGTTGCAACGATGCTCAATTGGTACCAAGGGGCCCAAAGAGTGCCAAGAAAATATTCCCCACACCATGACACCACCACCACCAGCCTGAACCGTTGATACAAGGCAGGATGGATCCATGCTTTCATGTTGTTGACGCCATATTCTGACCCTACCATCCGAATGTCGCAGCAGAAATCGAGACTCATCAGACCAGGCAACGTTTTTCCAATCTTCTATTGTCCAATTTCGATGAGCTTGTGCAAATTGTAGCCTCAGTTTCCTGTTCTTAGCTGAAAGGAGTGGCACCCGGCGTGGTCTTCTGCTGCTGTAGCCCATCTGCCTCAAAGTTTGACGTACTGTGCGTTCAGAGATGCTCTTCTGCCTACCTTGGTTGTAACGGGTGGTTATTTGAGTCACTGTTGCCTTTCTATCAGCTCGAACCAGTCTGGCCATTCTCCTCTGACCTCTGGCATCAACAAGGCATTTCCGCCCACAGAACTGCCGCTCACTGGATATTTTTTCTTTTTCGGACCATTCTCTGTAAACCCTAGAGATGGTTGTGCGTGAAAATCCCAGTAGATCAGCAGTTTCTGAAATACTCAGACCAGCCCTTCTGGCACCAACAACCATGCCACGTTCAAAGTCACTCAAATCACCTTTCTTCCCCATACTGATGCTCGGTTTGAACTGCAGGAGATTGTCTTGACCATGTCTACATGCCTAAATGCACTAAGTTGCCGCCATGTGATTGGCTGATTAGAAATTAAGTGTTAACGAGCAGTTGGACAGGTATACCTAATAAAGTGGCCGGTGAGTGTAGGTTCGTATGTGGAGCCCAGAATGTGAAAATATCAATGAAACAGTAACACAAAGTAAGGTTTAAGTAATGTATTAAAATAAATAAAACAGGAAATAAGGTGTAAAGTGATAAAAAAAAAAATAAACAGGTTTTCTTTCAATTAAATGAATAATCCAAAACTTGGACAAGAGGGAGGAAAAGAAACCAAGAAAAAAGTCCATGTGTTCTTCCACAGTCCAAGAGGTCCTTATGAAATTAAGTAATCCTCAATCCTCAAGTAAACTAAAATTGAACAAGGTGGTCATTCATCTCCAGTCGATGGCCATCTTAGTTCGGTTGAAGAAAAAAAGGGTAAAAAAAAAAAAAAGAAACCTGACTTAAGGGTCATAGAAAAAAGTACATGAACTCCAATGGATTTTTAGATAATTAAATAATTTTGATTAAAATGAACCTAACCTGAAAAAAAAATCCATAATAAATTAACCTACAATGAGAAAGTGACAAACCGGCAACAAAAATAATCACAAAATTAACCTTCACCGAAGAACAGAAAATCGTGTCTGGTGTATAGAGACGTCAGGCCTTAAATTGCCAATTTTCCCCATGGGATTTGGTCTCTGATTTTTTTTCACTTTTTTCGACTAAAACTTCTTAAACAACCTCAGCCTGTCCATTAAAAAAACAATAAATAAAAAATTTGATGTTAAACCCTTTTTATGCCCGGTCTGTGCACCATGTCACTTCTATTTTTAATGGTAAAAAAACACAACATTTCCATAGTTCCCATACAAAATGAGTCTGAGCCAAGTCAGTAATGAGAGGTAAAACCAATTTTGGTGCATTTAAATCCTTTTGAAGTGCCAATTTCCGTATTTTAGCTTCATCCAGCCTATTTTGACCCCAAAACGGACATGCAGATAAGTGTTCATAATAAATAAAATAAGGATTCTTTAACGGATTCCTTCAAACACTCTCGTATCACTGTTGGAAAGTAAAATTTAGAGTCCTGGTGATCGAGTGACTGCATAAATAAGGTTGTAATATGTTGTTATGGTGCCATAAACAAAAGGTCAAAAAACATGTTTTTAATGGAAGTCTATTGGCCGATTTGCAGACAAAATAGGGTGGATGGAGCTAAAATGCAGCGACGGAGAACTAAAGGTGACAAAGAGTTTTGTTTTGTTTTTAATATGAAGAAAAATAAGAACTGTCACCAAATTTGACGCCCCAAACGGACATAGTAGGAACCCAGGGTTAACCTCAGTTACAAATGGCTGCAGATTCAAGCAAAAACTGTTCTGTAAATCTGCAAACAGCTCTCATACAACAGCTTACATTATTGGGTCTAACAAGACATCAAACACCAGGGTCAGTCGTGGTTCTCCAGACTAATATAATCACGCAGCCATTGAACCAGATCCTCTGTAAAGATTTCAAGCACCACCGCTCCAAACAAGTGACCACAGCCTCAGCTATAACCGGAGAGTTGTCCCTCAGGGCTTCACTGGTTTGAGGCTCTCTGAAGATTACATAACATGGTGTTTCAGCTGACGGGTCTATAGGACACACCGCCCACAGATACTGTATCACAACACTCACAGATAACAGGATTAAGTGTTTCATCTCAGCGTTTTCTTACACTGATGACAGTTTTAGCCGTTAATCGGACTCGTTTTCTCACGATGCACTTTCCACATATTGACGAATCTTTACTTTGCGACGCTCTCAATGTTTAGTGTCTCCACGTCGCCTGTGTGTCCCCCCCCCTCGCTCTCTCTTGTTCTTGTTTGTATCTGTGTCTCATCCTCGACTGCCGTGAATTTTCCCCAAGAGATCATTCCAATTTCATCTCATCTAATCATAGGAGTTCATCTCCGTGACTTTGCTGCAAAGACACTGTTGCGACGACTAACACGGTTTCACAGACGAGAACGACAGATGGCCTCCGACTGGATCCAACGTCTTTGTTTCACAAACTGGAAGATGCAGCCTGATATTTTCTTTAGCTTTGAGAAAAATCCTGGATTAATAACACTGTTAATGAGGCAGCCACCCCCGAAATAACCCACTTATATTTGTGTTATTTACTATTCATAGTAAATAAACCCAAATCGGTTTATTCAGGGCTGATAACAGTGCTGTTTAGTGGTCAATGAGACAGAAAAGTGATATTTAAAATGAATATGCAGAGACTGATCAGATTTAATTACGATTAGAGCCCACCAAAATCATAAAGTATGATAGTTGAGACTGTTGGTTATTGTGTTTTTCACGTTACGTCCTTTACGAAAATGAAACACACCCTTCCTCACTTCCTTGTTGACAGCAGAGTGTGGGTGTGGCTCCTGCCCTCAAAGTTTGGGAGCACACAGGATTTGAGGCTACAGCTAGAATCAGTGGTGGACAGTTGGGTAGTAACGCGTTATTGGGAACGCCGTTACTTTATTCAGTAATTAACGCTGCGTTACTCCGTTCCTTTTGGTGAGGCGATCTATAAAGTTTAATTGAATTGGAAAAACAAATCACTTGTCACCCTCTGGCCTCACACACGTAATCAAACATGCGCCATGAAGAGGACTGGACAGGTCAGGGAACGGCACGGTGGCGATTTCCACCGGCTTCTTTCCGTTTCTCTGTGGATCGCCGGACTCCTCAGCTGATCGCAAGAGTTCTATTTTTTCTGGACGCCGGAGCATGGCGGATAAATTCAGCACAGATTAACCCGTGCTGGAAAGGAAGTCGGGCACAGACACAAAATAAAACATCCGGCTTCTTTTCAAAATAAAACACTCCGTGTTTCAGGAGGATCGTATTTCACACCACGCAAACGGGCGGAGATGAACAAGTGAAAGGTTTTTAGACGTCATTTCACCCCGATGACACCATGGATGAGAAGATGCTGATTCTAGAAGTCAAGAAGTAGATTTCCTCCTCTGGAAGGACACAATCTACTGCTTACACGGTTAGTCTATGTGGCTAAAGACAACTTGTTATCGCACAATTGCACGTCAATCTGTGGATTCTTGTGAGTTCTAGTGATTCCTGATGTCCGTAATCCGCCACAAAATTCACCTCACAAACAGATCCAGTGGGAATCAGTGTACGGCAAAAATCGCAGATGTTGGAAGAACGTTTTACAGAAACTAAATAGTTGCTTTCTCAGTAACACATTACTTTTTTTCTGTAACTAGCACAACACTGATGGTGGACCAATATCTTTAACACGTCATGCAACAGCAGGACAAACTATCATGAAGCCACAGGTGGAGAGAGGAGAGCAGGAGTGAGTCTGAAGGACACAACGAGGATGACGACAGAGAGGATGTCGTGATCACGAGTGAGAAAATATGAGAGACATCTAAGTCCTGACGTTAAATCTAAGACACTGAATGATCTGTTCGATCTGCAGCAGGAGGAACTGAATGGAAATGAACGGGATAAATGTGGTTTGATCAGCTAATCTTTGCCCCGAGGACCTGCAGCAGTTTGTCCGTCTCTGCTTTTCAAACCAAAGATTGAATTATAGAAACAGAAAGAGGAGATTCCACGTCACGACTGCATCTTACCTCCCACAAAGTTTTTCTCCAGATAATCTATAATCTGGTTGTAGTCACTGATGATGGTGTCCCCGTGAAGAAAGACGGGCACCTCCTCTCCCAGGTTCAGCCTCATGAACCAGGGCTCCTTGTGCTCCTGCAGCGGCAAGCTCACATCCCGCTCCTCGCAGACCAGACCCTTCTCGTTTATGACTAGACGTACCTGCAATCAGAAGAATATGCAGCATGAAATGAGCAGGAAAGAGGAGACGGTAAAAGCACGAATTAAACACTCGGTCTTCTTTTTGCTGCAAAGGGCGACACGGTAAAAAATCATCATTTGATATAAACCGTCTGAACCTTGGAGACGAGGGATGAGTCTTTACTGTCATGAAGCAAAACGACAGAGTCCCTGAGCAGAGCAGAAACAGATCAAATCAGTCGGAAACAAGATCAGGATCACATTTAGGATGAAACAGGTTTTAAAAACAATCTGAAGAGCTTCAAAACAAGAGTAAGCAGACGTGAAGAACACAATTATTCACGCTTATAAAGTACATTTGGCTCGTTTCACAAAGACCCGAGAATATTTGTCTCCGAACATCTTAACACAGATGGTAAATTACCAGACGGGCAGGATGAATCATTTTAAAAAGATAAAAAAATAGCACTGCGAATATTAGTTTGTTCATTTTCATCAGGGCCTCCTGGAAAATCAGGTTCATTAATAATCATGTGATATTTTTGCTTTTTCCTCCAAAATAATACGACGCTGCTTAGCATGCTGAAGGTTGGCCAGAAAACCTTCCCGGCTGCTTTGCTTGCAGGATGAAGGATAAGCCAAGGTCCACAGAGAGCTATTAGTGCGAACGAGATTAATGAAAGGAGATGACACCTGGGCTGTAAAGCACTACATTCGGCCGCTTAAGGAGGAGAAGCAAATTGGGAGTTTTGCTGAACATGACCGGGCATGGCTTTATGAAATACAACTGAATGATTTAGTGAGACACAGACTGACCACAGTCGAGGACAGAGGGGAGCAAATCTCTGAAAAAAGAGCTTCACATTTCCAGCAGCTTTGCTCTTTTCCTCACTAAACCACAGATTTATGTATAAAACAGTCAAATAACTCAGTCCCAGTCGAGCACAGCTGAGGTCTCCCTCAGTGACGCCCACAATAACACACTCTCACTGCTGTATGTTATATAATAATGTTAGTCACTCCTCAGTAATGATGCCAAGTGGTTCAGCTGCTGGAGCGGCACAAATAAAGTCCTCACACTAAACAATATGAAGTCTGCTACAGATGAAACTACTCAACACTCTCTAGGTTCATTTACTTCTACGTTCTCTCCTCTACTCCTTTACATTTCAGACACATATTATGATACAAGTCAGTTAACAGTTTAAGGGCCTGTGTCCACCAATGACAAGCCCTTATCAGAAGTCCCGCCCCCTTTTTTAAAAACATTTATTGACCAGTGATGAAGAGGTGACACTTAAGTGTTTCAAAAGTTAAACTTTATTCTACCAAGTGGAGTCTGAACTAGGCCTGGGCGATTTGGCCAAAAAGATGATCACGATATACTTTGTCATATTGTCCGATCTCGAAAATTATCCCGATTTTTTTTAAGTGATAGTTTTAAAGCATCTGTACTTAAAACTAAAAAATAAATAGATAAATACTAAATAAGACGTTAAATAACTTTTCTTCTCAATAATAACATCTTTGGAGGATGACTCAAAGTCATGGGGGACATCTATTTTACTGCCCTCATGATCAGTTACTCTGTTTACTTTTCCAGAGAAGTGAGCAGGAAAAGCTCGACTCTGATTGACTGTTGTGATGCACATTTTCGCCAAGTTTGATCACCGTGATCGAACTGAAATTTATCACGATCATTTATCATGATCGTATAATCGCCCAGTCCTAGTCTGAACTCTAATGCTGCGTTCAAGTTTCCTCAGAAGTCAGATATCCGAGCTGGGAATGAGGCCACACCCGAGTTACCTGTGTTTCAGTTACCAAGTCGGAAAAAAGCAAAATCAGAGGAAAAGTTATGAAAGTTATTTTAGCGCTTGCTTTGTGCTTGCTGATATTCGGACAATCAGAATCTGAATCAGAAATACGTTAATAATCCTCAGGGGGAAATGGCTCTTTGCTGCAGTGACTCCAGTGCAAATGAAGTAGAAAGAACAGATAAAATAAGAAAAATAAGTGAAAATAAAGAGATAATTTATAAGCATGTACGCTATATACAACAAAAAATAGTAAAATAGTATGCATTTAAACAGTAAGCAGAGTCCAGGTAAAGATTACTGGCTGATGATGTCAGAGTCTCTGAGGGAGGAGTTAAAAAGTCTGATGACCACCGGCAGGAAAGATTTCCTGTGGCGCTCCTTGGTGCAAGTGCTAAAATAACTTTCGTAGATGTAGTCTTCTTGTTTCTGCCTCTGATTTTGCTTTCCAATAACTTGCACTGGTAACTCGAGTGTGTAATGTCATTCCCAGCTCGGACTTCTGACTTCTGAGGTAACTGGAACGCAGCATAAATACTCTGCATCAGCTGGTTTGAGTTGACAAAATAAAAGCACCACCAGTGCAAAAATGGACACAGGCCCTGAGGTTTTCAGAAAAAGCTCATAAAGAGACGACCTGAGAGCCGAGTGGTGGAGGCACACGGCAGATGGCCGCCAACGCCCCGAGCAGCAACTTCATGTTCTGATTTGTAGCTGACTGGACATTTGCTGCATTTAATTCCCCACAGCTCCTGATTCTCAACAAAACCACTATCACACATACATTTAACAACCACCAAACTTCTCTTTATGAATGTCATGATTCGAGTAGTTTCCGGTTAATAAAACGTCTGGTTTGTCGCAGCTCCTTGAGATTGGAGAAAGAGAGAAAAAAGCAAATTCATTCAGTTTTTATTCCTCTCCTGTCGCTCATAAATACTGAACAAAGAACTGAAAATATCCTCTGATTAAATTATATCAAAGGCCGGTCATCATAACTTCTATATAACTTTATACTGTGATATATCATGAGACACAAATACGGAAAATGACGCAAACACAAAGTTTTGTCTCTTTTTGTTTGTTTTGAATTTCTCTAACTGAGCTCTAAATCTCTGTTGTTGTTTTGTGTCTTTGTAGATTCATCACGTCCGTTGTTGATCATTTTTCTCTCTTGTGGAGGTTTTTATCATCTGAGATTACATCTTACTTGTTACTTCAACAGTGCGTGAAATAATATTGAGGCGGTTTAGCTTCAAGAAGTTGGACGATGCCCAAAAGATACCAATCTGCAGACTTTTGTCAGGAACTGTTAAAGACAGCGGGACATCTGCAAAATGATTACCGCACTGAGAACAGAGAATATGAGAAGCTACAGGAGTCGGCGCTCAATCGCTACTGACCTGCAGAGTTACCAGCAAAAACAAAACAAATGAACACCCTCCGAACGCCAAACGCCAAATTTGGCGGGTAATTCTCAGACAGCTCTGCGCCATGCAGAGGGTGAATGTTTTCACCACAGTAGTGCTGTCATAGCTGAGCTTTTGGTACCCCTCTATACTGAGCTTCTAACACTGTCTTTTCAGAGTCCTGATTCCTATAACAATGTGGAGCTGAGGGGCCAAAACATTAGGAACAATTTAACAAGAGGCCCCACATCCCTCATTTTGGTCACCAGAGACCAAAACTCCAACTTTACTGTGAGATTATGTGTATTAAGACTTGATCTTCTTATACCACAGCAGTTTTTCTCTCTAAATCGTCAGAGTGACAGAGTGACTCTCTTCCAACAGCCGCTTGTTTGTTGTGAGACCTCAGGCCAGTCCATTACAGACTGCTGTGGGGTTTCACAACTCAAGGAAGAACATTTATGATCATTTCTTTATGGAAATACAATCAGACTGAGACGCTAAAGCAGAAGAACTACCACGTCTGCAGTGAAAATGATTAATATGGTGATTATTACTTCAAGGAAATGATAAAGAAATGATCATAAATGTTCTTCCTTGAGCTGCGTCACCCCGCTGTAGTCGATGGACTGGCCTAAGGTCTCGCTACAAACAAGCGGCTGCTGGAAGAGAGTAGGTGAGTTGTGTTTAGTCTCTTTGCTAAAGAAATGAGTCAAAGTTAAAAAGATGTTTGGTGTCTAGTACTATGTCTGTGACCCTATATGTCCTGTTGATGAAGTTAGGTGCTGTTCTGAGCATTATTTGTGGCTATAGAGTGGCGTTTTGGTTGGGGGCGTGGCTCTCTGTATTGCTATCCTGCGGTCGTTACTAAAGTTGGTATAACTAGAGAAGTAAGCGGTCGGCAACATTCATCTCTGGAGCGGTTGTCTAACTCGGTGCTAGGGTGTGTTTGACCCTAACTTAATCTTACGCCTGGATTAATATCCCTTTAAGAGTTCATCTTTTTGAATCACAGCAGTTTTTTTCTCTAGATCTTAAAAAAAATCTTTAATTTGTGCCTAATACTTCTATATTCTGTAGAGAACTTGACTGATTATCATACAGAGTGATAGCTGAGATCCCTCTTGGCTTTATCAGAGTCAGCAGTGATTCGATTTAGATTGTTTTTCACTTTTCACCGACCAACACTTCTAAGTATTTCCTCCACCATGCACTAACTCCTGATTCCTCACTTGTGGCTCACCTTGAAACTACCTCATGACGCTCATTCACATACTTGTTAACATGGTGACACACTGCCCCCCCCTGCACAGACAGAAACAGCCGAGTTACACTGTCACAGCGAGCCAATCGAAAGTGTAAATCTCCAACCTGCAGGCCCTGAGTTTGCCAGAGTCGTATTGATTTGTGAAGCCGGCCTCTAAACATGCAGTTAGTCCAAAGCATCAAGCTCCATATGTCTCTATCTTTTTCATCCCTCCTGTGTTCACACTGCATCACTCACTTGAATTATATGACTGTACTGTATGACCCACTTCAGGCGATGAAAGCGAAGTCTTATAAACACAAAGGGAAGGAGCTTCTCTCTTTGCTCGTGAAAGTGCTCAGGCGTAGACGCAGACGTGTAAATAATCCCGTTGATGATACCGTCTGCAGAGAGAGAAGTGATTTCAAGTTTTCAAGTTACACAAGATCTACTAAATATAACACCGTCTGTCAAGGTGCTACAGAGACGCTTCGTGTTCATCGTGACCAGCCGTGGAGCGAGAGTTTGTTTTGTATCGAGTCACAAAAGCGTTCGGTTCAATTCTGTCAGAGTGGACAACCTAACGCTCGGCCTCCTAATCTCATGAAAGCAATCCGCTCTCTGCCATTTACAGCACGCAGCAGCAGCAGCAGCTTGCGTAACAAAAAAGTGTTACACCATTGTTACAGAATAAATCAAATGGGATTGCCGTGCATGTTAAAGCTCTGTGCATTGCTCCGAATATGCACGCTGTTCCCTGACACGATGATGGAGTGACTACAGATGCACCGGCTCTAGGATTGAAGATAATGGTGACAGTGAACCCGGCGTTCACCCTCTGCTGAGTGACAACCGCCACAATCAGCAGCAGCTCAGACTGGAGTGGCTGCGAGCCAACAATGAGGCCTTTTAGACGCGACACACAGCGACCTCAAGCTGAGCATCGACTCAAGGTTGTCGATCTGAAGCAGAGAAATCAAACCAAACATCAACCTTCAGTTCATAGAGGCAGAGCGAGAGCTGGGAAATGTGCGAGGATAGAGGACGCTTTCAGCCACTTCTCATGAGAGGAATATTCAACTAATCCTATAATATGGAGCGTGATATCAAAGAGCAGGAAGAGTCAAACTCACACCAGCTAATGATCCTTTTAAAATTGATTTTTCAGCGTATTAGCTTTTACAAAGTGCCGCCCCTTTTTACTCTGTGCTCCAATCAGAGATCAAGCTTTCACCTGTCCGATTCTACTTGGTTAGCTAGATACGCTTTGTGCTCAGATTGTCAATGACAAAGAGAGCAGGAGGCTAAATAAAAACAAGCTCACATGTTTGATCGAAGCCACAAAAGTTTTATGACAACAACTTTAACTTTCACATCACCAGATGGAGACAACTGCGTCCAAACTTTGTGATATTACACTTTTAAGTTTGATCTTAAAGGTGGGCTCGGCAGGAATCCGCTCCCCCATGTTGTGAGGTGTGCTCCACGTCCTTCAATAACGTTCACAAACAACAAAGTTAGCGTGCTACAATATCGGACAGTAGAAACCAACCAGAAAGTTCGGAAAATTGTCTGAATCCTCCTTTGGCCACGACTGCCGACACAAGCAAGAAAACAAAGTAAATACCGGAGACTCTGGAGGAATAACGGGCGCTTAAAACGGAGGTAGACCGGACAAGAGCTACAAAGCCGGGTCAACATAAACGATGGGGGACGCTTGGGGATCTTGGTGACCCTGTAACCTTTCTGCTGGACAGGTAAACCGCTTTAACAAAGTAAGACAAGTGTCTGTAACAGAAGTGTTTCTTGTCAAACGGACCTGCTGTAGCGTGTTGTAGCGCCATCGCTAAACTGTCCTCCCTCGGGTCCTGGACTATGTCACTTTATCCTCGTTGTAGAAGTCCTGCAAACATTGTGTTTGCTGGTAGTCTGTTGGCATCTACAGTAGCACCAATGCTTTTGACTTTCACCTTGACTGGGCCCCATTTGTAATGATCTGAAGTATTTATCTGCATTATATCTGAATTTAACTGGAACGATACGAGGAGCAGGAGCGTCTGTTTGTGGGCGGGGCTTGAGGGGAGAGGAGGAGCTGAGGGGAAAACTGGTTGGGAGGGGTCGAGTTTACATTCAAGATTTCTCCTAAAAACTGGACTAACTCAGATCCTGACTACACCACCTTTAACTTTTCTCATTTTCAATCTAGTATCATCACCCTCCTCATTTTTGTCCTTTTGGGTGACTTTCTAACAAACACCATCAATCATAACTACCTGTCAGAAGAGTGAGTGTATTTATCAGTGCAGACGGTGACATGCTTTGACACTTATCCATCAAAAACACCCCAGAGTCACATCTGTTGGCTGCTTGTTGTGTTCGGAGTCTGTGTGAACGATCAAACACAGTGACGAGTCTTTACTGCCAGCAAGAACCCCAAAGACCGGACCAAACATGGATCTAGTCCCAATGATGTTGCTGATGGGTTTCTATGGAGACATTTTGATGCTAAATTAACTTGATCGGCATATTGAGGCAGGTATTTAGCCTCCTGGCTAACTGTTACAGTGTGCCAGTGAACTCAGCTGTTCCCCCGATAATGCAAAACTCCTCGCACTGCAATGGTTTCATTTCTCAAAGCCTGAGGTTGCATCTTGGTTTGCCAACATAAGTATTTCATAGTGTCCTTGTACGAGTCTGCGTCATCACGAAAAAGTCTAGAGATGCCTTTGCTGTATGGACCGGGACATTTTTTTGCACCAATTTGTAAAGATGTTTAATTTTACTGTAAATGAAAGGGACATAATGAGGATTCCTCACTTTTCGAGACAGCCTCAAGTGGACACAGAGGGAACTGCAGTTTGTTTTCGCTTTCATAAACAAGTTCAGGAAAGGCAGGGCTCGACAGTGAGACCGTTTCACTCACATTTGCGACTAAAAATAGATGAGTGCGAATTGTAAAATGTATTTAGGGTGACATGTGCACATAAAAAAATCAGTCAAGGCAACAAATATTTTTTTGCAGCGAAGTTAGTTTTAGGTTGGATATCTGACGGACATTCACTGAGGATCTACCGGTGTCTTCTCACTCTCCATAATCGGGACAACAACATCAGCGCGGTTAAATCTACTCGACACCCTCACTGTCAACATCGGGTGTTGAATAAGGGACCGTCAATAAATTACTGATTGATGTTCTCAAAAAAGACTTTTTTCTTTCAAAAGCTCCAAGTCATGTGACCAATCGACCTAAAATTGATTTCAAATAATAGTACTGAGATCAGACAATAAGATACACCTCTTTATTTCACTAATCTGTCCTCTAAAAACAGTTTGTGTTAAATTTAAAGGCAAATTTTGAACATTTTCTTCCATAGCTTCCATGTCATGTGACCAAAAAAAACTAAAATTGATTTCAAATAATAGCACTTATGTCGACTAATAAGACAAACATTATTTGATCAATTTTCTCTAAAGTTCTTTGTGAGCTACTTACTTCACTCCTTGTGAAAACAATTTGTGTTAAGCCCTGAGAAAGATCATTTGATTTATTATTCTCATCAAGTCTCTAAAATAATAATTTTTACAAAAAGATTTCTGCCACATACTATTAAAAACCTAGCCGATAATTATTCAAACGTGATAATTTTACAAACAAATCTAAAAGCCTAAACTAGCCAGGGGATATGTCCATTTTATGAATGTTCTTGTCTGGAAGTCAGCATTTTGTTTCCATGAAATAATCAGTCAAATAATTAGCTAACACATTACAGTACGTTTGGCCGCTCTGGGCTTCCGTACAGCTGTGCTCTAGGTGAAAAGTTAACTGATTGGACCGTGTAGCCCTCCTGTAATATGTTGAATATGCTTTTTAGTCACACATTAGCCTATAAAGCGTTCTTATTGCTGAATTCTTGTTGTTTTTAATGGCTTTCTAGTTAAAAGTGAACATTTTTATGACACATGCGTACTGAACAGGAGAGGCACAGGTGAACGCTTGCCAAGATAATCAAAGGTAGACTTCAAGGAGCCATAAAATACCAACATATGGCAGGGATCAGCTGCAGAGAGGAGGCAGAAGATGGCCTTTGGTTTGTTTTGCTCATCATTTTAATCAATTATTTAGGATGTCATGTTCCAGAGCACATAAAGGTAGTAACCACACAGGAGATCAGATGTGGCAATAAAAGGTGAAAGGTGGTGATAGATAAAATATGATTTATGCGGAGAGGAATGACAGGCAGCAGAATATTGACCACAAATCCGGGTAAATATCGAGGGAATGAGCCCCATGCTGCAGCGCTCCTGAACGCCTCATACAGCAGATCTGCCCAGCTGCAGGATCAGATTCATATTCCGGAGGTCTGTGCACGGGGAAACATGCACACCACAACAACAGACATGCTCCGATCATAACAAACAAACACCCATGCTCCAGCATCACATCATGCAGAGAGAGAGACGTGGAGCCACCTCCATTTTCAGCCTCCTGCTCTGCTCTCTCCCTCTCTCTCTGTGTTTGTTCTCCCCCCTCTTACCTTTTGGGAGGTGAAAGACTGCGTCCAGTGGTACAAAACCAGCCTGTCTTTGTTGAAGGGTTTGGGCTCCGTGCTCGGTTCCTCGCACTCCTCCCCGTCTGTGATTTTGCCGTCTTCATCCATGGCTGAGATGGGCCACCAGCTACAGTTGGTGGGGGTAACATGGTTGGAAGACGCCATGACAGAGCGTTTTGTGCGTGTGGAGGAGGAGAGGAGAGGAGAGGAGAGAGGAAGGAGAGAGAGAGAGAGAGAGAGAGAGAGAGAGAGAGAGAGAGAGAGAGAGAGAGATATTCAGCAGCTCGAGCTCAGCATCGTCGCTTCAGCATCATCCGGGCGGACAGCTCCGGTGCTGAAATCCGCCTCCCCTCTGAATAAATCCGGACAAACCGATAAAATAAACAAATACACCCTCCACAGTTTAATAGATTCACTAAAAAAGAACTCAAAATACACTCACAATTAACCCCCCGTGTGACCGTGTTACATCACACACTCAGCTTCACGCAAACATGCGCGGTGCAGACCCGCGTGTCCCGTGGAAGGTCAGTCTGCTCTCTGTAAGGACATGGAGGCTGTCAATTAAAAACACTCATTGATATACTCTGTGTGTGTGTGTGTGTGTGTACGCGCATGCACGTGCAGCTAAACTAAAAGACAATGTCAGCAGTTTTTTAATAAATACAGAGTAAACCCCTCTGTGTGTTTTCTCACGATATGAAGTACTTTCATGTACTTTTCAAATGTACACACTGTACTTTTTAATCCACATAATCCTGATTTAGACAGAGCTGGCTTTTATATACTACACAAACTGAGATTTTCAAGAGAAAGTTTAAGTTTAACAATCATAAAACAAAAGATAAAAATCATGTGAACCTTTATTTAGAGCTTCTTAGAGGAGTTTTTGAGAAATTCACTTTTTTTATGATAATTTTGTTATTTTAATGCCTGAATCTACGGTGGCCGAGAACTGCCACTGCTGCTGTAAAAAAAGATCTGACTTTCAACAGTGAAATGTAGAAGTTATTGTGAACAGGCCTGTTATAGGGGAACTGTAGAATCAGAGCTGTTTCATACAGTGGCCGAGAAAAGCCACTGCTGCTGCTGCTGCAAAAAAAAAACGTTTAAAAAATTAAGTCACAACGGAAGTTACTGATGAAAAAAAAAAAAAAAAAAACAAAGCCCGCTGCAAATAAAAAAAGAAATGGTAAAGATAAAAAAGCCTCAATGGAAGTTATCGATGCAAAAAAAAAAGTGGCGATAGAAGAAAAAGTTACCGACTTAAAAAAAGGATGCAAAAAAATAAGACTGTAAAAAAAAAGAAGTCACAACGGAAGTTACTGATGCAAATAAAAAACGAATCGTGAAGATAATAAAAAAGCCACAACGGAAGTTAATGACACAAAAACAATGGCGATAGAAAAAAAGTTACTAAGTGCAGAATAAAAGGATGCAAAAAAAGACAAAAAAAAGACTGTCAAAAAATAAGTCACGCAGTAGAAAAAAAAAGTTACTAACTACGAAAATAAATGGATGCAAATTAAAAAAGCCACAACGGAAGTGAGGTTTTGTCTGTAGACACAATTTAGACAAGCGGAGCAAAGACATCTTTGTCAACAGAGGGCGCCAAAGTGACACAAACCAATGTTCCTCATAGGAGTCTTAATTCAAAAAGAAGAAAGACTGAATCTGACTTTTTTTTTAATTTTATGTAAACTTTTGTTCCAAAAGGGAAATTAGGATTGCAGCTGGAGTACACAAAGACAGGGTACACGGTGACAAACATGATAAAAAACAACACAATAAAAGAAACATCATACATATACACAAGATCACTAAAAAAAATGTTCAGTCCAGAGCCGATACCAAAACTGGAGAGGATAACCGCCTCCATAAACTGTAAATTAATGTGGATGTGCAAAAATGCAATAAAAGAAAAGCAAAGAAAAACATGGACAACATAAGGTCTAATTACCATTCAGTAAATGGATTGAGATGTGAAATCTCTTAGTCCTCCTCGTAGGAGCAAAACTGTGGTTGACATCATATTTAAAATGAGTTTGTATTTTTCATAAAGCAGTTTTTTTTATTTTATGTATGTTGGCACTTATTAAATGTAAGTAAAAGATACAGACAGCTTCCTCAAAAGACGTTTGAAGAAGTCAGAGTTCAAGTATTTCTGATGCAGTAACTGAAATTCACCAGCAGAGGGAGTCATGAGAATGAAGTATAGGCCTACCTTACACCTCTGCTGTTTCCTATGATTAAAAAAACACTTAATCATACTGTTTGTTTATGACAATTGCTGCAATTTGATTAAAAGAAAACGACTGTGTGAAAATAAAATCGTTTTATTGTTCTTTCATAAACACAATGATGATCCTGATCCCATTAAACTTGATGGGATCACGCATCAGCTTTAATGACATATTACAGAGATTAATCTGCTGTCTGACATTTCCTCCGTGGAGCTTTATCACCCATTAAAGAAGAATTATGTTGAAACTGTAACCTGTGGGGAGCAGAGTCCTGAATGGCATGCACACTTCAGACTCTGGCATGGCTCCTTGCAGCCAGGCAGCAGCAGCAGCAGCAGAGTAAGGATTGGGTTGTATTTTTGGAAGGGTGTGTGTGTGTGGATTGGTCGCCTTGTTAGGTCTGCAAAAATATTTCCAACAGCAGCGACTGTCAGGAGATAGCTGGGTGGCAGGGACAGGGGGAGAGGGGCTTTTCTCTGTGGCCACCTGGAAAAAGCCATGTAAGATCCCTGGCTTCTCAAGGCGAAAACTACAGAAATAATCCAAATTCAAGTACCTGAAATGCTAATTTGTGAGGCCGAAACTTTAATTCTGGTGGAAAAATCGATGGACTGATGAAGGAAATCGACGAACCCGAGACGATTAAAGTTTCTGTAAAGTTTGGTGTGCGCCCCGGAGCTTCATGGACACGCTGAGAAAACCCCAAACCAACAGCAGAAGAAGAAACCCCGACAAGTTCAGCACCAAGGATATCTGCTCTCAGTTTTGATGTCAGGTGAAGGTGAAGTCAGACTGACGGAGCGTTCATCTTTAGCCGGTAAAACCTGCGTTAACTTTCTGATCGGTGCGTAATTACGCAGCGGTGAGGCATGAGTGGAGGTCGCTTTGAGTTCGACGACGGTGGAGCTTACTGCGGGGGCTGGGAGGGGGGAAAAGCCCACGGCCATGGCATCTGCACCGGACCCAAAGGCCAGGGAGAGTTCTCCGGGTCCTGGAACTACGGCTTCGAGGTGGTGGGGGTCTACACCTGGCCCAGTGGGAACACTTACGAGGGGTACTGGTCGCAGGGGAAGCGCCACGGTCTGGGACTAGAAACCAAAGGACACTGGCTTTATAAAGGGGAATGGACTCATGGCTTTAAAGGGAGATACGGAGTCCGGATCAATGCTGGAAGTGGAGCCAAGTATGAAGGCACGTGGAATAATGGGCTTCAGGATGGATACGGGACAGAGACGTACGCAGATGGAGGTGAGATTCACAAAGATTTGGTGTGAAAAAGAGAAAAGTTTCACTCAGAATTACTCCCCTCTGTAATGACACGATCTAAACTTTAAACAGGAAATATTGAAGGAAAGGACAAGTACATAATGACCAGTCTTGAAGTACTTGAGTAAATCTACTCTGTTACATTTCACCTCTAGATAGATCTCTGGATCAAGTTTCTGAGACCCCACCAGCCGTAAGAGAAGTGTTTTGGCCTACTTAAGTCAAAGGAGCAGAAACAGCAATACTGTATATTTAAAAAAAAATCTAATTTGAAGCACAACTCAAGCTTTTTTAACAGCTATGAAACAGACTTATTTATATTTTACTGACTGGAACAGGTGCAAGGAGACAGGTGTCAGCGCAGCAGCTGAAGAAACAACAAAAAAGTTTAAAGCACGATTAAACCACAGCAAAGATTTGACATAGAAGTATAAATTAGGCTCAGGAATAAGCCACCCTAAAATCCTGAACTATAACTTACTGTTTTGCTTTGTCAGCAGATGTATAATTCAGCATATTACTACCCAGTCTTAGTATTATTGTTGATTTGGCACAATAGATGCTGGTCAGCTCAGAAACAGGAGGCAAGCTAGGCTACAGAACTCTGAGTCTGCTGTCTTATTTAGCTGATTTTATGAGCGCTTATCTCGGTTTAAGTTTAATGCTCTATCGAGAGAGGACTTGAGGAATTAACCTGAGCCTAAAGGTGTTAGATAAAAGAAAATTTAGGAGTAAAGACCTCAGTGAAAGTAGAAGTTACCGGAGCTGTTCAAAGGTGTTATTGTCTGATGAGCAAAATGTTGAAAATCAAGAGTAAAAGTATGAAAAAGTCAGAGTACTGGCACTTAAATCCATAACACAGCTTCATTAAAATAAAATGGAAATAGTGAAAGTGTTTCAGATTTACCTGAATTTACCTGAATTTTCACAATCATGACCATTTGTATATTTCATTTATTTTATATTACTGCTGTCTCATTATGTGGGTCATTTTAAGGGTTGTAGTAGTTAAAGTACAGCTTAATACTGATATATTTAAACTTAAAATGGGTGCTATTATCTGTGGCGAGGACAATAAAGTAGCATCAAATGGAAATAGAGAGTTAAACAAGACATCAGAGTTGTCATTAACCAGAAAAGATCACTTTCCATCCTTTTCATTACGCTAAACTGGCTGTTTGATGGAAGAATAAAGAATAAATCAGGGAGAAGTCCTTTAAACTCAGTGTATCATTACGTCTTTGCACCAAGTTCATGGCAGGCGACGAGGAGTCGAACCCTCGAGATAAAGAGGGACAGGTCGATTATTTGGGGTCAATTATGCCGTCTCTCCGTGTGAGTGGGAGAAAATAGAACCCTGCTGCTGTCACTTCAAACCCTGACAGAAAACTTTTAACTTCGCTGAAGTGGAAGAAGTATTTGGATCTTCTACTGCCATGTGAGAGTATGTGGTTGTAGATAAAGTTCAGCAGAATGGACTGAAAGAGTCTAAAGTGTCAACACATCCAAGTAGAGTTACAGAGTGAGGAGTAAAGCCAAATACAAAACTAAGAGAAGAAAAGGATGATGTTCAAACTTAAATGTAGTGAAGCTTCTTCAAAAGTAGTGTACAGTTTTAATACTCCGATAAAAAACAAGATTAAAGCTGTTATTTAATCTGACAAAAGAAAAACCTCAAACCTTTCCAGCCCTGACATTCAAGAGTTTTTTATTCACAGCTTAAATTACATTAGATATAATGAAATTCCTGGTTTTTCAGGTTATATTGAGGTTAAGAAAAACATCCTGATCTCTTCAAGTCAAGTTCTTTATCTCTGGATATCTCCAAAGAGGACTCTGATGATCTGATTCCTTCATTTTGATGAGACTGAATAAGTCAAACCGACAGAATCAATTGCAGTGATCGGCGTTTGTAGGACAGCGGTGGTTCCCCGCTTTAACAGCTGACTCATCAGCTTTAAACTCAGTCAAGTGGAGGCCGTGCTGGGGGGGGGGGGGGGGGTGAAACTGCTCCAGGATGTAATAATAGCCCAGTAGCCCCCCCTTGCCCTCCTGGCCTCGCAGACTCAGACCTCATAGCTGTCACTATGAGCCACACTCAGACACATGTCAGTTTTAGCAGGAGGCCTCAAAATGCCATGTGTGTTGACAACTGAAGAATTTAGTTTTCACATCTAAAATAGAAATCAGATATCGATTGATAGATTTAGATTTTATATTGTAGGGTGACCATATTCTGACTTACCAAAAAGAGGACACAACTATGAGGGGCGCTTCTAACACAGTAAGTCCATGTGACACAGAATCGAAACTTTCGTACAAAACTGTGGACATTTGAAGGATTTTATAAATTTCCCGAACAAAGCCGGACAGCCCCCAAAAAAGAGGAAATGTCCGGGTAAAAGAGGACGTATGGTCACATTATTATATTGAAAGTTTACAGCAGTGCTAACTAGTGTAGCTTGATGCTTAGAGCTAAAAGCAACTTTACAAGGTTCACCACTAAAGTATCAGAGATGTAGATGAGCTGGCGCTTTTAGTTCACTGGAAAACAACAACAACTTCCACTCAGTTACATCTCTAATTATGCAAACAGATATACAACTCTTCCCTTCAATATTTTCTTAAGTTAGAATGATGAGAAGATGATTCCAGAAGATGACCCTCAAAGTCATGAGCATATTTGTACTCAATTTTTCGTCCCAAACTAAAATATTTCTCAAAATGTTGCGAGCACGTCTGTAGAACTGTCCCTGGTTTATCTGTGGAACAGTTTGAGAGGAGTCACGCCCTGTTTTCCCATGATTCCAGGTACTTTCCAGGGCCAGTTCACCGGCGGAATGCGACACGGTTACGGCGTCCGTCAGAGCGTCCCCTACGGCATGGCAGCAGTCGTCCGCTCTCCTCTTCGTACCTCCCTGACCTCCCTTCGCAGCGAGCACAGCAACGGCACCGTCCTACAGCAAGACATCCCCGTCATCACCACCACCAACGCCTCAGGAGAAGAGACCCCCGTCGCCACCCCCACCCAGCTGGGACCGTCCCGCGGAGGCTTCGCCCTCACTCTGCAGGTGGATCCAGAGGCTGTGAAACCAAAGAAGAAGGGCCTGTTTCGTAGAAGCTCTCTGTTGGGTAAACTGAGGAAGTCTGACTCGAGTACGTCCCTGTCCAGCCAGAAGAGCAAGATCAGCTTCCTGAGGACGGAGTCAGCTCTCAGCTCCAACGCCAGCGACACCAACTCCACCATCAGCATGGACGAGAGCCTGACCGGAGGCGAGGACTTCCCCCCAGTCGAAGCTGACATCGACGCCACCACCACGGAGGTCTACATGGGCGAGTGGAAGAACGACAAACGCTCAGGATATGGAATAAGCGAGAGGTCCAGCGGGCTGAAGTATGAGGGCGAGTGGCTGAACAACCAGAGACACGGCTACGGCTGCACCACCTTCGCTGAGGGAGGGAAGGAAGAGGGCAAGTACATGAACAACATGCTGGTGAAGGCCATGAAGAAGAGGGTGATCCAGCTGAAGGGAACCAAGATCAAGCACAAGGTGGAGCGGGCGGTGGAAGGCGCTCAGAGGGCTGCGGCCATCGCCAAGCAGAAGGGCGAGATTGCTGCTTCCAGGTATGTCCAGGACTTATATCAGTACTATTTTTAGAGCCCAGATTCTGACCTTCACTTATTAATCAATCGAGCATAAATGTTGTTCTCAAGTACACGTGTCCACCTCCAGTTTATCCGTGACCGTACAAGGCGCTGCTGTGTTTTCCTTCAGCACCTGAAACTAGTCCAGTGTTTACAGCAGAGAGACTCGCTCTGATGGACTCCAGGCCTCTGTCCCGGCAGATCCAAATCCAAATATTGTACTCTGAGGATAAGCAGTAAAAATGAGTAATGGGCCGCTGTTTGTTGTATCAGGGCGTTAAACTGACTTACATGAAATCCACCAGAGAGCTGAAAGTGGAAGGAAACACTTTATAAAGGACTGCTTCACAAACACCTGCAGAAAGTATCCTCAGAGGACATACGTGTCCTTATACACATTTAGCCATTTTTTTAATTATCAACTTTTTTATCATCTAGTGTTTCCCAGTCACCATGGTAACAGAAAGCAATACTTCTGGACCAACTGTTAGATGATTTACCGTACAAATCTCCCCTATTCTAGATTTCTAACCTGATTCCATCCAAATAACTGTCACAGTATTGTGATAATAAATACAGAGAGTAAACGATTTACAGCTGCAGGAGATTTCTTTTAACGAGTTTGGATGGCTCACACAGAAAAAAGATGGTCACTGCTACAAAACAAAGTACAAACACGTCTTTGTGGTCGGTCAAGACTGTGACCTCGCTGGTCAGAGTTCATCAGAGTTGAACAGATGCGAGGCCAACAAAGCGTGCCAACTGAAGCAAAAGTTTGATCGGCCTCTAGCTCTATTCCTATCCATGCAGTGGGGTTATTTTCCTCAGTGGTAGCACCTATGAGTTAACTTTGCATAACTGTACTTTCCAGAGATTAAAAAAGTTCCCCAGTGTGATCTCAGTCAGTTTAGAGTAAGATTATCAACCTGTCCTCTGATTCTTCAGTCACAGCAAGGAACAAAGTTTTCTCCAATAATGTGAAAGGAGAGACACAATCCTCACAGCTTGAGTATGATGCGGCAAAGTCTCATACGATTGACAGAAACGTCCATAGATATCTATAATGGCAGCTTTTCTTTGCGTAAACAAAGACTTAATCATGAAGCACAGTTGTTTCAGGGCTATTTGCACGCAAAGGCTAACTTTGAGTTGCTTTGCGTTGCTTTGCGTAAGTTGTCAAGGCTGAGGCCACAATCGAGATTTTATTTTCTTGTATGACAGTCTATATTTTTGGTCTAAGTGACACTCTTTGTGGATGTGTGTTTATCAGCATGGCTAACAGACTTGCTGTGAGTGAGACCGAGTACGTATTGCAATGTTGACCCAGCAATTTTACATTAGTTGGAGAGGCAGAAATGCTCTTTCAATTCAACACAACTTAAAGTTGCACATGATTTCCCAGCTGTTTGGTTTGTTATAAACAATTAAAATAACAACATGAGGCAGATATTCATATTGAAAATAAATACAAATATGTTGTTATATGTTATTTAAATTAACCCTATAACAGAATTATTACTAATATAACATACATGGAATGATTAAATGTTTTATATATAAATTATTTAATTTAACTGTCTTGTGTGTGTAGGCCTATAGCTATTGCTCTACCTATCTGCTTAATGTTTATTCATGTAAATCCATGGTTTAAATTATTCTTAAGTATGCAGGAACATAACGAAAACTCTGAAGTTTGTTACAGACCAAACCGTTCGAAAATCGGTTTAAAATTAAGCAATCTATGGTTATTTAAATGCAACATGCACCATAGATTATGTTATGAATGGGCGAGCTGCCCATAGCAAGATGGCCGCTATGCGCGTACGTCGGTCTCCATTTGCTAACAGCGATTGTATATATGTATAACCATAGACATTATAAAAGATAGACCCCGCGTCGGCCGCTACCACGAATGGGCGCTGTCGAAAAATGCGGCCGCCATCTTGGTCCGGTCATCCGCCTCACTCTGCACTGCTGTTTAACCGGCGGAATGAGGTCTGAGCGCATTAAATGAATCATAGTTCGCTCAATACTACGTAATTTTCTTGTCTGCAAACGCCATTCAAAGAGGCATGATAGAGGCCATATTTTTTTTTGGCGTTTTCAAATACTCAGAATGAATAAAATGATATTTTAGAACATGGCAGCAGTGGCTGTATTATAGTATAACAATTAATCAAGGATATATTTAGGTTTAGAGCTAGGTTCCTGCTATGTCTCAATAATTATTAATAACTGGCGGTTTTAATAGGCCAATTCAATATTGATTTGATTATAATTTTTTATATAGTTTAATTTTATTTATCCATTTGTAGACACACACAAATAATGTCATATAGAAGCACTATTTTAATAACTGGAAAATACACACAAAGAAATACACACAAATATATAGCCTACATATCAATAAAAATTTAAACACAAGAACAGCGTGACAGGACAGCATCTAAACTACATATCAATTTGCTTGTTGGCTACACAGCACAGAGGAATCACTTGCTGTGAATTTCTCCCTCTAACAGCAATCTCCCACTTCTTCCTCAAGTTTTGTCCTTAGGAAATCTTCAAAATGAAACAGGAGATCACCACAAAGAAATCTTTAATAAAACAGAGCTCACTTTCTTCCTTCTTCTTTCTATTTTATTTCTTGACGTTTCTTAGAACCTCTCTCAAACAAAAGTTTTTCAATCTAATGCAAATCTGTTCATAATAGAGCAAAGTTGCTATTATTGTGAATAAGCTAGCTGTTCGCAAATGCTGTTTCCTTTTTGGAGTTGACCGATAGTCTTCCTCTTTGGCCTACAAATGACTCTACAGTCAAGTGTAATGTTGAAAAAAGGTTTAATCATAACTGTGAAAAGTTATTCCTTGAGCCCTGTTCTCTGCTGTCCGCCTGTTGGCACAGGAATACGCCGCACAGTGCTCCGGCATCGCTGAATGAATGAATGAATGAATACGATTGACCGGAGCGTATGGGAAGCTTGACCTGACCAAGATGGCGGCCGCATTTCTCGCTGCGCAGCACCCCCAGCGGGGTCTACCCTTTTATTATGTCTATGTGTATATCAACGGAGTGATCTTGTTGCTAAAGCTAAGCTAGCTTATCAAGTTAGCACATTAGCTAGTTCACTTTGAGTCGGTGTTCACTTTGTAACTATTAATTTCAGTCATTTAAGTCCCACTCCGATCATTTTTAACTACTTTAAGTTTTTTCAGTGGTCTTTACGCTGTAATTATGAAGTTTTTAGCCAGAATCACATTACCTGTGTCATTTTTAAGGACTTTTCTTCAGCAGAGCTCCAGTGGCTCATTAGCAATTCGCCGCGGAGACAGCGCCGCTCTGCTAACTCCTCTTCCGGCTAGCTTACAGCCTAACATCGCCGGTGTAGAAGAAGAAGCAGCAGGTAACGGAAGCTTTTCAGCTGTGGGATACTGTCTCTCTCTCGAATGATTCTCACTGAGCCTGGGTTTTCCGATTGGGTCTGCCAGAGTCCCAATTTAAATGCAGACATACTCAAATGAAAATTCGCACTTATTTTTCCCATGATATGTCCTGTACTGTCATAAAACCCCATATGAACATGTAAACAAGAAAAACATGATTTTCAGAGTGGGTCTTTAATGTGTGGCACTATATGAATTTCACCAAGAAATAAGATTTAAAGTATCATCATTCACATGTTTACTCAGTGTCATGAAAAAAAAAAAAGGAGAGTAGAGTGACTATATCAGAAAAATCAATCAAGTCTTATAATCATGCAGTTTAGACACCTTAAAGGCTGAGTCTGCTGCAGTCATTAATCACCTCTCACTAGAATCTGACTAAAGTAATCACTAAGTCTTCACAGATTTGGTAAGAATGTAAAAGTTGCATTTAATACATTTTATTTATATTGTGCTTTTCACCTGAGAAAACAGACCTCAAAGTGCACACAGTAAAAGGCAAAAATAGAAAAAAAAAGGCAATAGTAAAGCAACAGTCAGAATATAAACTCAGCCCGGAAAAGGCTTTACTGAAAAGGAGTTTTATTTTCCCAGACAGAGTGAGACTTTGAAGATGAAGATGAAACAGAAGAGCCACCTTTGTACTCAGCACATGCAGGCTTATAAAGGCAGTTATCATGAACCAGAGCACAGATAGGAGGACAAAATTGCACAACATCGGTTCAGGTAGTTAAACAGACATGGTTGAATGAGGTTCAGGCAAAGTTTGGTACAAAAAAAAGCAAAAAAAGTGCAACGAACTGGCGACGAGACTGAGAGACACATGAGGTTAAATACAAGAGGTAAATGAGGGTGATGGGAAACAGGTGGGGAGACACAATCTGGTAGCAGGTGTGACAAGACAGGGCGGGGCAGACCAGACAGGAACAAATCTAGAAAATAGAAACAAGGGTTGGAGAACTTCAAAATAAAACAGGAACTATAAGACATGAAACAAAACTGGAATGTGTAAGAATAAAGGAAATTTAGACATGACAGCTGTGGATGCATTTTATGTTTCAGCATTTAGTCTGTGAATCATAAACACGAATCCAAGAGTGAGCATAGAGCTTAAACAGATCTGACCAGAATATACAGATACCAGCCAACTCAGCAATGCCTCTGAATTTGCAGAATTTCTACTCCCTCATGACAAAAACATTGTTCTACCACACCCTCACCTCCCAGTTATCAGAGCAGAAGAGAGAGTCTGTTTAGATGTCATGAACCAGGGTTAAACTAAAAGGAAAAAAGGACCCAAGACTCAAAATGAAATGCAACAAAAACTTTCTTCAAATGTCCAGCTGAAAAATCCCAAATGCATAAAAAAAAAAAAGAGCAAAAGCCAATAAAAATCACATGGGGACTCACTGTGGATGTGCCATCAACATACAAACAATGAACCAACTGAGAAAGGGGAAGACAGGGACTATATATACACACAAGGTAACGAGCAACAGGTGAGGCAGATGAGACACAGGTGAAACTCGTTAGTGATTAACGAAGGAGGGAAACCTAGTTAAGTAAAACCAGACTAGAAACACAAGGAATCAACTACTACAAAATAAAACAGGAAACACTGAAAACGTGAGGAAGAACAGGGTAAAAAACCTGAAAACTCACAAGACTGGACTTCAGGAACAAAAGGGAAAAATACACAAACAATACACGCAAATAAAATCTGGGGAAAGCAAAATTTACAGAACAGACCATGACAGTAGATTATTACTTTAAATTATCCAAATTTTTGCATCACAGCTTTTGTTTTCTTTTTTTTTCTGCAGTTATAAACTCCTGACCAGAAAATTAATGACTTCTGCTGCATCGTTCTGCAGTAATGTAGAATTTATTTCAATTATACCTCCTCACAGAAGATAAATTCTGCAGATATAATACTTTTATTTTCTGTTCATTTATTTAGAGACAAGAATTTCTCTTATCGGAGTGGTCTGAATGTTGCATTGTCTCCTCTGGTGAAGTAAGGGATGCTTTTGCTTCCACACCAACTTAACAACAGCCACTCTCGACTGTTGAAAACTAAAATCTGTCGTTATATAAGCAGTGGAGACATGACACATCTGTTCCTGGCAGTCGTTTCCTCACTCTGTGATCTTTCAGCGGTGAAGTCGACAGTTAAAAATACCTCCTACAAACCTGTGCACTGTACGGGACGCCGGAGCCGGCCTCTCCAGGTCGGCGCGCTCGCCGGTGTTAAGACACACTGAGGACATTGTTCTTTGTGGTAAGCTGGCCGCCGGGCGTCTGGAGGAGGAGGACCTGTGCGGCAGGACGGGGTGTAAATGACGCACAATCGGGGGCCCTGTGGTCACAGAGGAGCCCTGACTAAATATGGACAGGCACACTCTGCTGTATCACAATCACAGGGGAATGCAACAGCTGATTATCCCCCCTCCCCCCTCCTCCAGACCGGACTCTTCTGCCCTCTCAGACACAAACACAGACGCTTTTCTTAAAATGAATCACAGCAGGGGTTTAATTTCCTGCACACATGCTTCAGGCTGTTATTTCATTCACATATATGGTGAATGTATGAAGCACACGTGGTGACGGGTAATGACATTATGCAGGAATTCTGAATGAACCAGAGTATTTTGATCGTCTCTCCATTCTTATTTCCTCTGCAGTCCTGGCGAAGATGATCAGGTTTCTTTGCAGAAGTACTAACGCCACATTTCGAGTTTGTATTTTCTCCTAATTTGTACTTCCTCTTGACGATATTAAACCTAAATGCACTGATCTTTAAGATTCAATCACAACATTAACTCTGACTTATTTAACACATGTAAACGTCACTTTCCCTCCCCCCTAATTTTGACCTTTTAGTGCAGGTTTTGCTCACTAATGTCAAAACTTTTCTCAAAATCTGAGTGGAGATATTTTCACAAACTAATTTGACCTCCTTTTACCCTGAATCTCCTTGAGGTTGACGGTGAATTTTCCAGGGCCGTGTCCAAAATTACAAACAAACTCATTCACATATTCAGACTCTTTGCATAGTGAGATCTCTGCACGTGACTGTAGTGAGCTCACTGGCACGATAAGGGCGTCACTGCTGTCACACAGAGAAAATAGTGAAAAACAACAGAGATTTAAGAGCGTAATTCAACAAAATAAAGCATTTATTTGGGCCACAAATCATAAAAAATAGACTTTTAAAGGCTAGATTTTACACCTAGAGAAGCTTTTACCTGCTTAAGGTCAAATAAGATAAACAAAAACATGAGCTGAGATAGAACCTTAAGACTTTAAGTTCTCTAAAATGACTAAATCCAGCTAAGATAAGACTTTTTCACATTTCTGTGACTCTTTATTGTTCCTGTTTTTTAATCACGTTATTATAATCCATTGGCTCCTGCAGATGAAGATTGACTCTCTCACCTCCTCCCGTGTGATTTAACTCCCCTGACTAGCTGACAACAGCTCCACTTCACAGATCTGGGTCCATCTTGCGTCAGCACTGGTGTCAAATGGTTCCACGGATATAAATATGACACAGCTCATAGGGAGAGTGCCGGGGTATAAAGTCTTGCCGTATAGATGTACCACACCTAGCTTTAGTTGTGCAGCTTGGATTACATACTGTACTGCTGATACGAGCGTTTTGTGCCTGTGAAGTGTCGCTCAGGGGAACATTTGTAAACAGGTTTTATGTGAAGAAAATAAACCAGAATAACAGAGCGAGTTTCTTATGTCACCTCTGAGCGATGTGTAATAATGAGGCTGCAATTAGCTCCTAATGTTTGTGTGTTTTGGCGGGGGTTATTTAATTAGACGGTGAAATATTTACTCCTCTTTTTATAGAAAGTAAATCTTTCACACACAGACGCCCTCTCCTCCAAGATCCAGTCGCACAGAAACAAACGCAAACAGCAGAAAAGGAGGAGCGGATTAGCCCCGGGTCGGTTTCATAGTTTTGGGTGTCGAAGGCGGTTTCTCCTCACAGCTGAGCCTCTTCCTCCAGCTGACGTCTCCGAGAACAACCAGCGTCTCTGACAGCGTAAAGAGTATTTAGGTCACAGTGTCAGGTGTCATGTTTGGTTGCAGAGAAGAGCTGCAGCAGCCATAAAACTTAAAGAAACACTCTCTAGATTTTTTACCAGGAGGGAGTTTGGATCATAAGACAAATATTTAGCCTGTGCTCTATCTTAGTACTTCACCCTGAAGACAGTGAAGTACCGTAATCTTGTGTTTGTTCTGAGTGAGGGACTGAAAGAGAGCAGCTCCTACAGATCCGACTTTCTACCTTGGTTGGCATTTTAAGCGTTTATTGTCTCCACTATAACTCTCTGCTCTTAAATAATGGATCACATCAAATGTATCCTCTGGGTGCCTGCAGAAAAAGTGGACATAAGTGGCTATAATCAATAGTTTAAGTATCAATAATGCAGCAGATGACTGCTTGAAATGATCCCAGGAAAACAAAGCAAAAGGAGAGTCACAGCTGGACATGTTTTGACTCTCTATGCAGATAAAAATCTCTTTATTAACCCTAACCTTAGCTGCAGAATTCAACATCCTAAATGCTAAATTAGGTGACCGATTTGTTTCTGGATTGTCCTAATCTTGTGTCTGATTCTAAGCGTGTTTTTAGATATGCTTCTGCACAGTAGCTGAGTGATAAACCCGAGCTGCAACCTAACGCTCGGAAATTTTTGACAGCTGAAGGACGGGAATTATCAGCCAAAACAATCACTACCTTGATAGCCTGATATTAGCAGCTGCACTGGCCAGTTTGAGCAGACATAACAACAGTGGAGGGCCGTGATTACACCGCTGGTTCTCCACAAATATCAGGTACCAAAGTGAAAGATGCAATTACACACTTAGACGGTTAAAAATCTGCCGCTTGTGTGTTTTATTGGAGCGGCAGATATCAGCTCTGTCGGTGTAGTTATGAATGAATGAGATTCGAGGGTTTGGGGGTGAATGTGTTCCTGAAGGAGGAGGTGCTGACGGTGTGTGGACAGGTGGAGCTCATCCATCTCGAAACAGGGATCCTCTTGAGGCTCTGATTGTTCCAGCGGGGGAGCACCTTCCCCTGGAGTCTTCAGGAGGAGCGGGCGGCTATTTTCAGCTCAGTGTAAAGTTACAGTATGTGAAGTATCCACAGAGTAATCACAATCAGTAATTTTCACAGTTCACCGCGGAGGCCTTGAACCCCGGCTGCTCAAGAGATCCAATCTAGAAATCTACCTTTAGCCATCTAGACTAACTTTTTATAGCACTAACCTCATCCAGAATCAGGTTTTCAAGGATCTCATTTGGACTTAACATTACATAACTCATCCATACAGTTAATTAGATAAGTTTGTGCTAGTCCAGGCGGGCCACAAAGTCTGATAAACGGACTAAATTGTTTCTCTACTCAAGCTGTTTCTGGCCTTCTCTGTCGTGTTTTTCTCTTTAACGATGACATAGCCCTCAGATACGACAGTTCAGGACCCGTTTGTCTCTCTGAAGGCGTAAAAGAATCATTTATTTCTGTCCTGGTCCGACAGCAGCAGGGAGGGACACCTCCTCTCTTGATATCTAATAATACTAATGAGCCGTGTGACCATGCTGACTCCACCTCTGGCCTTCACTTTAGCATGATTGAAAACTATAAACACTCCCTCTGCTGCAGTATTCCAGAGCGGTGTTAAACTGCCGTCATCTCCAGGGTTTATATTTATTCTTTGTACCAGATAAGAAAGTTCAAGATTGGGGTCAAAGTGCGTTAAAATTTGAGTTAAGAATAGATGAGATTCTGCTTTAAAAATGGCGACTTTTCTAGTTTGAAATGACCTCTGTTGACCTTTATTGGATCTGCTGAGCTAAGGGCTTTATGTGGTGACTCTTTGGTGGTTGTGAGGATCAGGGTTTTCTTTCGGTGTCAGTCAGAGCTTCTTCTACTGATTCCAAACCTTGTTGATAAAGCTGCGATACACCGCTCATATAGTACGTTTCATTTGTTCCCTGCAGGACGACTCACGCAAAGGCCAAGGCAGATGGAGCCGATCAGGCGGCTGGGGCCTCTAACAGCGAGTCCAGCATCGCCCGTCTGGTGGCCAAAGAGCTCTCCCCTTCCTTCTACCAGCCAGGTCAGTGAACGTCTCAGTAACGACACATGTAAAGAAAGAAATGCTAGGGCTTTGGGTCGAGTCTTGGATGTATGAGTTAGCAGGATAATCAAGTCAAAGACGAAAACAATACGACCTAGATGCCCTTAAATATTACTACGCTGTTAAAAACATTAAAAGAGATCTATTATAATAGTTTGATCTTTTGTCATGTTAAGATTTGTGTCTTGAAAAACTCCTAATTTATCTAAAACTAGTGTCTAATGGAAACCCTCATTTCAACTCTATTCAGCCTCTGTCTGCTTCTTTTTGCCTGTTTTCCCGCTGATACAGAGTCAAAACAGCTCATGGGTGTTACTTTTTACACAGCTTTGGAGACACCACCTGAAAGTTATGCCCTACAGGAAATATTTTCGGTTTACCTCACTCTATTAGCTTATGTTATTGTACATAACCTGCTGTTTTAATCGTGTGACCTTTTTGAACCGGACATGTCCTCTTTTTTGGGGGTCTGTCCAGCTTTGTCCAGGGAAGTTAGTAAAATCCACGTGGACTTACTGAGTTAGATGCACGTAAAAGACGCTTGATCTGACCCGAAAAACTCTCAAAATTAAGTTTGTGCGACTCCGCCCCCGTATTAGTGAGGGTTAGTGAACTACAAAATAAAACAGGAAATGCATGACATGAACAAAACATAAATGTGCAGGACTAAAAAGACACTTAACTGACATGAATGTACTGAAAAATAAAAGAGAAACTTAACCGAAACGACAAAAACAAACTCGTCTCAAACTGTTTCTCATTTTAAGACAGAAACAGAAAGTATAAACTGATAACCGAGAACTTTCTCTGCCTCCATCTTGAGCTGACAGACCCTCAGCCGCAGCTCCACAAGGGCAGTCAGATTTAAATGTCTAAAAAAGGAACATCTTATTGGGTCGAGGGGATCATATCAGTTTCATTGCCAGTCTGTCGACCACACACACTCACACATTCACTCAGAAGCTCTCCAGCCCTGTAGGAGCTTTTTTCTTCTCCCCCTCGGCAGAGAGATTAGAGGAATCAGACACAGACAGAAAGACATCCAGATTTCTGAGCCGCTGCCCAATTTGTCTCTGACGAAGGGTACAAACGGACGAGGCCTGGCTCAGTCCTGCTCTGCATTCCTCCGTGAAAGACAGATCTCAACACACACTTAGGCAGAGCCAGCGTGTTCACCATCTGCTGTATCAGTGCAGAGAAAAACACTTTAGCCTCACAACTGAGAGGACGAGTCTGAGATACTAAACTCTGCTTTTATTAAACCTTATGTTAACTCTGTGGATTGGCTTGTCGTCCTGCAGGTCCTGAGTATCTGAAGAAGAGAGTCCTGCCGGAGGTGGAGGGCAGTGAAAACACAGAAACCGTCATGCATGAGCCGCTGCTCGCCGAGGAGGAGCCCATGCCGACGCCGCCTGAGAGCCCCTTCATGAACGAACTGGACAGCCTCATGCCGGGCTCTTCTCCAGGCCGCACCCCCTCCCCCAGCCCTGGCATCTTTAGCAAAGAAGACCCCAAACTCCTCGGTCCAGGCAGCTGGAGCGAAGACAAAACCAGTAAAGGTGGAGGCAGTAGAGGTGGAAGTAAACCCAACAGCAAACCCAACAGTCGCCCCACTACTCCTTCAACCTCTGTGAATACTCCTGCTGCTGCTGCTCCTCCTGCTGCAGCTGCTCCTGAAGGTGGAGGGGCCCCCAGCAGTCGTGGCCCCTCTCGTACCCCAAGCCGTCAGAGCAACAAGAACGAACAGGGGTCAGATCTGGAGATAAAGCCCCTGCAGAAGTTTGACTCAGAGGTAAAAGCTCCAGAAGCTGCTCCACCTCCTGCTCCTCCTCCTGCTGCTGCTGCCAACCCTGTAAGGAACAGCCTCATCGTTCCAGATGAAGAAGAAACCCTGCGACCCGCCTCCAGAGTCTCCTCCAAAGCCTTCACCCCCGAGCCAAAACCCATCGAGGTCAAGCCCGAACGAGCTCCGTCGGTGCAAGAGCGAGCGACACCCGTCCCTGAGCCCAAAGTGGAGTCCAGGGAGGCGAGTAGGCCGTCCAGCAAAGCAGAGACGAAACCTTCTCTAAAACGACAGCCTAGCCCAGCTCCGGCTCCGCCCCCGAAACCTGCGCCAACTCCTGAACCTAAAACAGTACCAAAACAAGCGGAGCCCAAAGCGGTTGTTACCAAACAAGCCCAGAAGGTGGATCACAAAGCTGAAGCCAGACTGAGGGCCATGGTGTCGAGTCCGAGCAGAGAGGCGGTAGAGTCCGCGGAGCTGGAGGTGAGACAGGAACATGTACGCCGAGGCCTGGTCCACATGTTTGAGAGTGTTTTTGAAAAAGGCGGTTTCCTAAATGTTACCGTCAAAGTAACCCTCGAAGAAGTCATATTAAAGGGATATTCCAGGGTTAAATTAATTTAGGGTCAAACACACCGCAACACCAAGTTAGACCCCCCCTCCAGAGATGAATGTTGCCGACCGCTTGCTTCTCTAGTTAAACCAACTTTAGTAACGACCGCAGGATAGAAATACACAGCAGTCTGAGGAGCCATAAACAAACCTCAAACAAAACACCACTGTATAGCCACAAATAATGCTCAGAACAGCACCTAACTTCATCAACAGGACATATAGGGTCACAGACATAGGACTAGCCACCAAACATCTTTTTAACTTTGACTCATTTCTTTAGCAAAGAGACTAAACACAACTCACCTACTCTCTTCCAGCAGCCGCTTGTTTGTAGCAAGACCTCAGGCCAGTCCATTACAGACTACAGTGGGGTGCCGCAGCTCAAGGAAGAACATTTATGATCATTTCTTCATGGAAATACAATCAGACCGAGACGCTAAGACAGAAGAACTACAGCACAATGATTAATATGATGATTATCACTTCAAGGAAATTATAAAGAAATGATCATAAATGTTCTTCCTTGAGCTGCGTCACCCCACTGTAGTCCGTAATGGACTGGCCTGAGGTCTCACTACAAACAAGCGTCTGCTGGAAGAGAGTAGGTGAGTTGTGTTTAGTCTCTTTACTAAAGAAATGAGTCAAAGTTAAAAAGATGTTTGGTGTCTAGTACTATGTCTGTGACCCTATATGTCCTGTTGATGAAGTTAGGTGCTGTTCTGAGCATTATTTGTAGCTATAGAGTGGCGTTTTGGTTGAGGTTTGTTTATGGCTCCTCAGACCGCTGTGTATTGCTATCCTGTGGTCGTTACTAAAGTTGGTATAACTAGAAAAGCAAGCAGTCGGCAACATTCATCTCTGGAGGGGGGGTCTAACTCGGTGTTACGGTGTTACACAATCCTCCAATTTCTAACCTCGTATCTCCTTTACTCTGTTTCTCTCCCAGGGCCCAAACACCATCCTGATCTTCATGGTTATCATGCTCAACATCGGCCTGGCCATCCTCTTCGTACACATCTTGTCATGAGACATTTCCCACGTCCTCAGGTAATGAATTCACAGTGATCCAAATGTGTCTGTTTACCTCTGACAAACACTCAGGATAAGACAGTCAGGAGCTGAAAAAATGATAGATGATGACCCTCAGAGACAGATGGAGGAGAGTGTTTTCAGAGAGTCAGAGCAGCCATGAAAATGTGACAAATATAATGTTAAAATTGCAGAAACAGTCTAATCTAGAAGCTGAAGAAGCACATCTACAGGTGAGACTGTAGTCCACTAAAGTCCAGTGTTGTGTCTCTGCAGGTCACCAGCAGTGCTGGAGAGAAATGGCCTCCCTCCTCTTCTTCCTCCTCCTCCTCTTTATCGGTTTGGACCAGAGATCTAAGAGACGGCTGAGGAGAAAACGAAGCTTCACGCAGACAGGCGGCGGCGGCTCCTCTACAGGTTTTGTGTTGGTGTGTCTGTGTGAGGCTCGGTGAAGCTCCTGTTTTGCGGGAGCTTTGACAAAGAGAAGGACTTTGAGTGACTGTAAAGATTGAGAGCATCTGAGCACGGTGATGTTTGTAAGTTAAGAGTCGGGCTGGATTTGGTGGAGTGTGTTGGCACTGGTAAAGTTTTGGTTCAGCTTTGTCACGGTGTGTCACGGTGTGTCACGAGTGTGTCGACATTTAGCAAAAAAAATTTAAAGGTTTTAATGAAAACCTGGATTGGCTGAGTCTCACACCTCTGAGTTAGCCAGATTAGATTGGGTAGATGAGACGATTTTGTCAGGAGATATTTTTGTTGATCGCCGGCTGAAGGAATGTTGACGTAAACGCAGACTGAATATCTCTCCACGATGCCTTAAACTTGAATGTTTGGACTTCTGCAGCAGACGTGTGAAAGATTGTAGTGTCAAATTTCAATATCATTGCTTCAACACTGTAATGCCAAAGTACTGTTACAAGTCCGTCTCTTAAAAAGACTCCAGACTTTCACGAGCTCCATAGACTGAATATATCCTGCAAAAAAACTCTGTATCTGAGACTGTTGTGTACCACACTGTGAAATATTCTGTATTCACTGGGATTTTGATGCATTTATTGTCAATCTGCTGCTTTTGTTTTAGGAGCTGATGAACCAAATAGAGTCTAGAAAGCTTATGAGTGTCACTGTATGTTCCCTGTTTAGTGGTTTAAACTGATCACAGCAAATGAAAGCTAGGATTTAAGTGTTTGACTGCGATCACTGTACGATGTTAGGCTGCTTAATTTACATTTAAACAGAAGTATTAGCAGGTTGTTTGGATCATGTTAGTTCTCCCGTTTCATATTCAGGGCCTGTTTTGCTTCAGAGCCAAATACAAGTTCATCTTTTGTACGCATGAGGGCACTTTGTGTGTGTATGTGTCTGTATTTTGTACCTTTTTGAAGTGCACATCTTTTCAGCTTTAAAAATATCCTGTTACAGTATTTCTTCTTCCTCTTCTTCTTTGTCTAAAAACTATGCAACCCCGGTTTAATTTATTTCCCAGAGGAGTCCGATTACCTCGTGATTGAGATGGAGGTGAATTGTTCTTAACTCCATGTCTTACACTGAAAAGAGCACTCTGCAGAAGGGCTGATAAATATGAAGTTTGCGAATGAACACACAGACCGCTGGTTGTGCAATGTTTCTGTGCAAGAAAGGAATCTCTACTAGTTTAATAAAAAGCCCACGATCTCATGTCGGCAGGTAGTTTCTTGACTCAAAAACTTAATCTGTAAAAAAGCAAAAATGGCCAGTGACTTGATTGGTCGGGGCGTCAAAACAGTATTCATATTTGTCAGTTTTTTGTCTGTTTTAGTGCATTTAATCGAATTACATTGCTGAATTTGTGTAGCCAAACCTGGTCAAAAAAATAAAACTGATATTAAATAAAACTTTTACAACACTTCTGAATGTTTGCTTTGTATGAATCCGTCTCATGTTTGGTTTCACATCTGTCCGGTGTCGTGTTGCCGCTCTTGACTTTGATTCCCTCGATCTTATCAGTCGTTAAATAGAAGAAATCCAGTCTGCTCACAGCAGAACGTAATATTTTTAACCACCACCTGTCTGCCAGAGTGAGACACCCACCATCGCTCCCATGAGCCAGACTGAATACCACACCCTATTTTAAACCAGGCCACAGCTAGGCCCCCAGTTCCTCTTGGGGAGTTCTCACATAAGCTTCAAATAAGAAAGTGAACATGAAAAATGACGCGCTGTGACAGTCTTCCAGCTGTTCAATCTGAGTAACTCCTCTAATGTGAAATATGAAGAAGTTTGAAATGCAGGGGGAATAAATTCAAACATCTGTAGATCTGCACTGCCCCCATGTGGCTCTAGTGAGGTAAGGCACAGAGTTATAGGTGTGGTCTGGTTGTGATATGACATTTTGAGGAAGTGCTGAGTTCAGTGTTAGCAAAGAAGCTTTTCCTCTTGTGAAAAAGTGACACAAAAATAATCACACTGCCGATTGAGACGGTTATTGAAGATAACAATAAGTAAAAATCAACATTTTAAATTCTTTTCTGTCACCAACCTGTAAAATTAAGGAAACAGGACAAAAACACAAAAGAATAAGTCGATGAACTCACTTTATTTTGGTATGAAAAAAAAGCAAAGATCACAGATCAGAGGATGCAAACAACTTAATACTCCTCTCCTTCATCGTCATCCCCCAGACTATCAGCTCCCACCTCCTCATAATCCTTCTCCAGAGCTGCCATGTCCTCTCTGGCCTCGGAGAACTCACCCTCCTCCATACCCTCACCCACGTACCAGTGAACAAAGGCACGCTTAGCATACATCAGGTCAAACTTGTGGTCCAGACGGGCCCAGGCCTCTGCAATAGCAGTGGTGTTGCTCAGCATGCACACGGCCCTCTGGACCTTGGCAAGGTCACCACCAGGTACCACAGTGGGAGGCTGGTAGTTGATGCCCACCTTAAAACCAGTGGGGCACCAGTCCACAAACTGGATGGTGCGCTTAGTTTTAATTGCTGCAATGGCAGCATTCACATCTTTGGGAACCACATCACCACGGTACAAAAGGCAGCAGGCCATGTACTTGCCATGGCGAGGGTCGCATTTGACCAGCTGGTTTGCAGGCTCAAAGCAAGCATTGGTGATTTCAGACACTGTTAACTGCTCATGGTAAGCCTTCTCAGCTGAAATGACAGGGGCGTAGGTGGCCAGAGGGAAGTGGATACGGGGATATGGCACCAAGTTGGTCTGGAACTCTGTCAGATCAACATTGAGGGCACCATCAAAACGCAGAGACGCAGTGATGGAGGACACGATCTGACTGATCAACCTGTTCAAGTTAGTGTAAGTGGGACGCTCGATATCAAGGTTTCTACGGCAGATATCGTAGATGGCCTCGTTGTCTACCATGAAGGCACAGTCAGAGTGCTCCAGGGTGGTGTGGGTGGTCAGGATGGAGTTGTAGGGCTCCACCACAGCAGTGGACACCTGGGGAGCTGGGTAGATGGAGAACTCCAGCTTGGACTTCTTGCCGTAGTCGACGGACAGACGCTCCATCAGCAGGGAGGTGAAACCAGAGCCGGTACCACCTCCAAAGCTGTGGAAGACCAGGAAGCCCTGAAGGCCAGTGCACTGATCAGCCTGAGGACAGAGAGGGAGAGACAGTGAGAATGAACCTTAATTTTTTTTTAAATTCAATTTAGTCGAAACAAGCAATTTCTTCTTTCTTATATTACTACCCACCAGTTTGCGGATCCTGTCCAGCACCAGGTCGATGATCTCTTTGCCGATGGTGTAGTGTCCACGGGCGTAGTTGTTGGCAGCATCCTCCTTTCCAGTGATCAGCTGCTCTGGGTGGAACAGCTGGCGGTAGGTCCCAGAGCGCACTTCATCTAAAAACACAAGTGAGAACAGGGTTATTACGGTTCCTTATTGTCACTCCTCCGATCTTTACTCCCTAAAATTCATATTTTTACTAAACTAATGACACTCACCGATCACAGTGGGCTCCAGATCTACAAAAACAGCTCTGGGGACGTGCTTTCCAGCTCCAGTCTCACTGAAGAAGGTGTTGAAGGAATCATCTCCTCCTCCCAGTGTTTTGTCACTGGGCATCTGTCCGTCTGGCTGGATGCCATGTTCCAGGCAGTAAAGCTCCCAACAAGCATTACCGATCTGGACACCGGCCTGACCAACGTGGATGGAGATACACTCACGCTGTGGAGACAGAAAAACAACAATCAGAATATTTTTCGAGCTTTTTGTTATTTTTAATGTAATGAAATAATCACTCGGCTAAAAGGTGCTTTCACATTTCTTATCTCAAATGTGATGAATCAGACCCTGAAGGCGACTCATCACATGCCGAGGTGGGTCACAGTGTTAATGTGAGACTTCAGGAGGAGGAAAAAAGGTTCTTTTGTCAAGACAAATACCAGAGCTTCATGACTAAAGTCACCTGATGACAAGTTCCAACATCTATTTACCCTCAGGAGCGAGAAAAATTCCCTTGGGTGGAAATGATCAGACAAGAGGCCTATTCAGACTATTCAGACAGTGAACTAAACCCTATCAAAGTACATACTGTGGTGGGGCCAAACCCAACACAGCTGCGGTTTGAGACTGTGATAGAAAAGAGCTGAGCCCACACAATGTAGAACATGAAAATATCTATACAACCAAAAAAAGGGTTGGGTTAAGAGAGGTTTGGTCTTCTCAAACAAGCAGGAATACCTCAGGCTGAGACCACATTGACCTCTGCTAAGTGGGTCATTGTACAGACAGAAAAACCCGGAAAACAAAAAGGCCGAGACTCAACTTGAATTTGAGCTCATCCCTTTGTTATTTTTATCTGAATCTAACAAAAAAAAATACGGACACATTGACTCAAATTAAGGCCTGATCTGGTTAACCGCCTAAAAGTTAAAATCAAAAAGGTTAACCGCCACGTGATAACATACCTAAGAGATTTGATTTTAGTTAATTTGTGACATTATAGGTAAGAAAAAACCGTTCCCATACTCACCATGTTTGTTGAAAGTGTGAAGTCTGTGGAAAATTGAACAAAGGAGAGGACGACAAAAAGTTATCTCTCACAGAAAGGGCGTTATGAGTCCTGTGTGAGAAGTAACTGTCGAATTTTCACTAGGCGGGGTCATTTATACTCTCTGAACCGGCGGAAAAGCTAAGCGGGATCCGGATTGGTTGAGGGAGTCACGTGGGCGGAGTTTTATTGGTTAAAATCAAACCGTTGTGTTTCGCAATGACATGCCACGAGCTCAGCGAGAAAGTGGGGCAACGGTAAGAGCGCGCCGGTTTGCGTCAGTCACAGACCGGAAATGAAGCTCTATAGATGAGTTTTTGAATATCTGAGCCGCCATTTCACACCATGTCCATTAATGTATCAATAATAAACCATCTTGATAGTTCTCTTTCTATCGTTCTGCGTTATTTCATGTTCTGTCTGCGTTGTAAGATGGCTTACAGAGGTAGAAGGTGGACTAAGCTGTGGTCAAATGGAAATAAAGTACACCTACAGTATCTCCATAAGTAAGTATGACATAAATTTGCGGTTGTTTATCCCCTCCATGAGTATTTACGTTTTCTGCCACTTATATTAGCGTTTAAAAACAAATTAGAGGCAAATGTTTAGATCTCGTGTATATAGTTCGATTGTTATCTCACCAGTGTTAAGGTACCCAAAATAGATCCTTCTTTACATTTTGAGTTATCAAAGTGACTTATGTGATCAAGTTTAAGCTATATTTTCTACAATGAAACATTGTTCATAAGGGATCAAAAAGGTCACAAGTTGAATGTGAGTGACCATTTAATAGATCTATGTATTATCCATTATAGCAGTCAGTTTGGGCGAAGTCATTTGATTGGCTAAGATGCATTAAGACGTGATTTAGTACAACAGCACTCTCTCTCTCATCCTTTAGCTGGTTTAGTATCTATTCCTCTTGTTTTGGTGAAAGTACAAAAAAATGATGCCCTTATTTTAATTTGACAGTTTAAAAATATCTCCTCACTGTTTAACTTGTTACAGCTGATATTTCAAGTATTATGTATTACTCAGTAGTTTGAAGTTTCATCCTATTCTTCCCCTGTGCCCTGGGTCATATGCGCCACATCTGTTTGTCTTCCACCTTTAACCACCAGAGGTCCCCATTTATTGTGAAATCACACCATTCTGGTTTGGTTATGTTATGTTGATACCAGTGAAATCTGATTTGAAAAAAGCTTTAATTGTTTGTAGTGGCTATAAAACATGTTTTCTGTTGAGGGCATTTGGAGGTATGTGCTGAGTCAGGAGATACTGAAAACAAGGTTAAACAAACAAAAAATAATAATCTTTTGCAGGGATTTTCACATGCGACTGATCAAAGTAAAAGGGACCAAGTTTAGAGGATCAGCAGGGACCTATGATTCAACAGCGTTTCAGATTCTCCTGGACACCATGAACACCTAATATGACTAATGTTCAACATTAAACTGTCAAGTGAGGTGAAGTAAAAGAACAAATATTTGAACAGTTTGGCAATAATTAACATAGCAGCATGCCATCAAACTTAGTGAAACAAGATACTGATTTGTTAGTCATAACCCTGGCCAATAAATGAGTGCATAGAAACAAGCAGACAGTTGTGCATTCAAGAACAAGTTTATTTTTAAGATAAGGCACACTTAGCCATATAAAGGGGAATGCATGCAGTTTAATACTCCTCTCCCTCATCCTCTTCCTCCCCCAGACTATCAGCTCCCACCTCCTCATAATCCTTCTCCAGAGCTGCCATGTCCTCTCTGGCCTCTGAGAACTCACCCTCTTCCATACCCTCACCCACGTACCAGTGAACAAAGGCACGCTTAGCGTACATCAGGTCAAATTTGTGGTCCAGACGGGCCCAGGCCTCTGCAATAGCAGTGGTGTTGCTTAGCATGCACACAGCCCTCTGGACCTTGGCCAGGTCACCACCAGGAACCACAGTGGGAGGCTGGTAGTTGATGCCAACCTTAAAACCAGTGGGGCACCAGTCCACAAACTGGATGGAGCGCTTGGTCTTGATGGTGGCAATGGCAGCGTTTACGTCTTTAGGAACCACATCACCACGGTACAAAAGGCAGCAGGCCATGTACTTGCCATGGCGAGGGTCACATTTGACCAGCTGGTTTGCAGGCTCAAAGCAAGAATTGGTGATTTCTGACACTGTTAACTGCTCATGGTAAGCCTTCTCAGCTGAGATGACAGGGGCATAGGTGGCCAGAGGGAAGTGGATACGGGGATATGGCACCAAGTTGGTCTGGAACTCTGTCAGATCAACATTGAGGGCACCATCAAAACGCAGGGACGCAGTGATGGAGGACACGATCTGACTGATCAACCTGTTCAGGTTGGTGTAACTTGGTCGCTCGATATCGAGGTTTCTACGACAGATATCGTAGATGGCCTCGTTGTCCACCATGAAGGCACAGTCAGAGTGCTCCAGGGTGGTGTGGGTGGTCAGGATGGAGTTGTAGGGCTCCACCACAGCAGTGGACACCTGGGGAGCTGGGTAAACTGAAAACTCCAGCTTGGACTTCTTGCCGTAGTCGACAGACAGACGCTCCATCAGCAGGGAGGTGAAACCAGAGCCGGTACCACCTCCAAAGCTGTGGAAGACCAGGAAGCCCTGAAGGCCAGTGCACTGATCAGCCTGAGGACAGAGAGGGAGAGACAGTGAGAATGAACCTTAATTTTTTTTTAAATTTAATTTTAGTCAAAACAAGAGATTTATTCTTTCTTATATTACTACCCACCAGTTTGCGGATCCTGTCCAACACCAGATCAATGATCTCTTTGCCGATGGTGTAGTGTCCACGGGCGTAGTTGTTGGCAGCATCCTCCTTTCCAGTGATCAGCTGCTCTGGGTGGAACAGCTGGCGGTAGGTCCCAGAGCGCACTTCATCTAAAGACACAAGTGAGAACAGGGTTATTACGGTTCCTTATTGTCACTCCTCCGATCTTAACTCCCTAAAATTCACATTTTTACAAAACTGATGACACTCACCGATCACAGTGGGCTCCAGATCTACAAAAACAGCTCTGGGGACGTGCTTTCCAGCTCCAGTCTCACTGAAGAAGGTGTTGAAGGAATCATCTCCTCCTCCCAGTGTCTTGTCACTGGGCATCTGTCCATCCGGCTGGATCCCATGTTCCAGGCAGTAAAGCTCCCAGCAGGCATTACCGATCTGGACACCGGCCTGACCAACATGTACTGAGATGCACTCACGCTGGAGAAAGAAAACAAAAAGGCACGTTGTAAAATACTTTACATAATTCAAACCATGCCTAATAAAATACTAAATGAGGCTCATCACATGTTGAAGACAGCTGGAAAGCAAAGGCCTTAAGGTAACTGTGAAAAAGGGGTTCATTGTTAAGAGCCAGACACCACAACATCATGACAGAGTCACTAGATACTTGCTGCACATATTAGAAAAGTACCACTTGCTTAGCTAAACTGTTAACGTTTTAGATGTACACAGAATTGTAATGGACATAAGTAGGCCTACCAGACTGCTACGCGCGACAGATACATGACTTGCAATTATAGCTGCGCTCTCATGAAACCCTGCTGTTCTTCATTCATTCATTCATCTCCTGGAGGAAAAAACAGGAAGACACCGGACCTTTTCAATGGATGGAAGTGCGGAGGAACATGACTGGACTGATAAATACAAGCTGCGCAGTATGCTAACTGTGAGGGAGGCTACAAATACGACATGCAGAAAAGACAATTCAGCCTGTCGTCCAAACCACACACGATCGTTACCTTGTAGTACTGTTAGCTTCAGAATTCGAAGAAAGTTAATAAAAATACAGTGGGTCTAAAAAAAATCCATGATTAATTTCTTTTTAAATATATATTTACCATTTTTCTTGAAGCTCCGTCTGTCTGGGTTGGAGTAAAGAAGGATTAAGATTGATTACACTCTCACACTAGCTTTACTATGAGCACTGTGTAAGAAGCTACTGCCAGTCACCGTTGGGCTGAGCTTTTATACCCGGTAATCTGGTCCTTGCACGCGCAGCTGAATCTTATTTGTCATCAGTCGCAAGAGCTTCTTTCCTATTGGTTTAAACACGACAGTTCTCGACAGTCGTTCAATGGCCTTTTTCAACGTCTTTCCGTCGTCAAGGCAGAAATCATGGACGTTACACGGTTTTTGTGTACTAAAAAAATTAAAATTATATTTTTTAAAGTTGTGAATTATAAGATAACTACAAGGAGAATGTTTATACAATTATATAAAAATATACATATATGATGTCCTAATTTATATTTGACTGTTTAAACATACCTCCTCACTGTTTAACTTGTTACAGCGGATATTTAATGTATTATTTACAACTTGTTGGTTAGAAGTTTCATCTTATTCTTCCCCTGTGCCATGGGTCATATGCTCCACATCTGTTTCTCCTCCACCTTTAACCACCAGAGGTCCCCATTTATTGTGAAATCACACCATTCTGGTTCGGTTACATCATGTTGATACCAGTGAAATCTGATTTGAAAAAAAGCTGTAATTGTTTGTGTTAACCTTGTTTTCTGTTGAGGGCATTTGGAGCTATGTGCTGATTCAAAGGAGATACTAGAAACAAGGTTTTTTTAACAAACAAAAAAAAAAAATCTTTTGCAGGGATTTTCACATGCAACTGATCAAAGTAAAAGGGACCAAGTTTAGAGGATCAGCAGGGACCTATAATTCAACAGCGTTTCAGATTCTCCTGGACACCATGAACACCTAATATGACTAATGTCCAACATTAAACTGTCAAGTGAGGTGAAGTAAAAGAACAAATATTTGAACAGTTTGGCAATAATTAACATAGCAACATGCCATCAAACTTAGTGAAACAAGTTATTGATTTCTTAGTCATTACCTTGGCCAATAAATGAGTGCATAGAAACAAGCAGACAGTTGTGCATTCAAGAACAAGTTTATTTTTAAGATAAGGCACACTTATCAGCCATATAAAGGGGAATACATGCAGTTTAATACTCCTCTCCCTCATCCTCTTCCTCCCCCAGACTATCAGCTCCCACCTCCTCATAATCCTTCTCCAGAGCTGCCATGTCCTCTCTGGCCTCTGAGAACTCACCCTCTTCCATACCCTCACCCACGTACCAGTGAACAAAGGCACGCTTAGCATACATCAGGTCAAACTTGTGGTCCAGACGGGCCCAGGCCTCTGCAATAGCAGTGGTGTTGCTCAGCATGCACACGGCCCTCTGGACCTTGGCCAGGTCACCACCAGGAACCACAGTGGGAGGCTGGTAGTTGATGCCCACCTTAAAACCAGTGGGGCACCAGTCCACAAACTGGATGGTGCGCTTGGTCTTGATGGTGGCGATGGCAGCGTTTACGTCTTTGGGAACCACATCACCACGGTACAAAAGGCAGCAGGCCATGTACTTGCCATGGCGAGGGTCACATTTGACCAACTGGTTTGCAGGCTCAAAGCAAGCATTGGTGATTTCTGACACTGTTAACTGCTCATGGTAAGCCTTCTCGGCTGAGATGACAGGGGCGTAGGTGGCCAGAGGGAAGTGGATACGGGGATATGGCACCAAGTTGGTCTGGAACTCTGTCAGATCAACATTGAGGGCCCCATCAAAACGTAGGGACGCAGTGATGGAGGACACGATCTGACTGATCAACCTGTTCAGGTTGGTGTAACTTGGTCGCTCAATATCAAGGTTTCTACGACAGATATCATAGATGGCCTCGTTGTCCACCATGAAAGCACAGTCAGAGTGCTCCAGGGTGGTGTGGGTGGTCAGGATGGAGTTGTAGGGCTCCACCACAGCAGTGGACACCTGGGGAGCTGGGTAAACTGAAAACTCCAGCTTGGACTTCTTGCCGTAGTCGACAGACAGACGCTCCATCAGCAGGGAGGTGAAACCAGAGCCGGTACCACCTCCAAAGCTGTGGAAGACCAGGAAGCCCTGAAGGCCAGTGCACTGATCAGCCTGAGGACAGAGAGAGAGTGAGCAAATCAGTACAATTGGAATTTTGATTTGATCTATGGGGTCAAATTAAAATACAGTTTTTTCTACCCACCAGTTTGCGGATTCTGTCCAGCACCAGGTCAATAAGCTCTTTGCCGATGGTGTAGTGTCCACGGGCGTAGTTGTTGGCAGCATCCTCCTTTCCAGTGATCAGCTGCTCTGGGTGGAACAGCTGGCGGTAGGTTCCAGAGCGCACTTCATCTTAAAGAAGAATCAGACAAAGAAAAAAAGAAAAGGGGGGTTTGAGTGCATGAGGTAACACTTTAAGAATAGTTGTCTGTGGTTCTTTAGTTTCACTTTACCAATGACAGTGGGCTCCAGGTCTACAAAAACAGCTCTGGGGACGTGCTTTCCAGCTCCAGTCTCACTGAAGAAGGTGTTGAAGGAATCATCTCCTCCTCCCAGTGTCTTGTCACTGGGCATCTGTCCATCCGGCTGGATCCCATGTTCAAGGCAGTATAGCTCCCAGCAGGCATTACCGATCTGGACACCGGCCTGACCAACATGTACTGAGATGCACTCACGCTGGAGAAAGAAAACAAAAAGGCACGTTGTAAAATACTTTACATAATTCAAACCATGCCTAATAAAATACTAAATGAGGCTCATCACATGTTGAAGACAGCTGGAAAGCAAAGGCCTTAAGGTAACTGTGAAAAAGGGGTTCATTGTTAAGAGCCAGACACCACAACATCATGAAAGAGTCACTAGATACTTGCTGCACATATTAGAAAAGTACCACTTGCTTAGCTAAACTGTTAACGTTTTAGATGTACACAGAATTGTAATGGACATAAGTAGGCCTACCAGACTGCTTCGCACGACAGATACATGACTTGCAAATATAGCTGCGCTCTCATGAAACCCTGCTGTTCCTTTCATTCATTCATTCATCTCCTGGAGGAAAAAACAGGAAGACACCGGACCTTTTCAATGGATGGAAGTGCGGAGGAACATGACTGGACTGATAAATACAGGCTGTGCAGTATGCTAACTGTGAGAGGAGGCTACAAATACGACATGCAGAAAAGACAATTCAGCCTGTCGTCCAAACCACACACGATCGTTACCTTGTGGTACTGTTAGCTTCAGAATTCGAAGAAAGTTAATAAAAATACAGTGGATCTAAAAAAAAATCCATGATTAATTTCTTTTTAAATATATATTTACCATTTTTCTTGAAGCTCCGTCTGCCTGGGTTGGAGTAAAGAAGGATAAAGATTGATTAAACTCTCACACTAACTTTACTATGAGTACTGTGTAAGAAGCTACTGCCGGTCACCGTTGGGCTGAGCTTTTATACCCGGTAATCTGGTCCTTGCACGCGCAGCTGAATCTTATTTGTCATCAGTCGCACGAGCTTCTTTCCTATTGGTTTAAACACCACAGTTCTCGACAGTCGTTCAATGGCCTTTTTCAACGTCTTTCCGTCGTCAAGGCAGAAATCATGGACGTTACACGGTTTTTGTGTACTAAAAAAAAAATAGGATGCATATTTTTTTAAGTTGTGAATTATAAGATAACTACAAGGAGAATGTTTATACAATAATAATACTACTACTACTACTAATAATAATAATAATAATAATTATTATTATTATTATTACCTTATATACCCTCTTCAATAAACTACTCAAGTCAAATTATCAATATTCAAAATAAGCGAAAACTCATAAGTTAATTATTTGGTTAAATTACTGGAGTAGGCTAAGGATAAATAAAGGATAAAGTTAAGGATAAATGGGTGTATATCCTGCTATGCTATGTTTTTTCAGAAAACATTATCTTCAATTTTAACATGCTTTAGACTTTCAAATTTGTGGCTCTAAAGTAATAGGAACAATAACCATGGAATAAAAACAGCAGGAGATCCTCACTTCAACCTTTGACCTTAAAACAGATGGTAAACTAGACACCTTGATAGTTAAGTTTTGTCTCACTTAATGACGTTTGTGTGAAGAAAACAAAGTGGACATTCAAAATAAAAACAATCATCCTCCTTTTCAAGAGCTTTAAACTTGGGAAAAAGAAATAGTGGCATGGACTCATCTGGAGAATCGTCATCCATCTGCTGTTACCACCATTACCACCACTAAATGACCTGCCTGATGTGAGTGACTTTTGCTCTGCATTCAACCATGAAGATGCATGACAGTACGGCAACATCACTCAGACAAACCACACACAGCACTTCACAAACACAAAGAAAAGAAAATTCATCAGCTGATGTCAAAGCAAAAGTGGCGAGTCATGATAACATTCAACATTCATAACAACAGACTGATAAAGGGCCTCAAGCACTCTTAAAATATCCTGATTTTGAATAATACCTCTTTGTAAACCAGGTTGTTATGTAATTTAAAAGTTGAAGACATTTTTTTCACATTGTGGACAATAAAGTTCATTCATCCACCATTCAGTAACAGCTCTACTATAGGTCTCTGTGTAACTGGTGCTGCAGTATGGATCCCTTGCATTAATCAGGGCAGCAAACCTCCCCAGCAGACTCCTAAATGTGGCCACCAGCCTGACCAAATTGCTGATACACTCACAGCGGGGTGCAGACTAAGCAGATTTGGACCACGGATCTGTTTACATCTTCGGGCCTCTCGCACGCTTAGAACAACAGCTGCCGTTGTTGAAATGGGAACACATGATGGAGTAAACAAAGTGGGTCTTTCATGTCATGGTTGAGCTCTTAGAAGATAGATGTGTTTTATCAGATAACCTTTGAGTGAACTGCAGAAAACAAAGATATCACTGAGTGTCTCTATAAATTCACACCACCATGCTTTAAAGCCTTCAATAACAGTAATTTCTTACGATAGTATGCCTGACACCATTCATTTTCTGCAGCTCTCTGCAGCAACATGAGACTGTGTCCAATGCATGCAGGATTAATGCAGAGAGACAGTGTTATATAGGTCAGACATGATGCAGGCTGATCTCTAAGCTGCACGCCAACGTTTTCTCACTGGTAAAGGAACTCTTCCATGACTTTCAATGTTGTTTACAGTAAATAAAGGTATACGAGAAGTATTCAGATGTTAAATTTTAAAGTTGATTTACAACTATTTACAACTTGTAAAAACAACAAAGACCTTAAAAATAAAAAGACTGACTGTTCCTTTAATGTGATGTTAAATTGTTGAAACTGCTGGCAGGGTTAGATGGCAGAAACCGCCTTTTTAAAGATTTCCCACAGCAAATATCCTCAGTGAGTGATATCATTTACTGTAAAAGCCAAACAGAGTGAGTTTCTTTTATGTATTGTCTTAAAACCACACATGTACGGGACAAACTCTGCAGAGAAACTGACCAACCCAAGAAAAAGAAAGTCTGGCCTGAGTCAAACTGAGCTGATTTGTATAGAAAGCTGTTTCCTGGAGTATGCCAGAGATAATGCAACAGTCAGCAGGTCGTTACAGCTTAATGGAAAAGTGAGTGCTTCCTTCTTACCACATGAATCCATCCACTTAGAAATGATGTTATTGATTTTAAAAGGGAATTGATTGTGTCTACTAATGAAGAAATAGCCTCTTGTAATCTACAGCTGGAGCTACTTCCTCAGCACAATAAACTATCTCACTGTTGAAGTCCATATAAAACTGAACATCTCAATTAATGGTGATGTGGGACAGCTGAAGGAGACCACTTGAGTTTCTACAGCTACTGTTTGACATTTTACCTCATAACTGTCATATTTGTTGACATTTTCTCACCTATAAAGTCCATACAGTCCTCCATTCTGAGTTTGATTCATGGCTTATCATCTTCAAAACAGCTCCACAGGTCCTTCACCCTTTCATGCTGTTTTATCCAAGTGTGATGTGAATTTCCCTTTTCAGATAATCTTCAAACTTTGTGTTATCATAGATGTGCATTAAAAACCTTCTGTTTATTACATTTCAGGTCACACACTTTGGTTTACAAGTTTTCTTTTATTCAAGCTTGTGAATAAGAGCTTTGCATGGTAAGTCGGCTCCTTGGATTGATGGAATCACTCAAAAACTTAAAACACATGGTGAGACTCTTGATGAATGTTCTGGAAAAAAGTCAAAACAGACCATTTAACTTGTAACAGGATTTTTATTTAGAACAAATCCAAACAAAACAGCTTCACAAGTTTTTAGTGTGACCAGCCAAACTTGTAGTTAATACACAAACATTTGTTCGGAATGCATTGAAGAACATTTTGAACCATTTTTTCCTGTTCAGCTAAACCCTTTTTATTTTAATACTCCTCTCCTTCCTCCTCTCCGTCATTGTCAACGGAGTCGACTCCCACCTCCTCATAATCCTTCTCCAAAGCTGCCATGTCCTCTCTGGCCTCGGAGAACTCACCCTCTTCCATACCCTCACCCACGTACCAGTGAACAAAGGCACGCTTAGCATACATCAGGTCAAACTTGTGGTCGAGACGGGCCCAGGCCTCTGCAATAGCAGTGGTGTTGCTCAGCATGCACACGGCCCTCTGGACCTTGGCCAGGTCACCACCAGGAACCACAGTGGGAGGCTGGTAGTTGATGCCCACCTTAAAACCAGTGGGGCACCAGTCCACAAACTGGATGGTGCGCTTGGTCTTGATGGTGGCGATGGCAGCGTTTACGTCTTTGGGAACCACGTCACCACGGTACAAAAGGCAGCAGGCCATGTACTTGCCATGGCGAGGGTCGCATTTGACCATCTGATTGGCTGGCTCAAAGCAAGCATTGGTGATTTCTGACACAGAGAGCTGCTCATGGTAAGCTTTCTCAGCTGAGATGACGGGGGCATAGGTGGCCAGAGGGAAGTGGATACGGGGATATGGCACCAAGTTGGTCTGGAACTCTGTCAGATCAACATTGAGGGCACCATCAAAACGCAGGGACGCAGTGATGGAGGACACAATTTGGCCAATTAGCCTGTTGAGGTTAGTGTAAGTGGGACGCTCAATATCGAGGTTTCTACGACAGATATCGTAGATGGCCTCGTTGTCTACCATGAAGGCACAGTCAGAGTGCTCCAGGGTGGTGTGAGTGGTCAGGATGGAGTTGTAGGGCTCCACCACAGCAGTGGAAACCTGGGGAGCTGGGTAGATGGAGAACTCCAGCTTGGACTTCTTGCCGTAGTCGACAGACAGACGCTCCATCAGCAGGGAGGTGAAACCAGAGCCGGTACCACCTCCAAAGCTGTGGAAGACCAGGAAGCCCTGAAGGCCAGTGCACTGATCAGCCTGAGGACAGAGAGAGAGAGATAGTGAGCACAGATAAAAGGTGAGTTATATAATCTTACTGAATGTCACTTCTGATTTCAAGTTACCAGTTTGCGGATCCTGTCCAGCACCAGGTCAATGATCTCTTTGCCGATGGTGTAGTGTCCACGGGCATAGTTGTTGGCAGCATCCTCCTTTCCAGTGATCAGCTGCTCTGGGTGGAACAGCTGGCGGTAGGTTCCAGTGCGCACTTCATCTAAAAAGACATGAATGACAACAGGGTTATTATGGTTCCTTACCGTAAACCCTCTGATCTTAACTTCCTCAAATTCCCATTTCTACAAAACTAATGACACTCACCGATCACAGTGGGCTCCAGATCTACAAAAACAGCTCTGGGGACGTGCTTTCCAGCTCCGGTCTCACTGAAGAAGGTGTTGAAGGAATCGTCTCCTCCTCCCAGTGTCTTGTCACTGGGCATCTGTCCGTCCGGCTGGATCCCATGCTCCAGGCAGTAAAGCTCCCAGCAGGCATTGCCGATCTGGACGCCGGCCTGTCCAACATGGATGGAGATACACTCACGCTGTGGGAGAAACAAAAGAATAATATAAGTTATTTACTTCTTTATACAGTTTGACATATTTATTGCAGTAACTTGATCATCTATTGAGTAAACAAGCTTATTCTGATTCTCCTCATCCCTGGAGTTGCAGCTTTGATTGACGGATACCGCAACCAATCATCAGTCAGAGATGGACTAACGGTTGTCAACTTTTCACTTCGTTGCTATGCTACAAGGCCATTCAATTTGGCACCGAATAACATTTATATGAATGTGTTTTAACAGGTTGGACCGTTAATGGAGAGGTTTATTCGGGTTTCTACGAGCATCAAATGACAGCAGAGGATAATGCCTTCTGTTAGCCCCGCATCCCACACGGTTCTCTCTCAGGGGACGTCTAAGAGGTGTCCATTACTGACATGAATTTTTAATGTTGAAGTCGTGCTTACAGCGCAGATCACCTATTCTCCCTGCGGGTACAGTTTCCATGAGTGTGTGAGAGAAGCTCTTCTCTTCATCCTCACTGCCGGTAAATTGAATCAACTTTAAGTTAGGGGGGACAGCCGCTGTCACGAGAAGTGATGAAGAGGGCTTAGTCATCGGAGTGAGAGCAGAATTTGCCGCAGAGTTAGCGGCTGGCTGACATTATTCATTCTGTTCACATTACAACCTGCTGAAAACAGCTTTTGTTCGCTCAGCCCGCCACTTATTCATGCTGCGTTCACTTGTCCATCGGATGATCTGATGTTCACTTTAAGAACCATTCTTCAAATCGCACCACGATAAACATTAATGTTATAATTATGCTATGTGTGGTCGACAAATCGATATTAACTTTGGTCCGCCATTTTCCTGCGTAATATGACGTAAAGTGTGTCAGTTCGGAGAGCAGGTGTAGTGCCGTAGAATGCACCCCAGCATCCCATCCTCTCATTAGCTTCTTAAAGTGGAAGAAAATGATCTCATATTGAAAAAAACACGAATACTGGATCATGACAACGTGTCAAATGAAGCAGCAAACTTTCGTCATGTTATTTTGTGTCTCAGAAATGCACTTATAGAGGTGTATATAAACTGTACAGTAAGCTGTCAAGGTAGAGAACATTATATTTACGGGACGGCAAACACTCCGAATCAGAGGGCTATTGTTTTCGGCTTATCTGAACAGCCTGAATGAAATCATTGAAGGCACACGCTTTTGAATCCATCCAACGATTGAGAAAACTTGGATTATTTCGCCTCAGTATGTACTTTCAACCGCAACCGTCAGGGGGTGCATTCTACGTCAAGGGTGAATTCTAAAGCACAACACCGGGTACCAGATTTTCTGACTCCGAGTTTTTTTCCCGGATGCAGTCAGTTTTCATCCTTAATTTATCTTTCTTTACAATTACACCAACGCGATATGACATGTATATTTCTGAATTCAAACATGTCCTCTGAATAAACCACCTCTTTTTACAACATTGATTAAAAAATGCACTTATTGGAGAGCGTTAAAGTGAAGATAACAGTATTATAATCCCTCTAGCTCCCATTCCCGAAAAAGATTAAAATAAAGTATCTTTAACATGACTCTGGATCAAAGTTTATAAAGTTTTCTCACCATTTTGTTATGTTGTTGTCGCGGTGGAGGGTAGCAGAAGCTCCTTGTCAGGGATTCTTACAAATCGACAGTTATGGGGTCGATGTAAGAGACAATGGCGCACTGGAGGATGGATAGTGGTATATATGCGAGTGCAGATCCACAGACACTGGCTGCCGCACCGCTATTGGTCAACTCCCTGTCAATCAAACATTCAAAATGCCTACGCTGCTTTCTATTGGTCGAGAGGCTGAATTGTTATAATCCCCGCCTTTCAGACCCCACCCAAATCCTGACATCTTCCCGGTATTGTGCTGCTAGCATGGCGCCCCTCATCGCGAGGGAAATGCTGCGTAATTTCCAGCGTGTATCAGACAGGCCTGGAAACCTTCAGGCAGAGACTCTGATGTGATTAAGCTAAAATTAAGACCAGTAAAGAGGAGAAGGATCTGTTTTTGTGGAGCACAGAGACCTCACCTTAAGTCATGTTGATTATTTGTGGTGCAGGCCTCATGCAGAATACATAATGATGCCCCAACACTTAATTCTCTGTAATTAATCCGTCTTCCTCCTAGTTTTTGTCAAACATCAAGAACTATTTTCCTGAATTAAAGAAACATTATCTATCACAATGCAATCCACACACCAAGATTAGGATTGTAAACTGTTCAAAGAAACAATGAGTCTGCAGTTTTAAAAACAGGCTATTTTAGGAGGAGTGTAAACCAAATTTACAACATGGTTTTAAGATTAGACTTGCTTTTATATTTGACCTCAACCCTCCCAACACACACACACACACATATCTTTCCTGCACCTGTTACAACAAAGTTTTCCAAGCATACAAAAGTCTCTTTAAAATGTACTCTTACAGGCCTACAGCCTGTGTAATACTTGTGGGTTGTTCTGAGCAGTGGTATCTTAGAGTTTACTTCTTGTATTTTCACGTTATCCTAAGTCTACTGAAGATTAAAGAGGTCAGTGTGCCCAGTCATATATGAGAGACATGTAGGCTGCAGAGAGCAACAGACGCCCAACCCCCAGGCCTCCTCCCAAGATTTAACCGTTGCTAGGAAATGAATAACGGAGTTGCCTGGATACAGCCTAGTATCCTCATAGACCGCCTTTATCTGGTGGTCATGTGACCTAGCTTAAATGGCAGCATTAGCGGGCTGCAGAGCAGCTGCCTCTGTGGGGGATTTTAGGCGCCTCAGCCTCCTCTTTCCAAAATCTTTCCACCGTGCAGCTCTGTGACAGCGAGGAATCACACTTGCTCTCGCCTACATGTGCTGGTGTCCTTCTCTCATAAAACTGATGCCTGAAAAAAAGACAATCATGAGGTTGATGGGGTGTGGCTCTGCGGCACAGAGATGCACCGATGTGGGTCAGCTCTTGTGTTCACACACAATACATCAAGGCAGTTGTTCACATACAAGGGCATTCAGACAGTAATGTAACTGGATGTGTGTAGCAGCTCTGTTTGCCGGTCTCAGACTTTAAAGTTTACTGACAAAGGCCTTAAATAATTCCTCAGTGAGTCTATGAATAACCCAGCAACCTGACAGACGGTTAAGCAGCTCGGTTGCTAACAACAGAAAAAAACTCTATGACAACAACTGTGTTCAGGAATGAAGCTTCTTGAATGTCAGGCTGCTTAAAACAACATAGATTCTGACATGCAAGGGCAAGAGACACAGATCTGTTTCTGCAGGCTGGTACCTGCTGCATCATTTTATTAATTTTCACTGTAAAGCTGTAGTGATCATCAGTATTTTTATTCCAGTTTTCTAGTAAAATAATGTCTGAGGTCCTTCTGTCTGGGATTTCTCTCACCAGAGCAGCTGATTCATAAACAACAATGCAAAATATCTTTAATCTTTATGTTGACTATAAGCCATGATTATCCCTTTAATGCCTGAAACCACAAATTATGGCCAGAAAACTCACTTTTTTTGGGAGCTGAAATGTTTATTTCACTTACTTCTGAAGAAACAAAAAAATCAAAATGTCCTTAAAATTTAAAATATATATTTATTTATTGTTTGATACATTAGATGTTTTTGGAAACTGACTAAATCATTCAAATATATTTACCAGCTCTCATGTTTATCTTCATGTTGAGTTGCCTGTTTTTATCTCTGATTCTGGGATTCTGGTGTCCCATAATGACTTATTTCCTTTTCCTGCATGCTTCTACTTTCTCTCTGATATTTGTCTCCTCTGTGCTTCTCCTTTTTATCACTATGAGTGTATAAAGAAACACTTATTAGTCAGCTCTAACATCTTGATTTTGAGTAAATTGTCGCATACGTCTGTGCTTCTTTTAAAATGGACGCAGCTAATTTGTGATGACTCAGTTCCTTTTATTCTGACCTGGCTTTAGTTGGCTTAAGTTTCTACCCCACCTAAATATACATTCACAACATGTTGTCTTTGTTTCGCTCAAACCTTATTCTTTTATCTGACAGTATGGGGACTCCGCTGTGACAGATGGAAAACATGCTCTGTCACTGTGTTGGGTATCAAATTCTCTCCTCGCAGGATGCAGCACACTCAGTTTCATACCATGAAGGACCACTCCCATCTCTTGCATTCCCATCCGTCCTCCCTCTCTCCTCTTGGTGCGCAGCTGCTCAAAGCCTCTCTGTCTCACAGCTGCTGGAGGAGGAGATGCAAAGGAGGGAGGGAGGGAGGGAGGGGGGAGGATTATGGAGAATGTTCTCTGAAGAAGTCCTGGCAGGGAGCCATGGCTGCTTCCTGTCTCTCTCTTTCATCCCCTGCCTTTCACATGAAGTACAACAACCACAAAAAGCCAGTCGTAAATCCTGTATCCAGACTGCCCCGTTTGTTAAATGATGTTATCATTTACAATAATGTAGGTTTTACGTCAAAAAACGGAAATTCTGTGATTTTTCCAGTCTGAGAATTGACGCTCCATACAAACCTCTATTTTGGTTTCTGCCCTCTATAGAATTTCAGGGCAGGAAATTAATGCTGTGACTGGCAAACCACACTGTAAATAAGGTCCTAAGCCAATGTTAGTGCCACATAAACTGCAATTTACACGGCAGTCATTCACCTATACCCTGGTGGAAACCTAAAACACAGTCATAATGTTGTGCTGCTGTGTTCAAGGTCAGAGTGTCCCAAACCAGACAAATACTCACACATTTTCTTGATGTTTAAAGGAGGAATCTTCCAAGGGCGGAAGATGTGCCCTTGTGTAATTTCAATTGAGACTCATTTTGTTTGATCTTGGGAAAAGTTTGTATTTTCTAACTGAACCTATATATGTGACTTGACTGTAAATAAAAAAAGTCCCCTCTGGGAAACAGCAGACTGTGGAGTTGCCTTCCTACCACCTTCCTAGACCCTTGAACCAAAACTACTTTCCTGAAGGACCCTGAAGAGCGAAGCCAACAAGACAAGTTTATAAATAAAACACACACAAACACACTGTGTTTACAAAGGACAGTGAAAGAGGGAATAAACAGAAGACTCCTGTTTGTCAGAGTGGCACAGAGGATAAAAACACTGACTGGGACTCCTGAGGTTGTAGGTTCGAGTCTTACTTTGCTCAGTTCTAGGTGAATTTTAAAGTCTAGAGTCCACAAAGGACAGTGATATATGAAAAAAAAAAACAGGATTGTCTTGTGTGTTCACATGGCTCAGGGATAAGGAGAATCACTAGGACTCCTGAGGTCATGGGTTCGAACCTCGTTCAGGACCAATTTTAAAGTCCAGGAGGAGCCGAAGTACCAAGATAAAAGCACGCAGAGCTCAACCCCAACTGTGGATGGTATCCGGTGGCGCAGCGTGATAGACAACTAACACTCTTACGCGAGCCATGTGGTTTGGTCGGAAACCGGCTCCTGGTTCGAAACACACTTGTGGCACAAGTGAGACCCTGAAGCGATTTCTGGGGAACCAGGCCCGGGAGAGTGGGGTTACCCCCCGGTGTTTCCAGAGAGATAAAATGGGTGGGTTATGCCACAGGAAGTCAGAGGTTGCTTAAGGTGACTTGTTCTCATGATTTCTAAGTCCTAAAACGGTTTTAAAAATTCTAACAAGAACACAGGTTCACAAATTTTTCTGCCCAGGACTCCATAAAATAATAAAGTCATCAACTGGCGACTTTGGCTGACCCTTAAGGTGATCTTGAGCTCCCCTCTTAGGTACTTGATACACTCTCTTATAGGTGGGTTGGAGGTTGAGCTGCCTATTAACGACTAAAAGGGCAAATAGCTCCTTATGCTTAATTCAACCGCAAACCTGGAGCACAGCAGTGAAACACTCGAGCGCTGTTTCAGCTTTTTTTTCTGTGTGTGTGTGTTTGTGTTTGTTACATCAGTGGAAAATGGCCTCTGTATGACTGCGGTCAGTTCGGCCAATTTTCAGTTCCTCAAACAAGACAGCAGCAGAGGAAACACACCCAGCCTTCAGTGCAGCTGAACAGCAGAGGCACTCAGAGACAGGCAGACATGCAGCCACGTGATCGCCCCACTGAATGACATCATTGCAGAGAATCTAGGACAAAGAGGGAGGAGAGAGCTGGAGAGAGAGCTGGCATGCCGGGCGTTCACCATCATGGCAGGGGCTGAAGCTGCAACATGGACACTAGACTGATGGGAGCATCTTGTGCAGCAGAAGCTTTCAGCCATTTCGCATCATTGATTATACACCAGCTGCACTTAGCCCATTCAAAAAATCTAATTTAAACATTTGTATAGACCAGAATATCTCTGCAAGCCTTTGTATTGATTTGCGGCCTGCCACACCTTTATAATGGATGCTGCAGGCTTTTCTTATTCCTCTGCATGCATAATGAATGAGCTTTGTCTTCAGGGTCTGTTTATTGGCTTTATAATAGCTTTAAATCTGAACACACAATTAAAGATTGGTAATACGATGTTGCAACAAGTCTCAAAGCTTCATAACATGAATATAAAAATTAAATTCCCAATCCAATGCAATGTTGGAATTTAATTTAGTAGGTTGTTTATACATTTATATTGATCCTATGCAGAATTTTTCACCCTCTATTGATTAGATGCACAAATTTCCTCCTTTACACCTGCTGTTAAAATGCTTTCCACTTGTTTCTCCTCAAAGCCCCGATATGCACTAACATTGTTTTAATGTAGAGGAGGTTTTGCAGTATCTCTTTGTTATATTTGGAGTATAAACAGCAGTGAAAAATGCTGGTAGTAGAGGTTTTTTTTCCTCCTCCTCGGTGCACAGAAGCAAATCCCTGCCCTGCTGTATAAATCTGGAAGCACCGCCCTCCCATTCAGCAGTTGTTGCATCGACCCCGTTGGGTACAACACGCGACGCAAACCCCCCTCGCTTTTAATAAGCCTTTTTCTTCATATTTTCTCCTCTTTCTCCTCTAACCTCAAACGAAAACATGGTAAGTTGAATTTCCTCTTTCACTCGGAGTGGTTTTGGATGATTTTGGGGACGTTAAAGTGACATTTGGGGGTGTCGAGCCGGTGTTTTCTGCCGTTACGCGACGTCGTTTAGCGGTTTTTTTCCATCAACGGTTTGATGGATTTCGCGATATTCAGACGAATTTAAAGGGTTTTTATTCAATTTGAGAGGTATTCTGATCAAATTTAAGGTGTTTATGTTGTTTTCTAAGGGTACATTGTTCTGCAGTATTGGCACGGTGTGACTGTCATTGTGTACTGATGAGAACAATGCACTGAATGGCGTAATTCGGTTTAACGGCTCAAGTAACAGTAATTCAGAAAGATAACTCTCTCCTATCTCTGAAAGTATCAACATTTTAAAGTCTTTTTTCATTTTTGATCATTTTTAACGCGTCAATACACAAAAATAGGCACCTTGCATATATGCCCTACCCTGTATGAAGGCGGGGAGGGGCAGCTTGGGTGGGGATGGATGGATGATGGAGACTGCAGGTATCATTTTTAATTCATTAGATTCAGGAGCAAATAAATGTTTAATCACATCATGGATTAAAAATTCAGACGTTAACTTCTGTTATAACGTTTCCTTGTATGCAAAGTGTTCATTCTAATCTGATTAGATTTAATTTCAGATGATAAATCGATTTTAATCATATGCAAAATACTATCCTGTGCAGTGATATATCAGATTTTTCCAAAGGGCAAATCGTACTTCCTCCAAGTGGAAGGTTCCAGATTGCTGATGTGCATGCGCAACTGAATTTGCATTCGTGCTCGAGCTTGCAGAAAAAAAGGGAGAGTGTGGGATGAAAAGACAAGGAGAGACAAGAGGAAAGAGGAGAGCAGCGTCCTGCCTCTGTGGGGGCCGCTGTCAGACATTTTTGTCCCCCCCTGCAGATTGTGGTGCAGGGAGGGAGGTGCCTCCTGCTGCACTGCTTCCCCCATTTCAAGAGGCATTCATGTTAGAGCTAACATGCTAAGACTTGAAAGAAAATGAACACAGGTGGATGATAATTACCTCTTTCTCCTCTTCTTCCAGCGTGAGTGTATCTCCATCCACGTTGGACAGGCTGGCGTCCAGATCGGCAATGCCTGCTGGGAGCTCTACTGCCTTGAACATGGGATCCAGCCGGATGGACAGATGCCCAGTGACAAGACACTGGGAGGAGGAGATGATTCCTTCAACACCTTCTTCAGTGAGACTGGAGCAGGAAAGCACGTCCCCAGAGCTGTTTTTGTAGACCTGGAGCCCACTGTGATCGGTGAGTCATTTGGAAATTAGTTTGGAAATAAGACAAATAAAGGTGAAATATCAGGAGGTAACTAATTAATGTTTTATTTGATTTTTAGATGAGGTTCGCACTGGGACCTACCGCCAGCTGTTCCACCCAGAGCAGCTGATCACTGGAAAGGAGGATGCTGCCAACAACTACGCCCGTGGACACTACACCATCGGCAAAGAGATCATCGACCTGGTGCTGGACAGGATCCGCAAACTGGTAACTTGAAATCAGAAGTGACATTCAGTAAGATTATATAACTCACCTTTTATCTGTGCTCACTATCTCTCTCTCTCTGTGTCCTCAGGCTGATCAGTGCACTGGCCTTCAGGGCTTCCTGGTCTTCCACAGCTTTGGAGGTGGTACCGGCTCTGGTTTCACCTCCCTGCTGATGGAGCGTCTGTCTGTCGACTACGGCAAGAAGTCCAAGCTGGAGTTCTCCATCTACCCAGCTCCCCAGGTGTCCACTGCTGTGGTGGAGCCCTACAACTCCATCCTGACCACTCACACCACCCTGGAGCACTCTGACTGTGCCTTCATGGTAGACAACGAGGCCATCTACGATATCTGTCGTAGAAACCTCGATATCGAGCGTCCCACTTACACTAACTTGAACAGGTTGATCAGTCAGATCGTGTCCTCCATCACTGCGTCTCTGCGTTTTGATGGTGCCCTCAATGTTGATCTGACAGAGTTCCAGACCAACTTGGTGCCATATCCCCGTATCCACTTCCCTCTGGCCACCTACGCCCCTGTCATCTCAGCTGAGAAAGCTTACCATGAGCAGCTCTCTGTGGCTGAGATCACCAACGCCTGTTTTGAGCCAGCCAATCAGATGGTCAAATGCGACCCTCGCCATGGCAAGTACATGGCCTGCTGCCTTTTGTTCCGTGGTGACGTGGTGCCCAAAGATGTAAACGCCGCCATCGCCACCATCAAGACCAAGCGCACCATCCAGTTTGTGGACTGGTGCCCCACTGGTTTTAAGGTTGGCATCAACTACCAGCCTCCCACTGTGGTTCCTGGTGGTGACCTGGCCAAGGTCCAGAGGGCCGTGTGCATGCTGAGCAACACCACTGCTATTGCAGAGGCCTGGGCCCGTCTGGACCACAAGTTTGACCTGATGTATGCTAAGCGTGCCTTTGTTCACTGGTACGTGGGTGAGGGTATGGAGGAGGGTGAGTTCTCCGAGGCCAGAGAGGACATGGCAGCTCTGGAGAAGGATTATGAGGAGGTGGGAGTCGACTCCATTGAGGGGGAGGGAGAAGAGGAAGGAGAGGAGTATTAAAAAGAGCAGAAAGGCATTAGTTTAACAGGAAATAGTTGATTGCAATGTGTTCTTGAATGCATTACCAGCAGAAATGTTTGTGTGCCAAGTTCAAGCTTGGCTGTTCAGACCTAAAAAAAACTGAAATTGTCAAGTTTGGCTCGTTCAAATAAAATTCCTGTCACCTGTGAGCTGATTTGTCTTTGTTTTTCTTTTCTAAATACAAAATATTTGACTTCTGAATCTTTAGTCATCCCATCATATTATCTGGTTTGAGCCTGTAATACAAAAAAAATTCAATTCTTATTGATGCAAACAGCAAAAAATGAATGCTAAGAGTCAGAGAGACTATTAATAACCTCTTAAATTAGCATGTTGACGATGGAAATAAGTGACAAGGAGGGTTAATGGCTGTTTTAGAGTAACTTGTATAATGTGATTAGATATAGAAACATTTTCACTTATTAAACACTTCTGAAGCTGAACTGTAAGATTTAGGATGAGTTACAATAAAACTAGAAGACACAACTTTACTAAGCCAAGTTTATTGGAAAAACATTCAGATTCAGTTTTTTTTTTCCAAACAAAAACATTTTTTTCTACCAGATTTTCTTCAGTCGTTGGTACAAAAGATCAGAGCATGTCTAAGATGTGATTCCTGCAAAATTATCGATTGAACTGAATTGATTCAAATATTACACACTCATGAAGTTGGTTGTAGAAAAAAGTAGAAAAAAAAAGTATAAAAAGTTGTCAGTTGTTTGTTTTACTGACAAGTTTGCAAAGGTCTGGTTTTTGCATTTGGATTGTGTGATGTTGGTGAGGGTTCACACCGGCCTCTCCTGCAGCAGAGGGCAGTTATCCACGGCTCCCCGTCTGTTCAGAAGGTTCCAGAACATCGAGGCCCCGGAGCAGCTGTGAGCCCGGCCCGGCTGCTGGATGGCGGACGCGAGCATGTCTTCCTTCAGGGGATCGTAGGACTTGAAGCGTCTGTTGAAAAGAAACGCATGTATTAATTCAACACCAGATGTAGGGCTGGGCGACAAAACAATAACGATATATGTCGAAAATTAATTTCCTTCAATATCAATAGAGAACATGGTCAATATCCTTTTTAATAACAGGCATTCTGACATGTTTTGGCAGACTCTCTCGCGCAACGCCTTACGACAAAACGTCAAAGAGACACAAAGACCTCACAGATGCAGGAGATTATTGTATTGCAAAAGACATGCGACCAAAAAAATATACCATGATAAACATTTCCCCATATCGCTCAGGCCTAACCAAAGTAAAGATGTGGTATAATAAGAGAAAACTGGTGCTTCTTACTTGTAAGAATATGCCACTACTCCCACTGCTAGAACCAGGAACAGGACCCCCAAAACCATCGCAATGGTGCCAGAAGAAGACAGGTCTGAAGCTGAAACAGACAAAAAACTGTTTGTGAGCAGACATCACACCAACTACACGCATTTGTCATGTGAATCATTGAGGTTTTCCTGCATACCCATGTCCACGTTGACTTTGGCGCTGGTGACAGCCAAGCTCACATCGTTAGCCATGGACACGTTGATGCAGTAGACACCGGAGTCGTTGAAGAAGTGGCGCAGAACCAGCTGGCAGTCTGCAGATGGCTCCACCATGTTGCAGACGGTGTGAATGGGCTTCAAGCACTGTGCATCCAGAATCACACTGCACACCTCTTTAGGAAGGCTGAGAAAACAGAGAGTCCAGTGAGTCAAAATGAAGATGAACAAAGATGTGAGTTTGGATTCTCCGATAAAGACGAGAGGATTCACCTTCCCTGGCAGGTTACGGTGATATCCAGAACATTCTTGTCCAGCTGAGGAGTCACCATCAGGGCGTTGCTCATTTGAACTATCTCTACTTTCTCAATACCCTCTGAGAACAAAGACGAGAGGTCAGGATTTAGACTGACCATCATCTGAATTTTACGATGATTAAATTCTGAAGGAGTCGGTGAAAAGTGACTCACCGCAAACCTCGATGCCGGTGCAGAAGGAGCCGTAACGGTAAATCACACAGTCATCATCAGCGGGTTTGTCCGCAACGTCCCTCTTAGCTACCAGGACCACCTGAGCGTGACCGGTCAGGATCAGTGGACGCTTTTCACCCACTGAAATTAAACAACAACAGGACAAAATCAGGGGAAATTGAGTTTATTTTTTACATTTCTATTATGGATGAAGAGAAAAGAAATATATTTTACTGCTGCACATTTCAGGACAAAGGAAAGTGTAAAATTGAGAAGAAATGGAGAAAGTACCAGCCTATCCAACCCTGAGAGTTAATAACAGTTTATTATAATAACTTTATTATTTATTTTATTATATTATTTAATTATTTATTTAACAAATATTTATTTAATTATGTATTTAATTTTAAATAAATATTTGTTTTATATCAATTATTCATTATTTATTTAATTATGTATTTAATATTAAATAATAATTTATTTAATATTACTTAATTATTATTTATTTTATTATTTATTAGATAGATAGATAGATAGATAGATACTGTATCAATCCCAGAGGGAAATTCAAAAATTATATTATTATTATTAGTATTATAACTATTTTATTTAATTTATTTTTTATATTTTTATTTATTTTTTATAATTAATTTTATTTATTTAAAAAATATTTTACTAATTTATTTTAATTATAACAGTTTTTATTTTTATACAGTCATTATTTTTTAGGTTATTTTTCCAAGCTCACTTTAACAAGCAGGTAACTTTTTTTTGTTTGATGATATTTGGATCAAATTTTGACAAATATTTTAATATTACTTTAAATACAGTAAGGCACTTATTTTCACTTTTATTGTCAAAGTCAAGAATCTAAACACTTCCCTGTAAATTCATGATGAACCAAACTGTGTCACCATGCAAATCTGAATTCAAATTAAGAAGCACAACATTGTGATTAAATCTGGAGTCGGTCCGAGTCGACCTGCTCCGCCTGTTTCAAACGACGACGGTGCCTCATCCAAGTTTTACATGTCAGGAAATCAGCTGCTGATAACTCTGTATCTCCATCTTTGCTGATTTTACTCACTGTAGTTTATTTACGCTCACTAACCTGCTCCAAGTCCCGTCTGCGCCTCGCTGTCAGCTGGCAGGTCTTGGCTGCTGGGAGTGGGAGTCTTGGCCACAGGAGGAGCTTCCTGAGCGGGCTGAGCGTTGGAGGCGGTGGAGGCCTCGTCCTCGGTGTTGTCTTCCTCCGTGTCTGAGGGGACCATGTTGACACTCAGACCGGCAGACTTGGTGGTGACCGTTAAGGGGACGGCGGTCATCAGTGCAGGAGCTTTCACTGCAAACACACACAGACACACAAAGAAGATTGCCGATTCATGTAAGTCTGTTATGATTTATTATCTGATGGATCTTAAATTCTTAAATAAATTGAGATATAATGAGTTTTTAAAGCTCTTTTATAAACCCTCACACTCCTCTCTTCACCGTCTGAGTCTTACCTGTGGTTCCCTGATCAGCGGGCGGAGACGGGGCCTTGGTCGGACTCTCTACAGGGTCACAAGCTCTGTCTGGGATCATGGCCTGGATCACCACCTGGGGTTTGAAGTGTCCGGTGCTGACGTAGGTGTGGGTGACCGTCAGCTCTCTGGATATGAGGGCTCCGCTCTCGTCCCCGAAGTCCCAGTTGAAGGTGATGTCCGCGTTGCAGAGGTACCCGCTGGGGTCGTGGAGGCTGATGGTGAAGGCGATGGCTCTGTTCTGGACGAAGCGCATGTCCCCGGCAACGATGTCGTTCACTTGGTCCAGGGAGACGGCGAAGGGGATTTGATCTGGAGGAGAAACACCAAATACTGATGCAGTTCGTCTTTATATAGCGATGATATCTAGAAGTATGAAGATTTTTGTTTCACACACCAGTGATGGAGAACTGCGTGGAGGCGTATCCAAGAGGAATGAACTTCTCCTTGCTCCTGAAGTGGTAGATAACAATGTCCACGACGTAGGAGCCCAGGGGGATGTCATCTGTGCTGATGGTCAGTGAGGAGGAGGGTCCGTCTGCCACCTGCCAGTACTGACCTGCAGACACCAGTGAGTACACAAGAGACGCACTTTACCGAGTACACATAAGACACGTATCTGTGAATTACCGCACTTTGCACTCATAACGGTCGGTCTCTACTGTGGTCAGGGATGTCAGCATGCTTGGGCAGACTTGTGAAATGATGGTTTTACAGTTATAAACTTCAGAGCAATTACCATGTACAGTCACTGATTTCACGAATTGAACATATCTGAAGCCTCGTGCCTCAAACATAAAAGCTCCAGTCAAAAAAATCGGATGTAAGCGCCACGATCTAACCTTCTGATCAGGCTCAAATCTAATCCACGCTCGGTTATACTCCACGCCCTGGCACAGGTCCTAAGAAAACGTGTGACTGAGATAATTAAGAGGTATTTGATAAGGGTCTACAGCTCCACTCACCCCAAGTTTTCCAGACAAACACATAGGCCGGCTTCTTGTCCTTCTTAATCGGGCTTCCATCGGGGAAAACAGCCTCCCAGTCTGAATCAGGAGTCGGGTACACTGGCTCGTTCTCGTGGTATTTGGTTCCTGACACACAAGGCGGAGAAGTGTGAGGGTTCGAGGCCATGACAGAGAAACTTAGACGAAAGCAGGAGTCTGCAGCTCAGTCAGCTGTTAGAGGATATACTGTGAGTAAAAGACTCTTTCTTGAATTGTAGAGAAGCATGTGAGAAAGTAACTCTAGTATGAGCCGTTTTATCTAAATTATTTTTGGGGTTTTGTCTTGTTACTTGCTCAATCATCACAAGGGGCACTTCAGGTAAATGCTACAAAAGGGACACAGGTGAAGCAGTGATCTCGGGAACAGCAAGAGCGCACGGTTTTTACTGCTAATCTCCAACACCACTCTCATCCTCATCACAAACATCATTGAAAATTAGACGTATCTGTCTTTTCTTTTGTTTGTTTTTCATTTAATCAATAAATGGCAAAATATATAACTCAACAACAACCTTGGATTGGACATTGGATTGAACTCGAAATGTGTCAAAAACACCTCACTGCTGCACCCAGACAGTGACTAAAGTTCAGGTCAGCATAGTCACCCCAACTCGACTTACTTGATTTAAAGAATTATATAAAAATGTTTAGTATTAGTGTTGGTTTGAATGAAATATTGACAAATCTTTGAGCCATTGGGGTCTAATTCTAGGTTTTCCAGCAAGTTCTTGTAGTTTGAGCCATTTTCATTCAGACCAAAATGACCCTCCTGTTCAAAATCACACATACCTTCAACCTGTCAGTACCAGAAGATGGGTTCGGATGGGTTCAAATTCAGTTATTTTACATACTTAAGCATGGCCAGACAACAAGCTACAATAACTCATTTGCAGAAGGTTGACCAGCTTCGTTTAGCATGTTGAAGTTAGCTGAAACCAGTCCTTGAAGCATGGTTTTTGATACATTTAATTCAGTAATCGCATCAGCCTCATGGTGGCGCTATAGGTAAACTCAGAGACCATCTAAGCTCAAAGGTTTCTACCTCGATGGATCACAAATGGTTCCACCAAATTTCACCCCAATCCAGTTGATAATCGTTGGGATATTCCAGTTGAAACTAACCGACATCATGGCTCCATGTTTCACCGTTTTTCTTCGTTCATGCGTTCGGCGTCTTACCGTTGACTATGCCGTCTTCAGCCCAGACTACTTCTCCGTTCGGCAGCACCTTCTGGGTCTTGGGGAACTCCAGCTCTATGGTGAAGGTAACTTTGGCTCCGGTCAGAGTTGGTGAATCGTTCCCCACGTTGAAAGTCACTCTCCCGCCTACAGGTGAAGAAAAAAGACAAAAAAACTCAGGTTCATTAAGATATTTAGATCAATGAAACATGAAGCTGTCTCTTTATGATTATGTCATTATCAGACCGACCTTTCCAGGCCTCCTTGTATCGTGGGTCTCCATCTTTCCAGACTGGGTACATCTTATTGTTCCATGATGGGTAGCGAGTGAAGCGGTTTTTGGGCTCTGGAAAAGTACGAGGATAAAGTTTTTATACAACACAAAGTACATAATCCCGAAGCACTGGCACACTTTGACTTTTCAACAGTTTCTGAATAGCTGCCAAACTCTTTTTTACTACTCACTTGTTATGAATTTAAATATGTAACGTCCGTACTCTGTAAATACGACTGAAGTTCCCCAAAAAGCCCAAACGACCGCAAATCAAACTCTGTCATCCCTCCAATCCCCCTCATGTGATCCTCAGCTGAGCGTCTGCATGAGTCTATCACAGATTAACTGTCACAGGGCTGAATTAGGATTAGATATAACGTGGCAGTTTATCAGCTCAGTCTGACTTTTAAGTGCAGGCTCATGAATATCAGTTTAATTTCTCAGTGTAACATCAAACATTTCACATGTTTTCTATCTACTTTCATAACTCTGAATGTTCACACACATGATTTAAACATCATTAAAAGAGACTTCGTTAAAGACGTGACTTTTTCTTTGACTTTAGAAACCAAAGGACTGAGATACAGGGTCAGGTTATTCCTCACATGGGTCTCTCTCTGAGTCCTCACATTCATGCATGGTTAGCTAAAGAGGTCACGAGAAAAAAAACTCAGATCTTATAAAACAGAACATGTGATGGAAAACTGGACTTCTTTACATGGAGAAAAACAACAGTTTCTATGAGCTGCATGTGTTTATAACGGGAGTCTGTCGATAAGTTAAAGGCAGCATCACTCGACTGAAACTCCTCTGACACATCAGCTGATCTTTAAAATAAACGGACTTTAAGCTGATATAGGAGCAGACACTTTAGGACTCTATAAGACCACCGTGATTTACATTTACTCACATGGTTTGGATTAATGTGGCCGCACATGACACATTGACATTTTTTAATCCACTATAATGAGCACATTAGCACATACCGTCGCCTGGTGACAGACGCTGCTCGACTCTTGTCATCAGAAATTAACCTGTTGTTGCTCTTTATTCTTCGATTAGAGACTGTGAAACCTCCTTTTTAAACATGTTTTTAATCTACAGATCATGTTTTAAGACTTTCTTCTCTCTCTTCTTGTAGTTTTTTGTTTTGTTGCATCAAATTACCAGAAATTCCTGATCTGGAAGAACCTGCATACATCTCGTTTTGATGACATCTGTTCATAACTCTGCAGTATGACATGATATAAACTTCTGCCTGTTATAGTTAGGTTTTTGAGTAATTTACTATCTTTAAATCCAGACTCAAAACCCACCTGTTCAGATTGGCACACTCCTTATAATTTAACATGATTTTGTTTGTTTTATACATACATATATATACTTTCTTTCTTTGTTTTGTTTTCTCTATTGATTTTATCCTGCTGTTGTAACTCCAGAAAGGCGCTTATAAATAAATTGTATCATTATCATCATTATTATCATTATCATAACTTTCTACAAGTACTTTTAAAAGAAAATACTTTCCAATAACTGAAGTTTTGACAGTAATATCACACCGTTTAATAACTGTGCATTTCACAGCTCAAGTCACCCATTTTTACAGCTCTTTATGCATTATCTCATGAATATTTTGCATTAAAATGCTTCTTGCACTTCGATGCAACACCTTAGTTACATTAAACATGATGCTAAATCACAAATATCCTTCCAGGTGCAGCTCTCCAACATTATTAGTACTTTGACTTTTGGTGCTTTAACTGAAAACAGTCAATTTTGTGTCCGTCTGTTGCTTGTTTGGTTGATTTCTGCATTGTAGCATCAATAATTTGCCTTCTTTACTCACTTTACTGACTTTATTTTCTGCACCACTCTTGGAAAAGCTTTTTAAAAGTCAAAACGACTCCCATTTGAAGCTTCAGGATCACATGTTCCTGCTGCTCAGGATCTCTAACCAGCCACCCACATCGACCCTGAAATTCTCTGTCAGCTCTCATTAAAGTAAAACACCTGTAATCACGTCTGAAACTGGAGAAACTTCTTGTATTTAATCGTGATAAAGTTACTTACTTGCTGCCGTCTGTGACGCTGCAGCCAGCAACACCAACAGCACAAAAGACGTCCGCATTGTCAGTGCACCTCTTCTCTAAGAAAAATCCCTTTAGTGAGCACAGGGGAAGAGAAAACCGGCTTTATAAACTCCCTGACGTCTGACCTCACAGTGTGCCTGAGACACAAAAACGCCCCCGACAGAGTCCTGCAGACCGGCCCTCCTTCAGTGAGATTTAGGGGCTCCTGGAATAATTCAAATTTGTGTTTTTACAGTAGAAGCACGCACGGGGGATTACAGGCACACGTACAAAGACAAATCACCTCATAATCACGCAAGATATGCAAAAGTCCTGAAAACTGGACTTGAACTTAAACAAGAGGGGAATCACGAGAGGAGCTCGAGTGTTCGCAATCAAACAAAAGAAATAATTTATCCTATAAGTATGAACTGTATTAGACCGTTTTTGTTCATATAGTTAGTTTTAAATTGTCTGCAGAGAGTTTATTCAAGTATTGCACTTAAGTATCTTTGTCTTTTTGCTCCATTTAGGTGCTACCCTACTTCGCCTCTGAGGGGGGACAGCAGGATATTACAGCAGTCTTAACTCAAAGACAGTTTAAATCTTCAAATCTAATAAAATCTGATACTACCAGTACCACCACTAATATGTGCTTTAATTGATGATTAAAAGATCTCAATTTAACTCTAAAGCCCTAATATGACCTAAAAACGAAAACTGGATCATCAGCTACAAGAAGACTACATGTATACTTATTATAATGCCTGTCACCTCTGGCACGGGGTCAGATTATGACCAAGCGATTTACAGTACCGACCACAAAAGACCCTCTGTCTTCATTTTTCTCAACATTATTTCAACATGAATTTTACTTTAAGAGAAAAGTTTCAAAAGAAGCAGGAGGAGAAGTTTCTGCAGAGACGGCTGAACACATTGTGGTTCAGGTCTTTATTCTTTATAGCAAACAATATTTAAATAATGCACTAAACAATACGCTCTTAACATTATTATTTTTGTCTGGTGTAATTTTAAAGTAAGGGTTTTTAGATATATTTAAATGATATAAGGTTTTAAGCTGCAACATCAGAATATTTGCTTTGTTTGAATTTGATTAATGTATTAATTCAATATTTTTTGTCTGATTTTCTTTAATCATTTTTGATCATTTCCTTGGCTTTTCGCTCAGCATGAGGGTTGTGTAAACTCTGTCCTTTATGGTCCTTTTATCACTTTTATGCTTTTGTGTTTTCATTTCATTTTAAATGTTTTTTACCTGCTTTTAATTTATTTCATCTTGATGTTTTCAGCAGTGTCTGTTCTTTTAGTTTTATTGTGCAGCACTTTGGTAACTTGAATGTTTTTTAAAATGTGATTTATAAATAAAGCGGATTAGATCGGCTTTTTTGTTGTTTGTCATGTTTACTGTTCTTTATTTCGAAAATTGTGTGGACACCTTAAATTTTGTAACAAATTTTTTGCAGCATCACTTTTGTCGTTATCATTGTTCAATTATTGCATTTGTTTATGTTAATGTATCTTAGCACTGTCTCTTTCATATATGAAAAAAGACAAACGAATAAAAGTAGAGATTAAAGCAGCTGAATTCAGGAAAAAGAGGATATGACACAAATGCAGGCTGGGCGACTCCGTTTCATTATCAGTAATTTAACTAATAAATAATAACGAGGAGCCTCATCTGTAATCTGTTCGATTATCTTTATAAAAACAGTCGCTGTCGTGTCACTCAGTGTGTCTTTAAAATAACCTCAGCTCTCTTTGATCACACTTTTTTTTGTGCTGAAAAACATAAATGTGATAATAATTCAGGAGCTTAGTATGAAATAATAGGATAATTTTGAAATCATGAGGGTTTCTGTGGAGCATGTGCTCACAAATACACTATCAGTAATTACTTCAACCTCTGCCTGAGTCATCTGACCTGAACTCTGCGGGTTCATGTTTAACCGCTGAAACTCTCTTTCCATCCATCATCATAAAGGAGAGCCGCTCTGTCTATGTAAAGATTGTTTTCTGTACATGTTTGTACTTAATTTGCTGCCTTAAATAAAATAAAACATCTCACTGTAAATGGGAGCTGTTCATTTCTGTGTCATTAGCACAGCAGAGGTCAGTTCGGCTGCCGAGAGGCCGCGCTTGCAGGAAAAACGAGGAATGCCACGATAATGAGGATTATCGAAACTCTTGTGACTCCCTAAATTCATCCGGCTTTATCCTTTTACCCCGAGAACTATAAAGTGACTTTGTTAAAACATTTTTTGTTTCCTTATCATATGCCGAAATGTGACACTGTCTAAACCTCTTTTTTAAACAATGTCAGCATTCACGGCAAATCCCTCTAAAACCTGTTTCATCTGCTGTCACCATGGACCCTTTAACTCCTTGTGGACTTTGGTGAGTGTGCATTCAGGCCCCAGTGTGGTAAAAGTCGAGTAAGCACAAGTGTAACACTGCAGAGGTCCTAAACAGACATACATCCATACATTAAATTAGCTGATAAGAGTTCTTTATAACAGGAAAATGAAGAGATAAAGCATGTTTGTTTTGGTATCAGTGTAAAAGGAGCATAAATATGTTATAAAGTTTTTCAGCCTTGAAGAAAGTTTAAACTTAATGGATTTAGCATAAATACTCAGATCAGATGTTGCCCTAGTAAACTCAACACAATAGGGCCAATAGATAAAGATTAATTTATAGAGAAAATAGTGAGTAAGTAAAGTTTATTTGTAGAGCGCTTTTCACAGATAAAAATCACTCAAAGCGCTGTACATAAAATAAGTGCAATTAGATAAACAAAAAACAGAACAAAGACCAATCACCTCATAATCAGATATAAGTGCAGATATTTAAGATAAGTAAAAGAGAAACAAAACCCTGTTTATTTAAAGCTTTTCTAAATAAAAGAGTCTTCAGCTGCAAAATAAAGCAAACTTAGTAGTTTTGGGTCAGATTTTACATTCAGATATATTTATATAAACAAATACAGCAAATAAAAAAGGTTAAATTGGGGTCCTCTGCCTCTTTGACGCATGGTGAGAGAAAAGTTAGTATGTTAAAGGTGAACGAGATTACTAGTGTGGATCAGGTCCATGAAAAAGTCCACACTCAAAATAAAGGAGAGGAGGACTGGAGCGGGCAAGTATGGATACAGGACGAGGTATGTGTTCTAGGTTTTAATTCACAGGAATCGAGGGTCTGGTGACATACTGTCTGGAAAACAAAGGTATGAACTTTATAGGTCCTTTCTCCTGTGTTAGTGATAGCCACAGCAGTTCTTTTAGATGTACTAAATCACTAGAATCAGTTCAATAAAAAGATTCGTTCACCAAATCACAGAGTCATTTAGCGCTTGGTGGGAGAACCCTATGACTCCGACCCCCTGACCTGATTCACAGCTGAACGGTTCAGGATTCAGTTCAGTTCAAAGCGTCTAGGACCGGGAGACGAGAGTGTTTGTCTGTGTTACTTTGGCAAACAGGTTTGTAAAAATTAACTTGTTCATAAGTCATGATGTTTTAAGTGTACTGTCCTATGGTATGCTATTTATCAGGTCTGCTCTGTAAATTGGGTTCAGTGAGTGATTCGTTCACTCAGCGTTTAGAAGAATTCACACTGAACATGCACCTTTCCCTCGTCAGTGCATGATAGGATGCTGCGGGTTTAATGCACTACTTGTTTCATGCTGTGTCCGATTGTATGCAAGTTGTTGTGGTGACAATTTAGCAGTGAAAAAATACAAAAAAGGTAGTTTTGCCTGACAAAAATGATTCCAAAGAGTTCAGTTACACGTGGTTCGTTCATGAAGTGATTCAGACGTCGGTTCATGTGGTCCCTCGTTTGCCGGCTGCTGCCAGCTCAACTGAAATGAGAAACGAACGGATCACTCGAGGAAGTGATTTGGTTCATTACGTTCATTTAAAATATTCGGTTCTTTTGAACGAATCGTTCGCGAATGACTCAACACTATCCTGTGTGCCATTTTCCTTTAACATGATGTGTGCTAGGATACTTTTATATTCTAGTCATGTTAGCTTGAATAGATACAAGAGGGTTAATGAGGGCATGAAGTTGGATTACCTCAGCAGTTAAATCCGGAGTCATATGTTCCCAAAGTAACAGCCCCAGATTTGACTCCTGGCCCTGGTCCTTCTCCAGTCTCTTCTATTTGAGGCTTCAGCTGCTGTTCAGTCAAAAAAAAGGTATAAAAACCTCAAAAAGAATCCCAAAACACCTTACAGTTTGTTGCTGACTTACTTAATAACCAACTAAATGAGAATATCAGCACGAAGAGGCCGCCACTTTCAGAATTTAATGAGATAAATTACTTCATGACAAAATAACATAAGCGTTTGTAGGCCTACATGCTAAGGGAAGCCTGTGCATTGGACTCATGTCAAATACTGAATAAAATTTATTTATTCTACAATATTTAAAGTCTATTTAGTTCCTTCATGTGTTCAAGTGAAGGAACTGTTTCATGAAAGCTAAAAATCTGTGAGTTTATCCACTTGGAAGCGATCGGAGCTCCCTTATTTGTGTGTATTTGTGTATGTTATGTTGTCGACTCACCTGCAGGTTGTTGGCGTGTCCATCAGGGGGCGCTGTGAGGTCACCGAGTCAGTGTGGCGGCGTTCAGAAGTAGAGCCGCTGCACTTTGATTGGAGGAAGTGAAGCATCAATAAAGAAAGATGGCCGAAGTCATAGAGCTGCAGAAACTGAAGGTGTGTAATTCTTTAAAATATGTAATTATTAGGCGCGTTAGGGACATTTATCTGTACAAATATTGTTTTTACCGCTGTAAACGACGATACTAGATAGCAGGTTTAACGATAACTGTAAGGTTTGATGAGACAAATGTGTTCAGGCTGAGAACCACGATGTTAAACCTTTTTATTGTTTGACTCAGCAACAAGAACCGGTTTTTTCTCTTAAATGGCAAATAAACGTGTTCTGGTTGATTTAATTACGTTATAAGAAGCCTTAAAAAGATAAATTTACCATACCCTCATGTTGTTTGTTGAAAAGAAGTTTATAAATGCTGATAAATCCACAACAGCGTTTGAATGAAGCTTTTGGTTGGACTGAGTCTTACCGCAGAAATTCATTTTATTATCCTGCAACAACCTCATTTTAGTTTAAACATCACAATAACAAACAAAACATGACACTGAATGATCCACAAATCTGTTTAAATAGAGTTTTCATCAGTAAAAGTCTGTAAAGGTTTGGGTATTTTGTGGTTAAAGTTGAATATCTCTCTTGTTTTTGTTTTCCAGCTCGCTGAGCTGAGGCAGGAGTGTGAGGCCCGAGGTCTGGAGACCAAAGGGAACAAAGGAGAACTCATCGCCCGACTCCAGGCCTACCTGGAGGAGCACGGTGAGGAGAAACATGCCAACAACATCACCTTTACTATCTTATTACTATTTAATATATCAAAACCTCTAATATGGTCCCTCTTTTCTCTGTTATTTATCCTCCTCTCATGATGCAGAAGAAGACGTGGATGTGGATGATGTGCTGGCAGAGGACTCAGAGGTAAAACAATGTTAGATTTTTAACAATATTAAAGGAATATTCCAGTGTAAAATTAATTTAGGGTCAAATACACTGTAACAACGAGTTAGACAGATGAATGTTGCCGACCGCTTGTTTCTCTAATTATACCAACTTTAGTAACGACCACAGGATAGCGATACACAGCGGTCTGAGGAGCCATAAACAAACCTCAACCAAAACGCCACTCTATAGCCACAAATAATGCTCAGAACAGCACCTAACTTCATCAACAGGACATATAGGGTCCCAGCCATAGTACTAGACACCAAACATCTTTTTAACTTTGACTCATTTCTTCAGCAAAGAGACTAAACACAACTCACCTACTCTCTTCCAGCAGACGCTTGTTTGTAGTGAGACCTCAGGCCAGTCCATTACGGACTACAGCGGGGTGACACAGCTCTAGGGAGAACATTTATGATCATTTCTTTATCATTTCCTTGAAGTAATAATCATCATATTAATCATTTTACAGACGCGGTACTTCATCTGCCTTAGCGTCTCGGTCTGATTGTATTTCCATGAAGAAATTGTTGGTATACAATTAGTTATAAGTTGGTATAAGTAGAGAAGCAAGCGGTCGGCAAAATTCATCTCTAGCGGAGTCGTCTAACTCGGTCTTACGGTGTGTTTGACCCTAAATTAATATCCCTTTAACTTCTTTATCAACCTCAGACCTTATTAGACCCAGTGAGGATGTTGTGTTAAGAGGTTTAATTTTGCTTCCAGGACTTCACAAAAGTTGAGAGAGCCAACAATGTGAAAGTCAAGGATTCTGCGTCTTCTGAGAACGAGCCGTGAGTTTACAGTTTCACAGTGCACACATCACTGTAACATACAAGTGTTCACATGCAGCAGCTTTTAATGTTGATAATAAATAGAAGCTGTTAGCAGTTTCTTTTGATTTTTCTAACAAATACTTATTTGTCTTTCAGACCAGAGGAGGAGGAGAAGAAGGTGGTGAAAATTGCACCTCCAGCATCTGCCAGTGAGGTACGTATGACAGATTAGCATTCACTAATAATTCAACCAAAAGGATTCAGTCTGCATATTTTCAGTACATTTTATATAAACATAAATGACATGTGAAAGTTACTGGATATAAAAGCACATAAAATACACATGAACTGGATATCATACTAATACCTAACTGAAACTTTTGCATTTAAAGTGTGTAAAGACAGAAAAAGTACATCAGAATCATTCTCTATCTACAAATACCGTAAATCCTCTAATATAGGCTGGGTCTTATTTTTGCTGTTACTGCCGTTTGTAGCAGGCAGAGATTTGTTCCCACTAGACCCTTCAAATGAGCCAAAAAGACATTTTCTATTCACAGAGCATGTGCCAAGAGTTGAATGCTCCTCAAACTGCGCTGCTGAGCGTGTATCGTCTATGTGCTCTTTGTTGTTTGCATATATTCAAAAGATTCATGTGGTGCAAAATTTGCCTCTGTCTATGCAAATAAACCTCTGAGTGAAAATCACCTAAATCATCAACACAATTTCTAAAAGCCATATGCAGTTACTGTGACATATTTACCAACTGCAGCTGAGATTTTCTAACCCTTTAAAGCCTGTGATGTGGTCTCTATGATAGAAATTAAACAGTGCCTGGGCCAGCCTTCTTCATTCGTAAAGGATGTGATCCTTGTTATAATAGTTTGAATTTAGGCCTTTGTTTCAGGATTTATGGTCTTTTTCAGCTGAACAAACACGTCTTCCAGCAGCAGCACGTCTTCTGATTTTAAATTTCACCTTTTCTCCATCAGAGGCTACAGAAGAGAGCTGAACGATTCAACATGCCTGCGACCTCCGAAAGCAAAAAGGCTTTACGAGCTGCGAGGTAAGAGATTTAAAAACAAACTTCATGAAGTCAGGAGCAACTCGAAGTTTGTTATGAACGCCGATCACTTTTAAAAGACCGAATTCTAGTTAACATTTTGATCTTTCGATATCTTTGTGGTTGTACTTCGTTAAGTCTGTCGTTGTACAGATTTATCCTTTTGATTTTTGTGCACATCAGTACTATAGATCGAAGTGAAGCATTGGTTTAAGATTCATAATCCAAACTTATTTCTGAAGGTTTCAAGTCTTTCATATTCTTGAACCAAAACATAACATACTGAGATAGAATCAGAAAATAGTTCAGACAGCATGATAACTAAATACAAGGAAGAAGAATATAATATTATAATTGATGCAAAATAAAATGAAATGGAGGCATATCCAACAAGTAAAAAACTCAAATCCAAACTACAACACATGAACTCTTTTGAGCTTTTGATACTGTAGACAGTAGAAAGAATAGGACCAGCAGTCATGGCCTTTCAAAATAAAAGCCTTTGGAAACATAACTTTATGCATTTTCATTTTCACAAGTCTCAGTGTTGCCACAATGCTTAAAATAATGTCTAAAACTAAAAAATAGATCAGGTTGGAATTAGTGGAACATTCAAATTTCAACAGATACCGTGTTTGAGTGATGGTCGTCTCTTTTTTTTCAGGTTTGGCACGGCTACTGTGACCTCCAGTTCCTCTGCAGGTCAGTTTTCACTCTCTGTCACTCTTCCTTTTATATGTTTTTTATTTCTCTGACAGAGAAAATGAGGTTTAGAAAGTCTAAATCTGAAAAGTTTCACGTCCGTAACAGGATTCTTTGCCCTCTAAAAGTCAGACATTGGTAGCAGAACTCTGAATAGTTCATTCTGGTGTCACACTTTGGCGTCCAAAGTGTGTAGTTAGTATTTGAGGAGATGTGCAGAGAAAGCTCCATGAACGTTTCAGGCCTTTTCTGTCTGTACCAGAAGATTCAAACACAGTGACACCTAGTGGCCTCTTTAACTTATAGCAGCCTTTATGACTATCACTTAAACACCACACCCTTCACTGATAGGAGAGTTTTTTTATTATTATAAATAAGCAATGAAAGTAAACTCCTTAAGCGAACATTGTCTGACATGACGGTCAAAAGTGCAGTTTCTTTTTCTGTCTGCTGCCTCTAACGTACAGTTTTGTTCCTTCTCTCCTCTCATCAGGTCTCACGACAAACAGTAAAGCTGCTGTAAGTTTTCCGAATAATAGTTTGTCCATATTTTTGTCACATTTCATAATTTGTTGAGATAATGAAAAGATATTGAACTGGTTGTTTTTATGTCTCGTTAAGGTGAACATGGATCAGCTGAAGAAGAGAGCAGAAAGATTCGGCATGAACGTTTCTTCTGTTTCAGTGAAGGTGAGGACAAAACTCACTTTGATCTTTACCTCCTTATTTCGTTTTCCTTTTGGACGCCAACGTGTGACACCAGAATGAAACACCGTGACCTGATACATGATGTTTTTTTCAGCTTGAGGAAGATGAGAAGCTGAAGAAGAGGAAGGAGAGGTTTGGTGCCGTAACAACAGGAGCTTCAGCTGGAGCGGGTGATGTTGAGGTACTCCCTCCTCATTACGTTTTTCTTTGTATTGTTTATTTTAGCTGGTTAATGTTGTCACAGTGCATTTAACCGCTCATAATAAGAGGCGTTTTTAATCCTGATGTTTACGTCTCTTTCAGGCGAAGAAACTGAAGCGCGCTGAACGATTTGGAAACGTTTGATCGACGTCTCAGAGTTTTCTTTGTTCTCTTTATTTTTTTGTAAAACATTTTAATGGCTGCACAACAGATGTTCCCGAAGATGACATGTGTCACTAATTTCTACTTATTTCTGTAAATCAAAAGTACAATTATCAACAGAGAAAGACGTGTGTGTTAGACTGTTCAAAACAGATGTAAGAAATAAGTTTTTAGCTGATTAGGAAGATTTAGTCGTTCCATCCTGGTTATCGTCACATGAAGGGTTGTTTTCTTGATCCTTGGTAGCCTCCAAACATCATTTTTTTATTTTCAAACTCAGTCTCCTACGCTCTGATCTAACCCTTGTTGTTTTTCTTGTCTCCTTACTGCAATGTAGCCCAGCATGGGGTTTTTATGAAGCTATGAGTCAGCCTTTTGTTTGTCAGATAGTTACCTCAGCTGCTTCAGAGTTAAAACTTTCCAGCTGTTTGTTCTCCGTGACTCAGGAGATTAAAGTCTGTGTAATTTGGATGTAAAATAAAACATTTCATTGTCTGGAATAGCTTCAATCAAACACCAAACCTGAGCAAAGAGCGCTTTTACAGTCCTGCTGAGAGCGGTGGTTGAAGTTTTCTTTGTTTTTTGGATTTATGATTTTTTTTTTTCGCTTGTTTTTGCAAAACAGACTGTTAGAAATCAATGCCAGAAATCAGTACGGCACTCGCATTGTTAGCTTGCACTGATCCAAACCAGCATAATCATGTTATTTGTATCAAACTGACAGCAACAAAAGTGGAAAAATTTGGCCGTGGAAACAGAAAATGAATATTCACAAGGGCTAAGAAATCATCAGAGTGACATTACGTCTATTTATGGAGGTTAAGTGCAAGTATTTCCTTTTTAATTTGTTTTAGTTCATTGTTACCGTCAGTTGAAATTGTTTTCTCCCGTATTCTGTTAAAATGGTTCAACTTAGTGACATGTATGTAATTGTACTGTTGATTTATCAGACAGCCTGTTCATTTGTTTGTAGGTTTTCATGGAACACTGCTTCAGTTTTCTGTCCATTTTATAACCTTTTTGTGATTTAAAATAAATGGTTTTCAATTTTTGATATCTGCATTGTCTGATTCTCTCTTTATAGTACACAGTTGAAGAGGAGAAGTTGCACAGTTAAGAGGCTCTGAGGGAACTGTCACTAAATCACATTAAATCTCATTAGATTCTGTATTCAAGTGTCCAAACATGATCCTTGTTTAAAAGACGAAGAGGATAAAAACTAGCTTTTAAAACTGCATTTATCTGATTTTTAAAAATGTTTTAGTTAAACTATTGGTTTTTAAATGGCAAAGGACATAGAGAAAAGTCTCGCTTCCATCCTAGGTTTGTTTATACTGGTCCATTAATATTTAATATACAAAAAAGGATAATTAAGTCCACAAATTAGTCTTGTTCTGTGTCCTGGTACCCCATCGCATACAAAAGGTGCCTCTTCCTTGCCCATGCCCCTCAAAAAGCCTAAGTACACCACTGGATATTGGTGTAATAAAATACACTGCTCTTGAAATATGACTCGTTATAAAACCAAGGACCTTAACATGCTTCCTGTTGTCTATCTGTAAACTACGGTGGCCGAGAACCACCACTGCTGCAAATGAAAAAAGTATGCAAAAAAAAAGTCACAACGGAAGTTCCTGATGCAATTAAAAAAAAGAAAAAGAAAATAAAGTGCAAATAAAAAAGCTACAATTCTGTTGTGAATTGTTTAATTTGCATCCTTTTATTTTCGCAGTAAATACCTTTTTTTTTTTTTTTTTTTTTTTTGCATCCACACCTTTTTTTTGTTGCGTTAAGTTCCGTTGCTGCTTTATTTTTTTTTCTGCACCGTTTCTTTCTTTTTTTTTTCATCATTAACTTCCGTTGTGGCTTCATTTTTTAGTCATCTGCGCCGTTTCTTTTTTTTGTTTTTTTTTTGCATTCCCACTTTTTTGCGTTGTTAACTTCCATTGCGGCTTTATTTTTTATTTATCTGCAACGTCGTTTTCTTTTCTTTTTTTTGCATCGTTAACTTCCATTGTGGCTTCTTTTTTTTGCATTCTTTTTTATTTGCAGCAGTGGCAGTTCTCGGCCACCGTAGTAGACTTTACCCGTAACTTAAAAAGAAAACGACGATTTATAGTAGGAATTGCTAGAGCTTGTTATCGCGCTTTAGAGGCACTTTTCAGCTAAGCCGCACTTTTCGCCAGAACACCATTACGTTAGTGATAGACCGTAGTGGTGTTATAGTGAACTCGGCTGGCATATCAATGAAAATCACACCAACGTCACAACACTGTTTGACGCCAGTTCCTGTGACGCGCAGAAATTTTAAACTCTCGTCCTTCTCAGTGATGGCGGCTTCGTTTCGTTCTCTCCCTGCAAGCTGTAACAACAAATGGTACTATTCCCGACAACAGATCGACAACAGCCCATCCCGGAGAGCTGGACTTGACCCGGACAAAGAGCTGTCCTACAGACAACAGGCGGCGAACCTGCTGCAGGACATGGGACAGCGGCTCAATGTGTATCTTTTGTCGAGGCGTCTCACCTAGCCGACATTAGCCTGTTAGCACTAGCTCACTTTAGCTCAGTGTGGAGCCGGTTCGCACCAGCTCGGCAGGCGTTTGTTTTCGTGGTTAAACGGGAGTCACTTAGTTTGTTTTACAGGGGTTGAGTTGGATCTTGTGTAATAATGTTTGTGTAGTTACAGCGGTAGCAGCAGTGAGCTGAGTTCGCAGGATGCTAAAAGCCTCGAAGGCCTGTGTGGTCGGCGGGCCTTCAGGTCGTTAGCATTAGCTTTAGCCTCTCCTGTTACTGTGAATAGACTGTAAATAAATGTAAATTAAGGGACAACCTTATATCAAACTACAGCTGGTTAGTTTTCCTAACAGAGCCTTCTCTCTGTCTTATCTGTAGAGCCAGTCATCCTCATGTTAGTGTGTTATAAACAGCTGCTCCTGGTCACCTCTGCTCTCTACTTTGTTTTCCCCTGCTGCTGTTATTCTGGATATCTATATTGTTATTGATTATTACTCTTAATATTGATTACTATTGACCTTAACCTCTTATATCAGATCCCAGCTTACAATAAATACAGCCATTGTGTACATGCATCGATTCTACATGGTCCAGTCCTTCACCAGATTTCACAGAAATGTGAGTATTTTTCTTTTATGTACCTTTTTAACTAACTTTATATCATTAACTTCTTTTAAGTGTTGTATCATTTATGTCTTTCTAGTTTTAATGACAGGAGCGTCTTTTATTGGGCTATTGTGGTGCTCTTATTTTAGTATCTTTTACTGTTGTTTTTATTTATCATTTCTCAAAATTTATTCTATGTAACTTTGTTCTTGGATGTTACCTGAAACCTCCAGTGTTTCCTTATCTTGAGTTTAAGTTTGAGTTTTCTCAGTGCGCACATGCTGTTGCCACAAAATCAAGCCCTTTTTAAGCATTTAAGCATGAATTTTAATACATATTTCTGTTGCGTTTACATCATGTGGTGGGAATGAGGGGTTGGTTTGGGGTAGATTTGGGTATTCTCTGTTTCTTTTATTCCTTTTCTGCGTAAAGCCCTTTGTGCTACATGGTTGTGCATGAAAAGTGCTATATAAAAAAAGATTGATTGTACGATTGTCTGAACTGTATCAAACATCTCCTGGTTTCATGTCCTCTCCAGGTTATCTCTCCAGCTGCGCTCTTCCTGGCTGCAAAGGTGGAGGAGCAGCCCAGGAAGCTGGAGCATGTTATCAAAGTGGCCCACGCATGTCTGAACCCTCAGGATCCTTCACCAGATGTACGCAGCGATGTAAGTGTGTTAGCCTCTAATTTTTCTCTTTTTCTCTCTTTGTTGACCTGCCCTGGGTGATTATTTATACCACCACATGAATACAGTTTGAGTAAAAACAAGCGTCCAGTCAGGATGTCCCAATCTGCTTTTTTGACCCACGACTTTGACTCAGTCTTTTAAACATAATTTGTTTGTACCATGTCCTGATCCAATGATTAAAGGGATATTCCGGCGTAAAACTAATTTAGGGTCAAACACACTGTAACACTGAGTTAGACACCCTCTCCAGTTGGTATAACTACAGAAGCAAGCAGTCGGCAACATTCATCTCTTGAGGGGGTGTCTAACTTGGTTTTACGGTGTGTTTGACCCTAAATTAATTTAACGCCGGAATATCCCTTTAAAATCTATCTTTTCCCTAAAAACCAAAGTTTGTATTCCTAATCACAATATCAATATTATTGGCTGAAGGTTTTGTCACAGCAAAAAGAGCTGACTTTGTTCAATTTTAGGGATTCTACTCGCAGTTTGGCCTGTTTGCAGCTTGATGAAGTGTTTTGTTTTTATTTTTTTGTGGGTCAAATAAGTAAAAGAGGAAGTTTATTTAACTTTCAGTTAAGGTTTTTAACCATCCAGGCTGTGTGAGGTTACAAAGCTGTAACGTGGAGTATCTCTGGCCAATGTGAACATTGTCTTGCAAAAGTATTCACCTGCTTTAAACCTTTCTACACATGGTCATGTTACAACTCACAAATTCAAATGGATTTTATCGGCGTTTCTTGTCATGGACCAGACAGACAATCAATGCCTTTCGAAATGAAGTATCAATTTACTTTTTTGACGTTGTCCCCCTTTAAGACTAAACTTCCTTTAGGTTAACTTCTGTACCCAACAGATGCCTGAATTTGTCTGTAATTTCACGTTGTAACAGCCGTGAATGTGAAAAAACGAAAGGAGATGAATACTTGTGTAACGCACAGTAGCTCCAATGATCTTGCTTCTTATCTGTGAGGCTTTGTCAGCGCTTAGTGAGAGGATGGTAACGTGCCTGTCCTTTCAACCTCAGGCTTACCTGCAACAAGCCCAAGACCTGGTTATTCTTGAGAGCATAATACTGCAGACCTTGGGTAAGTTGGGAAAGAAGAACTGGGTCTGTTGATTTCCTTCCCCGAGAAGTGTGATTACAAAGACGCTGCCGCTCTGTTTGGAGATGTCCAGGATTTGTACTGCCTGCACATAACTGCATTCACATTTCTGACTCTTTCTGCTTTTGTTTCTAATTTGCACATAAGCGGCCTGTGTTAGAAGTTGCAACATCATCATGAACATTGGCTTTACATGAATCTACATCCTCATGTCCCATACTTTCAGAAAAATATTTAACTGTTTTCATTTTACATCCTGCAGGACGTCACAGGGACAATGTCATTCAGCTTTGTCTTTCATATTCTGTGTCCTAATTCATGTTCTTCCACACACTCACCTGCTGCTTTGGTTAAATGTATTTTTGTCTCAGAGTTGACCTTAGGTGTATGTCCATGTAGAGCAGTTTGTGCTTATGCTTGTTTGATCCAAATAAGATCACAACTCCAGATTGGCTTCAGAAGATGCTAATTCTAGTGTTGGGCGGTATGACCAAAATCTTATATCACGGTAACGGAAAATATCACGGTATGTTTTTTCCTCCTGTAAATTTAATTAATGGATTAAAAATAACCATACTGTCGCTCAGATTTGTTTATAAATGCAAACAAAATGTCAGACCAGACTGGCGATGTTTTTATCATACGGTGTACCTTTGGCGAAAGACTCTGCCGAGCTCTTTTGTATGAGAGGAGCTGCTGCAACTAAAGTTTTTGGTGCAGCAGGTGCGTCACGCATCTTTTGTCTCATAAAAGAGTTTGGCGTGTTTCATCTTAAGGTGGTGGAGGAGGTTTCTGGTGTGTCCTCCTCCAGCCACACCACACTCTTTGCATAGTTTTGTTTTTCCATCTTTGTCGGATTTTCTAAATGCGAAGAATCTCCAGACAACCGATGTCGCGACTCGTGCCCTTTTTGGGAACAAGTTCCTCCTCCTCCTCCTCATGTTGGGTGGGTCGGGCTGCCTCCGTTCGCTCAGTACTGCCACTAATCTCTGTGTCCGCAATGACCACCGCAAGTGAAGTGGTTTCAAGCAGTCTGCATGACACGCTGGTGAATAAACAGAAACGCACCCAAACGGACACGCTCCGGCTTTCCTGTCAGCGTGCGCAGACAACAACACACTGTAGTAGCTCTCTTTCTCCGGTATAAACAGTAAAGCAAAATTTCTACCGATAATTTGAAACTGTCATACCGCCCAACACTACTAACTTCTCATATCACAGTCTGTAGTTCATGTCAGGTTAGAGAACCAAGTGTAGAATTGGGTCACAGTATAAGGCTAAACGTCACTCTTGTTTAATAATATAAATTTCTGTTTTTAGGGATTTTTTAAAAAAGTTTCCGTCCACATTTGAATGATAATCAAAACTTGTTTCTTTCCTTTTTTATTACAGCTTTCGAGATCACCATCGACCATCCGCACACTCATGTCGTCAAGTGCACTCAGCTGGTCAGAGGTGAGCATCAGCCCCGTGGATGTTTTTGAAGTTCTGTTTGGATATTTTTGATTCTTTGTTGGCGTGTCGGTTTGTTTATATGAAGGTTTTAAGTGTATTTTTTTGTTCTATTGTTGTTCCAGCGAGTAAGGATTTGGCTCAAACATCATACTTTATGGCCACTAACAGGTATATTTACAGTTTAAAGAAAAGTCGCTTCTCTTAATGACATGATGTTACATGTGTGTAGGGTGCTTCTCCATTTTCAGTGACGAGTTATTCATCCTCAAACTCAATATACTGAATATCGGCTTTCTCTTCTCCTCCCTCTGTTTTATTTTCCTTCTTCTGGGACGTATCATGCCACGTAGTCTGCACTTGACCACATTCTGCCTGCAGTACAGTCCACCCGTCGTGGCCTGTGTGTGCATCCACCTCGCCTGTAAATGGTCAAACTGGGAGATCCCCGTGTCTACAGACGGCAAACACTGGTGGGAGTATGTTGATCCCACCGTAACCCTCGAGCTGCTCGATGGTATGTGCTTCAACTCAGTCAGGTACTTCATTTAAAAATCCTCGAATCATAATCTGATCTGTTCTCTGATCTCGTTTCAGAGCTCACACACGAGTTCCTGCAGATTCTGGAGAAAACACCCAGCCGGTTGAAACGGATCCGCAACTGGAAGGTACCGTCTTTCTTCCCCGCTTTTAAAACTCACAGCTTTGAACCTTCAAACAAAGAGGACTCTGACTTTGACAGTCAAATCTTTGTACTTTGTTTTTCGACGTTACGGCACAGCAGGCAGGAAATAACTTCCTCATTCTTCTTCATTTCACTGAAAGTTTCACAGAGAGGCCTCAATCCCCCCTCCTTCAAACAAAACAACCTGCTTTTTGAAACTGGCACTGATACTGAATTATGTAACACCTAAAGTGGAACCAAAGTAAAGATCTGGGTTTCTCTGATGCTTAAAAGCAGAGTTTTGGGGACACCAGGATTAGCAGATGCAAAATTTTGCTGAGATCTTTTCTCAGACAACTTCAAATAAAGATATTTTAATTCTACATCCTGTAAAATAAAGTTAAATTTAATAGAGATGTGACTAAAACACATAAAAGTAGGAGGCTCTGACTGAACACTCTGAAACTAGTATCTCTTCGTTCGGTAAAACTGACTCTCAGAAGCTGATGAAAAGGTTATAGAAGGTGGATATTGTCTAGTTGTATAAAAAAGGCGACTCTGATTTGAGGACCAAGTTCTGTCCTGTTTAAAGTGTTTTTTTGATCATTTGTGACGAGTTCAGTTCGGCTCAGAAAAGCTACGTCACTCATCATCTCCTCTGTGCTCCTAGGCTGGAGGTCAGACCCCGAAAGCCAAGCCCAAAGTCCAGGAAGAGGGCGACGGGAGGGACACCATGATGAACATGATATCCATGGCCTCTTCAGAGAGCACGGTAGCGGGCCTCATGAGCCTCTCAGCTCCACCCTCCTCCTCCTCTTCCTCGTCAGCGGGTGAGAAGGATCGGAGCACATCTGGCAGCACTCAGACGTGGAGTGGGAAGGGGCAGCAGGCCGGATCTGAGCAGACACAGCAGCAGCCCAACAACGAGGTCCACGCTCCCGCTAAGGTGTCGCTGAGCGAGTACCGCGCCAAGAACGCAGACGTCCTCGCCGCGCAGAAGAGGAAGCTGGAGAACATGGAGGCCAGCGTGAAGAGAGACTACGCCAACGCCGCTCAGGCTCTCATTGGTCAGCAGCAGAGGAAGGAGAAGCAGCAGCATCATCACCAGCAGTCCAGCTCCTCCTCTGCTGACATGGCCAACCCCTCCCCCATCATCCTGAAAATCCCCCTGGAGAAGGAGAGGCACGACAGAAGCTCGCTGAAAATGCGTTTCCCCCTCGCCAGCGGAGGAGGAGGCAGCGGGCACAGCGCCAGCTCCAGGGGTCAGGACCCGGACATCAAAGTGAGGATACGAGTGCCTGAGAAGCAGAGAGGGGGGTCAGGGGAGGAGGGCAAGAGCAGGGACAAGCACAGGGAACGCTCCAACCACCATCACCACCACCACCATCATCATCACTACTCCTCCTCCTCGTCCTCCTCCAGCAGTGCCTCTCTCTCCTCCTCACACAAACACTCATCAAGCTCCAGCGGGGCGACCGGGAGCAGCAAAAAGGTCCCCAGTGACTCCTCCAGGACTGGCTCTTCGTCGTCATCCGCCTCGCGAAAGAGGACGCACTCCCAAGACGCCACAGCTGGCTCTCACCCGACTGCTAAAGTCAGCAAGTCCTCAAGGAACCCCTACCAGCTGCCACCTCTGTCTTCCTCCTCTGGGCAAACTCTGGGGCACAGTGCTGATATCCTCCCAGCACTGAGCCTCCCTCACCACCAGGGGAGCTATTCACACTCTAAAAGCGACAAGACGGACACTAATGGGCACGGTGCAGCAGGGGGCGCTCAGTCGAATGAGTACCAGGATACTTTTGAAATGTTGAACTCACTCCTGAGCGCACAGGGGGTCCAGCCGTCTCAGCCGTCCATGTTTGAGTACAGATCCCAGTATGGGGACTACAGGTACAGTGGAGGCTCCAGAGGGACTAACCCCAGACCTCCACCTCTGCCTTCAGAACCGCCTCCCCCTCTGCCGCCATTACCCAAATGATCCCCCGAGCAGGAGAGACGTATTATGTACGTTTCCCCCCCAACATCCACCTTGTTACATCAAGTATTGTGTAATTTTCTCACCCAGCATTTTTACAGCAGAGAAATGTACTGACGAGAGTTTTTTCCCTTTTCTCTGGGGCAATAATAAGAGGCTTCAAAAGCCCGCAAAATGTGATTTTAAAAAACAAGAAGTGTAGATAATATTTTTTTGCTTTCTGTTTGAACTGAAATGAAATCCGATGATGGGACCCAGAGTTTTTAACCATCACTGTTTTAAAGGAAGTCATCCCCTTGAAATCATGAGGAAACTAAAGATTTCTGTCCGAACCCTGTTAGGTCTTCTTACGATTGTCTTTTTATAATGTTTTTATAGCATGTTATTTATTAATTGAATGCTTTTAACGGAAACATAGTCTCATTTTCTACCTTTTTTAAGGTTTTCCCTATGTTATCTTAGGGCAGAGGGATATTTCTTCATCCAGACTGTACAGGCTAGATTGAGAGTGCATGTCTCCAAAGCCATCTTTTCAATATTTTCCCCCTTTTTTTATACTTTATTTTGTTTTTAACGCCATAATCTTCAAAAAAGACAGAAAAGGTGACTGCCCCAGCCCTGGAGAAAAAATATTTTATTTTCTGCATCCTTTGGTAAAATTGTAAACAGATTGTAAAATGTTTAAAAACAAACATGAACTATTTTTTACATTTTGTTATGGGAAATTGCAAAAAAAAGGTGTAAATTATGGAAGCCTGTACTATTTTGTTTTAGATTTTGAGTGTTGCAGTCATTGTTTTAAATGGTTGTAAAATATTCATACTCTGCTCTTTTATCATTACACTAATGGATAAAGGTCATACCAAGGATAACGGGAGATGGTTTATCGGAGAGGTCGAACATATCTGCTCGGTATGGTCACAGCGAAGGCAGAGCCAGCGTTGAAACCCCTCGAGAGGAATATGAAATGTATCCCCCCTGTTGTAGCTAGAGTATACATTTGGTGCTCAGATTTCCTGAGGGTTGTAAAGGTCGTCAAAATCGTTGATACTTGGACACTTTTAACACCATGTGCTTTAAAACTGTGCAATCTCTATGTCACAAAACTACCACCAAACAAACGTAAGACAGCATTAAAAGTACAAAAGCTCCAGAGAGAGAGAGACAGAAGACAAATCAAATCAAATAATCATGTCAGTTTGGTCTTAACCAGCAGTTTGGTATCAAATCATGGATGTCAAAAAGATTATTTTTGTGTTTCTGTGGTTGAGATGTTTGTTTGTATTGAAGTTTTAAATTCTGGTATTGTGACAGTCCTGGAATAAATAGACATACACTGTAAAGACTGAAGGTCACTGAGCATGTTTGACCATCTGACCTGTGTGAGTGTTGAACATCCCTGACCGAGAGCCGGTAGCGCTGATACGGAGGGTACTCTCCCTTTTTTAGCAATAACATCAGCAGCAAGTTGGAAGTGTGTGAGACCATACACTGATTTTTAACTCCTGGTTCCTAGTCTGTTACCTTTTTTTCTGCGTTCTCTTCCTCCACATGTGACTCTTTGTCATGTTTTTATGAAGCGCTCTTAGCACATGAGAAGGTTAAACAGCAAAGGGCTAAAATGTCTGTACCCTGTAGCATCAAGTCACACCCTTACTTGGTTGGGAACAAACTCTGAAAAGGAGCCCTAAACCTCCACTCTTGAATTTTGAATCACAAACATGTTTACAGTTGCAAAATGGGAGATTAAACCTAATATTTCTGCATTCAGCTATGGATTAACTTATATAAGTATTTTTGTACATGCTCCACAGTTTTAACCTCCTCTTGCATCAATTCATATGGTCCAGAAATGCAAAAACAGACGCCCCTCTCTCTCACTTGCATCCACATTTTGCATTATATTTGAATGCAAGTGAAGCAGTGAGCAGGTGTGTTTTTGCAGCTTTGGACCGAGTTGCCCCTCTTCTTAAAAGAAAAAGGGCTTTTTTTTTAATTTACAGTCCAACTGACGGGCTCCTAAATCCCCGATGGAGATGTTTGTTAATGCAGAGTTCATGGCAGTTTAACGCACTTGACTGAAATCATTTGAAAGACGTAGCAGTGGTTCCTGACATCGTACCTTTCAGCTGGCGTTCACTTTGCTGTGACCATATCGAAGAAAAGTATACAGCTAAGAGTTAAAAGATATAAAATATCAAAGAATAATGAAACATCTGTTGTATTTATGGCTGTCTTTCATCATTGCATTTCCTTTTTTGGGCTGTTTCAAATGTGTTAACCCCTGTGTACACCTGTCTGTTCATGCTGATCTGAGATTTAATCATGCTAAAGCTGTATTTTGAATCCATAACCTTTAAACTACATTGTGAGTTATTCAGCGTCAGATTTGTTGTTTATAATCCATCAACAAGCCATGATTCATTCATCATCGAGAGTGTTTGTACCTGTTCTTTTGTTGTGTAAAAACACATGCAGCCAGACGGCATCTGACATACCTCCACTACAAAGTCAATAGCACGAATTAAAACACCGTTGAATCGATTATGGATTTGTATTTGAGCAGGAGAAGTGAAAGTGGAGCGAGAAAATTGGGTTTCATCTGTACATTAAATACATACTGAGCTTTATATGGTTTTGATTGTATAGTATTACTGCTCTGTATCTGCTTTCTTTGAGTTTGTAATCTAAAACACATGCGTATAAGGCAGTTCACAGTAATGCAGTACAACATACCAGCCATACTAATGTAAAATATGTGTTCCCTTGATATAATGGAAGATAATAAGAGAACAGCTCTTTGCTCAGGCAGCAGAGGTTTTATTAGTTCAACTCTTTGTTGTGACAGGGAAACAGTAAATGCACTGAATATTTATCTCAGTAGCTTCGCCTACAATGCAATTGACAAAGTGTTACATATATTATGGTTAGGCTATTAGAGTAGATGTCCAATATATCATGATTTAGAAAACTGTTTTATATGATTCGGGAAAATCTTCCAATTTTAAAGTATTAACTTGATGCTGTGAGAAAAAAAAGGACACATTTCAAAACAAACCCATGTGTTTTTAAAAAAAGGAAGACATTCGTGCAACCTTACAATGCAAAATCACATACCTACAATAAGTTTTGTGTTTTTTCATGTCTTGGTGTTTTTAGTGACACTCAGGTCTGGAAATGAAACGTTTTGGGGTTTATTGTTTTCTGTTAAAAGGTTATATGTGAACACTGTTCTTTTTGATATAATGTGGTTGCTTTATTCTCAATTAAAGTCAATAAATATTTTAAGAAAACTCATCGTATTTCAATTTTGTCTGCAAAAGCTGCTGCAATATTGTGGGTGTAGGAGAAAGACAGTTTGGGTGTGCTTTGAGTGGCAACTGAATCGACCAATGAGATCCACTTAGGTTTAGCCAATCAGAGCTTCGAATGGGCGGGATGAGGGTGTATCTGAAGCCGCAGTGGCAGTTAGTGAGATATGCAAGAAAATCGACGTAGCCTTCCCAGGGAGCGAGAGCTATCAGGGCGGTAGAGTGGAAGGTAAGCAGCAATAAACCAGCTTTAGTCAAGCTTTTCGCATCTTAAATGGTCGGTGATATTGTGGAATACGACCACAAACTCCTCCCGGTGAGCTAAATTCGATTCACAGCCCTACATCCTCCAAATTAGCGGTTAGCTCGTGTTAGCAACTGCCAAACAAAGATGGCGACGCAATAACCGAAGGAGTGACGCAGGAAGAGAGGCGGGCTGAAGCTCGAAGTGGCGCCCGGTGAGAAATTGACAAAACAGCAGCTCAGTTCTCTTAGATTTTAAACACACTATACTTCATTAAAAAATGAGTTTTACATGTAGCAAAATTAAGTGAAAACGGCCGTTAATACAGAACTAATAAAAAGTCTCGAGCCGTTTAACCGTATCTGATAAAACACCTGACTTGCCAACGCCTGCCAAAATTTGTTATTGACAGTTTTTAACCGTATTTGAGTCAAAAACCACCACCATACTCTTGTATTCATTTAACAGTGTGCATTTTGTGTGTCAGTAAATGAATTTCATATTGCCTGACCCTTAAATCTTACTGTTAATTAAAGGTCTGATATTAAACAGACCCACCCTGCGGTTCTGCAAAGTAGATATTTAGTTCGTTGACTTAATACGTTAGTAGTTTCATCGTATTCAGCTTACATTATTAAACAATTTATGCAAAAGTCTTGCCTCTATACTAAAATTCACTGTCTTTTCTGTTATTAATTTAACATGGAGAATGAAATGTTTCACATTTATTTCAAATGTCTTATCTGTTGTCTTCAAATGTAATGTTTTTCAGGTCAACGGTGCAAAAAGATGAGATTATGTAATCTTTAAAATTTACAACCGTATTTCGAGAAACTACCTAGGTGATCAATTTCTTATTTAACAGTGGTAGTTTGTGCTGACTCAGGCACCATATTCACTGTCTTATTTATGTCTGCCTTCATTGGAGGGTAATAAATGAATATTTTTAGTTTTTCTGGCCAAAAAGTTAGAGTATAAAATTCTTGATATGGTCCGCCATCAATACAGACCCAAAGATAATCAGTTTACCATCACACGAGACAAATATCAGCTAATTCTTACACATGGCAAGCAACACTCAGAGTACTAACAATTAAACGTGCCTTTAATCCTCCATCTTACATAAAAGGCTGTTTATCACATCTGTTTTTGTTTTTTTTCTAGACTGAAAATGAACAGGATAAGGATACATGTTTTGCCTTCAAGCCGGAGCCGGGTGGCCCAAACACCTCGACCCCAGGAGCCCCAAGTCTGCTCCTTCACACAGCGGCCGTGCTCTCAGCCCCGCCTGGAAGGTTTCGAGTTCTGCATCAAACATATCCTGGAGGACAAGAACGCCCCGTACAAGCAGTGCAGCTACGTCTCTGCCAAGAATGGCAAACGCTGCCCCAACGCTTCACCAAAGGTCGAAAGGAAAGATGGGTAGGTAAACTTAGCTTAAACTTAATGGAATGTGATGCTGGGTCGCAGGCAGATGGACATAAACAAATAATATCTAGTAATCAAAGCTGCCCTCTGACATTTTTCTTCATTTGACTCTTATCTCTTCTTCAGGGTGACGTTCTGTACAGAGCATGCTCGCAGAAATGCTATGGCCCTTCGAGCTCAGATGAGAAAGTCATCTTCAGTTCCATCCCCAGAGGTGCTACTGTCCCAGCTGAGTGGTTACAACCGTGCCGAGACAAACAGTACTGATGGGAGCCGCTCTGAAGCCAGCCGTATCCTAGGTACATGGTCAGACTCTGCTGTATCACTGTGGACATCTAAAATTGGATTTTCCTCTCTATTGTTTTGTTTTCAGCTGTCTGGAAAAGATTTTATAGTTTTACCACACTTTTCTCTGTACAGATGATGAGAGTCTGAGTGAGGAAGAGCCAGGTCCACTGGTACTAGACCAGACATGGCGAGGAGACCCTGACAGTGATGCAGACAGCATTGACAGTGATCATGAAGATCCTCTGAAGTAAGCTGAACTATCTCACAATCTGTTATGTTGTTAGAATGCTTTAAAAAACTCATGACTTGTACAAATTTACAGTGATGTCTAAAATGTTTAACAGACCCAGAGTCAAAAATGATGAATACAAAAGCAGCAGAACTTTCAGCCTGTCATCCTGCTAAAAACTTTGGTTGGAGCCTGTTAAGGTCTCAGTTAAAACACGATTTCTTGCCTTTTGACTGTTCAAGGTAAATGTTGTTTATTTGTTATGAAAATTGCAGACATGCAGGAGTTTACACAGCAGAGGAGGTGGCACTCATCACTCGTGAGAAGCTCATCAGGCTCCAGTCTCTCTATATTGACCAGTTTAAACGCCTCCAGCACCTGCTCAAGGAGAAAAAGCGTCGATACTTGCACAACCGCAAAGTGGAGCACGAAACTCTCGGTAAACACACAGAGAAGGAGCTCCAACGTGTTTTGCTTTATTTGCTTCAGCCAAAACTGTTGCATGTTCTCAAAGTGATTTTTGGATTTGTTGATGTTGATTACAGGGAGCAGCCTGCTGACAGGGCCTGAAGGTCTGTCTGTGAAGGAAAGGGAGAACCTGAAGAAGCTCAAAGCTCTGCGCCGGTACCGTCGTCGGTATGGTGTGGAGGCTCTGCTACACCGGCAGCTCAGGGAGAGGAGGCAAGCTGTGACGGAAGGAGCTCCCCAGGTAGGACCCCATCACAGACAGGAGTTTAAAAGTGTAAATTTGGAACTAGGGTCACTTAAAGATCTCACAGAAAGTCTCCACAGGTTTGGCATATTCACTGTGCAGAGGAGATTGTATTTCAGTGTCTCAGAAGAAGCAAGCAACCACTTCATTGTGCAAAACATGGTGGGCCAGTCTAGCAGTGTCAGGTTTAACAGCTTCTCTCCTTCATTAGATCATAAATGTGAATTTAATGAAAATAAAAACTGTATATTTAGAAATTGATACCTTTTTGCAGTGTTAGTTTGATTAAAAAGACTTCTGCAAATCGGTAGTAAGTTCATCTGTACTTCACAGCTCCTACAGCCACAGCTTTTGAGGTGGACTACTCACCCAGTAGCCAGCAGGATGGTGAGAACAGATGGTTCTAGATAAAAAGCTTTACAGTTGCACAGAAATGTCATGTTGGGGATTCTGAAAGTGATGAAGGTCTTGGTGCAGGAGGACAGTTTGAACCTTTTCCTCAAGACTGAGTCTCATACATCAGTGCAGCATTTATCCCAGATCTAACGGTGGTTACTCCTGAAGCCTGTGCTTGAATGCGCACGGCAGATGTAAGGCATACTTCTTACATACTTTTGGTTTGAGATCATACTCCAAATACTGTGCAGCAGAATGCAGTTCATGATGAGGACACCCGAAGGACGCCAAAGTACTTTCTTGACATGTTTTTACACCCAAGATTGTGACCATATAGTCCTCCAAACTTTGGAATGATCTCAAAAATGTTAATGAGTATTTTGGAAAAACTGTTTGGTTGTTTTCCTGAACCTTCTCCAAATACTTCTTTCTTCTCTTTCAGCCGCACACAAGAACGGCGCTCGAGAAGTGCATCTCCTTCGCTGATGGGATCAGATGTACCAACCCCTGCCTGCCTATGACTCGGCACTGTGTCACTCGTATCCTCAAATATGTTTCTGACGTGATTGTGACCAAAATAGTTGCCTCTTTTTTTTTGTCACTACTCCTTTAAAACTCATCCACCTTCACCTCGGCCCCAATCAAGACCGTCAGCTTGCAGTAGCTGCTGGTTTCAAAGGGAGCCCACATAAACTCCTTCCTGTGGTCTGTTGATTTTTCCCAGAGTTATAAAGGGGCTAATCGGTTCAGTTGGAAGGTACAACCTCCTCTCATCCTTCCTTCTCCGTTTCGCCTCATTCTTTCAGTCAGTTTCAATCCTTTCATTTCGCCATTCTCTGTATCAGCTGGTAACGACAAAATTCTTTTATTGCAAGTATTGATTTGTGTCAGTCAGACAAGAGAGATCTTCTATTACCACAACAGACACATTTCCACAGGAGTAACTGACTAGATCGGTCAGTGTGCGTCAGTTTTTCCCATTAACTCCTGGTCAGAATTGGGTTTTACTTCCTCCTGTTTTCCTCAGTTCTTGTTCGTCTGCGATCTTTATGTGTGATCATCTTTAACTGCTCACTCTCAGATATCTACCAGGACAGCAATCAGGTACTTTTCAAAATGTGTCCCGGCCTTAAAGACGTCCCATGCGACCGAACCGTGCACATGGGTCAGTCTGACGATCCCCGCTGCCCGCTCCACCTCACTCTACCTCCGCCCATGTACCAGCCGGAGCAGGAGCCTCCCCCGCAGGAGCCGATCGCCAGAGACATGTACCTGAGCGCGGCAGAGCTCCAGCCCACAGAGAGTCTTCCACTAGAGTTCAGTGATGTATGTAACGATGATAGACCCCCAACGCTGTCGTTATTGTGACATGTGTGAAATGTGTGTTTTTGAGGTGCTTTCACAACTGGCACAGCTAGTTTGCTGCAGCTCAAACAATGTCTGGTGCATCTGGGGCTTTAGGGGCTGTTTGACTCGCAGATTACTTTTTGTAATTGAGGATTTCATTCCTACTGCAAACAAACAGTTTTTTTTAATCTTGTTGCCATGCAGAAACCACCCCCCTGAATAACCAAGGTAGTTTGTTTTCTATCTTCAGATCTGCCCACATGAATCAAACAAAAGCAGAAAATCTGATTCTGATTTATCTAGAGACTAAAAACACATATCAAAAATCTTTAATTTTGACTTGTTTGTACCCACTGAGTTAGACCACAGGTGTAAAGTAACCTTTGTAATACCACATTACTGTTGAAGCTCTCAGACTATCATAATATATGCCTCTATTAAATTCCCAGTTTGTAGGTGGAGCTATATCAAGACATCAGTTTTATTTGCAGATTGTTACAGCTCAACATTTCCTCTGCCAGTGTTGTGCAATATTCTCTCAGAGGTACAAACACAAACTCAGGCGCAGCTCTAGCACGGTAACAAAATAGCCGCTCTTCCCACACACACTGTAGTCCTGCATTAACCTTCCTTCCTGGTTAGATCATCATGACAACATCACCTAGACTCACTGCCTGGTCAGATACAAAGTTGTGTCTTAAAACTGCCACCCTTTGAATAATAAATACCACCCACTTGCTTGACTTTCTTGTGGGTTAAATAAATGATTTGCTGAAATGGCAGCTTTATGATGTCTGAGCTGTAGTCCAGCCTCCCGCCACTAGCTGGGGCTGTTGCTCCAAACACTTGTTTCTGTCTACATGCGTCAGTTCTGCACTACCTGAATGTAAAAAAGCGAAGGTTGTTGATTAAGTTCCTGTTTTCTCTTCCCTGTAAACTAGTTAGAATATAAATTTCTGTTTAAGCGACCAAGATTTGAACTTCCTTAGATCTCATACATGGTTCCTCTAATACAGGACCTGGACGTAGAAGGAGACGGCATGCAGGGTCCTCCGTCCCCCCTTCAGTTTGACACGGCTTTGGCCCTGGAGGATCAGACCATCAGAGCCATCGCAGAGGCGCCGATGGACATCCTGACTGGAGAAGACCCAGACCAGGTGGACCTGGACGTGTCCGGACAGGATCTCTCAGAGAGGGATGTGGATGCCATCATGGATGACCAGGTTAACTCTTGATAAGAGGCTTTGTCACCATCACGAACATTGGCGCCCACACACTGCTCGATAACCGCCAACCTCCACTCTGTATGTCAAACTCCAAACTGGGTTGAATAAAATCTTGGTCTCATTCTGTGTCACTATAACTGCATTTTAAAATGTTCCACAATGACGGGTGTGCCGCAGCGCTAACAAGAGGATGCATGATAAAACTTTGAGATAGATCCACATTTATCAACGCTTGTCTTTAAAACACACCGCTGCAAATATAAAAACTGAGTAACTGAATATTTTCCTGGCTTCTGTTGAAGTGGACAGGGACAGATCTTCTCCTGACATGCTTCCAGTGTTGATAAAAAGGAGAATTGAGGAAAGTATGAGTGTTTATAAATCTGATTTCATCAATTATCTCATATTTGAGAAGGAAACTGTCCTGTGATCGTCTTTGTGTCTCATTACATCTTGACCCAGAGCTTTAAGGAAGTGGGAAAAAGGTGAGATGAACCTTAAATCTGACGTTCAGTATGCATTTTAAAGGTAAATATCTCAGTACTACACCCATACATTGACTATTAGCAATCAAGTCACTTGTTTGATCAAGACTTCGAGAGTTTAGTATGTTGGAAACATTTAAATTTTTACTCCTGATACTGAATATTGAGTTTAGACAACTGAAGCCTCAATAGAAGTCTATTTAAGTTTCATTATGAGTTGTTCACCCACAGCAGGGATTGTAAACGTGTCCTCCAGTCTCTTACATCTGAAGCGTGTCAGGACAGCGTCTCACTGTCTGTTTTAACAGGAATAAAAAGTGAAAGTATTTCCAATGTTTATTACACAGAGATGATAACTCAAAACAGACTGTGACCTTGTTTATCCTCTGCTTGCATAAGCTCCAGCGGCACTCGTATGAAAATATCAAAAACACAAATTTGATTTTGTGTTCCTGCGTCCCTAAAAAGATGAGTAAACAGGTTTCCAGTCTTGCAAAGGTAAACGTTTAAAGTGGAGGTGTTTGTTTTTTTTCAAAGCGTAAAAGGCCATGAACATCGACCATTTTACAGTGACAGTTAAAAAATATAACCATGAATGACATATCCTGAAATAACATTAAGCTACCTCGCCAGTGTATTGAGCCATTTCATGTCAAGATTCAATTAAATCATGATTGAATTTTAAGAGCTTCCACTGCTAATAGAAATATAGATAAATACCAATAAATAAGCTGCGCTCTAAATAAACAATTAACCTCAATGGTTACTGTTCGTCTGGAAATCCTCAACAGTTTTGGTCACTGATGGTTATATTTTCAGTCCTGACCTGCTCTATCATTTAAACACCCTGATGGAGCCTTCATCAGTCATTACACCATTAATGAAGTTAGATTAATTTAATCAGAGTGATAGATGCGGGATTCAATCAGCTGCCAGTGAAGATGACGCCTCACTGAAATGCAACTGAGAGAAAAATAAAGATGTGTAGACGGCCCTTTAATCTCCCAGGACATCATCTAAATCATATCAAACGCCTTCATGAAGAAGATAAAAATACAGAGTCTTTCTCTGCGTGCTTCTTTCTTTCAAAGTAATGGATCCTCTTTGTGTATAAATACATATATATCAGACTATGAGCTACTTATGAAGTTTGTTTACAGCAGGTTTAGCTGACAGGAGACACTCAGAGGGTCTAGTGTACCGTAACAGGTCAAAATAATCCTGCTAAATCTTAAAAATGTAGGCAACCCCTCTAATGTCTTTTAGTTAATATTACACTCTGTTAAAAACCTGTAATATTTGTGACCTGTAGCGACTGTTGTTATTACAAATATGTCACTGGGTTTCTTTTTAAAGCAGGTGTTGCAGAAACAAGCCGCTCACATGCACCAATACAAAAAGCTCTAATCATTCCTTTAGTCTCTGCATTCTTCTTCTGTATGTTGACGGACAAAATATGTCGGACATCTCAGTCAGGACACAGAAGCACAAATTATCAAAGTATGTTTTGAACTGAAAATTGCGCCTTTTTAGCTTTTAAAACATCCCCTCTGCTCTGGTCTGTCTGAGGCGCTACTTACAGAGAATTCCTCTTTAAAGGGACATTTCACTCTTTATAAATGGTATCATAATGTGATATATGGTTGCAGAAGCAGCTGAACTGAGAAGCTCAAGTTGTCTTTTACACTTTCTGAACTTCTGTTTTCATACTCAGGTGGTGGCGGAGGTTGTAGGAGGTGACGAAGAGGCGAACGGGAACTCACTTCAAGATGTCGTAGCGGCTGCAGTCGACGCTCCCAGATAGAACGACTTCTGCAAGAAAATAGACCAGTGTAAATAGATACTTTAGCGGTGTATCCGCCACAAAAACAAGAACTCTCAAGAAACAAAAAGGTTCCTGCAGTTTCTTTTCAATGTGTGTCGTCAAAAAGGTTTACAGACACAAAATCAGGCTGCTGTTATATGAAAAACTGCACCTGTTCTGTTCTGGTTTACAGATGTTTTATACATACCATTCAGTTTAAATAAATAAAAACTTAAACAGCTGCATAACTCTCTTTTATGTGTTAATATCATTCACCAGCAGGGGCGCTATTGGCCTAGAAGTTTAAACACACACCCCTCAGCCTACAGTCCTCATTCTAGGTTGCTGGTTTGACTCCTGTCTAGCTTGTCTTGTGAAAATGGTGAGCAATCAACAGCTTTTTTGATTTAAGTTTATTTCTAATATGCAAATCAAAAAATAAAACAGGAAAATTAAGGCAAAAATTGAGCACACCGTAACACCCTATATTAGTTTCACGCCGGAATATCCCTTTAATATCATAACCCAGCAGGGGTGCTGTTGGCTCAGAAGTTTAAGCACACGCCCCTCAGCCTACAATCCTCATTCTAGCGGTTGCTGGTTTGACTCCTGCCTGGCCTGTCTTGTGAATATGGTGAGTAATCAACATCTTAAACATTTAAGGCACTCTGGAACAGGAACCTCTGGAGATGAGGGGTTCTTAGCTCCTGGTTCTTGCAGTGGAAACACTCCTATTACTTCCCAGTCCCATGAAAAGGTTCCTGCAGCAGACACACTTGGACTCTCCTCATCTGTGCATATTTTTAATGTATGGGTGTGTACATATTTTGTTTTTTTCTTGGTTAAATTGTCCCCATTCATTTTCTCTCCAAGATTCCCCCACTTTCATCCAAGAATAAACTATCTTTTCTACTTTTTTGTGAAACTCCTTCATAATGATCTCCAGATTGGAGCAGATTTATGGTGACTGCAGTATTTAAGGAACAGTAGGACCACTATACAGACTGTATGGAGGCAGTTTTTCTAAGTATATGGTGAAGTTATGTTTGGCAACACGAGGACAGCCTCTGGACGAAAAAAAAAATGGGGCGGGTAATGCAATTTCATGCAATGACATCACTTTTCCTCAACCCAAAACAGTAAAAACGCCGAGGCAGGAAAGAGAGAGCGGCTGCAGGCAGACAGAGGAGAGGAGAGGACGGCACCTCTGCAACAATGAGCCCCAGCCTGGATGTTCCAGAGCCCGTTCCCCCGCTTTATTGACCATGCTGCGCCCACTGTTTGCAACCAAATGAGGTGAGTCTTAGAAGGATGTGGCTTAACCGAGATTTTGCTAGAAACACACCGACACCGAGGCTCTTTCTCGGGCACGGTTTTCATTGATTTAACATCCCCGGTGGAGTGAGGTCCGAGCGGATGAGAAGCTAAACGTGTTGCAAACCGTCAGTAAAGGTTTTATTGGCGGTTTTATTGTCTGTGTTTGTGGACAAGGGCGTAACAGCTTTACCCGAGCCGGAGGGGACACATTTGGGTTAAAAAAGAGGCCTGTCCCGGGATATAAATGACATTCATTTGAAGCCGCAGTGCGCTTTTCTGTCGGTGTTAAAGTGGGTTTTATGGAGGCTCACATGTCGCAGTTTTAGCCTCGTTTTTTGGGGGTACTGAAACCTGAAAAGAGGAACATGGAGAAAGAACTGTCAGTCCAGCAGGGGCGTGTCCAGAGTTTTCAGACTGGAGGGGGCCTGACCGATGCAGGAGGGGGATTGACACACATAAATGTATAACATTGATTTATCCTTTTAAACGTGTCTGATTTTCAATTTTTAACAACTATGACCACTGTTGAAAAGTCATTTAAAAAGTCACTTTTCATTCACTTACTACTCAAATTGAAAGTGGTGTTTCCCCTACATTCATATGCTATATTATGTGCACCGCTATTGATTTACAGCATTATTAGCATTAATATTAATGCGCCACTAATGATTTTTACTCGCACTGTGTGAGTACGATGACAAAAAACATTATTTTCGACTTGTTTTAAGTCTTTAACGAGCGCATCAAATCCTGTCGGACCCTCTTCCATCAATCTGAAGGGTAACGTTTAAGCTAATACACGGTCTATATAGCGAGTAGCGCGGGTAATGTAATGTACTGTGAATGTAACAGCGTAACTCCATGAGCGGCAAGAGAGTGGGGGTTACAGCGGAAAAAAGAATGCTGAAAAAAATTCTTGGGGAAACATTAGATCGGCTCATTGTGTACCATATTTTCAGAGCTGGGCACTCAGTAACCTGTTAGTTATCAATTATTAGCATTAACAGTGGCTCTTAAAATAAATCAATATGGATGTTAAATCAGGTTTTTGTCAGTTTTAGCTCTAAAAGCTAACTGTTTTACATGAACAGTACCATGAGAACTATTGTGGAGCCATAAAAGCCAAATCTAAAGTCCGAGCTGAAATTGTCGTTGGTAAAAAGCAAAACTGGAGGCCTGAAACAAGATGGCTACAGTTACGAAAGTTATTTTAGTGCTTGCCTTGTCGGAATATAAGGCAAGCGCTAAAATAGCCATCTTGTTCCAGGCCTCCGATTTTGCTTTTTTCTGACTTGGTAACTGAAACGCTGGTAACTTGAGTGTAACGTCATTTTCAGCTCCGACATCTGACTCCCGAGGTAACACGAACGCAGCATTACTGCGGCTTAACGATCTGTATCTATTTGAAGTTATCTGTAGATCCATACAGATTCAATGTAATATCATTAAACTGGACCTGTGTCGTGGCAGCCCTCCTCTCTTTTGTTGTAGATATTTGGACCTGATTTAGACCAGATATAAATCAACTTTACACTGAAATTTGTGGTCAATAGATATTGGTTTTTAACGGCTAATCTCTCTTATTGGTTGAATACAAAGATGGAAGTATCTAGAGTTGTTTTATTCCTGTGTAGTCCATCAAGTTCACGTTGAAGGACTGATTAAAGGTCTAACATAGCACTGCAATTGATTAATCATTCAAATTAGATCATCATTAAAGAGAGCAAACGCAGTGAAAATAGTGACTTTCTTTAAGTCAGACTAAACTCAACAATCACAGATGTTAAAGATTGACATGAAAATGAATCTGAACTTTTCACCCGCTTTCAGAAAAGTTTCTGATTATTTAAATTAAATTGTCAATAAATTGTAGACGGACTCGTTTGGAGCGGCGCTGTCAGGGAACATGTTATTGGATCAAACTTAAACAATGCTGCTTTTTATTGGATGCAATATCCGCCACATTTTCTGAATGGCGTTCTGGTCACGAGGGGTGGATTGTTCCTTGTGTGTTTTCACATTGTGAAGGATTTAATTGGCAATAAAACAAAACTAAAGAAGCTGTGGGCATGTTCGGAGACGAAACAGGATCTGAGAGTCGAAGGAGAAGGCGGCGTAGCCATCACAGAGCGGTGTTGTTGGGGAAAAACATCCACACTTAATGATCTGTGTCTGTTGGTTTAAGGCCAGTTATACGCTCATGCTGTTTTCATTGTCTCATCGCTTTCTGAACAAAGACTCAACTTGAGGTCAGAAGAAAACGAGGACGGAAAGACTGTTTGAACCCTTTCTGAGTCGTTGGCTCGCAGAGATGGCGAGTGTTCAGGCGGTTAAATATTAAAGTTTCGCTGCTGATGTCCTGTGAAGTGCTCGATGAATCTTTTAGTGTCTGCAGGCTGCGTTTTCCTCGGTTTTTCTCTGGAAAAGAAGTGACGTAGCTTTTGTTTCATATCCAAACGGTCCGTTGATGTAATGTTGCACATTGTTGTTTTTGGCAATCGTGGACAAATTCAGAATATCATGTAAGACGGAGGGGACTGTACGGCTTCAAAGATGCCCACTGCAGCAGTGAGATCATGATGGAGCAAAATGATGGTTAAAGTTCAGCTGATTAGAGTATTTATAACATTTCTAAAGGGATTCAGTCGAGTCAGTGTTTCTCTAAACTTAAAAATGTCCTCCAGACCTGTTTTATCTTTAGTGCACAGTTTACATTCTCCTACTTTGGCAAAGTTTAGTTCCTAAATTACCCACGATGCAACACAGCTGCAGTGTTTGCATGTAACTGTGGATGTAACCTGTAGAAAAGACCAGGAGCAGGTTCCTGCTCGTTTCTTCGTCTTAAAAACTCTCAAACTTTTTTATTTTTGATTTCAAACCCACAGTCTGCAGCCCTGTTGCTGACTCAAGTGACGACAATTGATGCAATTTTTTCAGGTTTAGTGCAACCTCAGAAGAACTCATTTGCAATCATCATCTATCATCTGCGGCTGAGGATGCCTCCAGGAACAGACGCCAACTTCTTAAAAGTTCTGGTGTCGCCGGCGGTTAGCGTAAAACACTTTCAATCCAAGACTTCCTTTCCTGCGCGGCTTTAACCTCTGCAATAATAATCACAACACAGCAGCTTTACTTACTCAAGTTCTTCAGAATAACATAAAGATGCAGATTCATAAGAAGGTAAAATCCTGGATTTGTCAGGTGTTTTCACATCAGGAAAGAAATTTGTTTTTTTTTGTTTGTTTTTAGAGATGTTCAAAGTCTGGTTGAGCATCGACCTCCAGTCTTGAAGAACAGAGCTGAAACAGAAGTGCTCAAACCTGCAGTTCTTCAAGTGTCCACTTGAGGCTGGCTGTGAAAGTACCAGGAGCTCATATTTACATCCAAAATAAACATGTTTGCATCCAGTTTTTTCTATAACTCACTAGTTTTAAAGATATACAGTAGACTCATCAGTGAAGTTAACCTTTGTTGCAGATTATCAGACACACTTTTATGCAGATTCTGATTCATTTAAAGTCATGGTTGACGATTTGATCTTCAGTTTAAAAAAACTGAGCAGCTGAGGCAGATTTGAAAAAAGCGTCCCACCCCCAACACAAACCTCTCTCCTCTGTGCGCCACGATAACTCCTGTATTACCACAGAAAGAAACTGGGATGGCGCAGCTGATCGTGTTCCTCC